CTATGTTTATCTATTAGTGGCACTATTATTGTCACCAAAAATTTCTGTCAGTCAGTTGAGGCTGGGGTATCATCTAACCTATTAAACAGACGGGTTTCTTGTGTACAAACAACACTAGATGCGCACGCAACCTGGGGGCAAAAGCCTGTTTCAGAATGAACAGATATCGATGAAGATGCCGCATTGTTTGCTGTAAGTGCCGTGAGTTTTCCCTGACACAATTGCAGTAAAATGTCATTTATTGAAAACTTGCTTTGGCCTAGTGTGTACACAAAAACCTGACATGAAATGGGTACTGCACAGACTCTCGTCGCCTTACCGAACTTCAAGACCCCAATCCGCTCTTTTAATGGCCTGGAGCCACAATCTTTTTCTTCTCTTGGCAAAAGGATGAGATCCCCTCAGGATGTTAAACAGTTTTCATCCATCCTTTTGCCGATTCATGTAGTTTACAGCACAACAGCTCCTTGTCATTTTCTTTCTTTGTTGACTCTGCTAGGAAACAAATAAGAAATGTCCCGCTTTCTGCCCCCTGGCTGTGCGCCCATACCTGCAATGACGATTCAGAGGAACCCGTCTATTAGGGTCAAATTGGATATCGCATGTTCAAGCTAGTACCATGTATTTTCACAGGGTGGCAGTATGACTGTAGTTGAAGGGGTGTGTTCAGGGGTGAAGCCTTAGACTGTATATGCTATGGACAACTTGGCTCCACCTTTCATCATTATACGAATTTGAAGCCGAATGGCTCTCGGTATTTCCAGGTTTTTCTCCACTTCCTGGAACCAACGCTTGCGCAGTAGTGTTGTACACATTTGGTGGGAGAGTCGCTGTGATGACGCTCAACTCAAACAATCTTTGCATAGGCTGTATCAAGTGTCAATCATAGAAAACATGAACCCCCTTAATAACTTTTTAAAATGGAGCTTCACAGAAAAAAGAGGACTTCAGCACAAACCAGTCTGACAGTAACTACATGTCAACATTGCAAGCAGGGGGGGAGAAATATTTACATTCTGTGTAATAAATTTCTTAAGTTTGTCCACAACTCCATAGGGATTATAGGAAGAGGCGGGATTTATGACCTATACTGCAGCCTGTCACTAGAGGGTGCTGTTCTCACGATGGCTTCACCTAGCGAGGAGGCAGATGTCGTCTGTTTTATATCCAGTCTATGGGTGGAGTTTGATTGTGTACATGAAAAATCAGACAGATGGAGGGGATAAATTAACTTCCTGTTTGGCAAGACATCACTGCTACACCTTTTGATGTGCAGAAAATACCGGAGATAAATCCTCAATGACAAGTTTGTCCAAATATACAACCTGCAAATTGTCAAAATCCACCAAATTCCTGGACTGTCTAGACAATCACACTTGGAAATTATGTGATTTTTTTGGGTGAATTTTATGCAGTGCATTGCCATTGGATAAAGCTACATAATTCAGGGACAATCATGTCTTACAAAAATGCAACACTACCTCACCGTCGGATAAGACTGTCTTTATTCTGAACACGCACCGAGACAAAAACATATCACAACTCAGCTGCTGAAGTGTTTGTCTGTTCAAACTTTTTAGATGAACGCTCTCTAACACCTTGAGCTCTTATGAACTCCTCCAAACAAAGTCCAGGGGGGTCAGATGTGTTGGTCCAGATTGGCTCAGACAGATTCACTTCAATAATGACTAACCGGATTCTGACCTTCCGTGTCAAAGGTAAGGTGTGAAGTGAAGTGGAGTGAGACATTTATGGGTCATATCAGCTGAAAATGATTGGTGTGTCCTTTGTCTTCATGGCTGAAGGTAATGGGGACGACGGGGGGAGGTGAGGCCACTTTTCCTCACAATAAAAGACAGGAAACACAGAGATTGAGATATCTTTAAAGTGGTTTAGTTCACACAGTATTTAGATCTTTTACATGTGTAAATTACATAAATAAGTCATATCTGTTCAGGACCCACCTTTAGGAATCAGGATGCTTTTTCACTGACCATTTTTTTCCTGTTTGAAGATATAAAGGTCAGCAAATTTAAAGTTTACTAATTTTTGGGTGTTTCATATATAGAGGGGGCAGTGTTGTGTATCCGAATGTATGTATTATACATTTTTGTTGTTGTTTTCTGTGAGTTTTGTGGATAATATTGTAAAGTTTGGCTGCAGCAGGCACCAGAATCACCAGGAAATAGTTAAAGCTCCTGTGAGGAGTTTTTTTTAGGTTTATGAAACAGACAGAAATTCATTTTGCTACTTCTTCATGATGTTCAAAAGAAAACATGATCATCAGAGACGAGATGACGAGATTTGTAATGCCTGAAACCAATGTGAAGGGGTAGGTGTCAAACAAGCAGCTGGAGAAACAGCTGTTTTTTATTATTATTATTTCCATTTATATGAAAATATATTCCCAGTAGATATGACATTTGCTTGTCAAAAGTCAGCAGGATTGGATTTTTTGTCAAAAGTGGCCACTAAGTATGTGGGGTGTAATACAAGTAAAGGCGGTTTGTCCACAGGGGGCGCCAAAATGCAAAAGTTCCTGACAGGAGCTTGAATCTGCCAAATTTTACACTATTTTCTTATTAATTTATCATTAGAATTTTGTAAATTTGTGACTTTATTTTTGTGAATTTGGGGTTAACATGACTATTGAGTTTTTAAAACTTTAAAACACAATATTTTTAATCTCGTAACATTTCAACTTTATCGACTTACGACTTTCTTCTTTTCATACAAACTGATTCAGACTTTATTCTTGTAGGTAAATGGCTCTACTACAACCTTATTCTCGTAACATTATGACTTTACTACAACTTGAAAAATCATATTTTTTTCAGTGGTCCTAATACTTTGTTGTAACATAAGTAATGCTACTTCGCTAAGTCCTCTTTTTTCTGTACAGCTCAATTTTTAAAAGTTATTAGGGGGTTCGTGTTTTCTATGATTGACACCTGATACAGCCTATTGGCGTACGAAGATTACGTAGCTCACCTGGGGAATACGCTGTTTGAGCTGAGCGTCATCACAGCGACTCTCAGCGACAACGCTACTGCGCAATGTTGGTTTCAGGAATTGGAGAAAAAACGCGGAATTACCGAGAGCTTTTCGACTTCAAATCCGTATTCTGGCGGAAGGCGGAACCAAGTTGTCCATAGTATAAACAGGCTATGGTACTAAACTTCTAAACCTACTGGGTTGTAATACATCATTGACTTAAAATAGTGAAGCTGCGGTGACCATCACTCAGAAGTTTCCGGTACCGGGGGCCATCTTTGCCACCATGTGTGACAGCGTAACACGATAAAGGTCACTACAGTGTAACCTTTAGGGTGATTGTCACCTCGCTGCTGAAGCCACACTCAGCAGCAGGTCTGGAAAAGCTGCCCTTTAAGCACTCCATCACCACCACCACCACTCTGACAGCTTTACTCTCCTTATTCAGTGAACATCAGGTAAATCACTTTTCCTGAAATGACATGGCTGATGCTAAGTCTTTAAAAAGAAACCCCTCATTAGGGGAGATTAACACCCTGTAATATAGTCGCACTAATGGTCGGTATTCTCTCTGAGCTTGAATAATATGCAGCGGGCGTAATTACTGACACCGGAAAAGTTTCGCTGCGCATGCATGTGGAAGGGTTGTTGTTTTGCTGCCACTACTTTTTAGATTTCACATTTTAATTAAAAACTACTTTGAGCAGAGCCCCCAGGGGGAAATCAGTCAGAAAGAAAAACTGAAAGTTGTAAACAAAACATTATCTAAAAATGTCAGCTACATTTTCACTCTTCTTTAACACACTCGCGCACTCGCTCGCTCACACACAGAGATGCACCAAATGAAAACAAGGTCTAACCAGTGGCCATTAAAGAGCCATTAGATGAGCTGACTCACCTCTTCAAGGAGCTGCATGGCCCACGGCACCGTGATGCACTGAGGGTCACATTATGGTTCAGTTACTGCAAAATCTCAAAGGTTAATTCAAAGTCAGCACATTAAGTCTCTAATAAATCATCTTTAACTGCTAATTATTCCTCTTAGCTATTCCGCTGTGAACATTTAGCACAGATTGCACCTTTTTCTGTCCTAGGGCCACCTTGGAAACAGTAATGAGTTAACTAGATCAGCTCCAGGTAGATCTCTGATTAGCCAAATATGATAAGCTTGTGGATCATAATGAAATTGGCTGAATTCCTCTTACAACAAGAGCCAGCAGCTAAAACAAAATCCACCCCCTCATCCACTGAAGGCGTCAAGTAGGAATGAATTCACCGTCGACCTGTCAGGCGTCACTGTAAATGCGCAGCTGTCCAGATTTATAGGTGTTGGTTCAAGGATGAAAGGTATATCTCGGTCATATTTTTCAGCTTTGCAAGTTTTATGAAATCTAGTTGATGGATGGAGACGCTTCTGTTGTTTGCTTTCCAGTCTTTTAGCACCACGCTGTGGTTAAACTGGGAAGTGCAGCCGAGTTCAGCAGAGACCTGCATGCATGCTGAAGTAAAGTGTGTGTGGCATTTTGCTGATACTGGTTTTCTAGAGAGGCTTAGGGGTCAGGCACATTGTTAGAGAATTGATCTGGACTACTTAAAGCTTTCACTGGTAGCACAAATAGACAGGGGTGCTGCTGGGGATTTCAGGGCCCAATCACGTCACTATTTTGCCTCGTTTTGCAGTAATTGAAAAGCTGGTTTATGGTGCTATTTCAATAAAGATTTATCATCATTCAAAGCGAGGAGTCGTGTCTGAAAAACCCGGTTTACCATACCCCTCCTGTCTCTTCCTTTTCATCTCCTCTTTAAATTGTACTCACTGTTGTTTCAATCAGTCACGCTAAAATATGATGCTGCCAGTCCCGCTGAAGCTGCTATACATTCCCCGCAATCCATCATCCACGGCATATTAATCTCAGACTAGCTGCCATCCCCGTTCTGCATTAGCTTAGCTGAACGGAAACCCCTTTGAGATAATCACTTTGTCATCACCCACACTCTGACGTGTGGTCTGATGTGGATTTGGACAGATGTGGTGTGGTGAGCAGAGGGACTGGGACTTCAGGTCATCCTGGAAGAGAAAAGAGGGGTGTTGTTAATACGTGAGACATGATTTCATAAGACATCTTCAGAAAAAGTGTCGTATTTTCTAATGTTTCACCAGGAAACTCTTGAAAGAAAAGCTTCTTATGTAACAGAAACCTTTAATATATGATAAAGATGAACTGTGTGGGAGTGGAGGAGGGCGCCTTGCAGAGCGAAGCGTCCGTCTGCAATATAATGAATGAGGAAGGATTTTCAGTCTCATAGCAGCACTTGAAGGCGGACCGAACTTTGAAGTCAAACCTCAAAGTTTAAAGTCAAAATTCTGAGAAGAAGAAAAAAAACGTTGAATTCTGACTTTCTGCTCAAAATATTAACTTCTGTCTCGAAAAACTGCATTCAGCTCAGAATTCAGTTTTCTTTAAATTGTCCTGTTTGTTTGTTAGAATAAAAATAATTTTTAGAGTCACACTTCTGACTTGTTTTCTCTGATTTCTTTTTTATTTTGTTTGTTTGTTAGAATAAAAATGATTTTTAGAGTCACACTCCTAACTTTAAAGTAAGAGTTTCTAGGAAACAGTCAGAATTCTCAAAATTTTTATATAATTCTGGCATTCTTCTCTGAATTCTGATGTCTGTCCCAGAAGTCTTAGTTTAAAGTTAGAACTTTGACTTTAAAGGTAATTTTATTCTGACAGAAAAAAAAATCCTAACTTAGACTTTTTTTTTTTTCAGTCAAAATTACTTTTGATGTCGGAGTTCTGGCTTTATTCTCTGAATTCTGACATTTTCCCCAGAAGTCTGAGATTAAAGTTAGAACTCTGACTTTAAAGGTAACTTTTATTCTGACAGAAGAAAATCAGGATTCTGACTTTTTTCCAATGATTCTGGGTTTTCAGTAAGAACTCTGGCTTCATTCTGAAGATTCTGACTTGTTTTTCGGTTACTTTCGAAATCAGAATTCTGACTTGATTCTCTGAATTTCCTTTGAATTCTGACATCTTCTTTTGGCGGTCTGACTTCTCAATCAATCAATCCATCAATCAAATTTTATTTCTATAGCGCCAATTCACAACAGTCGTCATCCCAAGACGCTTTCCAAAGAAAAAAGAGCAGGTCTAGACCACGCTCATTGTTTGATGAATTATCAAGACCCAACCTAAGATTGAATTTGACCCATCTCATCTAACATGAGTGACAGTGGCGGGGAAAAACTTCCTTTTAACAGGCAGAAACCTTGAGCAGGACCAGACTCATGCTAGACAGCCACCAAGCCGCTGCTGGTTTGGGGAGGAATACAGAGAGATAGGGGGAGAGATAGAGAAGTGGAGAGAGGGAAGGGGAAGAGAAAGAGAACAAGATAGAGGGAAGGAGAGAGAGAACAAGTAAGGGAGAGGGAGGGAGAGAGAGACAGAGGACAGCAGCAACATTAAAACAACAACAACAACAGCTCATGTAATGGTGAAACAAATTGAATTCAGTTTACAGGGTTAGGATATGAGTAATTATGGACAATGTTAAGTTAATTTAATGTGATTACAGTCAGCAGGTCTGATAGTAGTTAACTCTAGTTTTATGTTATTAATGTCTTCTCACAGTTTTGTTTTTTTTCCTGAGAATTTTTGGTTTAAAATCAGAGTTATGATTCCGGGGGGAAAAAAGTCTGAATTCTGATTTGGAGTTTCAAAAATTTACCTTTTATGATTGTCCTTAATCCTTTAAGTAAAAATCAGTCATCTGAAATCTAGTAAAATTTCGATTTCTGTCATACAGAGAAAGCATTCAGGAGGACAGCTTTGTGCTTGTTGTGAAGCTGTTTCCCATTCAGAACAGAGCTTAAGTGAAAGTACTTGAAGTCTACAGGATCTGACTGGTATTTAAATCTGTGAGCTCTTTGACGCGTCGATGTGTGCGCCGCTATCTCCTGAATCATGTTGTCTCCTTCAGTAAAGAGCGTCAACAATACTAACCTGTCTCCTCTTCCAAAGAAGCAGGTTTTCATGCGACAGGAAGAAGCCACATGTGTCTATTTGTATTATTGTAACTTACTTGAGGAGCATGACACGTTATGAATGGTGTGTGTGCTCAAAGTGTCAGGATTCAGCTGTGTAATCATGACTGCTAAGGTCTGTTGGTTCTGAGTGAAGCTTGAAAGAGAGCGATTTTCCTTTCACTCGCAGCGCTGAATGCCAATCCACATCAGAGGGATGGTATTTAGATGTTTGATGAGGGAGCACTGCAGGGAGAGTGAGAGAGGGTGATAGTTAGCAGGACACTGCCACCCAGTGGTTAGAGCAGGAACTCTTTCTGTTCTGTATTTTATAGCAGTGGTTCTCAACTGGTCTCACTCTGGGACCTACATTTTCCCATGGTCCTTAAGTTGTGACCCACTTTTATAAAATTCAAACCAAGCAAATTTATTTTTTATATTAGAAAAAACCTTAAAGACTCAAAATTGCACAAAATGGATACCAGCAAAATGAAATTTTTTTACTTATATGCGTCTCTGCATTCAGAACATATTCAGAAAAACCTGAGGAGGAGCATGCAACAGCATAGACAAAAGTGAATAAATATAAAATTCACAAAAAAAAAAGAAGAAAAGATGTATTTTTACTGCATTCAGGCCACATTAATAAGAAACCGAGAAGGACATTGACATAAAACGTGCCTTTCAAAATAAGCTATTTTTCAAAATAAGAGACATGTCAAACATCAGATGCATATAAAATATTTACTTTTTGACCAGCTGTTCGTGACCCATCCAAAATGTGACTGCGACCCACTTTTGGGTCGGGACCCATCAGTTGAGAACCACTGTTTTAGAGGTTTCCAATATATATATATCAATATAAATATTAAATAACACACAATTCATGTAATACTTTTAATATAAAACGAGTGACACTTTTTGCTAAAGGTCTGGGTTTTTTTTCTCTTCAAACTTTGTAAATATTGTTCGCGGTCAAATCAATAAACCTGACTTTGAGTGGAGGTTTTCTTTGTCTAATTATAATCCAGCTTTCTTAATGCTTTCCAACCATTTACTGTGTTAAATACTTGATTCTGATTAGTCAAAACCCTAAGACAATGTTATTAGTTAATTCTGATAACATTAGGCCAGTCCATTACAGACTACAGTGGGGTGACGCAGCTCAAGGAAGAACATTTATGATCATTTCTTCATGGAAATGCAATCAGACCGAGACGCTAAGGCAGAAAAACTACTGCGTCTGCAGTGCAAAATTATGAATATGGTGATTATTTCTTCAAAGAAGTGATAAAGAAATGATCATAAATGTTCTTCCTTGAGCTGCGTCACCCTGCAGCAGTCCGTAAGGAACTGGCCGAGGTCTCGTTACAAACAAGCAGCTGCTGGAAGAGAGTAGATGAGTTGTGTTTAGTCTCGTTGCTAAAGAAATTAGGCAAAGTTAAAAAGAAGACCCTAAATTAATTTTACACCGGAATACTCCTTGAATCAGTAAATGAACTGTTGATTTAAAACTCACTTTTATCCGAGAGCTTTTCCTAAATTAACTTATCCAATCAGTACTTTCACATCATGTCACATTCAGCCATTCACACACCATCAGCTGAGGATGCTATGCCAAGTACCGTTCAGATTTAGCAAATCCCATCTACAGTTCAGGGTTAATGTCTTACCGCTTAACACCTTGGCATGTGGACAGCAGGACCCGGGATCAGAGGATGAGAAGAGAGGAGAGTTCAGCTATTAGAGGAGGGAAGGACATCTAACAAACTGAAGAAAACAAAGATGGAGAAACTTGAAACGGCAGCTGTATAGTCATGCAGTTAAAGGTTTTTGAGTCCGAATGTGCAGCCAGCTCCTGCAGAAATCAGACAGACAGAGATACATCGTTGGCATTTCTTTAATAAACATTTGCCAAAGGGAGGAGGGAGGGGGACAAAATCATTTTAGTACAAAAAAAACAGACACTTTCCTTTTTCAACTTGGGTTATTTTTGTTCTGCTCATGATTTTACAACACCTACCGGCAAAAAGGCGTGTGGAATTTAAAGTGAAAACAGCCTTTTTTTTCTCTCTCACTTCATCTACTGCGCTCATCCAAGTGCTACCAGTCTTTCTGTGGAAACTAATAGTCTCTGTTTTTTTTTTCATTTCTCAAATCGCTCCCTGTGCCGATAACCCGAGCCATCAACCCAATCAAGTGAGCCATTATTGTTTCAACATAATCATGGCCGTAAAAAAGGAGGACACTACATTACTGGTCAGATTCCTAATTGTGCAGATAAAGCACATCATCCATTTCCTTTCATAGCTAAAATAGTTTCCGCCTACTTCAGTCAGTAGTGCAAAACATTAATACTAGTCCGCCCTGGGGCAGTCACAGAAAGGCTAAGGTAGAGATTTTAAAATGTACCCGGCCTGATAAATGTACACTCAAAAAAGGTAAAAGTTTAATTTAAAAGACAGCAGAATAGATTACAAAAAAATATGAAAATGGTATGAGCAAGAAAAGCTCCTCCGCTGTTTTGTCCTTCTGCGACACACTCCACATTCCAGGCTGAGGAGGAACACGACGCCTTACACAGATTGAAGTTATTACAAACCGAGTGTGCATCTGCTGATCTGTCTGCTCCGGCCTGAGAGGCTTCAGGCTCGACTCGGAGTCCTCCAGCCGTTTTGTTCGCTTTCAGGTTTCATGTCTTTCAGAACGGCAGGCCTCGTCCTCTGATTGTTGCTGTCGAGTTCACATGTGGGACGAAGCCGAGGGGTAGTGGTGGAGCCCCGACTTGGGAAGGAGAGCCCCAGGGTTGTCCCGGTGCTGGGATGGGCGGGGGAGGAGGAACGCCGTCCTTTCTGGCCATGGCGTGGTTGTAGAGGTGGATGGCGCTCGGGTTCGGCTGTCCCTCCACAGGTAACGGGCTGTGATTGTACTTAAAGCGGTGGTCTTTATCCCCTGCGAACATCATACTGCTGGGTCCGGTGGCTCCGGCGCCTGGAGGGAAGGGGTCTGGGTGAGCTTGGGCCAGAACGCCCGCCGCGGATGAAGAGGCGGCGGCCTGTCCGGGTCCGCTGAACACTTCTCTGAGAGCGTGAGCCGGCAGACCTCCGCCGAGCATGTGCCCCATGTAGCCGTCCCCGAACCCTGCAGGAGTGAAAGGTGGGGGAGGAGGGTGGCTGTAGTCTCCTCCATAGCCTGGCCCCTCTGCTGTAGGGAGGGGTGGGTAGTCTGGCTCTGGGGGTCTCCCTCCGTCACCTCCACCTGCAGAAGCGATAGGAGGGGCGTGGCCAGTCTTAGGCTCAGGCGGCGGCTGCCTGTAGTCGAGGTCGGCATGAGGAGGCGGCTCGGGAGGCTCAGGAGGTCTCTGGTCTGGAGGCAGAATGGAAACTCCTCCTACTTCAGACACTGGAGACATTTTTAAAGGTTAAAACATTGTAAACAAATTCATTCAGTTTTATCACAACATGCTTATTCTAAATGTTTAGGGGTTGGGACAGGGGTGCACATCATCTCCAAAGGAAACCTGGTTTACCCGGAGAAACAGGACTGGGCTCAGGAGGCTGTTTGACATCAGGAGGTAGAAGCTGCGCCGCTGCTCCTGTTGATGCTGCTCCTGCCGCTGCTCCTCCTGCAGGGTTGGCGATTTCTGCTCCGTCTCCACTATCTCCAACTTCCTGCCTCTGAGCCTGCTGAGCCTGGAGCAGCTGAGCCAGCAGCATGGTCATGGCCGTCTGCGTGGCTGCCGCCGCCTCTCCTTCCGGAATACCTGGAGGTGCCGACATGGGAGGCGAAGGAGGTTTGGGCATCGGGGGTGTGCGGGGCACTCCTGCTGGAGCGGCGGGCTGCGGGGGTTTGGTGGGCGTGGGCTGAGGCTCTGCGGGGTCGGAGGGAGCGAGAGCTTTGGAGAGCTGCTGTAATGTTTCCTGGTTGACCTTTGTGCTCATGGACTGGACAAACTGGGCCGTGTTGACGGCGCTCTTTGGCTGGCCGAGGAAGTTCAGAAGGACTGCCAGCTGCTCCTGGGTTAGCTGGGAGTTTGGACCCTTTGGATCTGCAATAGGACAGAAAACAATGGTTCATACAGTAAATGGTGAATATTCTTGGTTACTTTGACATACATATGTTTAAGACTTTGATTTTATTTGCATTTTTTAACCATAACAGAAACAAGACATACAGTCAAGTATATTTAAGTGTTGTGAAGAGATTTATATTTGTTCCATTTTTCCTTTTTTTGGGTGTTTGTTTCTTGCTTGAGTCGTAGATATGATGAGATATTTTTAAGGATTCACAGTGAGAAGTCCAACAACACCAGCAGAATAAATCCAAGACTTTCAGTGACACACATAGAGATGCTCGGAGGTTTTATGTAAGCCGGTATTTTTGTCATTCTGCCAGTTTTACCAGCAGTTCTTTGGATGAAGATCTCATCCACCAAAAATGTCCAGAAGGAAAAAAAAAAAACAATACACAATGGGACCGTCTTTTACATCCCAGCATACAGTCACGACAGCATAGAAAAGCGCCAGTTCTTCGCACGTCAAAGTTACACAACATCACTGAGGAAACAGTCAGACACTCGAGAAAACTGAATTTTTGCCTTACTCCGATTAAGACCGGACAACTGAAGTGCATGTTAACACTTTAGCACGAATATAATTGGAGTTTGAGAACTGTGTATGCCACGCCCCCTTAACCCCGGAACAAAAACACAAGAGAAGAAGTGGCACTATCATTTAAAGAACTTGCGATTCAGAAGCAACTGCAACATGGCTGAAGCACAAAAGAATGTCCACTTTTGGAACGACGAGGAGAGTACTGTTATGCTTTCCGTCCTGACAGAAATGGACATTTTAAAGTATAGGGACGGTCACAAAATGAGGAACAGACATCTTTAAAAAAGGTCCGGAAACAGCGCCGCTGAAAAGACCCGTATCGCCACCTAGTTTTGGGAAGGATGACACGTCAATAATTCGATTTTCTCAGCTGCATGTATACGCGGACAAGGAGAGAAGTCGGATTTGGCGAGTGGACCCTGAACGTTCTCCTGCAGAAAAGCAAATCTCTGCTGATTTTCTTTAAATTGAGAGGAATCACGACTGAACTTCTCCTTTTGTAAAAGACAGACAGTCAAAAATTGACTCTGACTGGTGTGAACGGGAGAACCCCGGGGCTTTCTTTCCTCAAATTCATTGAAATAGTTCCTTTTCCTCAGTTTAGTATTTCTTTTTGATGTTTAATCATCCGGATCTTTGCAGGACTTGACAGATCTTTGAAGTAATCAATCATTCAGGAAGGAGCTGATCTAACGAGATCTAAGAATATTAGATCTGTAACTGGAGCAGCTGAAGCTCACGGTTTATAATTCCATTCACTTTTTTGATGCGTCACACTGAGCACCTTCCTTACCGCAAGAGACAAGCTGATAGTAATGTTGTAATACGACACAAATACAAACAGTAGCCGTTCTCACCCAGCAGTGCAGAAGCTGCTGCGTTCTGAGCTTTCACGCCTCCTGCAGTGGGGAAGCCCTGGGGGGTGTTACTGCGGCTATCGTCAAGGCCCAGCTCCTTACGTGGCGCCTTGGGGGCCACCAGCTCTTCCGGTACCTGCTTCTGTCGCCGGCGTTTCTTACTCCACAGCTCGTGACAGTCCTGCCACAGCGGGAGACTGCGGAGATAAGAGAAGTCGTTAATAATGCTGTAATCCTGCTTGTAAACTGCGGGGGGGCGGATGTCGGTGTGTGGCGTACTCTGGTGGGGGCATCTTATCCGGGTCCACGTCCTTCAGGAACTCGCTGCTGAGGGCTTGCTCGGCTGTGCAGCGTTTGCTGGGATCCAAGTTTAGCATGTGGTCGAACAGGTCGAGGGCAGACGGAGGGATGCTGACAACAACAGGATAAAAGATTTGATTATAACACACTTCTAAAGGGATAACTCTTACATATCTGGTTTAGAAATAAATACTCACAAAGCGTACTCCTCCCGTAACCGCCTCCTGTACTGTTTCTTTGGTTTCATGGTGTTGAAGAAGGGAAGTTTGATCACATCTGGCCACACAGCAGGACAGGGGCTGCCACATATCCGGCTAAAAAGACAGAAACTCGATTTGATTAAAGCGCAGCAGCTATTTGTGGACATAATGAACACTAATGACCTTCACACCCCAGAGCACCTTCAGACAACACCCGAGAACTCGCCCGACTTCATTTTAATAAAGTGAATCACTTTTGCTTCTTCTCTTTCTGCTCTTTTCTTTGGACACTCGGAGCAAAAACGATGACTACAGACTGAGTTTCCTTGAGCAGAGGCGGCCTTCTTCCACTGAATTAACTCCCACCTTCACACTTCCTCTAACAAGGGCAGAGATGACACAACTAAACACATCAAATCACGTCTGATGGCGTCACAGGCAATATGGTCGACTGAAGCAAACAGTGGAAATATCAGCTCCCCTCTCTCTTCCTGTTTTTGTAATCTGTGTCTCTGGTTCAAGTGGGTGAACCACAATGTGAGAACTGGATCAGGGTTCAAAACACAAGAGTTTTTGCAGAATTCGTCGAGAACTTACCTGATGAGCTCTAACTGAGCCAGCTCCTGATTCGCTTGGAAAATTGGTTTCTTTGTGAACAGTTCTCCCAGAATGCATCTGTAAAAAATTAAAGACACACAGGAGAATTAAAGAGGGAAACGATCAAATGTAAAGTCGAATAATTTTAAAAGATTGGTCAACTCTCAGCCACAACCAGTCATTTCATGTCTCTACTCCAAAAATATCCTGTCTCTCTTTAAGTGTGATATCCAATAAAAGTAATTTAGCATAAAAACACTCTGTAATGTGTGAAAATCTGTTATAAGAGATCAAGTTCAGTAAAAATAAATCAAAGAGCTCAAGAAATTCTCAAATCAAACACACAACAAAAGCTTAAACAGTCATTGTTTATTTTGTGGTAAATTAAAAAAAAAAAAGCACATGTGAAGTAACAAAGTTTTGGTGATTTTTAAATCACACATTCGTGACAAAAATCTCGAAAAGTCCTAAGAAGTTTAAGAAGAAAATAAAAAGCTTTTAAAATGATTTGTTTTTCTATCTAAGAGCTTTCTCTGACTAAGACACTTACAAACTGCTCTTGAATTACTATTAGATTTGATATAAAAGTCACGTCAGTGTAATATAATAATGGAAATGTTTGATGTTTTTAGAATGGGTGTAGATGAATATTTTGACCGATTCAATCGGAACTTCTGTACTGACTTGATTTCAAGTTATTTTTCCAGTTTTTATATGTTTACTGAAACCAAACATGCTTAAGTTTAAATTTTGCTTTTGCACAAGTTCATTCGTTGCTGTGGGAGAGCAGGTGTTATTTTTCAATGGGATGTTATGCATACTGTAAGCTACCAGACGCCTTCAAATCAACAGTCTGTCGATGTACCTATGATCGAGGTTCAGTCTGTTTTTGGAGGAAAAAAGTTTCATCCATGAACACTTCCACTGTGTTCAGCAATGTGATGTTCTCATGCAGATGTGTAGCTCTTTATAGTGACACTCAGTATTTCCACTTAACCGGTTATCTGCACAATAGTTAAAAACAGACCCCAACTCGACCAGAACCACCCTCAGCTGCTCATTTGTTGCCTTAACTCGAAGCAGCTCTCCATCAGGTGTTTTTACGAAAAAAAAAAACAGTTTTTCCTTTCAGGGCAGGTTTATTATGTCATGATGAAGAAAAGCTTTCGACTGGTCAGCCCTGTATGCTAAACGGTCTTATTTCATAACGCAACACAATTGGCTGCACCGGTATAAAGTACTTAAGAGGATTAGGGCCACAAGAAGAGAAAAAATAATTACGGGAGGGAGAATTTTTACATTTCCATTTCGGGTTTAAAGTTGAAATTTTGAAATTAACGTTGAACTTTTGTAGAATTTCGACTTGATTCATGTCACATCGAAATTATGACTTTAATCTCAAATTTTGATTTTTTTAATCTTGAAATTTCAACATTTACGACATATCAACATTTTGTAATCTCAAAATTTGAATTTCATCTCGAAAATCTCACAATTTCAACTTTATTGACATAATTTCGTTTTTTTCAATCTTGAAATTTCGACTTTCATCCCCTTCCTGTAATTATATTTTTCCTCTTCATGTGACCCTAATCCTCTTTCGTAGTAAAGGGTGCAGCTCACTCACTAGATGACCAAAAAAAAAAGTGATTAAAAGTATGTCTTATCAAATCGGACTGGATTGTTCGTTCTTACCCGCAGCTCCACACATCGATGGCTGGCGTGTACCTCTCTTCTCCCAGAAGCAGCTCTGGGGGACGGTACCATAGTGTAATTACTTTATTGGTGTACGGTCGACTGAAAACGAGAGCACAAGTCGAGAGGGTAAAGTTTTTAGTCTTATCACTGCCACACAAAAACGCCGTCCAGATGAATATGCTTGGTGTGTTTCTATAGGAACACCTTTCTTTACTCACCTTTCCTCAGAGTTATACAGCCGAGCGAGACCAAAGTCTGCCAGCTTTATTTGACCCCTGATTAGAACGAGAACAAAGCGTGTGATTATGTAACAAAAGACGAAACCTTCAAAGTCGTCGTGAAAATAAAAGTGGAGGACTCACTTGTTATTGAGCAGGATATTGGAACACTTGATGTCTCTGTGCAGGAAGTTCTTCTTGTGGCAGTAATCGAGGCCTTCAAGCAGCTGCCGCATGAAGGACTTGATGTGGCTCTCGTTGAAATGGACGAGGCCGGACTCGAGTAAACCCATCAGGTCGTGGTCCATGTATTCGAATACCAGATAGAAAGCACCTGAGACGAGGGGAAAAAAATGATAAAGTCGCAAAAATACAAAACAAACAGAAAGTGAGTGGATATTTTAAAGAGGAGGAAGAATTTACCTTTATCATTCTTGAAATCCAGAGCATCCTCCTTGTCCGTGACGATCTCCTTCATGTTAATGATGCTCTTGTGGTTGAGCTGTCGCAGAATCTTTATCTCTCTGATTGCAGTGATTGGGAAGCCCTCCTTCTCATTGTCCAGTCGGACCTTCTTCAAAGCCACCATCTCGGCTGTAAGAGAAGAAATAACAAACATGACACTCAACTCTGTCTCTAAACAACCTTGAGACTAGACCGTGTTTAGAAGGATGAACACTCACCTGTGTCTTTGTCCTTCGCTTTGTACACCTGACCGTAGGTTCCCTCCCCGGTGATTCCAATGATCTCAAACTTGTCCACGCAGCGTTTCCCCCAATCTATCTCTGTTTCTTTAAACTCACCGTATCTTGGGCCACAAATTCTGGTGATCAGAGGAGATATTTCAGTGAGCGCAAAGTAAAAAGACAGAAGAAGAGAAGACTAAATGTGCATGGACGTACTTGGGTCGTTTACGGATTGTTCCAGACTTTTTGTCGTCAGGCGGGCTGTGCGGGGAAGACGTCCCGCCGGGAAGTTCAGGCGGCAGAGGCAGGTCAGTGAGAAGCGGACGTGCCTTTTTCTCTGACTTTCGCTTTCCTGAGAGCAAGCTGTCCTTCAAACTGATAGAAGACAAAGAGAGTGAGGAAGTCTGGGTAATCGAGTACAAGTGTGAATTATTTTACACCGCACAGCTTCACACCATACCTGTCTCCTTTGTCCATGTGCTCGAGAACTGTCTGCGGCAGTGGGAGGGAGGATAGAGGGGAGATGAGGGGGACGCTGGCTCTTTCCTTGTCTTTGCTCTGTCCAGATGTTAGTGCTTTCCGTTTGTCCCGATGTACCGAGTCGTCTCTCCCCTTTCCGTCTCTGTCTCTGCTGGTGTGGTGCTCTGTGGTCCTCTTGGTCGTCCGGTCAGAGGGGGACTGAGGCTGGCTGGAGGTGGGAGTTCTGGGACCTTTCTCCGGTTGAGGTGGCGGTGGGGAAGGAGGGCGTCCCTTCCTGGATGACTGATTGGACTTGGGGCTGGGCTGGGGAGCGGATGAGGAACCTTTAGTTGGAGTCGACGTGTTGCTGGAGTTCTTGGCTTTAGCCGCCGCTTCTGCTGCTTTGGCCTTTTTCTGCTTGCTGAGTTCAGCGGCCAGGCTGGTTTTGAAGGTGAGCGTGCTGGGGGAGAGGCTGGAGGGGCGGCTGCGGGAACGGGAGTGGCGGTGGCGGCTGCGAGACCGTGAGTGCCTCGAAGACGAATACGGACTTCTGCTGCGTGACCTGGCGGTTCGCCTGAAAGAAAAATAAAACAGATATCTTTGCATCAGCTTCGTGAACTTCATGTGACAGCTATTCGCTGCTTTGCATGAGATAAAAAGACATCTCGTGTGTATGTAAATTTGAAGAACGCAGGGGCCATGGATAGTAACATGCAAATCAAGCTAAAACAGGTTTCTCACATTCTGCTTATGCTTCTAAGAGTGTGGTCACAGGCTTTTGTAGCAACACAATCACATGTCGTTATAAAAAACACACAAGAAAGAAAAAGAAAGAAAAAAAAACTTCAGAGTGCTTCTTATTGTTTGTTTCAGAGGTCCCAGTCTCGACTTGTGGATCAGAGCCAATCTGAGCATCTGTTAACTGATAGATGATTGACTATAAGAGCGGATCGCCTCACCACAATAATTTACATCAGCTGACGTGACATGAGAACAACCTTGCAGCAGAAGAGACGCATGAGTGACTTTGCTTTGGTGACCTTGAACAAACTCTGACTTTAAGTTAAGATTTATAATCTTGAGCAAAAGGGAAAAAGCCAAAAAGACGACAGAGGAGGGGTGAATTTCTCACACATCCTTTAAGTGGGAAATGCAGGTTTTTGACGTCTGTTTGGGGATTCTGGATTTATAGTGTCTCCTGCTGTCTGAACACACCATTTCAGACTAAACTGTTGGCAGTTTAGACGGCTGTTCACGCCACTTCTACTCGAGCACACTTTTTAAAACTGTTCAAAAGGATGACTTAGGAGATGAGGGCTGGGATGATATGCTTTTCTCCTGATTCGATTCTTTTACGAGTTTCTGGATGCCGATTTGATTTAAATTGCGATTCTGCGATATTGTCAATTCTCTCGATCTTCAGTCTGCATTTTTAACACGAGTGAAACAGTTGAATGATTATGATTGTCTACTGACTATTCCAAGAACCATATTTCCCCCAAAAATACATACCACATGTAAATCAGTTTTTAAGATTTATTCTTAAATTTGATTTTTTTTTTAACTTTAACTTAAAATTTTATTTTTTGAACTTAAAAATCTATTTAAAAATCGTAAAACAAAATATCAGGATACTTATGTGAATCGATTTTCTCTCCTACCCCTAAAGGAGAGACAGAAAATATGGGAAGTAGAAAAAGAGGTATGACATGCGGGAAAGTGTCATGACTAGTAACCACAGCAGTGAAGCCTCTGGCCTCTGTTCACGGGACATCAACTCAAACCATCAATGTGAGTAATAAAACAATAATAGTCGCTCTACGATTCATGTCTTTGAGAGTTGATGGCATGCCGATCAAAACATTGATTAATTTAATAGACAAAATTCCTGCATATCCTGCAAACCCTCAACCACAAAGATGCAAATAAATACACAAACACGACAACCAACAAATCAGCACACATCTTGCATTTAGTTGCTTTGAAAAGACTCACCTGACATCTGGACTCGGGCTCAGGGACTTCCTGTATGGACTTCTTGATCTCCTTCTGTTCCCATATGGACTCGACCCAAATTCTCCTTGTTCGTATGGACTGTGCCGCCCATAACTCGGGGACCTGCGCCAGTTCACCGGGCTTGAGGGGGACCTCTTCCTTTTGTTGCTGGAGTATGAACTGGGAGACTTTGGCATCCCGTACGCCCCGTATACATCTGAATCCCTACTAAAATACGCGGAAGAGGGAGAGAGTCTTTTGCTCCCATACGTTGGACTTCTTCTAGGTATTAGCTGGTTATAACCACCAGGAGACTGGTAGCTATAGGAATAAGACGTCCCGATTGGACTTTCTGCTTTGAAACCAGGACTTCTCCTGTATGCCCTGAGCTCTTCGCGGTCATCTCTGTAAGACTGAGGAGCATCTCTGTATGCAGATGGGGTCTCTTTGTCAGATCTCGTTTTACTCCTGTGCCTCTTTGAATCCCTCTTATCTGCAGATTGCGATGACTGAGAGGAAGATGTCCTCTTGCCATTCCTGTCACTGCTTCTTGTAGTGTCTCTGTGGTTCTTAGAGCCACTCAGGCTAACTCCACTCCTTGCTTTGGAGGAGTCTCTCTCTCGGCTCTGGCGCTCCTTTTTCCTACCTGCCTCCTTCTCCTTCTCCTTCTCTTGCTGCTGTTTACTCCTCTCTGATGGTCCTCTGGTTTGTTCGTCTTTGCTAATACAAACAGCCTCCCTGTCTCTCGGGTGGGTTTTGTCTGGTGTTGCTGGTCCGTTGTATTCACCAAAGTCAACATCGCTGAGTCGGTCCGCTGAGAGGCTGTCAGCATGGGGGTCAAGTTTAGGAGAAGGGCTCCCTGAAAAGCGCTCAGACTGGGAGCTCACGTCGTCGTACTCCACCAATGTCTGAAGTTCAGCCTCTCTTTCAAAAGTGCTTTTTCGGTTATTATCGGGGTCGCCTAACGCACCTGTAAGCCACAACTCTCTCTGCCTGGCCTGCCTGCGTTTCTTCCTCCTAGAAGCCGAGGAGCGCCTCTTCTCCCGGTGCCTGTCCCTCTGAGCAGCCCCGCTCCCCGGCTTACTCCGCCGGTCCTGCCTGTTAGCATTCCTCTGAGCGGAGGGGCTCCGGCCCCGACCCTCCCGAAGCACCTCCGTGTTCGGCATTTAACTACAATACTGACACTACAGCCACGCTGAGAATAACCTTTAAACTATAAACTTCCCCCTAAGCTGTGTTTCTTGCTGTGTCGGGAGACAAAACATTGGAGCTAGCTGTGTTAACAGGCTAGTTAGCAGATTCACAGTTAGCCGTCACAAGCTAACCGTTAGCATTACAAAGCTGGGAAAATAGTCACCTGAGGCACTAATTCATGACACTCGGCTCTTTTTAGGTAAAATTAATAATATAGAGCTGAGCTATAAAGCAAGTCGGTACTCAACCATTGTGTTCCAGGACGGACATCTTCCAGAAATGCTAGCCGCCGAAGCTAACTGTGTTTCATGGTCAAAGCAAAGGCCCGGATCGGCTGCAAATCTCAAATCCAGCGCTTTAGAAACGTCGCCGCTGCCGGATAGTGTTAAAATAGAAGAAAATCACTCCGTCTCCCTCTGACAAACTTCTTCTCTCCTTCCATCTCACTTCAATGTGCAACAAGGAAGTGGGTAGCACACGAGGCTAACCGCTAAAGCACCTTTAGCTTTCTTTTCTCTCCCTGCAAACTCAGTCAACATTCAGAGAAACAAACCCGCTCACAAACACGGCTGCCTCCGAGGATCCCGGCCCGATGTTGCCACCGCATGGTCGAAGAGCATCGGGCGTATTTCCGAGACGAAAACGGCTCGATAATTCCTGATTTTTATTTCAAAATATTGCAACTTTGTTCGCAATGTGGCTACACTCGTCCGGGCCCAGACAGCTTTCAAACTACAGGCCCTGTGCGTCGGTGTGGACCAATGGTACCCGTATGCGTAATCCAGATCAGCGGTTACGTCAACGCAAAGGGAAACCCCTACCATCACAATAAAACACCAAAATAAATATTTATAAAGCCCAAAAGATAGGTTTTTATGCAGGTTTTTCAGAATCACATGTGATGATTTCCCAAAAGCAGTAACCGTCATTTGGTTTGCCTGTGCATGTTCAACCTTAGTTGCAAAAAAGTTGGGACACCGTGTAAAATGTAGATCAAAAAGAGGAGTTTTTGATGGTTAGCAAGACATTTTCATTAAATGTTTGAGTGAAAAAAAAGGAAACAATATTTTTCTAAATATTTTCATATAAAAAAAAGTCAGAATTCAGACTTTTTCTCTGAATTCAGACTTTAAAGGGATATTCCGGTGTAAAATTGATTTAGGGTCAAACACACCGGAACACCAAGTAAGGCACCCTTAAGAGAGATGAATGTCGCCAACCACTTGCGTCTCTAGTTAAACCAACTTTAGTAACGACCGCACGATAGCAATACACAGCGGTCTGAGGAGCCACACACAAACCTCAACCAAAACGCCACTCTATAGCCACAAATAATGCTCAGAACAGCACCTAACTTCATCAACAGTACATATAGAGTCCCAGCCAGAGTACTAGCCACCAAACATCCTTTTAGCTTTGCCTATTTTTTTTTAGCAAAGAGACTAAACACAACTCAACCTCTCTCTTCCAGCAGCCGTTTGTTTGTAGCGAGACCTCGGGCCAATTGGACAATACGGACTACAGTGGGGTGACGCAGCTCAAGAAAGAACATTTATAATTATTATTTTATCATGCATCAGATTTGCAACAGATTTTTATTGCGCTTTTTGTCAGTGACCTCAAAGCGCTTTACATTGGATACATCATTCATTCGCTAAAACAGTCACACCTTTGTGGTGGTAAACTACCTTAGTAGACACCTGCCCTGGGGAAGAGTGACGGAAATGTGGCTGCCAGTTTGTGCCTACAGCCTCTCCGACCACCACCACACAACACTTACAATCATACACCAGTGGAGGACACACACACATACTGGGAGAGTGGGTTAAATGTCTTGCCCCAGGACACAACAGACAGACTAGGGATAGGGCAGGAATTGAACTGCCAACCTTCCAGTTATTGTCCCGACCGCTCTACCTCCTGAGCTACTTCAGTCCCTTGAGGTAGTGATCATCATATTAATCATTTTGCACTGCAGACACGGTAGTTCTTCTGCCTTAGCATCTCAGTCTGATTGCATTTCCTTGAAGAAATGATCATAAATGTTCTTTCTTGAGCTGCGTCACCCCGCTGCAGTCAATGGACTCACCTGGAGGTCTCGCCAAGAACAAGCGGCTGCTGGAAGAGAGTAGGTGACTTAGGCAAAGTTTAAAAGATGTTTGGTGGCTAGTACTATGGCTGGGACCCTATATATACTGTTGATGAAGTTAGGTGCTGTTCTGAGCATTATTTGTGGCTATAGAGTGGCGTTTTCGTTGAGTGCGTGGCTCTCTGTATTGCTATCTGCGGTCGTTACTAGAGAAGCAAGCGGTCCGACATTCATCTCTCGGCGGGGTGTCTAACTCGGTGTTACGGTGTGTTTGATGCTACCTAAATTTTACGTCGGAATATCCCTTTGAGTTTCAGAATTCTGACCGAATCATGCTATGCACGTAGTACTTGTTCTTGATTGTCTTGTTTGCTTTTGGAGAACATAAAACTGCATCAGTATGCATTTTAGTCTATTTTGATAAATGTCAAAAAAGTTCTCCAGAGGGGCTTTAATACAATTTTAATTACAAATCATAATAAAAACTGTAACCTCATCTCGCAAGCTTCAAGTCAAGGCAAAACTGAACCCCATTAAAACACACACTGACAAATTAAAAGACAAAAACAATCAAACTGACAGAGAAAAACTACAATTACAGTTTGACAGTCGCATTAAAATATGTCCTAAGTGTATAGTACTGCTCATCTTGATATTAAACTTAGACAAACTTTTTTCCCTCTCGGTTTTAGTTTTTACAAAGCAATATATCATTAACGGCAGTGGTCATGTTTGTTGAACGGTAAATCATTACTGTACTGTTTTACTCCACAGTGTTGACAAGACTGAGCAAGAGTGAAAGAGTCAGTGTTATTTTGTAGTTACTAAGAGCCAAGCCGCTGGTTTCCACGTGGACTGTTATATTTATCAGAAAATACGGCATGTCTTTAAACGTGCTAAATACAAAAGGTCAAACCTCAAGCAGAATAAATATAGATGGCAAAAGACATCCTACGCAGGTAGTGGCTGCTCAGAAAGTGTAAATAGTGGTATCAAATTCCTTGAATTCTTCTTTATCAGACCAACAGCAGTCACCGCAAAAGAATCTGTAGCGGCTGCCGTCACAGTGACGGAGAAGGTCGTGTTTTTTTGCGCTCAAGATCAAAATCAAGTTGGTGTACAGGTGCCAGGATTCAGTCAGTTCACAACAGATCAACACCAGGAGAGCTGACCGCATTTTAGTTCAGTCTAAAGAAAGAAATAACAGAATCCATGAAGAAGGTGTTATTAGTAATATCCACTTTATTTGCCATTTCCAAAGAACTCACAAAAAATGAATTGAAATGTAAGCTTCACCTCTTGCATTCACAAACAGATAGGCTACATTAGTGGTTATGTTCAAAGTAAGTAAACATGAAGGAAACATTGAATTGATGGCATACATACAACCATCCGATCAAGAGACATTTATATATCTAGTTTTTAATCCAAGGGTATTTATATAAAAAGGCAAAACAAGTTCTTTGAATACCCAGTAGGACAGTTTTCGCTCATAGCTTTCACACAAATATCTGTTTCGGTATCACGTCTCAATCCCTCTGAAAATATATGGGCCATCAAGTCTATTAAAACTATACATGAAGACAAAGAAAGGAGAGTTATAATGAAAGTATCTGCTTTCAAAAAAGCATCCAAACAAGAGTTAGACTGTGTTAAGCCAATGTTAGAGAAAGCAAGCACTACGGTGGTCACTTTAAGTATAGTAGCTTCTGCAGTCGTCAACAATGAGGACACAAAGGGGTTAATGTTATGGTCATAGGCTTAAGACTGTGTGTCAGTTTTCTCCGCCTGTCCTTTGAACTCTCAGGGGTGTTTCGGTCACGGTGTAGTGTAATGTAGTGTACTGGAGGTTAGCCCTTAAAAAATATCAACTTAAAACAACCTTCCGAGCTTTCTGATGCCATCAAGCAGCAACAGTAAAGAGTTTGCCACATTGACAGTGTGCTTTTCAGTTGAAAAGAAGTGCCTCAGACATTCTCCTGCTTTCCTGTCTGCTCAACGAGCTGTGTCAGAATCTTGCTACTGAAAAAGAAAGTGGATGAAGCCTCTGATTGCAAGAGTGAAGTAAATGCTGCAGTATTTCTTACGGCCAGCAGGAGGAGACTCAGCAAAAAGAAGCATGTTTCTGTGAAACCAGATGGGAAATTACCCAAATTTTTAGGTGAGTAATTTCCCCATTTTATCATGTTCCCCATATGTTCTTGGTCTCACGCTCTAATTTCCAGTCAGCTTCAACATAGCATTACACTTCAGTTGGGGGGGAAAAAAAGGTAGCCATTTACAGTTAAAGTGACAACAAAGCAGGGTATGTGCTGCAAAAACTCAAAACTATGAGTGTTTGTATGATTTCTCACAAAAATGATTCACAAAAGCCTGATAAATCCTAATCTACGTCTTATTTCAGGATATTACAAGCCAAAAGTAAAGCCTAAATTACTTCTGAGTAAAAAAAAAAAAAATGGCATTAAGGTCAGTTAAATTTTCAACTTTTTTTTTTTACATTATTCTCAATTTAAGAAACTTAAAGCTCCTATAAGTAACTCTTAGTTTGTGTTGCTATTGGTGCCCCCTGTGGGCAAAGTGATCCCTCTTATATCTTTGCTGATATTCTCATTTTAATTTTGTTGTTTCTTAACACTCATGACAAATCTTTGCTAATAAAAATACAGTTTTCTGTATGGACACCTCATGTCGAATGAAACAAAAACATTGCTTAGTTTTGAGTTTTTGTGCTGTGTTTCAGGGAGGGGCTACCTGCGATTGACAAATGGCTCCTGCTGTGGTCTGTCTATCAGTGTGTATCAACCCTGATGTCCAAATATGGTCACTTCTGGTTTATAAAGAATGATGGTGAGTGGAAATAAGAGCTTTAAAAATGAGGCTAAAAACAGTGAGTGACATCAAAATGGCTACATCCACCTCTTTGTTCAGTCTATGTAATACAGAAAGAAATCAGTGGAGGAATTTAGGGTTCATGTTTGACTGAAGTCTAAAGACAGAAATCACTTTGAAATGACATTGGGGTTTCTTAACAGCTAAAATGTTTCTATTTCACTCAGTCTTATTTGAAGACACTGTCAGCCTTATATTAAGACAGTTTCTTCAACTGTTTCACGTCTTCTCTTCTTTGCAATTACTTTGACTTTTGCATAGACTCCAGTGTTGGGCATCCTGTTGGTTGAGGAAATCCTTTAGAGTTAATATAACGACTAAAACCAGGTAAAAAGGAAATGTGTCGACAACCTCTTGATTACTGTTAGACTTTGACGAGAACAAAATGAGCTCTTAGAAATAAGTTAAAAGTTTCAAGGGTGAAAAGTAAAGAGTGGCTCAGTCAGAAATAGAGGGGCAGATTTCACAGTGTGTTTTGGTCTTAATTCATGACATTTTGCCAAATTTTGTTTTCCACTGCTTCCATCTTTTCTTGTTTTTCATACGAGGGAAATCAAATAAACATATAAAAGGTGGTGAACGACTTCGTCATTACGGCCTTAAAAATGTAATAAAAGTAAACATAGCAGAAAGTCAGCAACCCTGCAAACTCTACACATCATTGGCAGCCTAAGATTACAGGCAAACAGGATGGGAATTAGAGGAGGGGAGGAGGGGTATTCACATTCACAATGGACAGAGAGGCAACAGTGATGCACTGTACATGAATTAGTAAATCCTTCGTAAATGTTGCGTTACCTTCCCAGGCCTTCGAAAACTGAATTAATTCCTCAACCTTTGCCACCATCTCTTCGACAAAGATAGTCTGCACACTAACACCAGGTGCTTTCTTTTGATGCTCACTATATCAAGTTGTCATTTACTTCCATTATTAAGTGGGCACTTGGTTGTGCTAGCTAGCATTTTTCTTTGGTGACTGAGAGCAACATTTTTGGACAGGTACCACCTCACTTCTATTGAGCCTGCAGTCCTTTTTTTTAAGTTGATGTCTTTCAGTTTATCTATCCATCGATGTATCCCTACTCAGAAATAAAAAAAAAAGAAGTTTTAGTGATTAAAAGTCTAGATCAGAAAAAGTGAAATTGGCAAAAGAAATCTTTACATGGCTGGAAGCGGTTTGTCTAATCAACTTTACAGACAGCATGTAAAGGGTGTAGTGTCGTGGAATCGCCTCTTATCAGAGCACCAGGGATTCCTCTACCGCAGAAATAAAAAAGGCAATGAGAGTCATTAGCCGAGTGAGGTAAAACTTCTGAAATGTTTCAATCCGAGAAAGTTCAAGTGTTGTAAAATCCCTCACTAATTCAAGGGGAATCATCGCCGTTTGTGCATTTTTAGGAGACTCGACGAAAAGTGATGCGAAGGGGAACGAAAAACAGACGTTGCGCTTATTTTACAGAGAGAAAGTGAAAGAAAAATCTTACAGATTAAATTAACTTAATGATCATTCTTGTTAAAAGTGGAGAGTAAAACAACATTTAGGAATGGCATGAAATTTAGATCTCACGATTAAAATGCTTCATAGATTCACCAGTGCAGTGTACATTTCCTCGTGGCACTTGATGAATTCAGGGTTGACACGGAGTCAAGTTAGCGTTCTTCTCTTTTTTTTTTTTACCCACAATCCAGTTCCCTGTTGAAGCCTTGGCTCTGACACTTTCAATTCTTTTTCCTTTTCTTTTGAACTGCACAGTTGTCTGAATATATTATACACATCAAACTTTACAATGAAAGGTTTTTTTTTAACGTTTCAGGGCTTAGCCTCTTTGTCAAGCTTAGGCCTAAATAAACACCATCCATTTATTACACTCTGTAATGTGGTCAGAGAGAGAGAGAGAGAGAGAGAGAGAGTAAGAGAGAGAGAGAGAGAGAGAGAGAGAGAGAGAGAGAGAGAGAGAGAGAGAGAGAGAGAGAGAGTACATAAATTATTTGGAGTGTCAGCACATAAAAAGTTAGAGCTATAAATGGTGTATGGAGTGCCACCTTACTACTCCCCGACGCACGGTCAGATGTCCTGTTAGCCAGAGACATGAGAGAGTCATGGTCAGGTTATCGGCACAAAATAAATGCAAAAGTCTGAGAAATGTATATGTACATAAGCAGCTGCCCTGCTCTCTGTTACCACTATAAAATACAGCATCGCTCTCGGATTCTCTTGGCCAGACTTTTGCTCTTCTTCTTCCCGTTCTTCTCTTTGCTGTCCTCCATTTTCCTCGCCCGGATCTCTCTCATCAGGTCAAAGAACACCTGTTCGAAAACAAGAAAAAAGTGAGATTTAAGTTTTTTTTCGTGCGACTATTTCGGACGTCAGTATTTATTTTCAAACCCGTATCCTGTCAATACAAGCGTTCACATCAGCGACGTTTTCCCGTTCTGCGATATTGCGACATTTGTTTTTTCGTATCACGGTCGACTTTTCTAAAGTTTCGCATACTGTGTGTCCACCTCTGACCAATCAGATTTTGTGTTGTTGCGGGGTCAGATTTGCCGGCTGCTTGTTTACGTGTCGGAGAACAGAGTGCTTTTTGATAAAAGACACAAACATTACAAAGACAACGACCTGAAGGACAACTCGTGGAGAGTCATAGCGTCGGATTTCTCATATGACGATGGTTTGTGTCATGGCCAAAGATCATGGCCATACAGTCTGGGTTTTCAGCCTTATCCCTTTGGTATTAAGACTTCCCCAGACTCTCAGTATCAGGTATTAGTCAGGGATTACTTTGTCCACAGGGAGGCGCTTAAATCCATACACAACAAGCGCTCTTTATGAGAGCTTTTAAAAACATTCAGTTGAGAAGAAAAGCTTTGCATGAGCTGGTTTTAACAGGAAGTTTGTGACAGTCATGGTAGAATGAACAGATTATGTATAATAATATTCAGTAACTGTAATGGTAGACAGATTTTTGAAGAACAGCCTCAGTTGACTTTTTCCAGAGTGGTATTGAGGCACATTGGGTAATAGATCTACAACAGAAAGGTCCAGAAAGTGGTGTTTTATTTGATTTTATGTCCTCCCCTATATTTTCCTTTCAAACCTCAGCCTCGCACTCGAATACTTGCTGGTTGCGCTTGGATTTGCTCCGGTTATGCTCTTACAGTAATAGCCGGCCGTACCGCTGCCAGGGAATGCCTCCTTTAATCTAGTCAAACTTACCTTGTCGACATTGGCACGGGTTTTGGCAGAGGTCTCCACATAACACACGCCCCACTGCTCGGCACGTGCCTTCGCCTCGTCCGCGCTGACCTGCCGTCGGTCGTCCAAGTCCGACTTGTTGCCGACCAAGAGAAAGGGCACGTTCTCGTCCTCCTTCACTCGCAGGATCTGCTCTCTGCAATGCCGGAAATGTCAATCAGCCATGAATTATGCAAACAAAGTACTGCACTGGTACTGAAGGTTAGAGCGATGTTGAAGTGGTGGAAATGAAGAAAACACAGTTGGCTTCTGGAAACAGCATGCATTGATATGGCGTTTTAGCAGGAGGGGAAGCTGCTCTCATTAACCCCTGATGATGAGTGTCAGTGAAGCGATACCAGACCTGAAGTCTACTGTTGCTGCGAACGATTCCAGTTCTGTGATGGAAAACACGCAGAGAAAACCCTCGCCACTGCGGAAGTAGTTATCCCGGATGGCTGCGTAGTCCTCCTGCCCGGCTGTGTCGAGGATGTCGATCTGAACCTCCTCTCCGTCCAGCACCACTTTCTTCCTGTAGCTGTCAGCTTTGGTGGGTTCGTAGTCTTCCACAAACTAAAGGGAGAGAAAAAAAAAAGGAGAGTTAATGGCAAAAACTGTGGCTAAAATTTGAGAAGTTGACTCGACTGCTGGGATGTTTTTCACTCACCTCATCATACATGAACTGGAGAGTGAGGGCCGACTTCCCCACACCTCCACTGCCCACCATGATCACTTTGTGAAGGGCTAGACAGTTCTGCCCTTTCGGCTTCGCAGCTGCCATGGCTCTGTGCGGCGGGGTATCCGAGAGTCAAAGGTGAGAGAGTTCAAAGTGGAGCTGGAGATGGAGGAAAGGACTGTGAAATGAAGACCGTGAAGTCCTGGGGAGAACGGGAATAGAAAAGACGGGAGAAATTTTCAGATGTTTTATCATCATTTCCGAGTCTCCAGGTTCTATTACTGCAGCTAGATTGCAAAGCCATCATTGTGTCTCATGGTCGTAAAATAAAATCAGGAGGAACTGCCTTCAGACTACAAATGAAGAGCCGGGGATTATTTTATGTATCTGGTTAAGATTGCAGCAATATAAAACTAAGAAATGAACCTCTGGCGCTGGCTGAATTGGAAACAGCTTCATAATGAAGCTTGTGAGGTTCTGCTTTAAGACTATAACTTCAGGTTTCAGACATAACTAAAGATTTGATCATTTCGCACAACAGCAGCATATTGTCTAAGGATTCTGAGCAGATTAGGCAAAAAATGTCTGTTATGAGGAAAAGCAGCCTGTGTGCTCGTCCTCAGCTGTTGAGTCAAACTTCACATGATCCACGTCCCTCATTCTGAGACAGCTGGCTGACCTTCTGACATCCCTGTGTTTTTTCACACAATGAGCAAACACAAGAGTTATCTACAACTTCTGTTTCATTAAACTATAACTTTATTCTTGTAGATGTGTCTGCTTAATGACATTGTACATTGTGGGTGTACAACTTTGACCTTGTTAAAGCTCCATGAGATTCAAGTCATACATAAAAATAAAATGTAATTTTTTAAAAGTCTTGGATTAACTTGAATAAACTTTAAATAAATTGAGTTATACTGACGCCCTATGATGATGCCCAATAGCAGACATGGTGACACATGACAAGACTGAGGGTTTTTCTAATGTAATTTTCAGGAACTGTGTGCAGGGAGGTAGATGTCAACCAGACAGCAGGAGAAACAGGCCTATTTTTACAAGTTTCATGTGAAATATTCAAAACAAACAATAGATCTGACTGTCAAATTTAACAGTATGAGATGTGAATTTGTTAAAAGTGACAACTTAAACATGTAGAAGACAAGATAAGACAAAATCATTGGAGCTCTAATTCATCTCAAGTTTATTTCATTTAAATTAATGACTCGTTTTTTACTCATTACTAGGAATTTCCACTTTCTATCCTGTCCTTTTGTGTGTTTATTTATATTGAAGTTTTTCCTCATTATTTTACATTATTCTTGTAAATTTACAACTTAATTTTCAAAAAGTAAATTCATCCACAATGTGGCCCTAATCCTCCCTCGTACCACAGAATAAAGAGCTGAGTGCTGCTGGCAAGAATCATGCAATATGATACAAAACGCAATACAGGTTTCGATATACAGTAATGCAATCTAATGATATATGATATGATACTAAAAATAGGTTGAGACTTTAGAGTCTGTATCTGTTCACACCTGCAATGCATGATTTACTCTTAGCAGCTGTTGGCTCAGGTAACAACACTGCCGCCTAGAGGTCCGGAGAAACACTACACTAAATGTTCGCATGTTCCTTGTGAAATTGAACTTTGGCATAGTGTCAAAACATAATCCAGCTGCCCAAGTGCTGTGACAATTTCTCATCCCACAAATACAACAAGCAGAGATGACTTTGTTGGTTCAAAGCAAATCCTCCTCCTGTAACTCTTTATTCAAACGTTCCTCCATTTCGACATCTGCCTGCACATAAAAGCGCGAGCTGAAAACAGTCTCCTTTGAAATCTGCTGCACAGTCAATTTTCCAGATCAGCATCAAGCGAAATGAGAAGCACCCAATGACTGCAATACTCTTTAATGCTGTTTTTAGAGCCAACATATACATGCTGGATGTGTCAGACAGCTACAACCCATGGGAAACTAGTGCCTCTGGCACGCTTGAAGGAAAGCAAACAAGGTACACGACGTATGCAAACACGAACTTCACTTGTGTACACCATGTCAAACAAATAGTCAAAATCCACTTTCACATGACAAACCTGTTAAAGCCATTGAGCAAAGAAATACGACCTGTTTTTAAAGCATCTGGCAGTATTTTCCAAACTTTTGACAGGAACGAATAAAGTGTGACATATGCCAAAGCTATTTGGAAGTCATTTCCCCAAACCACACTGCTCAAGGGGAGTATGGGAAGACCATGAAGTCCTTAAGAGTGTGTTAATGCTTTTTCTGATCACAGCCCACTGGGAATAAGGGATAAAGATGGGAAGGCAGCCAATAGGTCTATATACAAATTAACAAAAAGGGGTCTGTGCGCTTAAAAGCGATGTTACAATCTACTGCCAAAGGAAATGTCCTTTGACTTGACCATTTAAAAAGTCATTGTAAGCAAGGGTGTGTCAACAGGAGAATGATGGCACTTCCTCTCAGCGGATTCTGATAATCCACCCGAGATGCAACCTACACTATAACTGGCTTTAGGCAATGCCAGAGACAGGGGTTTTGTTCGAATAATCAGCTCTTGCCACAAAAAGTGAATCAATTTGTGTTTGGTAGATAATTTCTTTGTTGTAATAATGCTTCTTTGCAATAAATCTTACACTGTTGGAAAGCCTGTTTATTTTCCTTTTTCATTTGTAGGGAATATGTATTTATGGGATGAGCAGCAATCAGGTGCCTGACTGACACAGGATCATAGAGTTGAAGTGTGGCAAAGACATGGAGATTACTATGCTGTTTGACGCATCAATAGAGTAACATCTTTTGGTGGAGGCAGTGTGATTGTGTGGAGCTCTGTAGGGTTCTTCTACAAACTACAGAGGCTCCTGTTTACTCTTATTCCTTCAGAATTTAATCATCTAATCTACTGGGGAAAAAAAAGCACTAAACAAAAGTCAAAGGCAGAATAAGCTGTTTGGCATTGGCAGAAAAGATTTAGCAACTTTTCATCGGCACAACCCACATACTCAGCTCGCCCCACAAAATTATGTTTGTTACAAATGTGGCACCATTTAAAAGGGCATTAAACAGGCTTTCCAACAGTATTAGATTTATTGCCAAGAAGCATGATTACAAAAAAGAAATAATCTACAAAAACAATTTTCGTACTTAAGTTACTTCAACAAGTTTATACTAAATTAAGTGTTCTTAAACAAGCACATACTGCAGGAAGTACATGCTCAAACAGATACAAATGCATGCTCACTCGTAAAAAAAATATACATTTACAAGTTCACTTTTGTACAAGTTACAAGTACACACTTCAACTGTGTAATTACAAGTGGGTATTTTCAACAAGTGCACACTCACAGGTACATACTTTCACAAGTGCAGGACGAGTATTGCTAAGTCACTCAGGTATTGGCAGTTTACCACAAATTGTGGTCAGATTACAATAGCTGACATACATGATTGAGGTAACATGGTAGTCTCAAATTGCAAATCCAAAATCCAAAATTTTATTGAGTCTCTGACAACAGAAAAAGATGAAGGCCACCTTCAGAGAGAGTCTAAAAATAATCAAACAAAAAAGGCCATTTGTACAGAATTTACTTTGATCGGTATTAAGCCAAATTAGTGTGACCATATACTGGATTCCCAAAAAGAGGACACTATTATGTGGGACAGAGTCACTTTCAAAATCTATTACGTTGCCAGTTTTTGAGAGCACCGACCGCCGAAATACCTTAATTGCTCGACGTCACTTTGGAGATACCCGAACCACCGCGACACAATCGACATTGAACAATCTCTCAACAATAACAACATCTTTAGAGGACGACTAAAAGTCATGGTTGACATCTATTTTGCTGCCCTCATCGATCACGATCATATAATCGCCCCGTCCTATGACAAGTCATATTTGGCTTTGACTGTGACTAAACATTTGCTCTCACTAAGCAATAACAATATCGGGATATCGTATATCGATATTCAGCCTAAATATATCGGGATATGACTTTTGGTCCATATTGCCCAGCCCTAACTGAACCATTTGGAACCGGTTCTCAACAAGAACCTGTTCCCCGTTCCCATCCTTACACATTAATGTTGGTGGTTAGGGTAGATATCATCAGTGGATACAGATAACATACAGTCACGTGTGCGCACACTTTATGCCTAATGTCTCAGTTTAGCCAGCACAATCAAGAGTCTTGACACTGACACACCCCTGGCATGGATCCATTAAAGGTGTGTTTTTTTATGTAAGTATATCAGGGTCATGTGTTAGATTATGAGTTAAAAAAGCACAAGCCCTTAGAAAATATTTACAGAGTTAGACAATATTGCCTTCAAGAGACCTTTAGATTTTCCTCTTGTAAAGCACAAACAGTAGATAGATATTGAGTGACAATAACAAGTGTTTAAGTTAGAAAGTGACTTCATGTTAAGGTGGGACTGTAATCAGGTGTGTCATCCTACCAGCTGAACAAGTGCCTCATCAAATTGGAGGCTCCAACATTACAATCAGTTGCACGTTAGGAATACTAATAATGGGCTACACTTCAGTGACATTCACAGCCTGGTATTACATTATAAAGACAGCTAGAATCGCATGTTACAGCCAAAGAAACCGTAATTAACATGATAAATCATTAACAAGTTAGCCGTTGACAGGTGAAATAGCTAGCAGGTTGAAAACAGTGGGCGACGTAGCTAATAAGCTAACCAACCCACCGGACACGTTAATGTCACCTGACCGATAATTAACGTCGGTGGGAGTTTATTCTGGCCCAGAACACGCTTAAAACACAAATCCTCAAAATCAAAATCCTCGCAACAGATGTTCGTTCGACCCCTGCCAACAACAGACACCCTCCCTCGCTAGCATCCGAGGGTGGACAAGGCAAAAAAGGCTAGCAAAGCGATAACGAGCAGCTAATCACAACTAAAAATGATGCGAGGAGATAAAAGAGCAGACATAGCCAACGGGGACAGTCATTACAGCAGGGCATGAGGTAAAAATTTCACCTACCAGTAACTCAAACGATATCCACCCCGACTCCGTGTTTGTTAAAAGGTTGATATATGGTGGCAAAATGAAAAGACAGTGCTAGCTGCTCGTTAGCTCATGGCTAGCTGTCGGGCTAACTCCAGAGACTGAGCTGGTTAGCTGTTAGCAGCGGACTGACTGCACGTCCTGTGGGCTTGGCTCCGTCTGACAACGCCCGCCCGCCTGGGAAAACTACACAACACTCTCTTTTACTTTCTCAACATGAATTTAACTCCAATTTACAGCTAATAATAAAAAAAGGTCCCTAAAATTGAATAATACATGTACAAATAACATAACGTCAGCGTTATAATGGTAACTACATTGCAGTTTAAGGTAAAATACAAAAAAAAAGGAGGTGGATTAAACATGCATGATAATTGATCAATTAGCTAATCCGTATAATTGTTACCACGTTTGTGAAAGCAGAGCCCTTTTGTCAAGCCAGAAAAAGAGAGAAACGTCTTAAAAACTAAGGTAATTTCTGTTTAAATGCATTTTTATTGAAATAAACAACTCAGTACAGAAAAATTTTGCAACTTAAACCCCAAATCCACAAGTAAAAATGTCTTAACTTTATTTGTATAGGGGAAACCATGTTAAATTAATGCATACATTGTATTTTCTTTAACTTTTGATGACATGATCAGACAGGTGATCATTGTAGTTTGTATTTATTGAAGATTAGGGTTGCAGAATTCTAGGAATTTTCAAAGTTTTTCCATGGGAAAATTGGATTATGTTTAATTGCATCATCCCTATCACATAAAATGAATCCAATTGTTGCTTAAAGCTCCCTCAAAGTGAAGAAAAAGCTGTTAACACTCAATAAGAGTGGACGATAATGCTACTTTTTCTCTTTTTGTGCTTTAGGGATGAAGGCAAAGGTGATCATTTCTGACCTACACTTGAAATTTGCACAAAAGCCATGGAATGAAACCTTCCAGCTTGTCCGAAGATGCATGGTAGGACTGTAAAGACATATTTGTATTTTAAAAAATTCCCCTTCGTTACTTCCCATGAAGAAATCCTCTTTTGCAGAGCTATTTTAAAGTAGCTCTATGCAGAGAAAATGTGCATACTTTAATGAAAGTTGCTGGGCAGTTAGTGGATCACTCCTCTAACATGATGATGTGCTACAAATCGGGAACTGGTGTGGTGATGCACTGATAATGAGATCATCTATCGAGGAACACACAAGTCTTTGTTGTTGGATCAGCAGGCTGTGCATCAACTGTGACTTGGATGCACTTCAACTAAATGGCAAAGTGTGTGTGTGTTTGTGTGTGTGTGGGAAGCTTTTTAAGTTGTATCTAGGTTGCCTCATGGCCCTGGCAGTATCCTGTATGGCATTACAATCACTATCTTTTAGCTTACATCATTTGTTTTGCCTCTATTTACATACTAGTGAAGATGCCACTCTTTATCATTTAAGTTAAACAGAAAGGCGAAAAAACATGTACGCTGCGATACCAGCTTGTACATTTAGGTTATGTGAGGGTGTATTAGTTTTTGTGAGATTCGTCATGGGTGGAGCACTGGAGCAGATAATACTTGTGGATTAATACAAAGTGGAGCTTGGCAGTGGTCAGTCTCTGGAGTCTGGTAAAGATTACTTGGTGGTCTGAAGTGATGTGTGGTCCAAAGGGATAAGGCAGCTGGGGCGTGTCGTAGAGTTTCCTGCCAGCGGTGATGCAGAAGAGGACTTTTCTCTGACTGTGCTTCTCCTGGAGGCAGTTTCTGATGTATTTTTTGTACACCCATGTGCATGCACTGCTAATTAAAACATCCCAAGTGTGAAGCATCCAAGTGAAAACACCACACTTGGCAGGGTGTCGTGCAGCCTCTGTGTTTTGGGATGGGCCGGGACGACCAAAGACTGTTTATACAAGGAGGACACTGTCACACAACCACTCCATTGTTGTGCTTTTCTCCTTTTTGTCCCCCGATAGGACAAATCCAGAGATGAATCCAAACCCTGTGAGCCATTGGTGAGATCGTTGGAAAGGCTCCAGGAAGTTTTTAATGGTAAATAAGCTGCATTATGGAAGATTCTGTCTGTACTATTTGAATTCACTTTAAATCACTTAACATGTGAGTAACTGGCCTCTATGTTTTTCAGTGTCCTCTCTAAGCGCCACAAAATCTCGTCTGGAAATGGTTGCCAAAAAACAACGGTAGAAAGTTGACTTCAATGTGCAACTTTGTAGACTTGAGATATCAAAATTGTCCTTTTCACAATATACAATATATCACAATGTTCCATTCTCAGGATGGGATTTCACATTACTGAGGCCACCTGCTACTTCACAGCTGACCTCTTCTACCTGGAGGTGGTGTTGCTGCCATGTGGCGGGGTGAGAGAGGTAAAAGTAGCCCCACATGGAGGATCCCCTGTTGTAAGTATTTCACCTTTCCCTGCATAAGTTATTCCTCCCTTTTTTACTGAGCAGTGAACATTTTTAATTGTCTTGCAGCCCAGCGAGTCATTTCTTCAGCTGCTGAGGTGAGCATTATAAAGACGGTAAATTTTCAAGGATGAGGCTTTGATGGCTACTCTTAGCACAGCAATCCCCTGTGCAATAAACAGAGATGACGGTGATTCTTAATGGTTAATTCAAAAGAAATATGTGGCTGAAAATGTGGATTGTTTTTGGCGCAGGTCACACAATTTTGCAGGATTCTCTGAGAAGCTGGAAGGTCTCTACAACCAGTACAACATCCCAGGAGACGGGTGGGTGTGCCATCCACTAATCAAATAATTAATTTATCTGTTATCAGCTGTGGCTTTTCTAACATCTTTGTTGTTTTGTTACAGTGAAGTCAAATTAAAATTGTTTGCATCTCTTCAATGTCTGGGGAAGGATTTGCAGCAAATATCAACTTTAGACGAGTAAGTGACGAGAAATAAAACTTGTTTAATTTTCATAATCACTTTTAACTCGGCATATTACTTTTTAAGCCCAATCTTTCTGGAGATAGATAAATGCTTTTTAAACATTATTAAGTTGACTGATTTTTAGGTAAAAGCTTGGCTACATAAATGTGGCTTGTTTAGCTTTAGCTAGCTTGAAAAGTAGCTTAAAAAGTAGCATAGTTTCCTTTGAATTGAGTTTGATTCAAAGACGTAGGTGGCTTTGAGTTTTGTAAGTATAAATAACAATCCATGTTTAAAGTACAATGTTTCAATTTGACTACCCCCAAGATAGAGGCTAGATTAGACTTACTTATGGAACATATGATTAGCTAAATTTTAGATAACCATATGCTACATTTTTCCCTAATTTAGCTTTTTACAAAGGCCAAATATCTGCTGAATTCCAATCATTAAATATGAGAATTTGATATTGGTTTGCTTAAAATCTAACGTTTTACACTTTATCTGTATCAATATTTACCGAGGGGCAAGCTACATGAAATTTACCGTCAAAAAGCTAAAATATAACTAAAATAAATGTTAATGCCAGGTTCAGTATGTCAATGATGAAAGTATAGAAAGTGTCTGAAACAAACTATAATCAACTATTGTTCATGTTTCAGGACATCACAAGCCTTTAGCACTGCAGTGGAAGTGATAAATAATGGCAGAATAGGTTGTGTGATAGCAGAGAAAGAAGGTAAATAACAACATCACAGGAAATTAAGTTATCGTCCCTTTTTCTGAAGTTATAATCAAGTTTGTTTTTCTAGATTGCCCCCTGATTATCCAGTTTTACACAAACCGTACTAATGAAGCAGAGACGTCAGATCTCAGTAAGTTGTTTTTGTTGTCTACCATTCGGAGAGTAAAAGCTTACATGTTTAAACTCTAACAGTCCTTGTTTGTCCTTGTTTTTAAAGCTATGACAGACACAGAGCGAGTCATCAATGCAGCTCAGGTTACATTAGGTGACAGTGATGTAACTCGCGAGCTTCAGATGGCGCCTGTGATCGCACAGCCTGCACAGCTGGACCCCCAGGGGTAACATGTTACTGTTTAATCTGCGGCTCAGCAGGACACTGTTCATTTTCCACCCCACTGAGAATGTGAATACCTGTGGTGTTTCAAATTGTGTCCTGTGGCAGTTTTCCTGTGTTCCTGCCTCTGAGTGAGGTGCAGTGTGAGACAATGCCGGCTGTCTTTCTTCTTAAACTGCAGCCCGCCATCCCAGTAATGGCATCTTTTATTAACAGGATCGGCCATGTCACAGGTAGAGGCACTTTAAACAAAGAAAGAAAAATTCTACAAATATAGTCGGTTTAGTCAAGAGTTGAATTTTTCTGTCTGTGATGTTCACAGATGTGGCCATACCAGATGTTGGCCTGCAGTGGGCACCATTACCCAAGCTTCTGATGAGGCGTTCAAGTGCACACATCCAGCAGGAAATATTAGACGAGCAGGATGCTACATTTAAAGTGGTAAGCAGGTTTTAACATGATATGGTTAATTTTAAACATATTTCAATGAAGTTAAAGGAGCCAGTGCTTTTATTAGTTTTCTTCTCCAGTCTCTTCCAGGTGATGTGACACACAGTTATGTTCTACCTGGAGCTGCATGGAAAGAGTCCACCCACAGAGCAGCAGTTATAGACAGCGTTCCCTTCACCCACCCAAACCACGTCCCCGCCCTGCTGGAGCTGCTCCGGCATCAGTGTGTCATCAACACCCTGCTGAGCAGCTGCTTTGTCTCTCACTGTGAGGGAACAGGTAGGAGAATTTTAACATGGTAAAGATCAGACAAGAAAATTCATCATCTGCACATGCAAAGTGTGACTCTTTTATTGATGAATCTTCTGTCAGGTTTAGTTTGTGATCTTCACTTTGAAGTCCTTCCTGAATCTGAGAGCAGCTTCTCTGTGACCTTCCAGCCACCAGGAACTGACTCCCTCGCTGTTTGTGAGCAATTCTGACATTTTCTGCCATAGTTTTGTTTATATTTTTAGACACATCATTTACACCTGGTATCAAAACATTATTTACATCCTGATTTATCATTTGTCTAATAACCAATCCCATCTAAGGGTGGCTTACTGAGTCACGTCTTGACTCTTTGCAGTGAAACTAATAAGATTATTCCTTCTCTTTCCCCTCTTGGGGCAATTTACATACTTAAATTAATCAGATATCTTGCTGTATCATTATATGACTTTCTTTTAGTGTACCAAACACAGCAGAATAAGCTGTATTCTGATGTTATTGCTATCATGGGCCATGCTTTGGATATCATGTCATCATGTCATGAGTTACCCTGCGATCCCAGCTCCTAGTCGCGTCTTTTCTTAACATCCGCACAGTGCATTTTTTTTTTGTTTGGTTCATGTTATCTTCATTGAGATCTGATCTGTCCTCAAGAGGAAAACCCGCAGAGCGAACTGATGACAAAGGCACATTGTGCAGATTTACACACACAGTGGATCCAAACACAGTAAGAGCCACACTGCCTCCAGATGCAGTCGGACAGATCTGATAAAGATGTTGCACCCTGGATGAGAAGACATCTTTTTTCCATTTCGAGATCATACTTTTATACCAGGAGCAATGTTATTAGATCAAAATATTGTCCAATAATCATAAAACTGATGGCTTAATATTATCTTTTTGCTTGTTTTTGTTGCAGTGCTGGTGAATGTATCCGATCCCCGTCACATTAAATGTACTCTGTATGGAGCTGGGCCATCAGATCCCTCAATGGATGAAAACCTATCCAAGGTCTTGAAGAGGTATGGCTCTGGATGAAAATAAGATTGAAACATATAAGATATAAAAGCTAAAAATGTAAAAGCATTGCACCATGAAGAACAGAGTTTTTAAAGTTCTTCCACCTGATGCTCCTCCTGTCGTCTTTCAGGTGTTTGTCTGTCCCCGTCACTCTCAGCACTCTCTACAGCAAGCTAGATGAGATCACCGCCGCTCCAATTTCTCCAAGCCACCCAGCCACCACAGAGGCCCAAAATGACCACTCTGCTCCCTCAAACGCCACCGTGACCGACACCAGCGGCGCCTCCACCGTGTTCTCCCAGAGTGCATCTGTGCCAGAGGACGGCTTCAGTGTTCCTGGACCGGCCTGCTATGCTGTTTCTGTATCCAAATCTGAGCTCTGTCCTGAAATAAACACCAGTCCTGCTGTCCACCCGTACCCATACACCCCTCCAGTGGGGGCGTTCTCACATTGGGTGACGAGTAACGGACAACTGTCAGACCCTATCTGAAACTGTGCCCACATTACCTTGTAGACCCCAGCTTTAAAAAGAGTGATATTTTCATACTTTATCAAATGTTTTAGTAAAGATTATGCTTTATTCTTACATAACTTTAGTTTCCTGTAACTCATACTGGGTCAGAAAGTGTTATCTCTTTCTCCTTTTGAGTGTTTCTTACTTTGCATTCCAGCGTGGCAGAGACTGCCGGTTGTAAAGGTTTTGAGGTTTGGCGTTTGACCTCTCTCTCCCAGACAGCCAAGAGCCGGCTGATTGGTACCATGTGAGCCAATCAAACATTTTTAGAGTGCATGATGCATTCTTGATGGCTCGTAAGAGTAAAAAAGATCAACAAACGACACACTGTAGTAAGAAATAGCTTGACTGGATCCATAAATAACATCCTGAATGGGGTTTGACATTGTGCTAACATGAAATTGTTACATTGGTGACTTGAGTTTTGGCGCACTTGGTAATGTTTTTGTCATATTTTTTCAGCCGTTTTATGTGCAACAGAGACATGGCAGTCGGTGTTGAAGAGTAAAACCTCTGTGGAATGGGAAATCCCAAAGAAGCACATTATATTTGAATGCAGACTAGCAAAACTTCCCATGTTTGAAGCACCAGCAGTACAGAATGAGTCCTATTTTCAAATGTTTTATTTGTTAGAGAATTATGTCTGATTGAAAACTTACATTTGTTGAAAATAAAAGCATTGCAAATATCAATAAAAGTTTATTTGTCCTTTTGTTTGAAAATTCATTTTCAAGTAGAGAGCTAAGATACCAAAATTGTTAACTTATAAGGCAGCCAGAAGCTATGGAAGCCCAAAGTGGACATGCAACCGTACATTTTTACTAATCTGATTTATGACAAGTTACTTTTAGTTGTTTTTGAAGATCTGGACTCATTATTAGATGATATCTCAAGTTCTCAGAGTTTCATAAGCACAAAACATAAAGGTCTGACCAACCTTAGTGTGGGCAATAGCAGCACTTGGCATTTCTCTCAGGTACATGACAGTAACCAACCTGTTTTGTAACTTGAGAAAATTAGCTTTGTTATCCCAAAATGATGACATACAATAAGTTGTTATGGCAGAAACTACAGACATTATAAATTACGCACATAGGCATGTTTTTTCACAATAAAAGATCTGTCACTATATTGGCACACTGGCAAAGAATTGAGGCAGGCCTGTAGTCTCTTTGCTAACAGCTACAGTGTGTTAGCCTGTCAGTAAAGTAAGCTGTGTCCTTAATAATGCAAAGCATGTGACCTTGATATCTATAAGAAAATGAACCAGGTTGTTAACATGTTCATTTTACTGCAAAAATTAGCTTTTTAGATTGAGTATGTATGTGGCTTCAGGTGGTTTTTATCCAGCCTCCAGTGGACACTCAAGGAACTGCAGTTAAAACCACTCATGTTGGCCTCATACTTCAAGACCAGAGGTCATCACTAAGGTTTCTGCCTGTGGTAAACCAGTTAGGCAGCAACAAAGCTAACCTAAGATCTGGAGAAAATGTCTTTACATCAACTCCTTTTGGAAAATCTACTGTTATAAGAAACTTGCTCTTGGCATTTGAGTGAAAACCACTAACAGTATATGAACCTTTGTCTTCTCATTATAAGATATATAGGTCAGTTAAGACTAACATACCATATTCTCATCAGTAGATCTGCAGTCTGTGTGTATTTAGAAAAGAATTTCCACATGTATCCAGAATATTAAGTCACCTGTCAGCAGCAGACAACTGGTTTTAGTCCAGAGCTTTTACTCATAGGTATCCAATGACCTGTAACGGCTGCTATTCATGGAAACGCTCCGGCATGTGTGGTTAAACTATTCTCTGCTTTCAGTAGGAGGCCTGCGTCCGCTGAATATTTCAGAGATTATGTGTCCTTAAGTCTGACTGGCTGAGAGTGTCGACCAACAAACCAAACCTCTTTGATTTAAGGTGTTAACCAAATAACTTTTTTTTTGTTCTTTTTGAAATGTACTTTTACTTTGCTTCGATGGCCGAGAACCGCCACTGCTGCAAATAAAAAAGAATGCAAAAAAAAAGAACACCAATGCCACAAATAAAAAAAGAAAAGATTAAAAGAAACAGAAAAACCCACAACCGAAAAAGTTACTTACTGCGAAAATAAAAGCCACAACAGAAGTCAGCTGCCGGGGACCAATAATGATGATGCATCAGTGTTTTCCGATCTAGGCACAGAAGACGATGGTAAAACCACAACAGAAGGATGGAGGATGCCGGTGAAGTATTAGCTTCAGTTCAACTTCATATCGGCTCAGGCGCTACATGGTCTAACCAAATGACACATTGAAAAGCATATGAAGCACACTTCCATTGTGGCTTTTTTTGTCTGCATCCTTTTATTTTCGCAGTAACTGTTTTTTCCCATTGCCACTTTTTTTTTTTGTGTGTTGTTAACTTCTGTTGTGGCTTTTTTATCTGCACCGTTTCTTTTTTTTTATTTGCAGCGGGCTTCGGTTTATTTATTTTTTGCATCAGTAACTTCCGTTGTGACTTATTTTTCTTCTGCATTCTTTTCTTATTTGCAGCAGTGGCGGTTCTTGGCCACCGTACTTTTCAACTGTTGCGCAACCATAGACTGTATATAGAATGGACAGCGTCTACCTCCTCGCTAGGTGAAGCCACTCCGAGAACAGCACCCTCTAGTGACGGGCTGCAGTATAGGTCACAAATCCCACCTTCTCCACTAATCCCTATGGAGCTGTGGACAAACTTTAGAAATTTATTACACAGAATATACATCCCCCCTTCTTGCGATGTTGACATGTAGTTACCGTAAAACTATGGGCGCACAAAGATTGCATAGCTCACATGGGAGATACGCTGTTTGAGCCGAGCATCATCACAGCAACTCTCAGTGACTCTCCTGTTGAATGCGCACACTGCTACTGCGCAAGTGGTGGAGTGCGTACAATGCTGCTGCGCGACGTTGGTCTTAGGAAGTGGAGAAAAAACACGGAATTACCGAGAGCTTTTCGGCTACAAATCCGTATACAGGAGGAAGGCGGAACCAAGTTGTCCATAGTATATACAGTCTATGTGCGCAACACTACCAGGAAAGCTGATGACAAAAATGTACAGCCTATTTATAAAACAATAGAATAAACTGAGAAATAAAATTGCAAACACTTTTACATTGATATTTTATAAAGTTCATTACTTAATAATAATAATAACTTTATTTGTATAGCACTTTTAAAAACAAAAGTTTACAAAGTGCTTCATGGAGCACATGGAAAAAGACAGATTAAAACAAAAAGCTCAGTTAAAACAGAATTGAAGGCCATTTTCATGTCATAAGGAACCCAGATAATAATAGAACCATGCAACTTAAAATGAGACCATGAGGACCAAAATAAAAACATAAAATAGTAAAGAAAAAAGAAAATGTGATTAAAAGGGGGGTCGAAAGCGGAAACAGGATAGTAAATATAAAAGTAATGGGACTAATGGTTATCTTAAAGCAGTGCCAAATTGGATCAGTGTTACATTTTTTGGTTTTATGTTTAATTGTACAGACTTTTTGTTGTTTTATATGTACCTCACTGACTGGATTTGGACACACTTTTAAGGACAGAAAGCTTGACTAACTTTGGGGCAGTTTCACAGTAAAAAGAGACATCCATGTGCAAAGAAACATATAGTGATTTCAGTGTTTCTGATTCACATTTGGCCTGTCTGTAGCTCATCTTTCTTTAAATATCCCCATCGCTCCCTCTCTGGTCTGCGGTCTCTTTAAATCCAGCTCCAGAGGAGGAGAGCAGCGCGTCCTCACTAACTTGTCTGGCCGCTGTGATTGCCCACACTCAGCCTGACAAACAGCTGCACACCATCTAGGAAACTTTTCCTCCAAACTCCTCAAATCAGGATTTTTTCCCCCACCAGCTCTACAACTTTCTGTGTTTTTTTTGTCTGTGGATGTACAGATGTAGAAGGGTCTGCACCGCTGGATTCTTGGTTTGCGTAATGCCAAGGCGTCCTCTCTTCAACATCTGGATTAACTATTTGGAGTCAGAGCTAGCGGCCCTGCTCAGACCTCTGCCCGTCCAGCCTGTCTTTATGGAAAGACTGCTCCTTTTCGCTGGATTTTAACCCTTTTTGATAACCGGAGATTTGTGGATAGATTATGTATTCTTTAAGATGGGTGCGAACAATGGAAAACAGTATGGAAGCGAGGGTAAGTACTCCCATGTCGACTCTGGAACACGTTTTATTGAATTCAACAGAGACGGAAGTATATTTAATCTAATTATACCCTACAAAGGACACATTTTTATCGGTTTGTACCGCAGTCTCTAACAGGTTTCGCTCTGTAGTTTGTGACTTTTAAGCTCGCGCTGCTCCCTTTAACCGTTATTTTTGAACTAAGCTAACGTTTTCTTCTCGTGGAGTTGAACTCGCACCAAACTTCATTGAAAAATCTCGATATTTAAAGGAACATACAAAAACCGACTCAAGACTTAACATTTTATCATCTTTTACACTTTAAAGTGGCGTGCATCGTTTATATTCGTCATATATGAAAGCGAGAGAGACATCTGGTGGCCATATTGGAACCATTTGAGATGAACCGTTAAGAATGTACAAGTTCAACGTGTAAAGTTGATGTAAAATTATACTTTTGAAGTGCGTTTACAGATTAGTTTACCCGCATTTTATCTCGAAAAAGTCTCTTTTTCTTGACTGTCTTGCTTCCTTAAGGCTTCAACATATTAAACGTTTCAAAACAGTATGTCTGAAAAGTCAAATATGTATGTATTAAACACACGAATTAGGCTTTTCAGTTGAAGTCAGAAGAAAATCTGTTTTTTAAGAGCAGAAATTGCCACTATAAGTCGAATATTATCTCCATAATGTGTCATAATCAGCTGAGTTGGCAGCATACACGGTCCCCTACACAGGTACTTTCATTTACAGCATATTTTAAACTGTGTATTCTGCATTAGATTTAGTGGAGGGAGGTCAAAAGGACAGGGGTGTTTGGGAGCACTCAGTCACTCTGATCTTGATAAGACCCAATTCCAGACATTTTTTGTCTTCACTCTCCAAGCCTATTGTTGTTTAATTTGGCAGCCATTTTGTGCATATTGGTCAATGCCATATAATCATTTTTTACAACAACATTATGCATGGAACAGCCTGAACAATCTGAAACAGTCTTCCTCATGCAAAGTGTTGAAGCTTTTACTAAAAAAAAGCACCTTGCTTGATGTTTTCTTCAAGTGGATGCACTAAGAAGTATAATATATCAATAAAGTGAACATTTATTTTGAGTTCAGCATCAATTTTTGACCTTAAGATGCTCTTTTGCAGCTGGTTGTTGAGGTTAATTTTCAGGTGGAGCCAAAGAAACAGCACAGCAAAGGTATCATAGTGGAAACACAGTCATTGTCTATCTAGCATATTTTCCTGCTCTTTTTGAATAGAAAAGCATTGTACAAGCAAAACACTCATAGTTTAAGAAAGCTAATGGGGGAGATATTCATGCTTAGATATCCAGAGAACTATTTCACCCAACTGGAATGCATTTAAGCTTCAGGAAAATGGCATTTGACTTTTTTCTGTGATGTTGATTCAACCAAAATCCCCATCTTAAGACCCTCATACAGAAATATTGATAAAATCTCCAACCACTGAATAAATGAGCCTGGGTTTTCAGCTCAGAGGGACAGTTAAACTCCCATTTTATTGCAAAGTTTAGACTTCCAAGAACATAGTATTGCACTCCCCCTACCTCCCCCTGACCACTAGCTTCTCCATCTAATCTCCATCACCCTGAAAAACTTCATTCGGACTCTCCCCTAAACACATCCCCTCTGTTTCTGGAGCAGAAATGTTTGTATAAATAACATTCCAGTCAGCTCTCTTCCTAAGTCAATATCTGCACAGAACAGACTGGACCTCATGATGTTAAAAATAACAAGTGGATCAGCTCCACCTCAGAATCCAGACTGTGAAGGACAGTACATGAACAGATCCTGGACAGGTTGGGCTCCTCCTTAAGCGAGGGCAAGGTTTCTCCTTACTCTCATGTTAGCATTCAGGTGGGAAAAACAGTTGGTGCGGATTGTGTTTTCTTCTGCACAAGCCATTATGATTGAGTCATGGGGCTTTTTTTGCAAGGTAGAAAAACTTCTGATAGCCGTCAGCTGGCAAGATTACAGTTCTTTGGTAAAGAAGTACACAAGCTACACAGCAAACTGAGCATAACTACTAGTGCAAACACAGGCTGGTGCTTTTTGTTGATGTAAAACCGCCACAAGTTTAGATGATGCTGTCTAACTCCCACAATTAAAACTGTGATCTTTGTGTGTTGAAACATCTCTTCTATGATTCAGCAGTGATGCAGTTTGAAGTTTGTGCTCTTTGGTTTTTAAGTACAGGGAAAACACGAAAAGGGACAATTTGAATGTAAATGTCAAAGGTCGTTAAATGAGGGGTTTGCAAGGGGTTTCACAGAGCAAGTATACATTTTCTGACGCTGTGACCTTAAATGGTATTGAAATGTTTATTTCAAATAAGTAAAAAAGGGTGTAGTGACTGCTTTCCTTCAACATAAAAGGCCACTGGGGTTTAGGTTCGCTTGCATCTGTGACTCCTTCAATTATCAGTCCAGTTTGAGTGTTAAAAAGTGATTTATTGTTCAGAAAAGGGAAAGAAAACACGCTGATCCAGGTCCAAAACTTTGCCTTGAAAATGAAAAAGTGATATGATGAAATCAAGTTAAAAAAGGATGAGTGAAACAGTGAAAAACAGTCAACATAAAATTATCAGAGCTTACCACAACCCATTGTCTGACTTCACCGCTAAGACTTAAATAACCCGCCAAACATTCCAAGACCACACCCCTCAGTGATGATCCCCAGAAGTGATGTACCTAATAGAAATCATAATTTCAACAAATATATTTTGGCTCTTACAAAGGGCAAATCAGAGTGATCAGACTAAAATTAGACAAACATGCTAAAATTACAAGCATTTAAACAGGAGCACTCAATGATTTGGTTTACTGATTTGAAAAGGACCATGAAGAACTTATTTAACCCCCACTTTACCCAAGTAAAAGCAAATTAATAAGCTTCATTATTGATTCAAACCCACACAATTATGTGTTATGTGTTCTTAAGAAATGTTTGCGGGTTGTCTGGTTTTAAAGTTGAAACAACAGACTTTGAACACTGACGTTGTAGTTCGTACAAGTTCCCGAACTTTAGTCTGATAGTTGGAAGTACAGAGAAATTCGCTAGCATAAAGCCCAGTAACTGAATACATCAAATCCAGAAATTTACTCAAGATGGGAATATCCAAACAATCAAATCAGGATTGCAGGCCTTCAAAAATCATGAGAATCTGATTTTAATTTAATTCAAAGTTTTGTCATGTCACAAAAAAATCATCTCACCATTCTGTACCAAAGACATATTTCATCGGTTCAGTGAAAAATCCCACAGTTCTTGACTCAAAAATCAACTGTACATTGGCCACAACTGCACAGCATCTTCCCACCAACAGTTGAGAATATAAGACAGGAAGCAGGAGCTTTCTATAAGATGTTTTCCTACCAGAGACAGAAAAACAGTCCGCCTGCACGGATCCAAATACGTCAGAAAAAGCGGCCCAGCAGAGTTCCTCATGCTGAGAAAAAGACTGGTGTAATCATAGAAATATTAAAATAAATTTGCTCGTGTCTTCCCGGGTCTATGCTCTCTGCTGTGCCTGGATATTAGACAATTTTTCATCATCAAGCTGCTCATGAAAGTCTGAGTCATTTCTGGAGACTGAGGGAGGTGGAGCAGATGTGCTGGCTTAGTGATGTCGCCACAACATGTCACATATTAACCGACCATAAGAGCTACATTGATCCAAAAGCTTTTTATACATATGTTTTTTTTTTTCTTATGTTGCTGATATTATTTCAAATGAGTCCAATACAACAGCCTGGTCTATGGCTTGAAAGTTTGACCATATGGGTACCGCTGCAGCATCACTTTGGCACATATAAAACTTTGCGCTCAAGTTACATGTTGTTACCATAAACCATATGAGACATGGACTCAATCTCTGTCACTTCACCTGTTGGTGTCTAAAAAGGGCATTTAAAGGGATATTCTGGCGTAAAATTAGTTTCGGGTCAAACACACCATAACACCAAGTTAGACACCCCCTCGAGAGATGAATGTTGCCGAACGCTTGCTTCTTTAGTTATACCAACTTTAGTAACGACCGCATGATAGCAATACACAGCGGTCTGAGGAGCCATAAACACACCTTAAACAAAACACCACTCTATAGCCACAAATAATGATCAGAACAGAACCTAACTTCATCAACAGTACATATACAATTGGTATAACTAGAGAAGCAAATGGTCGGCAACATTCATCTCTCGAGGGGGTGTCTAACTCGCTGTGTGTTTGACCCGAAACTAATTTTACGCCAGAATATCCATTTAAGCTCAAAGATGGTGGTCGCCTTATTGGAACTCCATCTAACTAACTCCCAGCTAATGAAGAAACCTGTAAAGAGAAAGTGCCGATTAGCTCGTCCAATCAGTAAATCTAATGATCCTTCACTTCAATATTGACTGTTTGTTTTACACAGATATCAAGTCCCGGGTCACTAAATGATCCATCACACAAACACAAGAGAGACAGCAGAATAATAACAGCACCTATGAATGTTAACAGAGGTAGATGGTTGTATTTTTGATGCATTAGGATGTTGACGTCGACTTGCGAGAAAAAAAAAAAACGTGTTGTTTACTCGACTGAGTCTAGAGTCACATGTTGCTCTCCTCCTCTCCTCACTTCACTACTTTACTATTTACTACTTATTTTGGCTCCTGTCACATCTGTTTAGGAGGCTGCTCTTGATTCGCATGTGGCAGGGACCGTTTGAGAATACCTCTCCGTGACGTGCCGGCTGAAAGGCGCATACTTAAGTCTCAGGAAAGCCACAGAGCTGCATTTATGATCTGACTGAGGAATGAAATGCCATAAACAACCAGTTCACGGGCCGCCTGCAATCACAGGGCAGAGCAGACGGTTTCACTCTAGAGGAAGAGCCAAACAATCACAGAAAATCTCGATCCAGCTCATAAATCCAGAGCTGTAAATCTACGTTAATTTAATCATCATATGGCAGATGTACCGACAGTGTGACCTGAAAAGTATCTGTAATGATTCATTGAAGAGAGTAATTGCTTTTATCTCCTGCAGGAGTGTTTCATCACTTGTCTGCCGTGGAAGTGAAGCCAGGGCGGGTCTTTATTTGTCTTCTTGCTCACACAAACCAGCCGAGGCTCGAAGCTAATGGTCCTTTTACAAATAAGGACACATAACAGTCGTGAAAGCACAGGACAATCCTCCTATAAAGATTGATTTTTAAGGCTTTGAAGGGTAAAACCAATGATTACTCTCATGTTAAAGTTGCTGTTCTGCATCCCAGCGCTTTTGTTTTTCTCCCCTGCAGGTAAAGGGAGCTCTAGCATCTCCTCTGACATAAGTTCGAGCACAGATCACACACCAACCAAAGCTCCAAAGAATGTGGCTACCACCGAAGGTAAGGCATCTGGTGCTCATTAACCAAACTCCCCTCCCTCCTTCTTCTTCTTCTTCTTCTTCCTCCACCTCCTTCCACCCCTCTTTTTCCTCCTCATACACTCTCTGTGCTGCCTATTTTGGGAGAGAAACCTGCATGTTCCTGGGATAACCCCTAAATTGAAAACAAACTCACAGCTCTCATCAGAACGCAGAAACCAAAGGCATTTCTAAGGCTTTTGTTTGAGGAGAGAAAAAAAAGCACTTCTGGCTTCTCATTGTGGAGGAATGCTTATCTAAACTGCGGTCATATCAGGCTCAAAGCACTGCCAGGGAGGGAGGTAGAGTATGTGAGCTCAGGAGAGGAGGGTGAGACGGATTTTCGAGACAGAGAAGGTGTAGGGAGGGAAAATCGAGAGAAGAAATCCTCACCGTCTGCTGAGAAGCTGCTGTTCCTCCTCGTCATACAGCTCTTTGGCTCCCTAATACCTCCTCTCACCCTGTCAGAAGTGTGTATGTTACAAATGGAAACTTTAATTTGACTGAAATGGTTCAAAAACACTGGAGTCAGGACCATTTTGTCAAAGGAAGTGATTATTCGCATCATTAAGTTATATTTGGCAGTACGGCTCTGTTCTGAGAGCTTTCACTTGAGTACCTGGATGCCAATGGGAGAGAGCACACCTCCCCTCTGATTCATGCGCATACATGAAAAGCCAGGGCAGGGAGAGCAGCAGCAAAGAGACAATACATACAGTATGCAGGGCTCGACAGTGCAACCGTTTAACTCGCATTTGTGACTAAAAATAAATGTGTGCGAATTGTAAAATGTATTTAGGGGCACATGTGCGCATAAAAAAATTAGCCAAGGCAACAAATGCTTTTTCATGTAAATACCGCGGTGAAGTTAGTTTTAGTTTGGCTATTCAACGGACATTCACTGTGGATCTACGGGTGTCTTCTCGCTCTCCATTAACGGTTGCAACAGCTTAGTTAGTGTCAAGCCTTGGTATGACTTTGGTAGAGTCAAATGCAGCATAAAGGAGAAGCTGGGGTGGAGGTGGGTTGCAAAGTGGTTTGCAGAGGAAGCAGGAAGAGTTGACAGGTGAAAGCCGCTTATATGAGACACCCATTTCAAGTCTTCAGTCACCTGTCTGTTTTTAAGACTGAGAGGTCTGACTCGCCAAAAGCACTCTTAAATCAGGCCTGGCTGTGTTGAAAAAACTTACATTTAAACTTGTGTTTTGTGGGAAATCATTGCTTGTTTTGACATTTGTGTACTAAGTTGAACATCTAGTCCAAATAGTCACAACCCGACTGTTTTTAGTCCATTCTTTTATGTTACAACAGACTCGCTTACGAGGCAAAACTCGGCCACAAGCTTAACCATAACCATCATCCTTCCACCTCAAGTTTACTTGGCAAAAATCATTTGAAATAACGGTACCTCAAACAAACCTTCCCACACCTCAGCCACTTTAAGTGCTGTGGAGAAATGTTGTCAAATATAGGTCTCCTGTTGGTTTTCCTTGCTTGTTTGATTGCTTTGTCGCAACATGACCCCAGAGGACCTTCCTACAGTTAACACACCACTTTTAAGCAAATGAACATGGGTTGAGCAGTAACTACACTGCAATTAGTTGTTTAAAGCTCCTGTGAGGAGTTTTCAGCTGCCTATGAAATACACTGAAAATGGAACCAGCTAACTCTGTCTGAAGGCAACAGCACAGCATAAAGGAACATCGTTTACTTTATTAAACACCAGTAAACCTGCAAAAAACGAAACTGTAAAATCACATTGCTTTTTCACATATAGTAGAAGCACAACAGTCACTGAATTATATCCAAATTAGCAGGAAATAGACCACAGGAAGGCAAAACAACCTGTCATGAGCATGTTGTTTCCTCTATACTGAGCCCTGACTGGAGCTGCACTATGCTGCTGCCACGCTCCAAATGCACTCAATACTGATCCTGTATGTTTTCAGGTTTACAGGTTTTAGGACAAAGTTCCACATGGCAAGAAATGTTGAATCAGCCGATCAGTGAAAATTAGAAACTACAAATGAATCAACCACAAATACATCGCAGTCTCCCCGTCTGTTTTCCGTGGTCTCTCTGGGTCGCTGAGTGACTCACCGTCTGTTTTGCACGCTCGTACACATACACTCCAAACCCGGCTCCTCTCATGCTTTGTCATCACCAATCTTAAATTTGCTCTGGCATGATGAATGTAGTATTCTTGTGGTTCGAAGGAGCCCACAAGAAAACAGATCCCATCTCCAACCTGTGTTTATGGCTGTCAGTCAGCCCCAAGATTTCAAGGTGTTTCACAGAGAGAGGGTAAAAAAAAATGAAGAAAAAGGACCTTCTCACGAGACGTCAGATGTACGTTCAGTTTCATGAAAGATGGGAGTCAATTAGTTTGTTGTTGTGGGGTTAATTCACTGATTAACCTCACTAAGTATAGAGTAGGATGAACTGCCCCCCTGTGAGTCTACATCTGAAGGAGGAAGATTACAGCTCCTCATTCCACTTCTCTGGAAATGCTGACTCACTCAGATCTGTTAGTTATGAGCTTCTGGATCAGCTGCCAGACTATTTTTGGAAAATTGATAATTGTCCTGAGTTTGTCTGCTCGGAGAACAACCTGTGCGCGTAGAAATATATAGATGGAGTCCAGGCCAAGTCCAGCAGCTTCCCCACCATAATTTCCCTCCCGTGTTATGACTGAAATTGTTAGTTTTTTCTCCACGCTAAGTGGGAGTAAATTACATGGTCTGGAACCACCATGGCCACAGTCAAATCCCCCCTCCTTAAAAAGACACATACACAAGTACACACGCATGCATACCAGTGTTCACACACACGCACACACAAACACACAGTGGCAGATTACATAGTCCTTCCCACCTCGTCCTGTGGTCCACTAAACTAATCAGGAAGCAGTCTGGGCTGTTTCCCCACCACACACAGGGAGGATTCTTCATAGGGGGCCTATTCAGCCCCCTCAGGCTGTGCTAATATCACTGCTGCATTAGTTAGTTACTTAGTTACTTAGTCAGTTAGTCTGATGGTAGATTTTTTTTCTCAGTAATGTCACAATACATCACCATAACATCAAAATATGACCAAACATACTCTTATTGAACACTTATAAGAGAAAATGATCATAATGCACATTTATAACCTTAAAAGTAATAAGTCAAAGTTCATGATTTCACATTTCAATAAAAAATATAAATTCTCCATGAAAAATCTGATAGCTCGATCAAGCCTTGGGCTGAAATTAGTCTGAAAAAATGTAAGAAGAGGAGTTTCCTGGACTTAAATTTAGACTGTTTGACGTCCTCTTGGACAGACATACAGGAATTTCCTGTGAAAATGCTTTTACTGTCAAGACAGAGTCATCTAGCCCCTGAAACGATCAGATTTTTCTCTGATAAAGCATTTTTGACTTTTGTTGGGAGTCTTATGATCAACATAAATTTTACTTGTGCAAAAAGTATTTCTTTTCCCATTTTTCTTTGACTAAATGGGGAGTCTTGGTTTAGAAAATACAGATCTTACTGTGTCCAAAAGATGTTGATTTATTTTACCTTTTGACGCAGGGGAAGGACATATTTTCAGCAGTTATATCAAAATAGATATGATACGATGCCCTAAGTTGCCCAACTTCTCAAAACAGACCAGATTAGTTGCACAACGGTACAACATGATGTGATACCATACCATACTGTATGACACAATACAATACAATACAGAACAATAACATATGGTACATTTTGTTATCACCAAGGAATTTGACAAACCTTATAGGTCAAACCTGTGAAACCAAACCAGATTAGGTTGCACTTGGCACACCCTAACACAGTATGATATGAAATACAACGATATCAGACTACACATTAACATACAGTATGATACAATATGACTCAATATGGTGCGGTTAGAAACGATACAATCTAAAAGTCAAGACAAGACACAACACGACAAGGTAAAATATGACATAGCTCGTTACAATACAATACAATACCACACTGTAGGATATATTACAATATATCACGATACAATACAATACGATGGGATAAAATACAACACAATATGATGTATTGCACTACAACACAATGTCGCGCGCTGTGATATAATATGATCCATTATTATTTGATATAGCGTCTTTTCTGAATGAAGAAAGAAGTCGTTCAAACGCGTATAGATTTGGTACAAATTTGTTACCGTCCCTCTTAGAAGAGAGAAACTCTTGTTTAAAGCTGTGTGGGAAAGACTGAGACCAGACTGGCTGGAGACTGCACAGACTAACCCAAATTGTTGTTCAAATCAAAATTTTAGCCAACTAAAGAATCTGAACCAAGCTATAATCATCCCAAAACTTCATATTCTGGCTTTAAAGTCAGTGAATCATAATTTTGAATTATTGTCCCCACCCCAATAACAGCATACAAATGGAAAGTAGGCCACAGCCTGTGTCCTTCACCAGTCCAATATGTCTTCCCACAAAATCCGCATTAGGAAGTTACACTCATTCTCCTCCTGAAAACAAACTGAAGCAGGCAGTCATCTGGCGAGTTTTTACAATGTGTCTCTGTTTTCATTTATTATTTAGTCGGGTTTGTGGTGGGCTGACCCAGTTGAGTTGCTTATTAGCTACAGACGGAACGGCACAGTCCTGGACGGTAAATCCTTCCTGAGGGATGAAACTGAGTATCTCCCAGCAGGGGGCTTCACTGTGACCCCGACAGGGCCCCAGGGGTTTGCTTTGGCACAGTCTGACTCAGGGTACAGGAGGAATGTGGCTCAGACATGGCAGGAGCTGAACTGACAACACGTCCACATTTGTTCCAACTCTTCGGGGCCCTTTTGATCTACTAACACCAGTTACTCACTGATTTAACGCAGACTCAACAGGGTGTTAATGAAGCCGGAGAAGTACGCTTCATAATGGCATCAGGAGGCGGCTGAGAAAGGGGAACGGTGGAAACAATGAACAAGCCAACTTCCTCTCTGTCTGCCAGGGACCAAAGAAACAGAGATAACAGTAAAAGGGAAAAACTTACTCTGTCCTTCACACCAGAAAGCACTGCAGAAAGTTTAGACTCTCAGCATGTCAGGAAAGGAGAAGTTAAAATGTCCCTGGAATAAAAATGTTGATGTATGAAAATTCACAAAGATGTGGTACATGGAATATGCCAATTTCTTTACAACCAAAGTATTATACTGCTCTAAAGACTTTCCAGTAGGTTGGCCTTGACTGTAGGTATGCTCAATGCTTGGCCCTACTACTTGGGTGATCATACGGGCTCTTTTACCCGAACATGTCCTCTTTTTTGGGGGGCTGTCCAGCCTTGAAAGGGAGAGTTTATAAAACGTTTAAAATGTCCGGGGTTTTGTATGGAAGTTTTGAGTTTGTGCCACGTGGACTTACTGAGTTAGAAACGCACAAAAAATATACAACCTGACTCGAAAACTCTCAAAATTCACTACGCATGACTCTGTGACTCTGCCCCCACGTAGTCAGGTCCTCTTTTTGGGGATTCAGTATATGGTCACCCTACCTACTACGTCTGAAAGACTAGATATCTGAAGATGGAAGATGTTATTGAGGCCTTTCGGGTGTGTATTTAATCAAGTGTGCATAACACTTGGCAGCACTGTGCATTTGCACATTGGGCTGAGGTTTGACCCAGGTGTCAAACGGTATATGTGTCATAGGAAGCCAGGTATCAATCTCAGAGGAATAAAGGGAGTAAATGATGATCATGATTTGTTGTTTGTTGGTACAGAGTTGAAAGTTGCTGATGTTTTCATCATTGAACATAGATGATGCTAACCATAGACTTAGAATGGACAGCGTCTGCCTCCTCGCTGGGTGAAGCCACTCCGAGAACAGCACCCTCTGGTGACGGGCTGCAGTATAGGTCATAAATCCCTATGAGCCTATGGGTGTACGAAGATTGCGTAGCTCACCCGGGGGATATGCTGTTTGAGCCGAGCATCATCACAGCAACTCTCCCGCCGTATGTGTACAATGCTACTGCGCAAGTGGTGGAGTGCGTATAACGGTACTGCACAATGTTGGTTTCAGGAAGTGGAGAAAAATCGTGGAATTACCGAGAGTTTTTCGGCTTCAAAGCCATTTACTGGTGGAAGGCGAAATCAAGTTGTCAGTACAGTCTATGATGCTAACGCATTAATCCAATGTTTTGGGACAGGTGTGATAGGTCAACCACGAGGCCAATAGTAAACACGCTTAAAAGAGGGCATATCGCCAACTATCATAGCAGAAGTTGAAAGACTTGGGTCAATAAATCAGTGCTTGCCCACTGCTTGGGGACTAGGACAAGGACAGTAGTCCAGTTAAATTCAGTACCAAAGCTTGTGTTAGCCAAGCAGCTGCAGAAACAGGCTTGGTTTTACACTTTCCACTTAAGGTATTCGCAATAAACAACCTGAGATGAGATTTCTCTGAAATTAGCTTGGGTATGGCTCAGATCACCAAGTGCAAGTACACTTAATCTGCATTGGAACCCTGCTTGAAAACAGCTGAGTCAGAAACCTAATGTAATACTATACTTCTTGGTTGATCAGTCCCATCAAATAATATTACTATTGAGCTGTTAGAGCATCAAGGGTCAGCTGTGTAGTCTAAACAGCCTTTCTAGAAAGTTGCTGTCTCCACCATGTTAATATTTTTACCCTCCCAACGGCGACAAATTCCTCACACTTCATCTGTAAACCAGCCTCACGCTCTGACCACCCATTTACTCATGTTTACCCGGGCAGATATATAGTGTTTCACTGTTGATTTTTGCCGTGCCAGAAACAGAGGGGCTGCATTGCCGTGTTTGCGTGTTGTCATTGCAGTCTGGACATTTACAGCGCAGAGAAGATTAAAGTTGTTATCCTCCACTTGCGTTGTAAATGTAACTCCTATCATTCATCAGCGGGGTCACTTTTGGGCTACAACTTTGAGTCTGCATGACAAATTCATCTTCTGCTGCATTTGTTCTGCAGCTCTCCGTCTTTGCGGTAAGTTCTCACACAAGCTGAGGAGTTTGTTTAAAAGAAGAAGCATCTGTTTTTGGAGGGAAATGCTTGTCAGGTGATGGATGACCTATGGAGGATTAGAAGACGGAGCTGGTCTCTGTGTGGACTCCAAAACCACAGCCCTCAAAAAGCTGGTGCGCTGAAGAAAAACCTGCAAACCCTTCTGCTTTCAGTTTGGACACTACTTTTTGAAGAGGGACATCGGAGACTACAGTAAGAGATATCTGTGCTTTACCTCCTATCCTCTTTGGAAACTGTCTGCATAAAAGAGCGAACACAGAGAGGCGAAGAATGCCAATGCTATTTTCCCCAGATTTTCTCCATCAGCTGTCCTCGCTCCTCCCCCCTCCTTTCCTTTCCTTCCCTACCACTCCTGCCAGGAAATCTGAGCGAAAAAGCACAGAACAAGGTGGCGAAAGAAAACAGAAAACAAGTGAAAGCAGTTAAGCAAAGGATGGGAGCGAGGAGGAGGGGGAGGCGAAGGAGAGGCAGTTCACTGAGCTCCATCTCGTAACTCTTCTCTGATTACCGCTCCGTCTTCTCTCCGAGGGAGGAAGCGCGGGGCCTGTTGTTTTGTATGCGTGCGCCGTTTTCTTCAGCAGGGTCACATTATTCAGCCCGACTACAGCAGCACGTTTGACAGGAGTTGGGAAACGCGCCACCTGGCCCGAAATGCTCACTTGCTTCCTGCGTGATTTTGGCCGGCGTGATGTTTTTACTAAGATGCACCTGGGTCTCCTGGCTTTTATGTGGCAGTGCGACCGCAGTTGTGAACCAGCTGAACTGACACATCAGACTTCTCCTCCCTTCTCTTCACTCTGTGGTTTTGTTTCATTACGTAAGCAGGGAAGTGTCAGCTGTGGCTGAAGCTGCAATGGTACAAAATGAGGGGAAAATATGGACAGTGTTCTTGAAGTGTTGGATAAACCGAGCCATGTGTCTTAAACAGCCAAACTAAATGACAAACTTCAAATTTGTGGTTGAATAGAAAACATAACTCTTTCAAACTGAGGAAAAGATCGTTCAGGAGTTCCCTTTAAAGTGAAGGATAGGGCTGTCGCTGTATACGTACGCTGATGATAAATGTCTATTAAAAAATATGCACGATGTTGAGCCCTAAAAAAGCAGACTGTAGTACTCTGTACAGTAGGGGGCAGTAGTGGGTCTATACTGGTTGTATTTTATGATAGACGTAAGCTTGAAGTGGACAGAGCTTGTTAGCGAAGCATTTTCATCTACAAGACATCAAAATCCTCAAATCAACTTAAAGGTATGCTTGTTTTATCAAGTTCTTCTGGCTGTCTCTGTATGTTTTAACATTTTGAAGCTAGACTATTTCAGTACATGCGAAAAAGAAGAGCGTGACATAGAAACATATTAATCTTAAAAATAGAGGTAAATCTTCTTTCTAGGAAGTTTGCATGCCAGTGAGTAACAGAAGCTAGTTAGTCTAGCGAAACAACCACACAAAGGGCGAAAAGCCACCTTGGTAGGACATGCTAGTAAATACTTCCAGTCTCTGTATATTTTACTAGTTCATGAGTCTTTAAGGGTCACTATAAACCAACTAAACTATATCAAGTTCCTAGTAATGTTTGTTTGCTGGGCTGTTTAGAAGTAATAGTTAACAGTCGACCAGACTGAAAACCAGAAGAATCCAAAACACTGTCAAAGTCTGGCACAATTTACTAAACACGGCTAAACTCAGGATCACTGACTGACTGCAGATAAACAATGTCAAACGGATTTAGCCGAGTGTGGCTTAAGCTAGCAGAGCTAGCACCTCTACTCTTCAGGCCTCCTTGAAGGTTAATATCCACATCTGCTTCATCCACATCAACTAGACACAAACTACAGTATAACAAATATTTCTCCGGTTTCCAGATCAAATTACTGCCACAGTGCAAGATGTCAGCTGTCATCTGTGCTTGTTTACATCCAGATAGTGGAACATAATTGCATTATGTCTTTCATCAGTCAGCATGTACTGCCCTGGGTAGTGGTGGGTGGCTGTACGATGGCTTTGATAAAACATATGTTCATCTCTTCAGCCTGATTGGAATAAAAACATTGACAACTTGTTGAAATGACGAGTAATTCTGGTGCAGACTTGTTGATGGTTTAGTCAACTGAATCTGCACGTCTCAAGTCACTACAGACCCCATGAATCCAGCTTTCTCAGTAGGAATTAACTCTATTTTTGGTAAAACGAACCTTCTGAAGAGTTTTTTTTCTCTTTCTCTTAGTGTGCTTCTACTTGAGACAAAACTTACCTCGTCTTGGAAACGAACCAAACCCTGTTTTGTCGTTTGAAAACCACAAAATGTTCCCTCTTTTCTGTTCCTTCAGCCACATGATCTCATTACATTTGCTCTTCATCACGACCAAATCAACCGTTCAGGCCAGGACTTTTCTTTTCCATTTCTGTCTGACCTGCAGTCCTCATTGTATATGATGTGTGTAGAACAACGTTACTCTCCCCACTCATTTAACATGACTGTCACTCTACAGTCCACCTCCCCCTACACACCGCTGCCAAGACGGATCAACTGCAGAGAGGCATTTCAGGCACACTCTGTCGCCCCGTCTTTGACATCCTGGTTTAACAACGTGTAAAGAATGACATCATCTTGAATTACAGAGATTTGCCAAAAAGCTGGATTCATGTTGTTTGGTGCCAAATGGCTCTCAGAGTCTGAACTGTCATCTGTGTTCTGGAAAATTTGTGCTGTGATAAATGGACAAGCACAAATGCTAACATTTACAGGAGTGCCTATGAGGGGATCACGCCTTATAATTTGGCCTTGAGACATCCGAGCGTCTGCTGTCCTCCTTAAAAGAGGATTTATAAAGTGACGAGGGCAGAGTGTGGAGACATTTGTGTCTTTTGAACTGACACAACGGCTTTGAGAGGCTGAAAAGTCCCTGGAGGACATCAGTTGTGCTGTTGTAGTTCCTGGCGTGCGCGTGGACGAATCTGGGGCTGCACAAGTTTCAAAACCGAGTTTCTGAACACTGAGTAAGTGTGAGAGTAGCTGCAGAGTAGAAGAAGTGGAGCTGTGGGGGTTGTGTGCAGCTAAGGAGTCTGTTTCCTGTCCAAGTGTGCACATTGTAAAGGAACCAGAAGGCCCTATTGTCTTTCAGTTGTCCAGTGACGAAACACCTTCCTGTAGTGAAGGCTTTGCTGATAGCAGAGCCGCCACACTGTACGGTAATATCAACTTCCATGTATTCAGTGAAACCCAAGACAGACAGATGTTTCTTATCCCTGGAGTTCTCTCTCGGTCGGATGTTTCCCTTTAAAATACTGGAGCACGTAACCGTTTAGTGCTGATAAATCAATTTGATTCTCTCTCGGTTGCCTCTATGAGCTGATACTTCTTCTTTTACAGTTAGCTCATCTTGTATTGATCTGGTTTTGATTTCCTTACTTATGACTAAAAAATGAGCGCCTGTAATTCTCTCATATGCACCACACCGCCCTGTCGTTGTCTTGGCAGGGAGGAGCACACTGAACATGTCACACAGCTAATGGCGTTGAGGTAATGAATTGGTCTGTTCTGCCAGATGCAGCGGTAATAATCCTGCTAGTTCCAGACAGGGTCTTAGCAGAGCTTCGCTGCAATGCATGGGCCTGAGAAGAATCCCTATAGCTTAGGTTTATGACCGGACTGCGTCCCAGTCTGGATTGACCCTGCCTGTGCACTTGTCTCCGTCTCTGGTAAAGTCTGCAGACCCCTTTGCCAATTTATCTTCCCTTTTCTTCTCCTCATGCTCCTGTTTTTTTTTTTTTTTTTAAAGAGGCCCTCGAATGACTCCTCTCAATCTGTTTTTCTGAGGTTCTTGTATTTTTTCTTAAAGTTCATCAGGTTTTCGTCATTAAGGCGACATCACTCCTAAACTTCCAGCTGCGCCTCTTCATCCCGCAGGCATCTTGTCTTTCCAGTGATCACTTCCATTGATTTACATTCTGGTATCAAAGCACAATCCAGATGTGTCTCAGAAGTACGGCTAAGTTGAAGTTAATGGGATCCTTCTGCGGCACTGCTGCAGATCAGCATAGATTTGGGTATTAGTGGCGAATGATTTCAGCCAAGTATGCCTTGCTGTGGCTATATGCACATTCAAAATGCATGACTTCTTCTTTCATTTCACCACTGTTCAGTCGTTCTTTGTCCAGGGTAAAGACCAGATGTTCCACTCTTTCTCCTTTGATTTCCAAAACCAAACTGAATCCTCCACCATCTGCTCTCACACTGCCTCCAAGAGCAGCTTAACAGCTGCATGGTATTTGTTCTTTTAATGATAGGTTTGCAGCAATGCAGAGATATAAAACCCGACACCGCTGGTTGGTTGACTTGTACAGATTTCGACAGTTGCTGGGAGCGACAAGAAAGTTTATTCTTTCATACCGCAGGTAGACCTACGGTAGATCCAAAGATCCCTACACTCCACATCTACTAACCAGCGTATTCTGGAGTTTCAGTTTAACAGATGGTCTTTATTAATAGAGATGGTTTTATGGTTGCCATGAAAATATTTCTTTTGACACAGAAGTTCCTTCACCATTACAAGTTACTCAATGAAACCTCAAGGGCTTTTGATGGCTGCTCGGTCTTATTGACTTTAACGACCCTTGAATAGGTGATCTCTTCCCTCTTCTCTTACCCTTTGTACTTACCCTTTTAGCTCTGCACAGCAGCAGTGTATTTGACTGGACTTGACCCGTTTGTGGCACCTACTCATTTCCAGATCTTTGCTTGTGTTGAACCTACTCTTAAAGGGATATTCCGGCATAAAATAAATTTAGACTCTGAGTTAGACAACCCTCTGAGAGATTAATGTTGCCAACCGCTTGTTTTTCTAGTTATACCAACTTTAGTAATGACCGCACAATAGCAATACACAGTGGTCTGAGGAGCCATAAACAAACCTCAACAAATAAGCCACTCTATAGCCACAAATAATGCTCAGATCAGCACCTAACTCAGTCTGTAATGGACTGGCCCGAGGTCATCGTACAAACAAGCGGCGGCTGGAAGAGAGTAGGTGAGTTGTTGTAGTCTCTTTGCTAAAGAAATGAGGCAAAGTTAAAAAGATGTTTGGTGATGATGCTAGTGCTAGGACCCTATATGTCCTGTTGATGAAGTTAGGTGCTGTTCTGAGCATTGTGGCTATAGAGTGGGGTTTTGGTTGAGGTTTATTTATGGCTCCTCAGACCGCTGTGTATTGCTATCGCGCGGTCGTTACTGAAGTTAGTGTAACTAGAGAAGTAAGCGGTCGGCAACATTCATCTCTCAAAGGGGTTGTCTAACTCGGTGTTGCGGTGTGCCTGACCGTCAATTAATTTTACGCCGAAATATTCCTTTAAGTGTCTGCTAAATGGAATTATAAAGTTGTACCATGTGTTACAGTTTGTGTGCTGAGCCAGGAGATAATCAGCACAACCGTGCAGAAATTATATTGCCTAATTGAGCTTTAACCATAGCTGAAACCTTTCAGGCAAGACACCTGCAACTCATGCAGGTGGGTTAGCGGTATCTGTAGAGAAATATGATCGGACCACATGAAAATAATGATATGGATATAGGTCTTGAAGATCTGATATGAGAAATTCAAGATTTGCAGGGAGTCTGAACAAATCCAAATGTGAAAACTTGAAAAGTAAAGTCCATGTTTTTGTATTTAGACCAATGTCAGGAACGCCTACAGTCGTAATTTGTCACTAGCTGGTGATTGGGTAAATTGTTCTGCTATCCTCAGCCAGAAAACAAAGATAAATAACAGCTGGATGGTCTTTAAGAGACCCAGGTGCCATTTTTTTTAGAGGATAGTGAGTAACTGTGAAGCTGTCTTCGTTTAGCTTTCCCCACCAGCTGTTTAGAAGTGTGAGAAGGGAAGTAGATGGGTGTAGTCTAATTAGTAGCACCGTGTTTCTGCTGGCTGAATGCACTTTTTCTGATCAGGGACACATGCAAATACATGTGGAAGTCTGTCATGAGCGAGTGGCAGATACTTTTATTTCCTGCATGCAGATTTCATCAGATTGGATCAGACTTGGATAATAAAAAGTGCTTTGTCCATGCATCAATATTAATGAGTCAAGAAATGCATCTGTGCCATGGCTGAAGTCTGCACGCTGGAAAATCTGATTTTCTCAGACTTGTGTAAATCTTTTTGTCCGGACGCCAGAGGAAAGATACTTTAAAATCAGCTCATGTCATTAATATTCTTTTATTTAAACAGAAAAAAATGGAAAGTTATTGCTGGGAAAAAGCGCACTGATTTCCACTTGATAGTCCAGCTGTCTGTTTCAATGTGTGTGGCTCTCGCTATGATGGATAAATCCACATCTCTTCGGTATTAGCTCAGGAATCTTGTAATATTTGCAGAGTAGTAGAATCAACATAAAACTCTGCTCCGCTGTTTGTCATGAAATATTTGTACAGGTGTGTGAAATTCAGAATAGATGAGGTGTTTATAATGACCTCGGACCATCACATTTTTTGTATTCAGCTAAAAATACGAAGGCCAAGACAAGCTAGATGAACACAAGAAAATAATCTTACATGTTCAGAGCTAATCATAAGCAGACCACCCGCTAGAATATGATGCAAAGAACCAAAGTGAGCTCAACAGTATCCCACAAAAGAACCATTTGCATCCCAGTGTATCCCCCTCTAAGCTCCGTTTTTGGTCGATTTGATCATTCGGTGCATTTTTGGACACCAGGAATGTCCATTCAGGTATGAGTGAGAAGTTTAAGGCACACAAGAGAGGATTTTAAAGTAGCCGTGAATGGTTTAACATGATCCCGAGACGATGAGTCTGTGGATGTCATCAGAGGTGGACCGAGCCAAAGTCTGGAATACAGATCCACAGGACGGTCGTAAGGATGCTGTCACTGCCCAGATGTCAGTCCCTGCACACAAATCCACATGACAGGCAGGATGCTGTCCATTTTTCATGGAGATGTTGACGTCCACCGTATAGAAGCGGCTAACGGTCCATCCTGGAGTATCGCTCTACGAAGTCAGAACAAAAACTGTCCATGAATGTAGTTCTCAGACTTTCATTTAAACAAATGTGGGAAAGGTTGAAAACAACAGGTAGGCCTGGTCAGAATGCCAAACCTGGCTGTGAAGAGCATACCTCACTTCCTAACAAAAACCAGAGGCAGGGAGAGCAGCAGCAAAGACCATCAGGGTGCAGAACATCAGCTGATGTGTTGGAGACTATGCTTTGGGTAATCCGATACCGAAATTTACGACAATAACCGTCATTTTGCCCAGGTAGGCTGTGGTCTCATGTCCCTTTAAGATGCTGTCCTACGTCAGAGACGTGACTCCACCCCATCCAGTCCGTGAAAAGAGGGAAAGACAGGTGAGGAGATGGAGGACGGTTCAAAAGTTGTAGCGGCTGAAGTAGACAAAGTTAATGTGGGAGGGGGTGAGCAGGTTGTGGAGTAGTTATCGTCCATTTATGGTTATCGAGGTGAACTGATCAATATAATGTGTTATTGGTTTCAGGCCATATTGCCCAACTCTACTTTACTTTGTAGCCTGCCTGAACTAACACTTTGCTCTATTACAAGCCCTCATTTAAAACTGTCACAAACCTCAACTTTTATTTTGAAAGGTGACACAATCCAGGCTTTAAGCTGAGTTTTGAAATGCTTTCAGTGATGACTTAATCCAGATAAGACCGATTCCAGGGGGGACGAGGAGACACAGATAGCATCAGAGAACAGCGCACAGTGTCCCAGGGTGATGGGTCGACCCCCGGCAATCCCGCCCTGGCTTACAAGGCGAAGGGTCCCGTCGTCTCACGCCACGGTGACGGTATCCAGCCAGCCATTTCTCACAGCTGCATCTTCAAACATGGCAGCAATCAGCGCACATCTGTCGAGGAGGGCCTCAGTGTTTACACAGTGCTAACCGTGCGGCGTCAGCTCCAGCACCAAATTCCTCAGCTGGACTCTTTGAAGGGTCTGAGTTCATCTGATGAGGAGGCTCTGGAAGATAACTGTGACACCATTTTTCCCTCACATTGGAAAACACGACAAGGATATCCATGGAAACTCCTCCTGTGATAAAACTCAGAGTGGCATTGAAACCCTCACGATGAACTTTGTGACCCTTTTTTTTTGGTTGTGTCGTCTTATTCCCAGAAATTCCAACATATTTAATGCGACAGAGTATGTTATACAGTATAAACAGAGTCGTTTCTAAAGGGGTAGTCCACCAATTTATCACATCAGCATGGGCGAAACGTGGTGAGAGGGGGAACTCCGGCAGCTCTACACATCAAAGTTTGTTTTACAAGTCTTTTGGAGTGCTACTGGTTCTGTAAAAACACGCTCGACTGTTGAAAGCTTCTGTGGCTAAACAAGGAGCTTTGAGGAATCTGACAAACTGCTTCCAGGATAATTCTCGAGTCGGGGTCGGCTGAGGTTGGAGACAATTTTCATAACAAAAAATGAATCAGTGGCATGGTTTTTAAAAGGTCTCTGCTTCACACTAGCTGCCTGAAGATATATTTGGCATCTGTAACATTTACAAGTCCTTAGGAAGTGTTTGCATTGTGGGGGCTGTAGGCTCAGAGTTTAGAGTAGAAATCCTCAAAAAAGGCACTTCAGCAGATAACTCAGGAGTAATCTGAGCCTGGGGTTGAAGACTTTCATTCTTTTTATAGAGATCTCTCACAGACTGAGGGCTTCAAGTTGGCTTTAACAGGTATGCAGGGTCTGTTGTGAGGATGCTGTGTGTTCTATTATGGGATGTTTTTCGGTGTGACCTTAAAAGACAGACGTATCAAGGAGTGCTCAACAGTTTTGCCCCTGTTACTTCCAATACGTCGAATGAAGCGCACGCTCTCCCTCTTCTTCCTCAACAGCAGAGCGTGGGCGTGGCCCCTCCCCTCAAACAGCTTTTACTTTCACTTTATCGTATCAACGTGAAATCATGTTCACAAGGCTCGACAGTGCAACTGTTTCACTCGCATTTGCAACTAAAAATAGATGTGTACAAATTGCAAAATGTATTTACGGACACATGTGGGCATAAAAAAATGAACTGAGGCAACAAATGTTTTTTTCATGTAAATACCGCAGTGAAGTTAGTTTTAGGTTGGATACCCAACAGACATGCACTGCTGATATACTGGTGTCTTTTCACTCTCCATAACCCGAAATAGCAACAGCAGTGCAGTTTAATCTACTCGGCACCCTCGCTGTCAACGTTGGGTGTTGAATAAGGGACCATCAATAAATTACCAGTTGATGTTCTCAAAAAAAAAAGGCTGTTTTCATTCAATAGTTTCCATATCATGTGACCAATTGACCTAAAACTGATTTCAAATAATAGTACTAAGGTCGGACAATAAGACAAACATTATTTGATCAGTTCTTATTGTGCTCCTAAAGTTCTTGTGTGCTCCTTACTTTTTCAACTCAGAAGCACATGTGCTCCTTCTGAAAAAAGTTAGTGTCAAGCCCTGGTTCAGGAGCATGAGGAGGTTTAGGCCTCGCTAAGATCAACGGTAGATTGCTGTGTCCTTTATGAGAGTGAGAGGAGCAGAAGGAGGTCGGTGTGTGTCTGTATGTGTCTGAAAAGCCAAGGGACAGAGAGAGAGAGAGAGAGAGAGAGAAAGAGAGAAGAGCTGAAGCGATCGCAAGTGCTAACAAGTTAAAATCTTTGGGGCTAAAATACAAAATACTGACTGACTGAAAGACTGAATGACTTGTTAGATCTGCAATTGTTTTTGACACGGTGAAAATAGTTCAGTACAAGTTAAATCTGATATTTAATTTAGCGAGTTTTATCACCAAAGTGAAGTCAAAGCTCTTAAAGTGGGCTTGGCTTGTCTGGTTTTCCCGTGAATCAGTGTTTTGGTTCGATTTGCCTGATCTTGCCTTAAATCTCGGCCTATAATGTGACCAGTCTTCCTCTTCTATAAAACCTTTCTCGTCGGTTTCGCGGCTTTGTTATAGTTCAGTGATAAACCATCAGAAGGCCTCCTCAAGATCCTGTAAGCTGTTTTTCTTTCCCGGGATGGAAACTTTTTCCGTGGCGGCGGTAACCTCCGAACGGAATCACCAATAGCTGTTCAAGTATGATGTTACAGTCAGTGAGGGCATGTTTTTCTGAGATGTCAAAAGTAATTGGAGGAAATGTAGGGAATGAAAAGTGCATGAGTCAGATTAGAGGAAAGTACAGCAGGAAAGGAAATGACTTTTTTCATCGTTGAGTTATTCCTGGAATGTATTCAACAGCGTTGACGATGTCGAAAATGATGAGTCTAATGGGCGAGTTTTACTGTCCAAAGTCAAAACAAAGTCCAGATCAATTCACCATAAAGGAAAGAATTCAGTCTCTCTCTCTTCTTTCCTTCAGGTTTGGACTCCAGCACGCGGACTCTGAGCACCCCCAGCCCAGGTCTCATTCTTCCATCGAAGTCCTCCTCGCTCTCCTCACCGGCCCTCTCCAGTAACGGCCATGAGACCAACTCCTCTTCCTCCTCCTCGGCCCCTGCAGAGACCGTCGCCGTCGTCCACCCTCAACCCGGCACCCACACCCGCTCCCGCCAGTCCAAAACCCACCACCACGCCCCCATCGACCTCCTCCCCGACCACACCCTCCTGCAGATCTTCTCCCACCTCTCCACCAATCAGCTTTGCCGCTGCGCCCGAGTATGCCGCCGCTGGTACAACCTGGCGTGGGACCCGAGGTTGTGGAGCACTGTCCGGCTAACGGGCGAGCTGCTTCATGTGGACCGTGCCATCAGGGTGCTGACCCACCGGCTGTGCCAGGACACCCCCAACGTGTGTCTGACCCTGGAGACGGTGATGGTGAACGGCTGCAAGAGGCTCACCGACCGCGGGATGCACGTGGTCGCTCAGTGCTGCCCGGAGCTGCGTCGCCTGGAGGTTTCCGGGTGTTACAACATCTCTAATGAGGCTGTGTTTGAGGTGGTGTCCCGCTGCCCCAACCTGGAGCACCTGAACCTCTCAGGTAAAAAGAAACACACGTAATCCATCGTGCCATATCAAAGCTAACAAACCTTGATTAGTAGGCTCACCTCATCTTTCTAAAGCTTTGTTAAAGCCCTGGATTTACCTCAAAGATCCCTCTCCTCAGTCTTTTCTTTTGGAGCTGGTAAAATCATTAGAGGAGCAGGAGAAGCTCTGCCAACCCCGAGCTCCCATGTGGGAGAAGAAAGGCTTTCTTTAGCTGGGAGCAGAACTTACCTCAACATGAGTGAGGAGAGCGGTCTGCTGCTTTCATTAAGAGCGACACGAATAACACTGACTTGGACAGGAATCTGGTGGCAGAACAGGGTCTGCTTCATTAGCACAACAAAAAGAGAGGAACAAACTTCACACTTTTGTGGATTTTAGGAACAGAAGAAGAAAACAGATGGATCAGATGTGATTTTTCTAACCTGCAGAGACATCAGTTGTGCTTTCCTACCTCTTAAAATCAGCCTCAAGTTAGTGTTTGGGGGAGTTGTATGCACTCAAACACTGTCATGCCACTTCTGTGACAGTGTCTTTTACTATGGCACCCTCTAGTGGCAGCTTATGAAGTTAGAAATGTTGTTGTTTTGGAAAAAAAAATCATTTAAAGACAGTGAAAAAGATGACTGGAGTTTTATCTTGATGTAGCCATGAAAACAAGTCCGTCCCTGACAGTTTTTGTTAGTATGTTTGACAGGGCTGATTCGATTCTTCTACGATTTTTTGGATGCTGATTCGATTTAAATTGCGATTCTACAATATTGTCAAAATTCGACCGTAATATGAAAAAATAAAATTCCGCAAAATCGCAGGACGGGAAAACGTCGCTGATGTGAACGCTTGTATTGGCAGGATACGGGTTCGAAAAAAAATATTGACGTCTGAAATAATCGCACGAAAAAAACGCTCCTGGTATGCAAGGACCTTTAGACTAAAATTGAAAAAAAAAAGTTTTTTTAACTTAAAATCAATTTAAATATTGGAAAACAAAAAATCACGATACTCATGTGAATGGATTTTCTCTCTTCCCCCTAATGTTTGAGGTATTTTAAGTGTTGCTCACATGCAGACCTAAAGAATTGAACTTGTCCATTTTTTTTGATAATGACTTCGAGCTGACAGTCTCCTTCTCCTCCTCTCCTTCAGGCTGCTCCAAAGTCACATGCATCAGCCTCACCCAGGAGGCCTCGCTCCAGCTGTCCCCTCTACACGGCCAGCAGATCTCCATCCATTTCCTGGACATGACTGATTGTTTTTCCCTCGAGGACGAGGGTTTGCGAACTATCGCCTCCCACTGCCCCCGCCTGACACATCTGTACCTGCGGCGCTGCACCAGACTGACGGATGAGGCCCTGCGTCACCTGGCCCTCCACTGCCCCTCAGTTCGGGAGCTGAGTCTCAGTGACTGCCGCTTGATCGGGGATTTCGGTTTGCGCGAGGTCGCCCGCTTAGAGGGCTGCCTGCGCTACCTGAGCGTGGCCCACTGCACTCGCATCACGGATGTGGGCATGCGCTACGTGGCGCGGTACTGCCCGAGACTGCGCTACTTAAACGCCAGAGGATGTGAAGGACTGACAGACCACGGCTTGAGCCACTTAGCGAGGAGCTGCCCCAAACTCAAGTCCCTCGACGTGGGCAAGTGCCCGCTCGTGTCAGACAGCGGGCTGGAACAGCTGGCGATGTACTGCCAGGGCCTAAGGCGAGTGAGTCTCAGGGCGTGCGAGAGCGTGACGGGCAGAGGACTCAAAGCTCTGGCCGCGAACTGCTGCGAGCTGCAGCTTCTCAACGTGCAGGACTGCGAGGTGTCGCCAGAGGCTCTGCGGTTTGTCAGACGCCACTGCCGGCGCTGCGTCATCGAGCACACAAACCCCGCCTTCTACTAAAGCGGGGACTTTCTGGACTGGTCCTCTGACAAGTGGATGTTGTAAAATTCCTGCTATGGAGTGGGCGGTGTTCAGCGGCTGATGTGTCCAAACTGGTTTTAAAAAACTGGTGTGCAATACTGACCAGAGTTTCTCTCCAAAAATCCGCTTGGTGGCTCTAAACGCTGTCCTTTCAAGTACTTCATAGAATGTATTTAACGTATTTATCCGTAAAAAGGCAGAAAGCGCAGTATTTTACCGTTTTCAACACCACAGTATACAATGTAAGAACATGCTACAGCACTGAGCACCGGGTACAGTTGTGTCACCGTTTAAAGCATTATAATGTTATTTTAAATCTGAGAATCAGAGTCATTATCACACAATACTCCATCTATTTATAACAGCGAGTGTTTTTTTCAGACTTAAACCACTAAGAATGTAGCAACAAAGCAGCAGCAGCCAGAGTTCAAATCTTCCGTTTCACTTTCTTTGTGTTGTTTTTCGTTTGCACTTTATGCAATTGTGCTGACAATCATTTACAACTGAGCTCTAAGTGTTGGTTTTTTTCGCCGAGTGAATTTAGAAATGACTTTTTCAGCCAGAGGACATTCGACTGCCGAAGAGAGACAAGCTTTAATGGGATCATTGTGGATAAAAACAAGAACACATGCTGCTATAACTGTGTCAATAAAGAATTCTTCAAAATCCATCGTGACAGCTGACTGTTTTTTTTACAGGTATTACGGTAACCACATGAGAGCTCTTTTCAGCTCGACTGTGTTGTTGGCTCTGGTGTCCCTCACCTTACTCTAGACCACTCTAGAGGGGTTCAGGTCAGGCTGAGTAACACCACAGTCAGCGAATAGTTTTTGTTAGTTTTGGCGCTGTAGGCAGGTGCAAGATCCTGCTGGAAAAAAAACTCATACACATGCACACAAAGATGGACTTTAGTGGTTTATTTCAGAACAAGTTTCAATAGAGCGTCTAAACATTCATAAATACAATATTAAAATATATATATGCTAAAGTATAATATTAATATAACCTCAGTGCTTCCTCCCTGACAGGCCTTGGCTGTTAATGAACTGATACTGAAAGACTCTCCGGGAAACCAACATACTCTAGAGATTCTCAGCGACACGATGTTTGTTCTTGGAATACTGAAACTATCTTTACAACAAGTTACACCTCTACAGCTCAACTCAGTCTCCTCATGTGGCAGCGAGCTGAAAATGACGTCACCACCGAGTTACCAGCGTTTCAGTTACCAAGTCGGGGGAAAAGTGTACGAAACATGTACGAATAAATAAAAGAAATAAGAATACACGTAGTAAGATACTTCAGCGCTTGTCTTGTCCGAATATAAGGCAAGCGCTAAAATAACTTTCGCAGATGTAGCTATCTTGTTCCAGGCCTCCGATTTTGCTTTTTTCCGACTTGGTAACTAAAATTCTGGGAACTCGGGTGTGACGTCGTTTTCAGCTCAGACGTGATGTCCGAGGTAACGCAAACACTGCATCAATTCTGATAAATATGGTCAGAATGGTGACTTAGGACCCTAAATTCTAACTTAAACTCAGAATTCTAAATTATAAAATTGCAAACCCAGACTTTAGACTTGGAAATCTGAGTTTAAAATCTGATTTCAGAGGAAAAAGTCAAAATGTTGAATTGAAGTTCAGAATTCTGATTTAAAAAGTCTGTTTTCGATTTTAGAAATACAAAATCAGAGGTCAAAAAAGTTTGCACTTTAATTCTTTTTTCTTAGTTTACTCATCTAAAGGATCAAAAGACTTGTATAATTCGTGTTGTATTTTGGTGAATACGGTCCGTGACAATAGCAAAATTCTACACCTCCCTGAAGGAGCCGAGGAGCAGAGGAGGAGCTCAACACCACAACTTCACACACTGGGTAGAGTGTGCACACTGTGCATGGAGTCTCCTGACTTGTTTCATGTCTGACTGACTGTTTCTGTGTGTTCGCCCGGTTGACCGGCCTCGTCATGATCACAGTGAAAACTACCTGAAGCTTGACTCGCAGCAGGCTGAAGTCCAACAGAACAGAGATCACTTCCTGGATGTTGTCCTGCTTGCTAAGTTAGCAAAACCTCACCCTGCTAAAGACGACCTCTGATCTGAGACTCCCTAAAGTGCAACAAACAATTTTAACACAGTGAGCAGCTGACTGAGTTCACTCTTCACCGCCTCTGTAACACCATATGATGCTGGTTGATTTGGTGAACCTCCCAGTTCGAGCCTTTTGCCTGAGTCCTGCAGTTGCATTCGAGTGCAGTCTGTGGAGTCTGAACCCAGGTCATCTAAAAAAAAAACAGAGAAAACGTTCAACTCTCAGTAACTAACTTTTAAAGTTTCTTTCATGAACATGGCGGGTTATCAAAGTTTGAAAAGTTTATGTCGTACCTGAGACTTCAGGGCACGCAGCTCGCTGTGAACTTTCCTATACTTCTTCTCAAGGTCAAGTTGTTTCTCCTTGAGCTTCTCTCTGTCACTCCGCTCCTTCAGAAAATCTTCTTTGTAGACTTCCGCCTAAAAATAGATCACAAGGCAACACGATAAAATTAGGAATCAAGTGTGGATTTAATAAGAAGTCTGATGTTTTCATGAAGAGTTTGACTGTGGGGGGAGCTGGCAGTACAGTAATACCGAGATAGGGCTTCACATCAGCATCGAAACTGCACACTGCTGAGTGGAATGAAATTTGTCACACAGCAGGACAGTTTCAACCTTTTCCCTCTGGAGGAAACAAACTTTGTTCAGCACTCTGGGTTTGACTCTGTTAGCTTACTATTACTGTTTTTAGCAAAGAAACAGCTCATATCTTTCCTAATGAGCGCCTTATTTTACATTTATACCCCAGTTTCAATTAGTCTTTATCACTAAGTGCTTTACACAGAAAAGGGAATTAAAGAAATGAAGAATATCCACATCTACCCAACCCAACCCCTCATTCCCACGATCGAAACGCAATAGAAACAGTATTAAAATGCATGAACCTAAAAAAGGCTTGATTTCGTGGAGACAGGAATGTGCGCACTGAGGAAACCTCATTTTAAAACTCAAGATAAGGGAACACTGGAGGTTAAAATCTAAAAACAAAGTAAAGAAAAACAACAGTAAAAGATACTAAAATAAGAGCACCAAAATATCTCAATAAAAGATGATCCTGTCTTTAAAACTAGAAAGAGATAAATGCTAAAACACTTTGACAAAGTGAATGATATAAAGATTATAAAGTTACGTTTTGAGTTTGGTTTTAAAGTCTTCAAGATTAAGATCTTCAGGTAAGCTGTGTCATAGACGGGGGTGTAGTAATATAGAGATCCCTATATGACCAAAGAAGCGCAAAAACTCCCAGCTGAGGAGGTTTTGCTGCCCCCTGCCTGTTGTTTCGATGACCAAAGCTCACCTGATGTTTCCAGAGTTCTTGTAGTGTCTCACTGCTCACATCATGAGGTTGGTTTTTCTCATACGCCTCCTCCAGAGCCTGTAAAAACACATTTAAGGGTTTTAAACACAACTGTTCCTGCAGCTACAACAATTCGAACACCTTGTCGTCTTTGTAGGGCTGCTATCCGACTTACTTTGTTCAGTCGTCTGATCTCCTCGGCCTGCTGGTGGCCTCTGCGTGTCAGCGTGTTGTTCTGCATTCGCAGTTCTTTCGCCTCGTTCTTCGCTTTCAGTAACTCTGAGCTGACGTCAGCGTCACGAGTCTGTAATTTTGGATTTTGACAGATTAGGACTTCTTGAAAACTGCTTTCGACTGTACAGTAACTGCAATTAAAAACAGCTGCACTTACCCATGTGACGATATAGTCTTTGAGTGTCTTGTATCTTGTTTTCTCTGTTAACTCCTTGTCCATTTCTTCGTCATCACACGCCTCCTCCTCACAGTGACTGTAGTCGTGTTGCAGTAATGCTTTTAAATCTTCCACCTGAGCGTTAAGAGGGGAAAACGTCAGTGAAGTGCACAAAAAAAAACACCTTAAAAACGCTGAATAAGTCTCTCCCTTACCTTCTCTTTGTAGTACTGTCTCATGGTCTGGTACTCCTTCGCCCATTTCTCATTAATAGAAAGAAGCTGAGTGAAACAGAGAGAGCATGTCAGCGCTGAGAAGTTCACACGTTCAGGAATGAGTGTGAATCTCGCTTCAGAAATGCGCTCACCTCTTGTTTTTGCTCCTCCAAGATAAGAATCTGTGCTTTCCGTCTGACCTCGCCGCTGCTGGCGCCTGGTGCCTCTAACTGAAGCAAATAAAGGAGAAAAAAGAGGAACTATCAAAAACACGGCAGCGAATACCAGCATCTGCGGCCGTTTTGCCAATTATGCAACGTGACTTCCTTTTACACACTTCTGGAATTTTTGTTTGGGAGTGTTTCCAGTAACACGAGCATGTTAATTTCCTTATGCTCAGGGAACAGACGGTGACCGTAACGTGATGAATATTGATGTCACAAACAGACTTGTTTATTCCAGAGTTACATCTGTGAATATTACCTGATCGTCTGCATGAGAAACCGCAGCCAGAGGGAAGTTTACGGATTGGTCGGCCACAAAAGCATCAAATCTGGAACGATGAGCGAAAGAATTGAAATTAGCTTTTTATCGAGAAGAAAAAGTAAATCAGAGGATGTATGAGTTAACCGACTCACCGGTCGGTGTGGGGCAGTGATGGATACAGTCTGGAGATCTGTTTGTTTACTGTAGTGATGGTTTTCCCAGTCTGTGATCTCTCCACTGGAAGCCTCTCTGTTGATTTTTCATGTACAGACTGAAAAGAAACACAAAAAGGGACAAATATGAAGCATAAAAGACCTTTAATTTTAAAAGTGTGACTGTTTAAAATGTAAAATGGCTGTTGTAACTTCCTGAAGTGAGCCGTATATGTAAACACAAACAGCTGAATTTGCGTGCAAACAGGTGGGAGGATTACGAATGATACCGCCGCTCTATGAGGCGATTTTGGTTGTGAGCATCAGTCGCGTCTGCGCCGCACAAAAACAACAGTGATGTGGGCGGAGCTCCACAACCGTACAGGTGAAAGGCGGTATAGTCATAAAGAGATAAGGTTACACATCAGCATCGAAACTGCATATTGCTGACTGCATTGAAAGTTGGCACGTAGGAGGGCAGTTTCAACCTTTCCCCCCTCTGGGAGACCCCCAAACAGACTTTTTCCTCTATAACATTAAGACGAAAACTTAAAGCTCCTGTGGGGAATCCTCGACATGATCGATTCGGTAACCTTTTGACTTTTGACAGTCATTTGCATCATTAGAAGTGAGTATCTTAAACGGAAAATTTGAAACAGGACAGTTTCTTCAGCTGCGTGTCCGACACCTATCCCGTCGAACCCTAAAAATCACAACTTAAACATTGATCTTGTTGCTTTTATCATAAAAAGGCATCAATATGAATTTTATTTTAATTCATGAACATCAAAAACTCCTCACAGGAGCTTGAGAAGAGAGAATTAATGTTTTTGGACTCAACTCAACTCAACTTTATTTGTTAAGCATTTTAAAACAACCACAGCTGAACAAAGTGCCGTACATAAATAGACAAAACAACTAGACATAAAAAACAATAAAAAAAAAACAAAAATAAAACAATGGATAAAATAAAAGCAGAATTAAAAAGTAAAATATAGTTTCAATGTTTTTAAAAACTAATTTAAAAACATAGAAACAAATAACTAAAAACAAACACTAAAACAGGAGCCGAGTCTCATGCAGGGTTCAAAGCCAATGAATAAAACAATCTTATTTAAACCATCTACAACCGTTCACACTGAAAAAAACACAAACAAACAAATATGTATGGAGTAATTTAAGTTCTCTCTCCCTAAATAACAGTCACTTCTTCACATTCATGTGTATTTTTATCTATTATATGCCATTCAACTGGTACAATATATATATTTTTTTAATTATTATTGCATGTAACTGCTAAAAAACTGTTTTGTAAAAATCCATTTTAACATGAGAATGTCTTTAAGCGATTCAGAACATTCACAACTGTATTTTTGAGAAGAAAAAGTAAAACATTTCAACAATCTGATCTGAAACTCTGATCCTCTCATCAGACTCCTTTACTTTTATGACTTTATTAGTCCTCTAAGCGAAAATGGTGGACTTTAAAGTTATCTATGTAGCCCATAGATACCATAATTGATGTATAAAACACATTTAAAATAATCTTTTATGGTCTAAACACAATTCTAATAAAACTTATAACAGAATAAATTCACTTTCAAGAGTGAAACATGTTTTTGTTTTTGGTAAATAAATGTCTAACTCCTTCACTCATGTGCTTCTAACCTTCACAGACTCCATGAATTGATGCCCATCTCCTAAATATTTGGTCAATAATCAATTTCTTTTACCATTTCCAATAAACTTACCCCACTCTCCCCTATTGTTAATCTTTTTCAATCAATAATGAAATTTGATTTTGAAGGATTCATGTTCAACTCTCCCTCTTTAATATAAATTGAGGTTAAAAAGCCCTTAAAGTAGATTATGAATGTGTTACACTGATGATGCAGAGTGTCACTGGTGGGAATGACACATCATGGCAGCTTACTCATAACCACATAGGATGTGAATTATCTTCACAGAGTCACGCCAAACTCACTGTTGCATAAGTGGTTATCAAATACAATCATACCATATAATCTTAAGCAGAATCAGCCCCACACAGACGTCAAAGAAGGGTTAAAATTCAGCCGAACTAAGACATTATCTCAGGAGTTATATCTTAAACTAACTTTAACTTAAATGAGCTTTTTTTGAGTGAGATTCAGCTTATCTTGAAATGATTACAACCTTTATAAAACTGAATAAAAATGCTAGGAAAATACATAAATTACCGTTTAATAGTATAATTTAAAAGGAGGCTCACCATGTTGTTATTGTTTGAGGTCCACCGCACGTGCTCACCCTCCAAACACAGAGTATCGTACCACGAGCTCGTTCACTCTGTAAAGTTATACTGACGGTCCCGCGTGACGTCTGAAAACCAGCGCCGTCCAATCAGCTGCGGGGATTCTCGCCCTCTGCCCGAGGCTCGTGCACTCCCAGGGCAGGGCTGTTGACGGGGTTTATCGAAGGAAAGGAAAGTACAAGCGACGCCGTCAGCAGCACGAGCGGTAATTAACGATGTGTTCACGGGCAGGTCGATGACTAAGAGAAAAAACAATCGACCTACACACTGAAAGAAATGGTACACGGCCCACAAAGATGGCATTTCTGAATGAACGAGTGTTGAATCGATCGATTACATGAATTTAAATTGTTTTTATTTTGAAGTTACAGGTTTAACGTCGTTTCTAATCTAGGTATTACAGTATTTTTTCAACTTTGTTAATGTTTTATGAGACAAAAATCATTACTAGTTGGTTTATTTTTAAAAATACTACATCAGAAATTTGCTCATGGTCTTATGGGATATAACTAAAATTAGAGTGACTGAATAAAATCCTTCAAGAAAGAATGATTTATTTCAGCCTATTAATAAAAAAATAGTAATCTATGTAACATAATAATGATAATAATAATAATAATAATAATAATAATAATAGTAGTAGTCGTAGTGATAATAATAACAATAATAATAATAATAATAATAATAATAATAGTAGTAGTAGTAATCAAAATAATGATGATAATAATAATAATAATAATAATAATAATAAAAATAGGAGTAGTAGTAGTAATAATAAGAATAAAGCAATCAGATTTATGTTATTTATTTCTAACAAGTCTGTCGGTCAGGTTTTTTTCAAAGCCAACTCGAAATTATTCTTATTGGTTTTATTAATGATTATTTTGAAAATAACTGAACAATACATGCGACTGAAACAATCACCCTCCGTTTAAACATGTAATACTATTTTTATTGGCTTTTTTGATACGAAGACAGTCCTTTAGAAATATATATTTATTTATTTTTTCTTTTCTAGTTCGACCTTGTGAAAGTGAAAAATAAAAAATGTCTTTAGCCAGCAAAGTCAAGCTTGGCTGTTTGAGCGTTTAGCATTAAATATATGGTTGTCTGAATCGACTGAATATGTTTATTTCATTTCAGTACCACAGCAGCTGCTAAACAAACTAAAGTAGGTCATTTCAGCCTCTATCAGGAGTTTTCCTTGTTGACATTTCTTACAGTGGACAGCCTGGACTGGACTCGCTCCTGGTCTCGTCTTTCTAGTTTGATTCTGTTGATATGAGACCGTCTCCACGCAAACAAATCGCTGCTATCATGGGAAATCACACATCTTGCTGCTTTGTTTAATTGCTCAATCTTCTTACAGGCTGATCTTGAAGGTGTTGACTCACACCGACTTGTTTCAGGGAAGAAGAAAAGGGGAAACACACTGCTGCTGCTGACTGCGATCAGCTCAGGGGGTCCACCGATGGCTGCTCATTTATTCCTTTAGGTATTACTGAAACCCAATCTCTGTATTACTGACATCTAATCTCATCATTCTATGTTTATGCCGGCTTCTTTTTAGGAATCTCCTCTTATAATGAAACCAAACCAAACAGAAATGTGACATTTCTGGGACTTGTGCATAAAAAAACACATTTTTTCCCCTCCTGTAGTGCCCATGAATTTTTTGGTTGAAATAGGATCTTCCACTCTGACATTTTCAGGAGACAACAGCTGGGGTTTGACTTCTGAATCTACAATGAGAAATTATTTTAGGATATTTTGAAATAGCCTTCCTGATAGGGATACTTGTGCTGACCAAACTAGAACAACCTCTTTTTGTACTGATGTAAATAAGAGACTATATTAGATATGCTTTTTTTAAAACCTGTTGAGTTTTGGTTTCCACCCAGCCCCTAAACATGTATGTTTTTTACTAAAACAATGAGTTATTTTTCTGTTTATTTGACCTCCTTGTGAAATGATGTATATCTATGGTTATATACCACATATATATAACTGATCATGGTTCAAATTCACTTTTTATTGGCTGTACCTGAACTGAACTGACTTTAACTGTGACAGTGTTTTCAAATCGAAAGTACAGGACCCCCATGTTGCGGTTTTACCGAGAGGGTGTCCTTCATGAGAAACCCCTGTGCGGAGGCAACCCCCGATGTTTCTTCCCAGCACAGATACAGACTATTTACGGTAGGTGTGACACAGCAGTAAGTGGAAAGGAAAGAGGAGGTTCAGACTGTTTTGCTGAAACTCTTTTCTTCCTGCCACAAAGTCTCACTGAAGATTCATACTCCTCCTCTCTAAGTTCCTGTCTGTGTCACCAAACATACTCCCTCACTTCACATGTACACGGTGTCGTCTATCACCCACAAATGTGAAAGTGAAAGCAGGTGCGCCGCTGTAGCCAGCACTTTTTTCAATAGAGGTTTAGTGGTTTTCTTCATCTGCATAGGCCTTTGTCTCACCTTGGACAGTAGCTTTGTGTTTCAAAAAAGAAGTTTTAAGGCTCTTGGTGTTGAGATAGGAGTGTCACGATCAAACAACTTGCAGATTGAAAAAATAAAACGTTTATTTAACAAACTGATTCAACTTGAAAGAACAAAAACTTACTCAGGAAGTTCAACAAAAACTGCAAAAACAGCTAAAAATTCCAGATATTGATGTAAAATGAAAGCGAGTTTATCGGTCTAACATTGTAAGGTGGCAGGAGAAAAGAAAAAAGTAGGCACAAAATTGTTTTAATTTGTCATTTAAAGCTCCTGTGAGAAACTTTTGGTTCATGTGAATTGTGGCGCCCCCTGTAGGCAAAGCAGTCTTTGCTAATTGTGTCCCTTAAATGCTGTTGTTTTTTTTTTTTTCTTAATATCAAATTTATTGATGATATTTTATGTGAAAATGCAGAAACAAGACAGATTCACAAACGGTTGAGCTCTCAAACGGCGGCGAATTTCGCCGTACGCCAATTCCAACCAGATCCGTTTGTGAGAAGAATTTTGTGGCGGATTACAGACAGCGGTAATCGCAAGAACTCACAAGAACCCGTGGATTCACGTGCAATTGCACGATAACGAGTTGTCTCTTAGCCACAGAGGCTAACCATAAATGCAGTAGATTGAGTCCTTCCAGAAGAGGAAGTCCACCTCTAGAATTCTAGAATCAGCATCTCCTCATCCATGGTGTCATCGAGGTGAAATGCTGTCCAAAAACCTTTTACTTGTTCATCCCCGCCTGTTTGCATGGTGTGAAATACGATCCGCCTGAACCACAGAGTGTTTTATTTCAAAAAGAGGCCAGATGTTTTATTTTTGTGTCTGTGCCTGACTTCCTTTCCAGCACGGGTTAATCTGTGCTGAATTTAGTTGGCATGCTCCAGCGTCCGGAAAAAATAGAACTCTTGCGTTCAACTGCAGAGTCCAGCGATCCACAGCGGAACGGAAAGAAGCCGGTGGAAATCGACACATTTACTTGAATGGTTACGATCAACTATCATCGATGGATACGGCCTTTTCGTAGCCATTCCGGATGCGGTGGAAATTGGGGATAAGATTTGCTAAAGGAAGACTTTAGTAGTATATGAGTTGTGTGCTTAAACCTCTGGGCTACATAAGAACCATTGTTCTGAAGTACATTACGACGCTGAGTATGGAAACGTTCACCAGCAGGTTCCACAAGGCGTGTCGTCCTCGATGCACTTCTCAACCTGTGATCTACAGTCAAACAATAAACAGGAAGTGTGGTGAGTAAAGTCACAAAATAACACAGATGTTTGTTACAGCTATAGCGTGTTTTATTGTTAGCACAGAAGAAGATAAAATGAACTTACTTCGACACCGCTTTGCAGGTGCAACCAATTCTGGAATCCAGGTCCTTCCTTAGACTCCCGAGAGCCTCACAGGTGCAGTTTCTCCTGGTTGAAAGAAATAAAGCAGATTTTTAAGAAAGGCTTTACTTCCTCTCAGTTAATCTTTACATGTATTTTGTCTCATCAGCTATACTTTTTCAGATCAGATCAGAAAGGCTTACCCGCTCTCCTTGTTGACCAGAACAACAGTGAGGCTCTTCACTTGAGGGGACTGAAGGCTGGGAACCTCAACACTTCCAAAGAAACTAACAGCAAAAACAAAACGGCCCATTTGAGAGCCTTAAAATATTGGTAAATCTCCCTTTTCTGACATCTGAACGTGACAAAAGTTCATGCACACACAGAAATGCTAAAAAAAATAAAATAAAAATGGGAAGCTCACCTGTTAGAATCGTACGGTTCAGTCCTCTCACCATCAAGCATTACTGACGCCCCTTCACATGCATGTAATGCAAACTGTAAACATACAAATATTATGGTTCAGACATGACAGCTGAGGGCAAAAGATTCAGAGCTCCCCTTGCTGACTGCTTTTGGTACAGGTCATGAAACCCCACCTTCCTCATGCTAAAGGGATTTTCTGACGTAGAATTAAATTAGGGTCAAACACACCGTAACACCGAGTTAGACAACCCCTCAAGAGATGAATGTTGCCGACTGCTTGCTTCTCTAGTTATACCAACTTTAGTAACAACGATATTTGATTTAGCACGCTAGCAATTTCTTTATCATTTCCTTGAAGTAATAATCACCATATTAATCATTTTGCACTGCAGATGTTCTTCTGCCTTAGCGTCTCGGTCTGATTGCATTTCCATGAAGTTAAAATCATAAATGTTCTTCCTTGAGCTGCGTCACCCCGCTGTAGTCCGTAATGCACTGGCCTGAGGTCTCGCTACAAACAAGCGGCTGCTGGAAGAGAGTAGGTGAGTTGTGTTTTGTCTCTTTCCTAAAGAAATTAGGCAAAGTTAAAAAGATGTTTGGTGGCTAGTACTGTGGCTGGGACCCTATTTGTACTGTTGATGAAGTTAGATGCTGTTCTGAAAATTATTTGTGGTTATAGAGTAGCGTTTTGGTTGAGGTTTGTTTATGGCTCCTCAGACCGCTGTGTATTGCTATCGTGCGGTCGTTACTAAAGTTGGTATAACTAGAGAAGCAAAGTTAATTTTATGCCGGAATATCCCTTTAATTGATGGAACATGAGTCAAACTTGACATTATTATCGTCAACTGTCAAGTTTAGCGTTGATTAGTTATATTATTCTAACTCTATCATTGACAGCTCTGTTTATAAATGCAGCATTAAGTGGTAATGTACACCAGCAGAGTGAAGAAGGCTGGAGAGGAAACGTCATAAACAAAATTAGCCACGCCCATTTTGGGTGTAAGCAGTCAATCTGAATTAAATATGGTAAATGGGAATTTGGTATTTCCAAATCTGTGAGTTAATGACCTGTTAGGGAAACACAAGAATACAGAATATTTTAATTAGTAATCAGCAACGTAAGTTTAGAAAAAAGTACAAAGTTTAAGAGTTTTAGGAATAATCTTCAGAGTCTAAAAAAAACCTAATATCACATTGTTTTTCAGTGTATTTGCCTAAATCAGGACATCACTTCTAAATTGTCTTATTATAGTATCTGACACTATACAGGGTTGCAAAGTAATGACGAACTGTTGGCTATTTCTGTCACTGGATTCTTCATAAAGTAAAGAGGGGTTAATCCCGGTGATTTCCTACTCAAATCTTCATTCATGAAGTGAGTACTACACCGAAAGTACCAGTGACAAAATGACTATGAAAATTTGGCTTGGATCTCATCGTCTTCTCAAGTCTCTCATAACCCATCATCACATTTTAATAACATTAAGTCACTGATCACCCATTTAAAAAAGTCATTATGCTACATGTTTGTCTCTCTGGCTATTAGATTAAGGCTCTCAATAGCTGATATGTAATAGAGTCCTTAATTTTTAGCTATCATATTGCGAAAGACCCCAGAGTTTCCATTTACTACCCGTCAGTTCAGATTGACTGCTTTCAGGGGGCGGAGCCACAATTATAGGAAAGTACCAGGATTACTCCCAGCTCTTCAAATCAACTGTGAACTGTGAATTGTACCAACCTGTGGGACCTGAGGGAGACTGGGACTGCATTACACAGGGAGGCCTAATTAGTCGCCTAATTATTGGACTTATTATTACAAAACAGAGAGAAAGAAAAATGAAATCCAGATGGGTCGGCTGACTTACTTTCCTCGAAGCTACTTGCCAGAATGAATTGACAGGGTTGGGCCGACAGTCCTCACATTTATCAGTCAAGGTCTCTAGAATAGAATAAATGCAGAGAATATATTTATATTGTAAGTTTTTTTTTTGTTTTTTTTCTAATTTAATTTCTTTTTTTTTTCATTGACCTTCAGTCTAGTCACATGTAACTGTGAGGGAAAATTTCACAGACTGTCTCAGCTATTCCACCTGCCACTATTTACCACCTGCTGCCACCCTTTGTCATCTGTTGTGCACTTCCTCTACTGGCAAATTTGGTGCGTCATACTAAGCCTCACTAGTTTCCCACATGGTTTGTGTTAAGCATGACACATTTGCGCCCTCTGCTGGGAGACTTGAGTGGTTACCTCCCTATTTATCAAAGCTAGGCTGCAATATTGTGTCCTGCTGGACTCTGACATAAACTTTTGACATATACTCTGCTAAAATACGATAAAAAAAAGAGTTGTTTAAGTAGGCAGAAAAGGTTTTAAACATTGTTGAGAGTCTCCAGAGAGAGTTTTCATTTTTTCTTTTTTTTTGGATAAACAACATTTTCATGTATTTTCATTTATTTCAATCTCCATTAGCTTTGGCTAAGGCCATCGCTAGTGGACAGTCACAAAAAACATCCCGCCACAAACACAAAGACGTCAACGTCAATAACCACAACAACTCACAACAGCCTACAAGACAAAAACCAAACAACAAAACCAGAACAATACAAACAACAGACACATATTATCGGACCTTATTCATTTTCACAGTTCTAAAATAATCAGATGTTCAGATATCAACATATAATTCACATAATTGAATACAATTGCAGAAACAGTACAGAATACATCAGCAGAGTAGCTTCATCTAAAGCATGTTGGAGCCAAATTGGATCACACAGTAGAAGACGAAATACGCAACCACCATGTAATCTCATGAAAAAGGATGTGAGCAAAAAAAGAAAAAGTGAGGGTTTTGTGTGCAAATTGATCAACACTAACATGCTACAGCTGTTTGTTTCCACTGTAGGGTTATATGAGCTGGTTGAATCTTACCGTTGCTGCCTGGTTCTCCACACCAGCTCAGTCCATTCAGCACATATCCCAGCAAAGTGTCCTCCAGGGTGAACAGACACTCTGTTTTCTCCGTGTACTTGTGGACCAGTTCATATGTTTTGCTCCAGAACATGGTCTGATCCCAAAAGAGTAGATAAGGCAGCAGTTAAGGAAATGTCAAAATGTGTATAACACTGTTATCAAGGCAGTGGTGTGAAGAAGGATGTTTACTTTGCTACATGGGTGCTTGAAGGGCGTCTCAGCAAAGAGTTTATCATAGTTTTCCTCGATGATGCTGCATTTGTCCTTCCCGATGTAGGCTTGTTTAAAGGCGGCCCATTTATTTTCACAGCTGGAAGACAAATGCAGATACTTAGACTTATTTTCCTCCATGATATTCAGATTTTGTTTTACAAAAATGACGTTTCTACACAATCCTAATACTTTTTCAAACAGCAGGTGTTAAAACTGGACTTACATTTGTTTTTCTTCTGGAAACTCCAAACACTTCCTCATAAATGTTTCCCTGAAATCCTCTTTTTGACCGGTCAGCAGCACCGATGGAACAACAACTACAATTATGACAACCACGGCGGTGACAGTGCCACCAATAGCCACGGCTTTTACTGACACCATGTTTTTAAAAAAACAAAAGTCTTGAACAGAGCGTAGCTGTTGCCGGCTCCTTACCAGGGGTCTCAGGCTCCCTCGAGGTGCAACAGTCCAAACTCTGGTTAAGATTAAAACTTTTATTGCTCCTCCTCCTCCATAAAACACAGAAAAGTCATATCTGTTTGACCGATTAGAGTTACAGAGAGGTCATCTAATCTACTAAAGGGAGCAAATAACCAAGTGTTATCAACCTTAGGAGCATTCAACAGAAACACCACTGATAAAGTGACTTTAAGCGACCCAATCTTTGAACTCCTCGTTATAGTCTTGACAAAGAAAAATTATGACAACAACTTTAAAGTGAAAGAAAACACTGATTTACCTGTAAGGAAAGTCTGTTTGGAGAGCTATCAGTCGTCACATAGTAAACTTGAGTGAACAGAAACATCTAAAAAAAGGTTCCTTTGGATCCTAAAAGCTGAGCTCTGTCTCTTCAACTGCATTATTTCCCTGTGAACAGCACACACTGTAAGTTCAGAGCTCAAACAACATGAGACATTATTCTCCCTAAAGGTAAATCATTATCCCTGAACATGACGACACAGAGCTGTGTTAGTTTCACTGTCATGGTCCTGGTGACCTGATAAGAGAGGGTGGACGACACATCTGAAGTAAAAATAATAATAATAATAATAATAATAATAATAATAATAATAATTATTATTATTATTATTATAAATAAATAAATATTTATTATAATTTTTATAAATTATATTATATATAAATATAATAATTATTATTATTATCATAATTATAACAAAAACAACAAGTATAAGAAGAATAAAAAATAATATGAAGTATAATAGTAAACAACAACAATAATAATAATGATAAATAATAATAATAAATAAATAAATGAATCATAATTATTATAATAATTATTACTATCATAGTATAACAACAAACTACAACAAGTATAATAAGAATAAAAAAATAGTATTCAGTATAATAGTAAACAATAATAATAATAACAATAATAATAATTATGATTTTTTAATTTTAACAAAAACAACTAGTATAACAAGAATATAAAAAATAATAATTATGATTAAAAATTAATAAACAGATAATAATTATAATTATTATTGTTATTATAATTATTACAAAAATGAGTAATAAGAATAAAAAAATAATAATATTAACAGCAACAACAACAACAACAACAACAACAATAATAATAATAATAATAATAAACCAAAGTGGAAGTATCTTTATTCTTCAGATGTTTCAATGCTTGTCTGCAGGTGGCGCCAAATCAACACAAACTGAAAAACTTCTTCACATGAGATTTACAAAACTTCCACTTAAAACACTTTAAACATTCAGAATTTTCAACCACTCACTTACTCCTCATTACTTTCCCATACAGTCCAAAGTAACTTCATCAAAGTGATGTTGTGCTCACAGTCATTAATCATTATTGCAGATCATCTTTATTGCTCAGTGGATGTTTAGGACTTTAATTACCAGCCAGCAGCAATCAGGTTAAATAAAGTGCGGGCACATCTTGGTTCATTCCCCTTCACTATCACTTGTTGATCTATATCAGGTTCAAAGTCTCAGTTTTACTGTAAATAAATCAATAAATAAATTCCACTTTGGCCTACTTAAGAGGCAAAAACCTAAAAAGAAACAGCTCTTCATGTAAAAAGCTTCCTCCAAATTTATGTTTTATTTTTTTAGGGTTTCCTGTGAAGTTTCTGAAAAAATGGAGACAAATGAATTAGAACATACGCAGACACTTTCTGTCATTACGGCTTTACAACACAGGAAATTGTAATGTTGGAACTTAATTAGGACTCTTATTTTGGTAATAATATGACTTGACTACAGCTTTATTCTTGTTGTGTCATCTATTTTGATGTAGTTTTTTTAATGTCTGTATCTTTATTCTTCTTTATTCTTGTTAAGTCTTTGTTGTTGAAAATTTGTAGGCTGCTGTTAAATTCATACATACTTGCTTTGATTATTGAGTGTTTAAAAGCAGCATGTGTGTTTTTACAGCTGAGGCTAAGGTACTTTGAGAATGATGAATTATTTGGGCAATATTTTACCTACAATAATTGAGATGTGGCGTTTTGGAGCAGAAAGACAAATCTTATATCTGCTGACAGCTACTTTAAACATGACATCTAAATGGCTTACAAAGTTTTTTTTTTATCTAACAAAAACAAAAAAAAAATCAACACTTCATCGATGTGCTGCTGAACTTTTCTGATGTCAGCAGTGCCAAATAAACAAAGAACCACAACAGTGATAGGGCTGTCGTTACGCAAGGCGTTTCTTTGACACCTTTATGATGTTTTATCTACAAAATCTGCAGAATTAGGAAGTTTTCTCCACACCAAGCTCGCCACACAGAGGTGCGAAAGCTGACTGGATGATGAGAGCATCAGCAAAATTAAAAGTCATGATACATTTATGATGAAACTGTTTCAGTTTGGTGGGAAAGTTTGTTTCATTAAATGTTTTTAAAATTTCTAAATCATTGTTAAACTGAAAAGGAAGTCCTCGGCTATACAAGCGATGAAAGCATGAATTAGTGTCTCTGCATTGGCTTGAGAGAGAAATGGTCGCACACGGGCTATGTTTTTTTAATGATAAAATGTGATATCTCGTATGTGAGGCTCAAAGCTACATTCTAAATCAAATAAAACACCTACATTTTTAGCTCGTTGACTTGTATTATAGGATAGTGCTTTGAGTTTGCTAAACAGTTTCTCTCTCTTGTCCCCTGTCCCAATGACTAAAACCTGAGTTTTGTCCTGGTTGAGCTGTAAAAAGCTCTCTGCCATCCATATGGCATATATTAATGTCTAAAATGCAGTTAAAAAGGGCATCGAGTGGCCCTGTGTCATCAGGAGACACGGCAACATAAAGTTGTGTGTCGTCAGCATAGCTGTGGAAATCGATGCCGTGCCTCCTGATGACATTCCCTAAAGGCAACATTTAAAGATTAAAAAGAGTAGGGCTTAAAATGGAACCTTGGGGAACACCATACTTCATGTCGAAACATTTAGATGAGCGATCCCCAAGGTTCGCATAAAATCGTCTATCACTACGATAAGATTCATACCAGATATATAATCCTGATACTTACGAAAACTTGAATATAAAACAACAAAAACTGTCAAACTGAGGAAAGGCAAGACAAGGGTGGATACATTTTGTGAGAGCAGATATGGTTTCACACTCTTGGTTGGTGAGTCATCATTTCATAGCTGTCAAAGTTTCAACCAACAATTTTGACACCCTGTCAAGCGGTTGATAAATTCTTAGAAAAGCATCAGGCAGTTCAAGAATTTTGGGATATCATTGTTGGTCAGACAAGTGCTCCTCGGTAATGTGGTCATTCTGTCCACTAAGAAACTGCTGATTTAATGTGTGGTAATGAGCGCTTTGGCCGGCTGCTGATAACTTCTTCATATACATATTTACCTTGTAGTTGAAGCAGGAATAGACTATCTTTCAGTCAAAATAAAAGACAATGTTCCTTACAAAGCCAAGACTCAGCTAGTACAACCTCCTTCTTAAACTAAATTGATGCAGTTTTGGAAAAGTTACCTACTTTAGTCGAGGCTGTTTTCGAGGATTGGGCTTACAGTCCTCACATTACCCAGAAAGGCTTTCTAAAATAATCGACATATAAACATAGAGAATGTATTTATAAAGTGTACAGACCATAATCCAATGCAGTTGGGACTTTTTGTAAAACATAAATTAAGAAAGAATAACATCCTTGCTTGCCAACGCCCTTCTTCAGCCCTGTCTTTATTAAATATCATGGTTCTGTACTTCATTTTTGATACTATCATGTCTACACTCTGCGTTCGTTCCAGTAGGTTGGTTTTTTTTGTTGTTGTTTTTTTAAATTCTGCCAAATTTAGGAAAATTTGAGTAATTGAATTGAATATTGTTATTGCTCTTTTCTGTAGTACTTTTAATGAATGAATCCCCAAACATCAGCAGAGTAACTTAAATAGGGTAAAACCAGCGACCAGTAGAGAGTGTGGAGTATATTGTGACACTTGTGAAAAGTATGTGTTCATGCTTAATGTGGGATTCCCATTAATTTATTGCCCCCAGAAAATTAATTTTCAAAAAAACTCTCAATTCCCACCCCATCTATCTGTAGTTGTAATTAAGCAGACCCTCTACAGTTTCCAAATAGCATCACTTCTAAGTTTAGAGATAGTTTGTTTTTACCAAACCAGTTTCATCCAAAGTATTTCTGAGGTGATATCCTACAGGAATGTTTGCAGATTCTCTCCAGTACAAAGAATACTAGTGTCAATAGCAAATTATATCAGATTCAATACACGTGATACTTTGCTGATGTCATTTGCATGCAGAATAAACAATTTCAGGTCCAATACTGACCCCTTGGGGTAATGCTGCTAAAATACATGAAATAAGTCAGAGGCATCCCAAAAAGTCCCTTTGAGCCAAAATACTGAACCGATTTTCTTTAACGTCAATATTTCCCTGTAAACACATCACACTGTAAGTACACAGCCCAAACAACTCAATGTGTGCAGTGACACACATAAGTGTATTCAGATTTTTAGAGCTTGTGACGCGACTCAGAGCTGGGCGTGACTGAGTGCAAGGTATTTGGGTTGGTCTTATTAATTCAAGAGCTATTTTTATTTATTTTCATTGAAATGAATATAATTATGTTGGGCTGGGTAGGTTTTTTTTTGTTTGTTTTTGTTTTTATTACCATAAAGTTAAAGTATTCTCTCTCCCTTTTTCCCATTTATTTTATAAAAGCTATTTCTTTTTATTTATTATTATTATTGTTATTTATTAGTAATAAAAATATTACTACTACTACTACTACTACTACTACTAATAATAATAATAATAATAATAATAATAATAATAATGATAGCTGCTATTGAAATAGAAATAACTTGTAGTTTTAGTAATAGAAGTAATAATAATAATAATTATTATTATTATTATAATTTTCTATGTTATTTTTCTTGATTTTAATCATATTGATGAAATTGATATTTTGTTGGCTTTCATTGGCCTCCAGTTGCTTGTATAACCATCTTAACTATGTTCCTCTTTGTATTTCATTTTGTTTTGCCTTATTTTATTTAAATTACTAGCAGTGCAGCATGAATATATAGAACATCCTCCCCTCAACAAACCTGCTAACCGGCATCTGCATACATAAAACACTCCACCATGAGGTAAGCTCATAGGTTAATTTACACAAAGACAAAAAAACACTCATACCTTTAGTCATTTATTTATTTTTTTAATCATATTGGTCAAAGCCCACAGTTTTTTGCTCAGATTACTTGATTACTTGAACAAATTGAAGAGTAATGATTTATCTTTCTGCATTGAGTGATTTCTTCTCCAACAGGACACTGGACACTCAAAGCAGCAGCTTTCAAAAGCAGTCTTTTGTGTTTTTATCTATGCAATCCTCAATGTGATCCCTGTGAGAAACAAACAATCAGGATGAAACAGATAAAAGTCTTTGAACAACATAAAAGAGCACAGAGTCAGTTTTTGTTGACAGCTTACTTACAGAGTCACCTCCTTGATAATGTGGTCGAAATTTTTATTTTTTTCCAGCATGTTTTTCAAGTTAGTGAGGTAGTCCCTTCTGCATTTAGTTGTAATCAAAGACATGAAGAGATGACACTTTATACTATTGAAAAGGCAGAAACTGCTTCATGATTTGTGTAAATGTATTTATACGAAGAAGAAAAAACAAACAATGTATTTAGTTATTTAGTTAATGAAATCATACTTGTTCTCCTTATTGACAACCAGAATAACAATGAGCCTCTTCACTTCAGTGGACCGAAGATTTGGAAATTCATACTTGGCGAAATAACTGAACACAAATAAAAAGAGGAGAGAAAACAGCTATATCTCACAGGACATTATGTAATCAACTTATAGGGGCCTTTACTTTAAATCACAGTTTGAACCTTTTTTTCATCTAGAAACAACAAAAGGAATTGTGGTGTTCCCCAAGGTCCTACGCTTTTTAGCCTTTTTTTTTATTACCACTTGGAAATGTCATCTGGAGGCACAACATCAACTTCCATGGTGACGCAGATGACTCACAGCTTTATATTGCAGTGTCTCCACATGAGCCAGAACCACTTGATACCCTTTATAACTGTATTTTAAATATTAAGTCATGGATGGCAGAGAACTCTCAGCTCACAACTCAACCAGGACAAAACTCGGGTTTTAGTCACTGTTACTGGATATCTGATAGAGAAACTGGATAAACCCAAAGTACTGTCTTTTAACCAATAGATCTCACATTGTTAATACATGCACTTTATTGTGATTATCAGTGAGTAATCAGTCATAATGCCTATTATCAACAGATTTGTACATACAACAAAGCAGTTGTAGTGCTGCTTACCGATTCTCATCGTATGGTTGGTCTTGGTCACCATCCAGCATCAGCCGTGACATCACCACAGGCATATTTTGCAAACTAAAGACGTTAAAACATGACAGTTAAGAGTTGGAGAAATTAAAAATAGACCCCTGTTTGAGTTTACTTATTACAGTACATGAAGTCAGACCTCCCTTGTGTTGGGACTGTGTATCAGTTCATTGTACAACAGTGCCCACTAGAGTTCAAACGAGGACTTTTTTGAAGAAGGACCAGGCCTGCTGGTTTTGTCTTCCAATAAACCGAGGTGCTGTTGCATGGATCACTGACTGAATGATAGTAAATGTTGGAGGTTTACCCTGATAGAAGCCATAATCCAGAATGAATCGACGGCATTTGGCCAGAATGGATTGACGGCATTTGGCTTGTTTGTACTGCTATCGCTGGTAAATGTTTCTAGAAAAACAGACAAAAACACATCAGTTACATATTAATATATATAATTTACAAGTTATCGTTTAACCAACTGATAGATATCACTGAATATTTGGTGTTTTTAAGGGTCACAAAGATGGACGAAGACAATTTCAGATTATGTCAAGCTAGGCAAACCGTGAAGTAAACTTGTATGTCATCAGTATATTTTCATTTTCAGACTCTGGACTGACTGTGAATGATGACTCTCACCCTCGCTGCCTTCCTTTCCATACCAAATCAGTCCGTCCAACACGTGTCCCAGCAAAGTGTCCTCCAAGGTGAAATAACTGCCTGTCTTTTTAGTGAACCTGTGGACCACATCGTTGGTTTTTTCCCTATTTATCCCGCTATAGAACATGGTCTGACCCCAAAAGAGTAAACATGGCATTGTTAGACATACACAATAAAATCCACAGGAGAGAGCTGTGTGATGGAGGAAGCTTACTTTGCCACATGGATGTTCGAAGAGCGTCTTATCGAAGAGTTTGTTGTAACTATCCGCTGTGACAGCTGAATCTTTCTTCCTCACATAGGCTTCTTCAAAGATCGCCAGAGTATCCTCACAGCTGAAAGACAAATGTAACATGTTAATACATCAGACTTTTTTTTTAAAATCCATGATAAATAAGAGTTTGATTACTTTTTATTGTTAATGCAAAAATATTCTATAGACTTAATCTCAATGAGAACTCCTCAAAGAGAGTGTCAAGAGACTTACCTGTTTTTGTCCTTTGGATACTCAACACACTTCTTCATGAATGCGGCCTCGAACTCGGCTGTCTGATCCAGCAGTGCTGATGGAACAAGGACAACCACGATGACCATGACAGTCAAGGTACCACTGATGGGTAAGGCCTTTTTGGATGACATGTTGAAGCGTCTTCTGCAGAATCAAGCTCTGAGTACGTTTTCTCTGAGCAGGACTATGTCTTTAAAAATGATCTGGTATTCAAATATTTAGTGATATTGATAAACTTTCATTTGAATCACAATCAAACAGACACTATAATCTCCAGTCATGGATGTGTTAACATCACCATCTGATTTCCAGGTAAAAGTGTCATAACGGCACAGCCTGAATGAAGATAGATGTGGCGCACATATGAATTTGAAAGACTGAGCATCTGAAGTTCAGATGTTTTTATAACATAAAGAATGAAAATTGCTACCTTTAATACAAAACTAGTCAAATTTCAAATATTCTCACTGTCTTATCTAAGGACCGAAACCCCATTAATCCTGCAAGACAAGCTGAAAAACAAACTATTTTGATGACCAATAAGAAGTGACAGGTTATTCATAATCATCAGTCTGTCTTCTAACCTGTGAGTGAACTCCTTATCAGATCATGTAGCTCATTGACTTATAAGATAAATTATAACCATAGATTTTCCAAGTTGTGTCTATTTTAAAGCTGTGTAAGACGATCTTCCACAACTTTCTGACATACTCAGTGCAGTTTGTATCTTGAGTTTAGAGCAGTGCTGGTGGAAGAAGGACAGACACGATAACCAGCAGAGATGATGAGCAGAGAGGGGGAGGAGACTAGAAAAAAGAAGTAGTGCATCTGAGGTGACACGCTTTTACTATCTCGACAAAATTTGTTTTTTCATCTGGATTAAAAACTACTGCACCTGTATCACGAAAGTGTGCAAGATATCCTCGACTCCTTCTACTCGTTTGTCCTGGCAGATAACACAGTCGTAGATACAATAGAGCCTGTGAAAGCTACACATTTTTTGAAGTGTTCATAATCCTCTTTTAATAGAATCAAGCAGAATTCAGGAATGTCAGGGTGTAATGAAGTCGATGATTCATGTTTTTTACAAAAGCCTCCACCTTCCACAGTGTACATGTCTCTCTACCACATCCTCCAGTGAGTCCAACTTGATTCCAAACACCGACTAGCTCGTATTCACCAGTTTGTCCAAACGCCCTTGCTTCTTTGTGTTTTATACTGCCTCCCTCAGCACACTGTAGCATAAAGACTGTAGACTTTACATGGTTAAAGTCTCCTGATATTATAACAAGAACCTCAGGATGTTGAGTCTGTATCCTAGCAACAGCATCATGAAGAACATCACACGGAACTTCAGCCGTTGCCTTGGGTGGGATGTAAACAAGTATTGTTATGATGTTGTTATAAGTCTGAAGAGCAAGAGACAACAGTTCAATATCTGGGCAACCACATGCTTTCAATCAGGTTCAACTACAAGTTTTAGAGAAAAACTCTTAACTTGGGGCCCTGGACATGAGCAAGTGTCAGCTAAGGGCAGAAAGGAACAAGTGTCAAGTCACAAGTGATGCCACACTGATCAGCCAGATAATCCAGAGTTGTTGCACTTCTCCGGCCACCAAGCGCTACTTTAATGTCTCTGCCTTCACGGTGCTGTAAGTCAGCAAAGTTATGCTGAGTGGTTTCATTGTTTTTACAAATTATTTGTTCAGATATGAAAATAATTCCACAGAATGTTTTTAAAGAAAGATGATTTATTTGTTTTTTAGAGGATAGTTAGTTTATCTACAGAAAGACAAAAACCATGTTGACACCATTCGCCATTTATTTTGTACTTCAACCAAATCAGACAAAGCCCACAAATTCTTGCTCAGATTATTTAATGCTCCATTACACTCAGTCTACATTTGCACATGTTGAAGCGTTAAAACTTTGGTTTTCTAAAAGTCAATGATTTATCTTTCTACATTGAGGGATTTCTTCTTAAACATTGCGGCGTACATGACACTCAGCGCGGCACCTATTCAAAGATGTTTCCTTTGCCTTCTTTTATGCACTTCTCAATGTGAGCTCTGTGAAATGAACAAAACACATGAAAGTTTGTTTTTTAACAGCGTAAAAGAGCACAGAGTCAATTTTGGTTGACAGTTTACTTACTTAGTCACTTCCTTGCAAGCGTAGCCGATGTTTTTTCCTTTCATGATGTTGTTCAAGTTTTTGAGGGACTCATTGTTGCACTTAGTGCTAAAACAGAGACATGAAGAGATGACAAAATATCTTTATAAAATATTAACTGCAGTTTGAATAGATAGCCTAGCGGGACCATAGTCCCTGCGGCAGCCGAGGGCCTGAATTCTGGCCCTGACGTTTTGCTGCATGTTGTCCCCTCTCTCTGTCTCCCATGTTTCCTCTCTGTTCTACCCATTAGAGGCACAAAACACCCAAATAAAAAAGTGCTTCATAGTCAGTGATGCTAGTTCGACTTGACTTAGTAATGCACTACTCTAATAAGTCCACTTTTTTCAGTAACGAGTAATCTAACACGTTGCTATTTCCAAACCAGTAATAAGATTTAAGTTACATGTCTAAGTCACTGCGTGTGTTACTTTATTCTCATTTTCCTTAAAAAAAGACAGATTTATTTTCATCTCGGAGAGTGACATAACTCACATAGGTGACAAGCCATGTTTTCAGTACGAGGACCACTTACTTGTAATACATGTACACACAGAAAGCAGCCGCGGCAAAACAAACATAAACAACAATAGGAGAGGAGAGAGATGCGCGTTCTTAAGCTGGAAATACAGCCACGATTTTTACTTTGTGTCAGCTAATGATAACAATAAAAAAGTGTGTTTTATAAGTCAATAAAGACTGTCTTTATATATAAAAATGTTTATGTTTTCAGTCAAGAAAGATTATCTTTATTATCATTCTCTTAAACAGGTATTTTTGACACTCCTGTGAAAATTACACTTCCAATTAAGAGAGTGTCATTTATATGTTCAGGCTGCTGAATAAAACTTAAAAAGTAACTTTTTGTCCAACTTTGTTACTTTTCAAATCAAATAATCAGTAAAGTAACTAAAATACATTTTAAACGACTAATCTGTAATCAGTTATCAAATTACTTTTTAAAAGTAACTGTGGCAAAACTGTTCATAACGTGTATGATGAGCAGTGCTGGTGGAAGAAGGACAGACACGATAACCAGCAGAGATGATGAGCAGAGAGGGGGAGGAGACCAGATAAAAAGAAGTAGTGCATCTGAGGTGACACGCTTTTACTATCTCCACAAAATTTGTTTTTTCATCTGGATAAAAACTACTGCACCTGTATCACAAAAGTGTGCAAGATATCCTCGACTCCTTCTACTCGTTTGTCCTGGCAGATAACACAGTCGTAGATACAATAGAGCCTGTGAAAGCTACACATCTTTTGAAGTGTTCATAATCCTCTTTTAATAGAATCAAGCAGAATTAAGGAATTTCAGGGTGGAATGAAGTGGATGATTCATGTTTTTTACAAAAGCCTCCACCTTCCACAGTGTACATCTCTCCACCACATCCTCCAGTGAGTCAAACTTGATTCCAAACACCGACTAGCTCTTATTCACCAGTTTGTCCAAACGCCCTTGCTTGCTTGTGTTTTATACTGTCTCCCTCAGCACACTGTGGCATAAAATCTGTAGACTTTATGCCACACTTTATGCCACACTTTAGACCCTGGACATAAGCGAGTGTCAACTGGAGCACAAAGAAAACTTCAGACCCATGAACAAGTGTGAAGTCACAAGTGACGCCACACTGATCAGCCAGATAAACCTGAGTTTTACTACTCTGGCCACCAAGCGCCACTTTAATGTCTCTGCCTTCTCAGCACTGAAAGTCAGCAAAATCATGTCAAGTGGCTTCGATGTCTTTGTAAACTACTATACTACTACTATATATAAATATGTATATATATATATATATATATATATATATATATATACACACACACACACACACACAGACAGAGACAAACCGTTTGCAATTTATTTTGTTTTTTCATCATATCAGACAAGGCTGACAATTTTTTGCTCAGATTGTATTTATTGTTCCATTACACTAAGTCCATGTTTGCACATGTTGAAGCTGGAAAACTTTGGTTATCTAAAAGTTGATCACAAATCTTTGGAAAATCAACGAATTTAAGATGAATGATTTATCTTTCTGCATTGAGGGATTTCTTCACCAACAGTGCCGCTTGACGCTCAGAGCAGAAACTTTACCAGCAGACTCCTTTGCCTTCTTTTATGCACTCCTCAATGTGAGCCCTGTGAGAAACAAACAATCAGGATGAAAATGATGAAAGTCTTTGAACAACATAAAGGAGCACAGAGTCAGTTTTTGTTGTCAGCTTACTTACAGAGTCACTTCCTTGCAAGCGTAGCCGATCTTTTTTCCTTTCAGGATGTTGCTCAAGTTCTTGAGGGACTCCTTGTTGCACTTAGTGCTAATTAAAGACATGAAGAGATTACACTTAATGATATCTAAAAAGCAGAAACTGCTTCATGATTTGTGTCAATGTATTTATACGTAAATAAAATATTGATGTATTTAGTTATTTAGTTAATGAAATCATACTCGTCTTTCTGACCGACAACCAGAATAACAACGAGGTTCTTCACTTCAGGGGACTGAAGATTTGGAACTTCATGCGTAGCGAACACACTGAACACAAATAAAAAGAGAAGAAAAAAGGAACATTTCACAGGGCATTATTTGATCAACTTTAAGAGGCCAATGATCCAAGGAGCTAAGTTGCTGGGAGCTTTATGCAACTGGTAGGGTCACCCAAGACAAACAGGTCCTGGGAAAGGGACCAAGTTTCCCTCATCTGGCAGTCTGATCCTGGGCTGCAAAAGCTAGCTCTCAGGACATGGAACGTCACCTATCTCTGGAGCTGAAGTTGCCGAGGGAGTTATAAGTCTTTTTGGTGGCAGGGGTGGATCAAATCCACCCTGAGTTCCTCAAGGTCCTGGATGTTGTGGGGCTGTTGTGGCTGACATGACTCTGCAGCATCATGTGGACATTGGGGGCAGTGCCTCTGGATTGGCAGGGGCGGGTCCATTGGATTGTTGAAGCTCAGATCCAAGAGGAGCAATGTGTTTTTTGTCCCAGTCATGGAACTGTGGACCAGCTCTACACCCTTGGTGGGATCCTTGAGGGTGCATGGTAGTTTGCAAAACCAGTCCACATGTGATTTGTGGACTTGGAGAAGGGATTCGACTGTGTCCCTCAGGAATTCCTACAGGGGTGCTTCAGGAGTATGGAGTACCAGACACCCTGATAAGGTCTGTTTGTTCCCTGTATGACTGGTGCCAAGTGTAAATAAAAAGAAAAGATGCCAGGTCTGTCCCTCCTGAGAGGAAACTAACAAACAAGTACCTCCTTGTTTGTTACTGCGAATTACATTTGCAGAAAGTGCAGTTACATTCTGTCCATCATGTGAAGAACATTGAAAATGTTTGTGAAGAGGAAAAAACTTTAGCTAACTAGTTCTTAAACATAGTGTAGGAATTTTTTAAAAAAAGTATTTTATGTCTCTTTCTTAACTGTTAAAAAAAAAAACTAAAGATGTCCTTGGTTTAACCTGTTTTGAGCGGACATACACAGTGTGGGTCAAAATGACCTGCAACTTAACCTATGTAATTTTGTTTCAACATAATACAAGGGTTAATACATGCACTTTATTGTGGTTATCAGTGAGTAATCAATCATAATGCCTATTATCAACAGATTTGTACATACAACAAAGCAGTTGTAGTGCCGCTTACCTTTTATCATAGTATGGTTGCTCTCTCTCACCATCCAGCATCACTGTGACATGACCACAGGCGTATTGTGCAACCTAAAAACATTAAAACATAAAGGTGAAGAGTTGGAGAAATTAAAAATAGACCCCTGTTTGAGTTTACTATTACAGTACATGAAGTTAGACCTCCCTTGTGTTGGCACTGTGTATCAGTTCATTGTACAACAGTGCCCACTAGAGTTCAAACGAGGACTTTTTTGAAAAAGGACCAGGCCTGCTGGTTTTGTCTTCCAATAAACTGAGGTCATGTTGCATGGATCACTGACTGAATGATAGTCAATGTTGGAGGTTTACCTTGACAGAGGCCATAATCCAGAATGAAATGTAAGGGTTTGGCATGGTGTCAGTGCAATGCTCAGTAAATGTTTCTAGAATAACAGACAAAAACACATCAATTACATATTAATATAGATAATTTACAAGTTACCGGTCAACTGACTGATAGATATAATTCAATACTTGTGTTTTTAAGGGTCACAAAGATGGACGAAGACAATTTCAGATTATGTCAAGCTAGGCAAACCGTGAAGTAAACTTGTATGTCATCAGTATATTTTCATTTTCAGACTCTGGACTGACTGTGAATGATGACTCTCACCCTTGCTGCCTTCCTTTCCACACCAAATCAGTCCGTCCAACACGTGTCCCAGCAAAGTGTCCTCCAAGGTGAAATAACTGCCTGTCTTTTTAGTGAACCTGTGGACCACATCTGTGGTTTTGACCCTGTCTATCCCGCTATATAACATGGTCTGACCCCAAAAGAGTAAACATGACATTGTTAGACATACACCTTAAAATCCACAGTAGAGAGCTGTGTGATGGAGGATGCTTACCTCGCCACATGGATGCTTGAAGGGCGTCTTATCGAAGAGTTTGTTGTAGCTATCCTCAGTGACAGCTGTTTTTTTCTTCCCCACATAGGCTTCTTCAAAGATCGCCAGAGTAGCCTTACAGCTGAAAGACAAATGTAACAAGTAAATACATCCATGAAAAATAAGTGTTTGATTATTTTTGTTTTCTTTAGGCTCAATCCTGATGAGGCCTCCTTCAATGAAGAGTGTAAAGAGACTTACGTGTTTTTGTCTTCAGGAAACTCAACACACTTCTTCAAGAATGCGGCCTCGAACTCGGCTGTCGGATCCAGCAGTGCTGATGGAACAAGGACAACCACGATGACCATGACAGTCAAGGTACCGCTGATGGGTAAGGCCTTTTTGGATGACATGTTGAAGCGTCTTCTCCACAGAATCGAGCTCTGAGGAAGTTTGCTTTGAGCAGGACTTCTTATGTAGAAGTAGAATTGCTGACTTTGTGACGAGCAGAGAAGGGGAGGGGACCAGAAAAAAGGAAGCTGTAGAGCATCTATGGTGACATATTTTCAATATCTGATGGATTAAACCACCTCGTATGAAACTATACACAACATTATTGGCTATTATTTGCACTTCCCCTGACAGATAAAACAGTACTACTGTCTGTCTTAAGATATCTTAAGACCCATGTCTGTAGACACGTCTTTTAGACATGTCTTGACTTACCAAGACGTCTCAAGACATCTCAGCAAATATGTCTTAAGACACATCTTAAGACATCTTAAGACACTTTAAAGGCTGGGTACTTACAATAATGATAGTTTACCTTTAAAGTGATCAGAAGTATCAGTCTGCCTATTTGTCTGAATTCAGACAGTGCTGAATTTTTTCTTTAAGGTTATGTGAAATGAGTGTCCAGTGCAGCCTGAAAGTTAACCGAGAAAGTGTAGGGTCAACTCTACTTATAATAAAATGTTTTTCATGAAGAAACTTGTAGGATTAAAACTTCTTATAACAAAATATTTGAAAAAAAATGGTATTCAAATATTTGGGGGGACATTGATAAACTTAAATTTGGGTCACAATCACAGCAACACTATGGTCCGTTCTCTGCTGTTAGTTCATTTTTAACCATTAACATACCAGTCCTGGTTGTGTTTATGTTACTGTCTGATTTTGTGGGTAGAAGTGTAATAATGGCGCAGAGGAGGAACATGCAAAGTACTGCATGAAAATCAAGTTGATTGACACTAACTTTGTATTTTACTTTTTCATTGTTCGTATATTCATTTATATTATGACAAAACCTCTTCATGCAAACTTTAAAAAGTAATTTCCAGAAGTGTTTAAAGCAAATGTTTGATTCTTCTGCTTGTTGTACTTCTAAAACTTTACATGGTTTCATATGAATCTTTAATAGAGTTCTAACAAATAATGTGAGAATCATTTACATGGATGATCATTTCGAAAATGAGACAACATTTGGAATCAACCTCTTTGGAATTAGGGTTTGCAAGTATATATATAGTGTCACAAAATATTGTGATACAATTTTGAGGCTGGATCGCTGACCACTACTCTGGCTTACACAGATAACCAATGTAGAGAGGCCAACACTGAAGTTATAGTCTCATATGTGATCTAATCAGACTGTGAGTCCCTCTTCCTGAACCTTCTGCAGACCATGCCGACTCCTCTTACAATAATCTCATCTCAATGAAACAACGGCATGAATGAGAACCTCAGCACCATTAAATGATAAGATGGATCTGATCTTAGAGATCTATTGGTCACCTGTTTAATATGCAGGCCAAATGCAAAATTCTAAATGATATCCACCCTGATTTCTTAATCCTGCCACTTGCAATCATCCAGTGACTGAGCAGAATTATTATTCAAGTGACCTATCTTTGCAGGTTTATCAACTATCATTTCCATCTTGGCTGAGTTGAGAAACAGGATGTTTGGACACAACTGTTATCTAAAAGCATCAGAAAAGATTTGAGATGTGGTCTAACTAATTTCTGCAAAAATAACTGCAAATCATCAAAATAACGCAACATCCGACTCAATGGTGACGGGTACAATGGAAACAACAGCGGGCCAAGGACAGACCCCTGTGGGACTCGACGACAATAAAAAAGAGCAACAATTGGAGTTTTTAAACATCTACCGGCTTTGCATACTTTCACCTGGAGACTCCATTTAAACTTTAAAAAGTAATTCCACATAATGTTTGAAAAGAAAGATGACTTGTTTGTTTTTTAGAGGATAGTTTGTCAATTTACAGAAAGACAAAAACCAAAGACAACCAAATCAGACAAAGCCCACAAAAATTTTGCTCTGATTGTATTTATTCCACCATTATACTCAGTCTATATCTTTGGCCGTCTAAAATTTAATCACAAATCTTTAAAAATTCAACATTTACTGAAGAAGCTCAAACAAGTTTAAGATACTTGATTTATCTTTCTGCATTGAGGGATTTCTTCTCCAACAGTGTGGTGTGAAATTCAGCGCAGCAGCTTTCAAAAGCAGTCTTTTGTGCCTCTTTTTATGCAGTTCTCAATGTGAGCCCTGTGGGAAACAAACAATCAGGATGAAACGGCATAAAAATCATAAAAGAGCACAGAGTCAAATATGGTTGGCACTTTACTTACTTAGTCACTTCCTCGCAAGCATAGCGGATATTTTTTCCTTTCATGATGTTGCTCAAGTTTTTGAGGGACTCATTGTTGCACTTAGTGCTAAAACAGAGACATGAAGAGATGACACAATATATTAAAAAAGCAGTAACTGCAGTGTGAATAGATAGCATAGCAGGTTGGTGCATCCCTCGTATGGGGACCAAAGTCCCTGCAGCAGCCGAGGGCCTGAATTCTGGCCCTGACTTTTTGCTGTATGTTATTCCCTCTCTCTATCTCCCATTAGAGGCACAAAACGCCTTAAAAAAAATACTTCATAATATGTACTCATGTATTTATAAGCCAAATTTATCAATGTATTTACTGAATCAGTTAGTGAAATCATACCCGGTCTTCTGATTAACAACCAGAATAACAGTGAGGCTCTTCACTCTGGGAGATTGAAAATATGGGACCTCTTCTTCAGCAAAGGCGCTTTGAGCAAAAAGACAGAGGAGCAAACTTTAAGGATTACACAAAAACATCAATCTTCAAAGGAGCTTTTACTGTCCATGAAGAACAGTTTTATACATATTTGAACATTTGAAACAGCACAGGTAGAGGGATTTTCTCTTCACTGGTATCATTTATAAAACTGTCATCAGAGCAAATGTAGAGCTGCTTACGTGTCCGGGAAGAATGGTTGCGGTGTTTCACCATCCAGCATCACATGGAGATCATCACAGGCATACTGGGCAAACTGCAAACATAAAGCATGACAGTAAAGTGTTGGACTAAATAGTTTAGTTTTAGTTTTATTATTTATACCAGTCTGAGCTAAGTTATCACAGCACATGTGGTCACACCTCCCTCATGTCAGCCCGTGTCTCAGTTAAAATGAAATGTACAATTTTGCTCCCCAGGGGACCAACAAGGACTTTTTAGGAGAACCAGGCCTGATGATTTTGTCTTCTTGTAAGTTTAAGGACCATTGCATATCGTACTTACTGAATTAGTGATTTCTCCCCATGGGTTCTTACCTTAATAGAAATCTTTAGCCAGAATGAACCAACAGCGACTGTCCAGGGGTCACCGCAATCTGTGGTAAAGGTCTCTAGAAAAACACAGGCAGAAATGTTAACTGTCTCTGTGTGACAGATTAAAGGTCGAGGAACTTGTACAGAAGCTATACAGCCGACTGACGGATATCACAAAATGCTCCTGTTTTTCAGGTTGTAAAAGAAAACAAAGACGATTTGATTGTTTTTAGATAATTAGCTGTAAAAAAAAAAAATTAACATTGTACTTTCAAGTTAGGCAAAACAGTATTTTTCAGACTCTGGACTGACTGTAAATGATGAATCTCACCCTTGCTGCCTTCCTTTGAACACCATGTCATCCTGGTCAGCACATAACCCAACAAAGTGTCCCCAACGGCGATAAAATTGTCTCTCTTCTGCGTGAACCGGCTGGCCAGCTGATATGTCCCACTCCAAAACAAGCTCTAACCCCACAAGAGTTAACATGACATTGTTAGATATACAAACTAAAATCCACATTAAAGAGCTGTTTGACGAAGTCAGCTTACTTTGCCACATGGATGTGTGAAGGGCGTCTTATCAAAGAGTTCGTTGTAGCTATCCTTAGTGACAGCTGAATCTTTCTTCCCCACATAGGCACGTTCAAAGATCGCCAGTGTCGCCTTACAGCTGAAAGACAAATGTTACACGCAAATACATCAGACTTTATTAAATCCATGATGAATAAATGTTAGATTACTTTTAGTTGATAATGCAAAAATAATCTGTAGACTTATTCCCAATGAGGCCTCCTTTAGTAGAAAGTGTCAAGAGACTTACCTGTTTTTGTCCCTTGTATAATCAACACACTTCTTCAAGAATGCGGCCTCGAACTCGGCTGTCTGATCCAGCAGTGCTGATGGAGCAAGGACGACCACGATGACCATGACAGTCAAGGTACCCCTGATGGGTAAGGAGTTTTTGGATGCCATGTTGACGCGTCTTCTTCTGCAGAATCAAGCTCTGGTAAAGTTTTCTTTGAGCAGGACTTCTTATAGAGAAGTAGAATTTCTGACTTTGTGACGAGCAGAGAAGGGGAGGGGACCAGAAAAAAGGAAGCTGTAGAGCATCTAAGGTGACACGTTTTCAATATCAAGATAAAATTTGCGTTCTCACGTAGATTAAAAAACCTCTTATGAAACCATACACAACATGATTGGCCATTTTTTGCCTTTTTTTTCCATTAAAGGGATCAAGCAGAAGTACCAGCCTGCTTATTCGCCCAACATTTCCTTTTAAGGTTGTGAGATGAGGCGAAAATGACTTTTGGTAAGATTAAAATGTTGACATTTTTGTGCTCAGCTCTCTTCTGGTCACCACTGTTGATGGTTCAAGTTATTTTGTAATGAGTAACAACTTGAAACATACCTAGGATGTTGTAGGATACAGTCTGTTGCTCTGCTACAGTTCCCCTTCTAAATGTTTGGGACCCAAAAGCCCCAATAAGGTTCTTTGTATGTTGATGTATAGTATGAAACTCATTCTGTATTTGTCTAACTCTGAACCATCATTCTTATGTCTACAAAAACGAACTGGTATTCAAATATTTCGGGACATTGATAAACTTAAATTTGAGTCATAATCAAAGTAACACTAATGTATGTACTCTGCTGTTAGTTAATTTTTAACCGGTAACATACCAGTCCTGGCTGTGTGTATGTTCCTATCTGATTTTGTGGGTAGAAGTGTAATAATGTCACAGAGGAGGAACATGCAAAGTAAAACTTACTGCATGAAAAAAAAGATGACTGACACTAACTTTGTATTTTACTTTTAAATTGTTCGTATATTCATTTATATTATGACAAAACCTCTTAATGTGAACTTTAAAGCAATCAAAAACAAATTTTTGATTCCTTTACTTGTTGTGGATGGTTTCAAAACTTTGGTGGTTTCATATGAATCTTTAATAGAGATCAAACAAATGATGTGAGAATCATTTACATGGACGTTCACAGAGGCTTGAAAAAGAACCTCAGCATCATTAAATGATAAGAAATATCTGATATTAGAGATATTCCTATGGTGGGAAAAAACAAGATTCAAGATGTGGTGTAGCTAATTTCCACTAATACAACTGCAAATCATCAAAATAACGCAACATCGAACTGAATGGTGACAGGTACAATGGAAACAACAGTAGACCAAGGACAGACCCCTGTGGGACTTCATGTCTAAAAGGAATAGGCTCTTAAGAGACAAGCAAAAAAAAAAAAAAAAGGCAACTATTGGAGTTTTTAAGCATCCACCAGCTTGGCATACTTTCACCTAGAGTCTCCATTTAAACTTTAAAAAGTGGACACAAGTTTTGTCTAATTATGTATCAATCCAGGTTTCTATAGGTATTGTAGTTTTTGATCACTCACTGTTCAATGACCATGATGATGTATGGAGTAATTTAGAGATTTTAATGGGTGTGTATTGCGTGGAATGTTCGTGGCAGAGTGAGTGACATCATCGGCTAGAGTGAGAGAAGTTCCATGAAATTGTGTCAAACTTTTCTCTTTCCCGGACACAAATTTCACTCTACATGCATGTTTTTTTCCACAGTTGTAGACACACTTGTTCTGTCTCTAATGATGTGTTCATCTAAGCAATGAGACTTACAGAATTTAAACACTGATTTTCTTAGTGCAGCAATGTCTATCTCTGCTCCTCATTGACACTAGTACAAAGATCTTCTGAGGGATTATTTACAGGTGTGTCTAAACTATTAACCATAGAAACACAAAGAACATACTAAAGCATTAAGGGGGTCCTTACAATGACCACGGTCTGCTTTTTTTTCTGGTGGGAGCTACCTTTTTGTCAGAATGAACCCGATTGTGAGTCCAGCACCAAGGCAAAAAAATCACTCTGTTGTCATAGGCAACAAGCTCAAGCTGCCGTGGCAACCTGTGGGCTTAAGGCTGGTGCCAACTGTATCCTGTATCATGAAGAACATCACATGGAACTTCTGCCGTTGTCTTTGTCAGACATATAAAAGTATTGTTATGATATGACTGAACTCCCTTGGAACATAATATGGCTAAAGAGCAACTGCCAAGAGTTCAATATCTGTGCAACCACATGCTTTCAATCAGATTCAACTACAAGTTTTAGAGAAAAACTCTTAACTTGGGGCCCTGGACATGAGCAAGTGTCAGCTAAAGAAAACTTCACACCCACGAACAAGTGTCAAGTCAGAAGTGACGTCAACGCAATACTTTGATGTCTCCGCCTTCACAGTACTGTAAGTCAGCAAAGTTATGTCAAGTGGTTTCATTGTCTATAAAAACTATTTGTTCAGATATGAAAATAATTCCATGAAATGTTTTAAAAGAAAGATGAGTTATTTGTTTTTTAGAGGATAGTTAGTTTATCTACAGAAAGACAAAAACCATGTAGACACCATTTGCCATTTATTTTGTAATTCAAACAAATCAGACAAAGCCCACAAATTCTCGCTTAGATTATTTGATATGACATTACACTGGTTTTCTAAAAGTCAATCACATATCTTTAGAAAATCAACAAATTTAAGATAAATGATTTATCTTTCTGCATTGAGGGATTTCTTCTTAAACAGTGTGGCGTACATGACAGTCAGCGCAGCAGCTTTCAAAAGCAGACTCCTTTGCCTTTTTTTATGCAGTCCTCAATGTGCGCTCTGTGAAATGAATGAAACACGAGAGTTTTTCATTAATAGCCTAAAAGAGCACTGAGTCAAATATGGTTGGCACTTTACTTACTTAGTCACCTCCTTGCAAGCGTAGCCGATCTTTTTTCCTTTCATGATGTTGCTCAAGTTTTTGAGGGACTCATTGTTGCACTTAGTGCTAAATTAAAGACATAAAGAGGTAACACAATATATTAAAAAAGCAGGAACTGCAGTGTGAATAGATAGCATTGCAAGTTGGCGCATCCCTCATATTAGGACCAAAGTCCCTGCAGCAGCCGAGGGCCTGAATTCTGGCCCTGACATTTTGCTGTGTGTTATTCCCTCTCTCTATCTCCCATTAGAGGCACAAAACGCCTTAATAAAAAAATACTTCATAATATGTACTCATGTATTTATAAGACAAATTTATCAATGTATTTACTGAATCAGTTAGTGAAATCATACCCGGTCTTCTCATTTACAACCAGAATAACAGTGAGGCTCTTCACTCTGGGAGATTGAAAATATGGGACCTCTTCTGTATCGAAGGCACTTTGAGCAAAAAAGACAGAGGAGCAAACTTTAAGGATTATACAAAATCATCAATCTTTAAAGGAGATGTTACTGTCCATGAAGAACAGTCTTACACATATTTGAACATATGAAACAGCACAGGTAGAGGGATTTTCTCTTCACTGGTATCATTTATAAAACAGAGTAAATGTAGAGCTGCTTACGTGCCTGGGTAGAATGGTTGCTTTGTTTCACCATCCAGCATCACATGGAGATCATCACAGGCATACTGGGCAAACTATAGACATAAAGCATGACAGTAAAGTGTTGGACAAATAGTTTAGTTTTAGTTTTATTATTTATATCAGTCTGAGCTATGTTATCACAGCACATGTGGTCACACCTCCTCATGTCAGCCCATGTCTCAGTTAAAATGAAATGTGCAATTTTGCTCCCCAGGGGACCAACAAGGACTTTTTAGGAGAACCAGGCCTGATGATTTTGTCTTCTTGTAAGTTTAAGGACCATTGCATATTGTAACGACTGAAAAAGTGCAACTGCTTAGAAAAGACTTTCTCACCTTTACAGAGGCCTTTAGCCAGAATGAAATAACAGGGACAAGCGAGGAGTCACCACAATCTTTTGTAAAGGTTGCTAGAAAAACACAGGCAGAAACACACAAAGCATATCTTTATAAAAGTTACTTGCGATTGAAACTGCAGTTGATCTCTGCGTGACAGATTATGGATCAAGGAACTTGCATAGAAGTTATACAGCCGACTGACGGATATCACAAAATGCTCCTGTTTTTCAGGTTGTAAAAGAAAACAAAGACGATTTGATTGTTTTTAGATAATTAGCTGTAAAAAAAAAAAATTACATTGTACTTTCAAGTTAGGCAAAACAGTATTTTTCAGACTCTGGACTGACTGTAAATGATGAATCTCACCCTTGCTGCCTTCCTTTGAACACCATTTCATCCCAGTCAGCACATAACACAACAAAGTGTCCCCAACGGCGATAAAATTGTCTCTCTTCTGCGTGAACCGGCTGGCCAGCTGATATGTCCCACTCCAAAACAGGCTCTAACCCCACAAGAGTTAACATGACATTGTTAGATATACAAACTAAATTCCACATTAAAGAGCTGTTTGACAAATTCAGCTTACCTTGCCACATGGATGTGTGAAGGGCGTCTTATCAAAGAGTTCGTTGTAGCTGTCCTTAGTGATATCTGATTCTTTCTTCCCCACATAGGCACGTTCAAAGATCGCCAGTGTCGCCTTACAGCTGAAAGACAAATGTTACACGCAAATACATCAGACTTTATTAAATCCATGATGAATAAATGTTTGATTACTTTTAGTTGATAATGCAAAAATAATCTGTAGACTTAATCCCAATGAGGCCTCCTTTAATAGAAAGTGTCAAGAGACTTACCTGTTTTTGTCCTTTGGATACTCAACACACTTCTTCATGAATGCGGCCTCGAACTCGGCTGTCTGATCCAGCAGTGCTGATGGAACAAGAACGACCACGATGACCATGACAGTGATGGTACTGCTGATGGGTAAGGACTTTTTGGATGCCATGTTGAAGTGCCTTCTTCTTGCAGATTCAAGCAAGTTTTCTTTGAGCAGGACTTCTTATACAGAAGTAGAATTGCTGACAGTGTGACAGGCAGAGAAGAGGAGGGGACCAGAAAAAAGGAAGCTGTAGAGCATCTATGGTGACATATTTTCAATATTGAGATGAAATTTGTGTTCTTAAATAGATTAAAAAACCTCTTATGAAACCACACACAACATGATTGGCTTTTATATACATTTTCCCAGACAGATAAAACAGTAGACAAAAATTTCACTCTACATGCGTGTTTTTTTCCACAGTTGTAGACACACTTGTTCTGTCTCTAACGATGTGTTCATCTAAGCAGAGAGACTTACAGAATTTAAATCTATCTCAATATCTATCTCTGCTCCTCATTGACGCTAGTAGGCTACAAAGATCTTCTGAGGGATTATTTACAGGTGTATCTAAACTATTAACCATAGAAACACAAAAAACATACCAAAGCATTAAGGGGGTCCTTACAATGACCACGGTCTGCTTTTTTTTCTGGTAGGAGCTACCTTTTTGTCAGAATGAACCCGAATGTGAGACCAGCACCAAGGCAAAAAAAAATCACTCTGTTGTCATAGGCAACCAGCTCAAGCTGCCGTGGCAACCTGTGAGCTTAAGGCTGGTGCCAACTGTATCGTGTATCATGAAGAACATCACATGGAACTTCTGCCGTTGTCTTTGTCAGACATATAAAAGAATTGTTATGATATGACTGAACTCCCTTGGAACATAATATGGCTAAAGAGCAACTGCCAAGAGTTCAATATCTGGGAAACCACATGCTTTCAATCAGATTCAACTACAAGTTTTAGAGAAAAACTCTTAACTTGGGGCCCTGAACATGAGCAAGTGTCAGCTAAAGAAAACTTCACACCCACGAACAAGTGTCAAGTCACACGTGACGTCAACGCACTACTTTAATGTCTCCGCCTTCACAGTACTGTAAGTCAGCAAAGTTATGTCGAGTGGTTTCATTGTTTTTACAAACTTTTTGTTCAGATATGAAAATAATTCCACGAAATGTTTTAAAAGAAAGATGAGTTATTTGTTTTTTAGAGGATAGTTAGTTTATCTACAGAAAGACAAAAACCATGTAGACACCATTTGACATTTATTTTGTAATTCAAACAAATCAGACAAAGCCCACAAATTCTCGCTCAGATTATTTAATGCTCCATTACACTCAGTCCACATTTGCACATGTTGAGGCGTTAAAACTTTGGTTTTCTAAAAGTCAATCACAAATCTTTAGAAAATCAACAAATTTAAGATAAATGATTTATCTTTCTGCATTGAGGGATTTCTTCTTAAACAGTGCAGCGTACATGACACTCAGGGCAGCACCTATTCAAAGATGTTTCCTGTGCCTTGTTCTGTTAACTTCTCAATGTGAGCTCTGTGAAATGAACAAAACACATGAACGTTTGTTTTTTAACGACAAAAAAGAGCACAGAGTCAATTCTGGTTGACAGTTTGCTTACCGAGTCACTTCCTTGCAATCGTAGGGGATCTTTTCTTCTGTCATGAATTCCTTCAATTCATTGAGGGACTCATTGTTGCACTTATCTCTAAATCAGAGACATGAAGAGATGATACAATATCTTTAAAAAGCAGGAACTGCAGTGTGAAACTAGATAGCCTGGAGGGTTAGCACACCCCGTGTATGGCCACTATTTTTACTTTGTGTCAGCTAAAGATAACAATAAAAAAGTGTGTTTTATAAGTCAATAAAGACTGTCTTTATATATAAAATTGTTTATGTTTTCAGTCAAGAAAGATTATCTTTATTATTATGCTTTTAAACATGTATTTTTTGACATTCCTGTTAAAATTACACTTCCAATAAAGAGAGTGTCATTTATATGTTCAGGCTGCTGAATATAACTTAAAAAGTAACTTGTTGTCCAACTTTGTTACTTTTCAAATCAAATAATCAGTAAAGTAACTAAAAAACATTTTAAAGGACTAATCTGTAATCAGTTATCAAATTACTTCTTAAAAGTAACTGTGGAAACACTGTTCATAATATCTGTTCATGTATTTATAAGACAAATTTATCAATGTATTTATTTAATCAGTTAGTGAAATCATACTCTCCAGGTGTCTTCTTATCAACAACCAGAATAACAGTGAGGCTCTCGACTTTGGGATGATGAAGATAGGGGATCTCTTCTTCAGCTAAGGCACTTTGAGCAAAAAGACAGAGGAGCAAACTTTAAGGATTATACAAAATCATCAATCTTTAAAGGAGCTTTTACTGTCCATGAAGAACAGTTTTATACATATTTGAACATATGAAACAGCACAGGTAGAGGGATTTTCTTTTCACTGGTATCATTTATAAAACTGTCATCAGAGCAAATGTAGAGCTGCTTACGTGCCCGGGAAGAATGGATGCGGTGTACCATCCAGCATCACATGGAGATCCTTACAGGTGTGTTTTGCAAACTACAAACATAAAGCATGACAGTAAAGGGTTGGACAGTTTTATTATTTACACCAGTCTGAGTAAACTTATCACAGCACATGTGGTCACACCTCCCTCATGTCAGCCCGTGTCTCAGTTAAAATGAAATGTGCAATTTTGCTCCCCAGGGGACCAACAAGGACTTTTTAGGAGAACCAGGCCTGATGATTTTTTTTTTTTTTTTGTAAGTTTAAGAACCCTTGAATATTGTACTGACTGAATTAGTGCAACTGCTTATAAAAGAAATGATTTTTCCACAGAGTTCTTACCTCGACAGACATCTTCAGCCAGAATTGAAGGCGAGCATTGCCTGTGCATTCATCTTCTAAAAAGGTTTCTAAAAAACAGAGGCAGAAACACACAAACCATATCTTAATAAATGTTACTTGCTATTAAAACTGCAGTTGATCTCTGTGTGACAGTTTTTAGATCAAGGAACTTGCATTGAAGTTATTTAGCCGACTGATAGATATCACAAAATGCTCCTGTTTTTCAAGTCGTGTAAGAAAACAAAGACAATTTAATTGTTTTATGATAACAAGCAATAACATAATTGCATTGTGATATGAAGCTAGGCGAAACAGTATTTTTCAGACTCTGGACTGACTGTGAATGATAACTCACCCTTGCTGCCTATCTTTCCACACCATTCTTTTCCGGCCAACGCATGTCCCAACAAAGTGTCCTCCACGCTGAAAAAATCTTTTCTGTTCTTAGTGAACCCGGTGGCCAGGTCATGTGTGCCGCTATAAAACATGGTCTATCCCCACAAGAGTAAACATGACATTGTTAGACACACACATTAAAATCCACAGTAAAGAGCTGTGTGATGGAGGAAGCTTACTTTTTCACATGGATGCTTGAAGGGCGTAATCTTAAAGAGATCGTTGTAGCTATCCCTAGTGATATCTGATTCTTCAATCCCCACATAGGCTTTTTCAAAGATCTTGAATTTATCCTCACAGCTGAAAGACAAATGAAACAAGTTAATATATCAGACTTTTTAAATCCACAATAAAAAAGTGTTCGATTATTTATGTTACTGCAAAAAAAATTGTTTCGACTCAATCCTGATGAGGCCTCCTTAAATTTCAGCATCTGTAATGGACAGTGTAAAGAGACTTACATCTTTGGGTCTTCTGGAAACTCGTTACACTTCTTCAAGAAATCGGCCTTGAAATCGGCTGTCGGATCCAGCAGTGCTGATGGAACAAGGACAACCACGATGACCATGACCGTCATGGTACCGCTGATGGGTAAGGAGTTTTTGGATGCCATGTTGACGCCTCTGCTGCAGAATCAAGCTCTGAGTACGTTTTCTCTGAGCAGGACTATGTCTTTAAAAATGAACTGGTATTCAAATATTTAGTGATATTGATAAACTTTCATTTGAATCACAATCAAACAGACACTACAATGTCCACACTCTCCTGTTAGTTAATTATTAACCTATAACATAACGGTCATGGCTGTTTAAACGTCACTATCTTATTTTTAGGTAAAAGTGTCATAAAGGCACAGCCTGAATGAAGATAGATGTGGCGCATATATGAAGTCTATAGACTGAGCATCTGGAGTTCAAATGTTTTAATAATGTAAAGAATGACAATTGCTACCTTTAATACAAAACTAGTCAAATTGCAAATATCTTCTCTAAGGACCTAAACCCTGTTAATCCTGCAAGACAAGCTGAAAAACAAACTATTTTGATAACCATTAATAAATGACAGGTTATCAATAATCATCAGTCTGTCTTCTAACCTGTGAGTGAACTCCTTATCAGATCATGTAGCTCATTGACTTATAAGATAAATTATAACCATCAATTTTCCAAGTTGTGTCTATTTTAAAGCTGTGTAAGACGATCTTACACAGCTTTATAATGCACTCAATGCAGTTTGTATCTTGAGCTTAGAGCAGTGCTGGTGGAAGAAGGACAGACACTATCAATCAATCAGTCAAACTTTATTTATAATGTGCTTTTCCTACAGGAATGTGACTCAAAGTGCTTTACAGTCAAGTTAAAAACAAAAACAAAAAACTATCCCAGACGCCCCCTTTCCCCCCTAAACTTCCCCCCACCCACACACAGACACAGCAACACACCCGCACATACACACACTAAGAGAATGGGCATGAGGCTGAGTGCAGATGGACCAGTTGAGAAGGCGCCATCAGAGGAGCCGTCAGCACCAGGAGCAGAGAGCCGCCCTCAGCCGCAGGACACCGACACGGGGCCAGTGGAGGGATGTGTCGGACAGCAACCTCCACTGGGAACCCTGTGGCCGGCCCCTGCAACCACAAGCGACCACCACTCCTGGTGCCGAGTACTACCTCAGAGGAAACACTGGGGGTCTTAAAAATGATAAAAGGACAAAAACAAGTAAAAACTAAAATATGAATAAAACATCGACCTAAAATAAACCTAGGCTTACAAGAATAAATGAAGATAAAACTAATAAATATCAATTAAAAGCTAAATCCTGAGCTCCTCTGGCAGGCTGTTCCATAGACGAGGGCCGGAATATTGAAACCGTATAACCAGCAGAGATGGCGAGCAGAGAGGGGGAAGGGACCAGAAAAAAAGAGAAGTACGTCTACGGTGACACGCTTTTACTATCTCGACAAAATTTGTTTTTTCAGCTAGACAAAAAAACTACTGAACCTCTATCACGAAACTCTCCCCTTTCTCAACATGAGACACTCTTTGTTGTTGTGCTGACTGGACTTGACTGGTGTGTGGGAGAGGGACGGCATATGGGTAAAATTCAGAGACACAATATATCATAAAGGATAGGATGGAAAGTTTTCTGGTGGTTATGCAAACTACATGCTTTCAACCAGCTTCAACAAGTTTTAGAGAAAAACTCTTAACTCTGGGCCCTGGACATGAGCAAGTGTCAGCTAAAGAAAACTTCACACCCACGAACAAGTGTCAAATCACAAGTGACGTCAACGCACTACTTTGATGTCTCCACCTTAACAGTACTGTAAGTCAGCAAAGTTATGTCGAGTGGTTTCATTGTCTTTACAAACTATTTGTTCAGATATGAAAATAATTCCATGAAATGTTTTAAAAGAAAGATGATTTATTTGTTTTTTAGAGGATAGTTAGTTTATCTACAGAAAGACAAAAACCATGTAGACACCATTTGACATTTATTTTGTACTTCAAACAAATCAGACAAAGCCCACAAATTCTTGCTCAGATTATTTAATGTTCCATCACACTCAGTCTACATTTGCACATGTTGAAGCGTTAAAACTTTGGTTTTCTAAAAGTCAATGATTTATCTTTCTACATTGAGGGATTTCTTCTTCAACATTGCAGCGTACATGACACTCAGCGCGGCACCTATTCAAAGATGTTTCCTTTGCCTTCTTTTATGCACTTCTCAATGTGAGCTCTGTGAAATGAACAAAACACATGAAAGTTTGTTTTTTAACAGCGTAAAAGAGCACAGAGTCAATTTTGGTTGACAGTTTACTTACTTAGTCACCTCCTTGCAAGCGTAGCCGATGTTTTTTCCTTTCATGATGTTGTTCAAGTTTTTGAGGGACTCATTGTTGCACTTAGTGCTAAAACAGAGACATGAAGAGATGACAAAATATCTTTATAAAATATTAACTGCAGTTTGAATAGATAGCCTAGCGGGTTAGCACACCCCATGTATGGGGACCATAGTCCCTGCGGCAGCCGAGGGCCTGAATTCTGGCCCTGACGTTTTGCTGCATGTTGTCCCCTCTCTCTGTCTCCCATGTTTCCTCTCTGTTCTACCCATTAGAGGCACAAAACACCCAAATAAAAAAGTGCTTCATAGTCAGTGATGCTAGTTAGACTTGACTTAGTAATGCACTACTCTAATAAGTCCACTTTTTTCAGTAACGAGTAATCTAACACGTTGCTATTTCCAAACCAGTTATAAGATTTAAGTTACATGTCTAAGTCACTGCGTGTGTTACTTTATTCTCATTTTCCTTAAAAAAAGACAGATTTATTTCCGTCTTGGAGAGTGACGTAAGTCACATAGGTGACAAGTCATGTTTTCAGTACGAGGACCACTTACTTGTAATACATGTACACACAGAAAGCAGCCGCGGCAAAACAAACATAAACAACAATAGGAGAGGAGAGAGATGCGCGTTCTTAAGCTGGAAATACAGCCACTATTTTTACTTTGTGTCAGCTACAGATAACAATAAAAAAGTGTGTTTTATAAGTCAATAAAGACTGTCTTTATATATAAAAATGTTTATGTTTTCAGTCAAGAAAGATTATCTTTATTATTATTCTTTTAAACAGGTATTTTTGACATTCCTGTGAAAATTACACTTCCAATAAAGAGAGTGTCATTTATATGTTCAGGCTGCTGAATATAACTTAAAAAGTAACTTGTTGTCCAACTTTGTTACTTTTCAAATCAGGTAATCAGTAAAGTAACTAAAATACATTTTAAAGGACTAATCTGTAATCAGTTATCAAATTACTTTTTAAAAGTAACTGTGGAAACACTGTTCATAACATGTATTCATGCATTTATAAGACAAATTTATCAATGTCAGTTCGTGAAATCATACCCGGTCTTCTCATTCACAACCAGGATAACAGTGAGGCTCTTCACTGTGGAAGATTTAAGATAGGGGATCTCATCTTCTTCGAAAGCACTTTGAGCAAAAAGACAGAGGAGCAAACTTTAAGGATTATACAAAATCATCAATCAGGAGCTTTTACTGTCCATGAAGAACAGTCTTATACATATTTGAACATATGAAACAGCACAGGTAGAGGGAGTTTCTCTTCACTGGTATCATTTATAAAACTGTCATCAGAGCAAATGTAGAGCTGCTTACGTGCCCGGGAAGAATGGTTGCTCTGTTTCACCATCCAGCATCACATAGGTATCATCGCAGGTGTATTCTGCAAACTACAAACATAAAGCATGTCAGTAAAGGGTTGGACAGTTGTATTATTTACACCAGTCTGAGTTAACATATCACAGCACATGTGGTCACACCTCCTCATGTCAGCCCGTGTCTCAGTTAAAATGAAATGTGCCATTTTGCTCCCCAGGGATGATGGATTGGTGATTTTTCTACAGTGTTCTTACCTTGACAGACATCTTCACCCAGAACGAAAGGACAGGGTTCGGGTCATCACCAACGCAATCGTTGATGAAGGTTCCTAGAAAAACATAAGCAGAAACTGACAAAGCATATCTTAATAATAGTTACTTGCCATTAAAACTGCAGTCGATCTCTGTGTGACAGATTATGGATCGAAGAACTTGTACAGAAGTTATTCAGCCGACTGACGGATATCACAAAATGCTCCTGTTTTTCAGGTTGTGAAAGAAAACAAAGACGATTTGATTGTTTTATGTTAACAAACTGTAAGACAATAACATTGTAATTTTAAGTGAGGCAAAACTGTATTTTTCAGACTCTGGACTGACTGTAAATGATGAATCTCACCCTTAGTGCCTTCCTTTCCACACCAATAGAGTCCGTCCAACACGTGTCCCAACAAAGTGTCCCCCACGCTGAAAAAATCGTCTCTCTTCTTAGTGAACCTGGTGGCCAGGTCATGTGTGCCGCTCCAGAACATGGTCTAACCCCACAAGAGTAAACATGACATTGTTAGACATACACATTAAAATCCACAGTAAAGAGCTGTGTGATGGAGGAAGCTTACTTTTTCACATGGATGCTTGAAGGGTGTGTTATCAAAGAGTTCGTTGTAACTATCCTCAGTGACATCTGTTTCTTTCTTCCCCACATAGGCTCGTACAAAGATCTCAAATTTAGCCTCACAGCTGAAAGACAAATTAATCAAGTAGTTACTTCCATATTTTTTAAATCCAAGATTAGTAAATGTTAGATGATTTACGTTAAAAAAACTGCAAAAAAAAATTTGTTTAGACGCAATCCTGTTCAGGCCTCCTTAAATGCCAAATCTGTAATGGACAGTGTAAAGAGACTTACATCGCTTCTTCTTCTGGAAACTCTTTACACTTCTTCATGAATGTCTTCTTGAACTCGACTGTCTGATCCAGCAGCAGTGCTGATGGAACAAGGACAACCACGATGACCATGACCGTCATGGTACCGCTGATGGGTAAGGCCTTTTTGGATGCCATGTTGACGCGTCTTCTCTACAGAATCAAGCTCTGAGTACGTTTTCTTCAAGCAGGACTATGTCTTTAAAAATGAGCTGGTATTCAAATATTTAGTGACATTAATAAACTTTCATTTGAATCACCATCAAACGGACACTATATTATCCATACTCTCCTGTTAATTATTCACCTTTAACATAACGGTCATGGCTGTTTAAACGTCACTATCTGATTTTCAGGTAAAAGTGTCATAAAGGCACAGCCTGAATGAAGATAGATGTGGCGCATATATGAAGTCTATAGACTGAGCATCTGGAGTTCAAATGTTTTAATATTGTAAAGAATGACAATTGCTACCTTTAATACAAAACTAGTCAAATTGCAAATATCTTCTCTAAGGACCTAAACCCTGTTAATCCTGCAAGACAAGCTGAAAAACAAACTATTTTGATAACCATTAATAAATGACAGGTTATTAATAATCATCAGTCTGTCTTCTAACCTGTGAGTGAACTCCTTATCAGATCATGTAGCTCATTGACTTATAAGATAAATTATAACCATCAATTTTCCAAGTTGTGTCTATTTTAAAGCTGTGTAAGACGATCTTACACAGCTTTATAATGCACTCAATGCAGTTTGTATCTTGAGATTAGAGCAGTGCTGGTGGAAGAAGGACAGACACTATCAATCAATCAGTCAAACTTTATTTATAATGTGCTTTTCCTACAGGAATGTGACTCAAAGTGCTTTACAGTCAAGTTAAAAACAAAAACAAAAAACTATCCCAGACGCCCCCTTTCCCCCCTAAACTTCCCCCCCACCCACACACAGACACAGCAACACACCCGCACATACACACACTAAGAGAATGGGCATGAGGCTGAGTGCAGATGGACCAGTTGAGAAGGCGCCATCAGAGGAGCCGTCAGCACCAGGAGCAGAGAGCCGCCCTCAGCCGCAGGACACCGACACGGGGCCAGTGGAGGGATGTGTCGGACAGCAACCTCCACTGGGAACCCAGTGGTCGGCCCCTTTAACCACCACCGACCACCACTCCTGGTGCCGAGGGCTTCCTCAGAGGAAACACTGGGGGTCTTAAAAATGATAAAAGGACAAAAACAAGTAAAAACTAAAATATGCATTAAACACCAACCTAAAATAAACCTAGGCTTACTAGAATAAATGAAGATAAAACAAAGAAATGTAAATTAAAAGCTAAGTCCTGAGGTCCTCTGGCAGGCTTCAATAGACGAGGGCCTTAACATTGAAACCGTATAACCAGCAGAGATGGCGAGCAGAGAGGGGGAAGGGACCAGAAAAAAGAAGTAGTACATCTACGGTGACACGCTTTTACTATCTCGACAAAATTTGTTTTTTCAGCTAGATAAAAAAACTACTGAACCTCTATCACCAAACTGTCTCCTTTTGTTCATTTGCTCGAGCAAATAACACAGTCGTAGATACAATAGAGCCTGTAAAAGCTACGCATCTTCTGAAGTGTTCATAATCCTTTTTTTAATAGAATCAAGTAGATTTGATGGGTGTGTTTCTGTTTCATATTTCTCTATTTATTACTTATCATATTAAAATGTCAGCACTTGGTTTTACAAGACAGTAGCTATTAGTACATAAGGATGTAACAGCTTCATGCACGTTGGAGAAAGCAGATTTGAAGATGTATTTTATTTGGTTCATGTATTTTCTGGGACTCAACATGAGACACTCTTTGTTGTTGGACTAGACTGGTGTGTGGGAAAGAGACGGCATATGGTTGAAATTCAGAGACACAATATATCATAAAGGATAGGATGGAAAGTTTTCTGGTGGTTATGCAAACTAGAATCCCAACACCTTACTTTACACTAAGCTACCAACTAATAACAAATACAGGTTGACTCTAAATATTGATCCAATGAGGATTTTATTGATTTATAGATAATTCAACAAACCTTTAAACGTAAACAAAGCAAATGTCAAAACTTTTAACGTAGAGTTATTTCAAATCACTTGAGGTTTCAGCTAAAAACAGCTCATGAACATCTTAGGAAAGTGATGATTATTGATATGCAAGAACGTTTTGTTTGTCCTGCAGCGTTAATTTCTCAAATATCAAAATTACTGTAAAGTTTCTACAGGCATAATCTGCAAACTAGAGACACAAAAACATGTTGGCAAAGATACGTACATGTAACATCTTGACAACAGGTCCATCACTTCAAGAAAAACAGAAAGAGTTTGAGAACACAGTCATTTCTAAGCATTGGTGTCTTATGGGTCGGCTTCCTGGTGCAGGGTGGCACTCTCATGAACGTGTGAACATCAGCGCTCATGGCACCCCCAGGTGTCAAAGATCAGGACTGTACCACAGTGAACTCAAATAAACTTCTTGAGTTACTATACCATAGTTGCTGTTTGTTGGCTAGTTCCTAGACCTTTATTTTTGTGGGATTGTTTGCTCTTGAAATCGAGGAAAATTTTAACTTGGGGCTCCGAACATGAGCGAGTGTCAACTGGGGTGCAAAGAAAACTTCAGACCCACAAACAAGTGTCAAGACCCAAGTGACGCCACACTGATCAGTCAGATAATCCGGAGTTGTTGCACTTCTTCAAGCCATCAAGCGCTACTTTAATGTCAATGCCTTCTTAGCACTGAAAGTCACATTAGTGTTAACAGTAGAGAAGCTACCACATCAAGATTTTTTAATCAGTTACACAAATGCAAATAAAATGAAATAGAGATATCTTTACTTTTCTATATATTTCACAGTTTGGTCACAGGTAGCACCAAATCAACACAAACTGAAAAGCTTCCTGAATGTAGCTTTATAAAACTTTATAATAAGTCCTGACTACTTTTGTTGTAGCTGGGGAATCCTGGAGGTCAATGGCGTTTAAGGCTGACAGCTGTTGGATAAGACTGACAACATTTTAGGTATTCAGGTTTTACCAGCAACAAAGGGTTTCCAGCCAAGACTCAGTTCTCCATTTGTTGTTTTGTTAATAATCTATTTGGCAACCTGGGTTAGGGGTAAAACTAAACTCCCCCCTCCAGACATAACCACAAATACGGTGCCAGCATCTCAAGTTCATGTGTTTCTGCTGAGTCTCAGACACTCTCTAAATATGAAGCTGCAGTGGGGCCTCACTTTAGAAATCTGTCAAAAAAAACAATAAAAAAAAACAGGTTTGCACAAAAACTGCCGTTATCACAGTCAGCAAAGTTCTGTCAAGTGTGATTATTGCCTCTGCACAATACTTCTTCAGATATGAAAATAATTTCACAAAATGTTACAAACGAAGATGTCTTATTTGTTTTCTTTAATCAAATCAGACAACACCCACAGATTATTGCTCGGATTATTTATTGTTCCATTACATTCAGTCTACATTTGCACATATTGAAGCTTTAAAGATTTGGCTGTCTAAAAAGTTAATCACAAATCTTTAGAAAGTTAACAAATTTAAGATAAATGATTTCTCTTTCTGCATTGAGGGATTTCTTCTCCGACAGTGTGGCGTGACGGTCAGCGCAGCAGCTTTTAGAAGCAGTTTTTTATGCTTCTTTTTATGCAGTCCTCAATGTGAGCTCTGTGAAATTAACAAAACACACGATTTTTTATTAACAGAATAAATGAATACAGAATCAGTTATGGATGGCAGTTTATTATCTATCTATGATATTAACATAGTCCAAACATGTGCTCTCGTTTATAAATGCGCATACCTTTCAAATACTCTTCCTAGACCTTTCAAAGATTTTTTTAAGACTAATTCACAAATTCATGATTATAATACTCCACAATCTGACAATCTTCATCCTCCATTCAGTCGTACCACTCATAGTCAGTTCTCTATCAAAGTCAAAGGATCATGAATCTGGAATACACATATACTTATTGCTAAATCCTCATCTTCAATCTGTAATTTTAAATACAGATGGAAGGCAATCCTTATTGATCAAGCATTCACACATGCTTCCAGCATAAAAAGTGGACTTATGTAGGCATACACCCCTGCCTCATGGGAGCGCGCACATGCACACACTCACACACACATTCAACATTCCACATACTATTGATTGTTTGTATATATATTAAAGGTTGTCTGAATTTTTGTAATATTTGTATATGTGATTGTGATTGTTTTAGGTGGGAGCCTTGTATAAGCCCTCTGGGGTTTTCTCTCTCACCTGCACACTTCTCTATGTTTTTATATTTTTATATTTTTAACCTTGTTTTGTTATTTTATATTTTGTGCAAATAAATAAATCAAATGAAGTTTACCTACCGAGTCACTTCCTTGCAAGCGTAGTTGATCTTTTTTCCTTTCAGGATGTTGCTCAAGTTCTTGAGGGACTCCTTGTTGCACTTGGTGCTAAATTAAAGACATAAAGAGATGACACTTAATAATATCTAAAAAGCAGAAACTGCTTCATGGTTAAAATGATCAATTTAATTAGTTAGCTAGTCAATTAATGAAATCATACCCAGTCTCTTTATTAACCACCAGAATAGCTGTGAAGCTCTTTAATCTGTTAGTTTGCAGATTTGGGACTTCATGGGTGTCGAGGACGCTTGAGCAAAAAGACAGAGGAGCAAACTTTAAGGATTACACAAAATCATCAATCTTTAAAGGAGCTGTTACTCTCCATGAAGAACAGTCTTAGACATATTTGAACATATGAAACAGCACAGGTAGAGGGATTTTCTCTTCACTGGTCTCATTTATAAAACTGTCATCAGACTAAATGTAGAGCTGCTTACGTGCCGGTGTAGTATGGTTGGTCTTTCTCACCATCCAACATCACATAGGAATCATCACAGGCGTATTGTGCAAACTATAAACATAAAGCATGACAGTAAAGTGTTGGACAAAATAGTTTAGTTTTAGTATTAACATCAGTCTGAGTTAACTTATCGCAGCACATACGTTGTGTATATTCAGCTGACTGAATTAGTGTAACTGCTTCAAAAAGAGATGATTTTTCTGTGGGGTTCTTACCTTGACAGAAATCTTGAGCCAAAATGAAAGGACGGGGTTTGGAAAGACATCAGCGCAATTGTCTGTGAAGGTTTCTAGATGATTTGATTGTTAATAGAAAATTAGTAACAATTATATTGTAAATTCAAGATAGGCAAAACAGTATTTTTCAGACTCTGGACTGACTGTGAATGATGAATCTCACCCTTGCTGCCTGCTTTTCCACACCATGCCATTCCGGTCAGCACATGACCCAACAAAGTGTCCCCCACATTGTAAAAATTGTCTCTCTTCTGCGTGAATCTGCTGGCCAGCTCGTATGTCCCGCTCCAGAACATGGTCTAATGCCAAAAGAGTAAACATGAAATTGTTAGACATACACATTAAAATCCACAGGAGAGAGCTGTGTGATGGAGGAAGCTTACTTTGCCACATGGATGCTTAAAGGGCGTCTTATCGAAGAGTGTGTTGTAGCTCTCCTCAGTGACAGCTGTTTTATCCTTCCCCACATAGGCTTCTTCAAAGATCGCCAGTGTCGCCTTACAGCTGAAAGACAAATGTAACATGTTAATAGATCAGACTTTTTTAAATCCATCATGAATAAATGTTTGATAACTTTTAATTGTCAATGCAAAAATATTCTGTAAATTCAATCCCAATGAGGCCTTCTTAAATAAAGAGTGTTAAAAGACTTACGTGTTTTTGTCTTCCGGATACCCCACACACTTCTTCATGAATGTGTCCCTGAACACGGCTGTCTCATCCAGCATTGCTGATGGAACAAGGACAACCACGATGACCATGACAGTCAAGGTACCGCTGATGGGTAAGGACTTTTTGGATGCCATGTTGAAGCGTCTTCTTCTGCAGAATTAAGCTCTGAGTAAGTTTCCTTAAGCGGGACTTCTTATAGAGAAGTAGAATTGCTGACTGTATGATGAGCAGAGAAGGGGAGGGAACGAAAAAAAAAGACGCTGTAGAGCATCTGAGGTGACATATTTTTAATATCGAGATGAAATTTGCGTTCTTACATAGATTAAAAAACCTCTTATGAAACCATACACAACATGATTGGCTTTTATTTGCATTTTCCAAGACAGATGAAACAGTAGTACATTAAAGGGATCAAGTCGAAGTATCAGTCTACCTATTTGTCTGAATTCAGACTCTGAACTTTTCCTTTTAAGGTTATTTGAAACGAGTGTCCAGTACAGCCTGAAAGTTAACCTAAAAAATTTAGGGTAAACTCTACTTATAATAAAATGTTTTCTATGAAGGTTCTTTGTATCTTAATGTATAATTTGAAACTCATTCTGTATTTGTCTGACTCTACACCAATATTCTTATGTCTATAAAAACGAACTGGTATTCAAATATTTAAGGACGTTGATAAACTTAAATTTGAATCATAATCAAAGCAGCATTAATGTATGTACTCTGCTGTTGGTTAATTTTTAACTGTTAACATGTAAGTCCTGGCTGTTCACATGTTACTATCTGATTTGGTGGGTAGAAGTGTAAAAACGGCACAGAGGAGGAACATGCAAAGTATCTGAAAATATTGTGATATAATTTGGAGGATGCTTCACCGGCTACTACTCTGGTTTGGATGGACAACTTATGTAGAGAGGCCAGCACTGAAGTTATAGTCTCATATATATGTGATCTAATCAGACTGTGAGTCCCTCTTTCTGAACCTTCTGCAGACCATGCAGACTCTTCTTTGACCAACTTCAGAGAAGAACGTTACAATCGTCTCATCTCGATGGCACAAAGGCATGAATGAGAACCTCAGCACCATTAAATGATAAGATGGATCTAATCTTAGAGATACTTCTACAGTGGGAAAAAAGGCTCCATTGGTCACCTGTTTAATATGCAGTCCAAATGAAAAATTCGAAATGAAATGAACCCTGATTTCTTAATCCCGCCACTTGCAATCATCCAGTGACTGAGCAGAATTATTATTCAAGTGACCTATCTTTGCAGGTTTATCAACTATCATTTCCATCTTGGCTAAGTTGAGAAACATGATGTTTGGACACAATTGTTATCTAAAAGCATCAGAAAAGATTTGAGATGTGGTGCAACTTATTTCTGCAAATATAACTGCAAACCATCTACATAATGCAACACTGACTCAATGGTGACAGGTACAATGGAAACAACAGTGGGCCAAGGACACACCCCTGTGGGACTCGATGACAGCTTGGCATCCTTTACCTCGAGACTCCATTCGAACTTTAAAAGTAGACACAGGCCTTGTCTAATTGTGTATCAATCCAGGTTTCTATAGGTATTGTAGTTTTCATCATCGGCTAATGTGAGAGAAGTTCCATGAAATTGTCTCAAACTTTTCTCTTTCCCGGACACAAATTTCACTCTACATGCGTGTGTTTTTCCACAGTTGTAGACACACTTGTTCTGTCTCTAACAATGTGTTCATCTTAGCAGAGAGACTTCGAGAATTTAAACACTGAGCCTCTAAGTGCAGCAATGTCTATCTCTGCTCCTCATTGACACTAGTACAAAGATTTTTTGAGGGAGGCAGAGGAGACTCCTGTTTATAACTCACGAGTGTTTCTAAACTATAACCATAGAAACACCAAAATTATATCAAAGCATTAAGGGAGTCATCACAATGACCACGGTCTGTTTTTTTTTCCTGATAAGAGCTACCTTTTTTTCAGAATAAGCTTAAATGTAAGACCAGTGCCAAGGCAAAAAAATTGCTCTTTTACTTGACTGCCTCTGCCTGCAGTGTATCTATCATCATAGGCAACCAGCTCAAGCTGCCGTGGCAGCCGTGGGCCTCAGGCCGGTGCCAACCATAGAATGTATATACTATGGACAACTTGGTTCCGCCTTTATAGTAGATTTCATAGATGCAAAGGTGCAAAAATGAACTACATGAAGACAGAATCAAGCTGGCAGCCTCTCGCGGGATTTTATTTTAGTAACAGCATCAAACACAACTCATGACAATCAGATGGACAGCAGCAGTCCAAAAATCCCTTCTGTCCCCAGAACTGTTTCCTTTCTATACTGCCCCAATGGTGTCATTAGTCCTATTTCTCGTAAGCGGCCTTCACATTGGTGTCTGATAGCCAACAATGTGACTTCTTCTGTAAACACGTTTCGCTCGCTGGCCAGCTCTGCCCAATTTCCTCCTGGAATAACTGTTATTCATGTGTGAAAAAGTTCACTATAACCTGACCTCTCTTGCTGTATCCTGCATCCTGTTTTGCAACAACTTTGTTCAAAACATGTCTATTATTCGCTCCCACACCTTCCGTCAGTATACAGATTTGAAGCCGAAAAGCTCTCGGTTATTCTGCGTTTTTCCTCCATTTCCTTAAACCAACATTGCGCCGGACCTTTGTGACCTATACTGCAACCCGTCACCAGGGTGTGCTGTTCTTGGAGTGGCTTCACCCAACGAGGAGGCAGACGGCGTCCATTCTAAAGTGTTTGGTGCCAACTGTATCATGCATCATGAATAACTTCACATGGAACTTCTGCCATTGTCTTGGGTGGGATGTATACAAGTATTGTTATGATGTGACTGAACTCCTTTTGAACATAGTATGGCTGAAGAGCAACTGCCAACAGTTCAGTATCTGGGAAACCACATGCTTTCAATCAGGTTCAACTACAGGTTTTAGAGATTTGTAACACATGTCAGCTGAGGCACAAAGAAAGACCCATGAACAGGTGTCAAGTCACAAGTGACACCACACTGATCAGTCAGATAATTCAGAGTTGTTGCACTTCTCCGGTCACCAAGCGCTACTTTAATGTCTCTGCCTTCTCAGCACTGTAAGTCGGCAAAGTTATGCCAAGCGGCTTCATTGTCGTTGCAAACTACTTGTTCAGATATAAAAATAATTCCACAAAATGTTTGAAAAAAAATACGATAACTTTTTTTCTTTTTGCTATATTATTAGTTCATTTACAGGAAAACAAAAGACATGGACACAGCATCTGATTGTTCTTTATTGTGTTATTATGACGCCCACAAACTTTAGTTCGCATTATTTTTTGTACCATTACACTCGCTCCATATTTGCACATGTCAAAGCTGTAAACTTTCAGCTGGCTTGAAGTTAATCACAAATCTTGAGAAAATCAACAATTACTGAAGAAGCTGAAACAAATTTAAGATGAATGATTTATCTTTCTGTATTGAGGGGTTTCTTCTCCAACAGTGTGGCGCGACACTCAGGGCAGCAGCTTTCAAAAGCAGTCTTTTATGCCTCGGTCGATGCAGTCCTCAATGTGAGTCCTGTGAGAAACAAACAATCAGGATGAAACAGATGAAAGTTTCTGAACAGCATAAAGGAACACAGAGTCAATTATGGTTGGTACAACTTACTGAGTGACTTCCTTGCAATCGTAGCCGATCTTTTTTCCTTTCAGGATGTTGCTCAAGTTGTTGAGGGAGTCATTTTTGCACTTAGTACTAATCAAAGAAATGAAAAGATGACACTTGATAACATTTAAAAAGCAGAAACTGCTCATCATTTGTGTTAATGTATGTATACAACTAATTTATCTATTTATTTTGTTAGTAAGTAAAAACATACCCGGTCTTTTTATCAACAACCAAAATGACAGTAACCTTCTCCACTTTGCCAGTTTGAAGATTTGGAATCTCATGGGTGGCGAGCACACTTCAAGCCAAAGGACAGAGGAGAAAAAAATTGAGGATTACACAGAATCATCGATCTTCTTCAGTCTTACACATATTTGAACTAAGAAACAGCACAGGTAGAGGGATTTTCTCTTCACATTAATAAAACTGCCATCGGCGTGAATGTAGTTCTGCTTACCTGCGCGGGTCAAATGGTATCAAATTTTCACCCTTTAGCAACAGGTTGATATTACCACAGGCGAACTGAGCAAACTGCAAACATAAAGCATCACAGTAAAGTGTTGGACAAAAGAGTTTAGTTTTAGTTTTATTATTTACATCAGTCTGAGTTAACTTATCACAGCACATGTGTGGTAAAATGAAATGTGCAGTATCGCTCCCCAGAGACCAACAAGGACTTTTTAGGAGAACTGATGATTTTGTCTTTTTGTAAGTTCAAGGACCATTGCATATCGTAACGACTGAATTAGTGATTTTTTAACAAGTTCTTACCCTTGCAGAGATCTTGAACCAAAATGAACCAGTAGGGTTCGGCTCGGTGTAAGGGCAATCTTTATCTGTGGTAAAGGTTTCTAGAAAAACACAGACAGATACAAACAAAGCATTTCTTTATAAATGTGACTTATTAGAATTAAAACTGCAGTTGATCTCTGTGTGACGGTTTTTAGATTGAGGAACTTGCATAGAAGTAATTCAGCCAACTGACAAATATCACAAAAGGCTCCTGTTTTTCAGGTCGCGTAAGAAAACAAAGACGATTTGATAGTTTTTGGATAATAACCTATAAGATAATAAAATTATTGGTTAATTGTCAGACTCTGGGCTGACTGTAAATGATGAATCTCACCCTTGCTGCCTGCCTTTCCACACCATATCAGTTTGTTCAGCACATTTCCCAACAAAGTGTCCGCCACGTTGAAAAAATTGTCTCTCTTCTCAGACAGCTTGTGGGCCAGATAGTTTGTCCCGCTCCATAACATGGTCTAACCCCAGAAGAGTAAACATGACATTGTTAGACATACACCTTAAAATCCACAGTAAAGAGCTGTGTGATGGAGGATGCTTACTTTTTCACATGGATGTGTGAAGGGCGTGTTATCAAAGAGTTCGTTGTAGCTGTCCTCAGTGACATCCGTTTGTTTCTTCCCCACATAGGCTCGTTCAAAGATCGCCAGTGTAGCCTCACAGCTGAAAGACAAATGTAGGATTTTGATATATTCAGTTTTTTTTTTTATCCACAGTGAATTAGTCTGAGATTATTTTGAATTGATTCAATCCTGATGAGGCTTCCTTCAATAGAAAGTGTAAAGAGACTTACGTCTTTTTGTCCTTTGGATACTCAGTGCACTTCTTCATGAATGCGGCCTTGAACTCGGCTGTCTGATCCAGCAGTGCTGATGGAGCAAGGACGACCACGATGACCATGACAGTCAAGGTACCGCTGATGGGTAAGGACTTTTTGGATGCCATGTTGAAGCTTCTCCTGCAGACTCAAAATCCGATCAAGTTTCCTTAAGCAGGACTTCTTATATAGAAGTAGAATTGCTGACTGTGTGACGAGCAGAGACGGGGAGGGGATCAGAAAAAAAGAAGCTCTGGTGCATCTAAGGTGACACATTTTCAATACCGAGATAAAATGTGTGTTCTTACATAGATTAAAAAACCTCTTACGAAACCATACACAACATTACTGGCTATTATTTGCACTTCCCCTGACAGATGAAACAGTAGTACGTACAATAATGACAATTTAACATTAAAGGGATCAAGTTGTAGTATCAGCCTGCTTATTTGTCTGATTTCAGACTATAATTTTTCTTTTAAGGTTATGTGAGACAAGGTGGAAAGGAAAACTTTAGATGGATTCATATGAATCTTTGATAGAGGTCAGACAAACGATGTGAGAATTATTTACAAGGATGATCATTTTGAGAATAAGAGAAAGCAATCTCAACATTTCATTTAGCATTTCTAACTCAGTCATCAAGTAAAAGTGAGGAACACTTTAGATGTTAAGTTAACACATAGTGTCATGCAAACTCATGAATACAGATTTTCATTAAAAAGGTTACACCAGCTTGTCAACTGGTAAAAATAGCAGAATATCATGAAGAAATATTTCCTCAAAATAAAACTGTGTTGGGATAATTAAAGCTGGAATGTGTTGCAAGCATCAAATTTATAATGAGCGAATATTTGCAAAAAAAAAATCTAATAAGTAAAAATAAAAATATCAGTTTGATCAAAGATCTTTTCTTTGCTGTGTGTTTAATCAAACATGGATTGAAAATGATTTAAAATCTGTATATTTTTAATTTTATTTGCGTCTTACATCCCAACCTCATTGGAATTCCGGTTTGAAAATGTGTATATCATATCCTAAAATTGCCTGAAAGTATCGTAATATAATTTTGGGGCTGAATTGCCCACCACTAGCTCTGACAGAAGCTAGAAAATGACAACAACTTGGGATCTAAGTGTTAGAGCAGGATCAAATGGGCCATCTTGATGAAACAAAAGCATAAATAAGAATCTTGGCATCATAAATGATAAGTACAGATCAGAGCCCAGAGATATTTCTAAGTTGGGAAAAGAGGCTCCTTTGGTCGCCTGGTTCATACAAAGGCCAAATGATAAACTCTGAACGACATGAACCCTGATTTCTTAATCCCGTCACTTGCAATCACCCAGTGACCGAGCAGAATTATTATTCAAGTGACTCATCTTTGCCAGTTTATCAACCATCATTTCCACTTAAACTGAGTTGAGATACAGAATGTTTGGACACAACTGTTATCTAAAGGCATCAGAAAAGATTTGAGATGTGGTGCAACTAATTTATGCAAAAATAACTGCAAATCATCAAAATAACGCAACATCCGACTCAATGGTGACAGGTGATCTCAACCACAGAAGCACCTGACCTGAGATGGCAAAAATATATCGTCTCAGGTCTGTTTAAATGCAGGAAGTCTACCACCTGAAGATCATTACCTTTACTGCCTTCTATCCCACACCACATCAGTCTGTCCAGCACACAGCCTAAAAGAGTGTCTCTCAGGATAAAACAAGATGTAGACCGGGTCTTTTCTTTTGTCCAAGAGCATTGTCTCAAAGAACAGATATTTCTTGAATGTTTTTATCATTTTGCATCTGGCAAGAGTCTGGCAAGAAGTCTGAGACAGATTTCACATCAGGTCAAACTGGCCAACAGGTACAATAACCACATGATTTAATTCAAAATGACATGATAGGAAATACACAACACAAATATTCAGTGCAGCTGGTGATTGTTAGAATAACTGGACGTTCATTCGGATGGTTTCACCAACACGCCACACAGGGAGAAACTGTAGAAACCAACCACAAAGTACAGAAAATTGTCTGACTCCTTTGGCCCTGGCCACCAACACAAGCAAGAAAATGAAGTAAATACCGGAGACTCTGGCGGAATAACGGGCGCTTTAAACGGAGGTAGACTGCCGGGAGAAGAGCTAAAAAGCCAGGTCAACAATGATGGGGAAGGCTTCGGGATCTTTAAGAAAGCTTACTTTTTAAGAAAGTAAGCCAAGTGTCTGTAATAGAAGTGTTTCTGGTGAAACGGACCTGCTGTAGCGTGTTGTAGCGCCGCTCAACTGTTGACCTCGGATCCTGGACTATGTCACTTTATCCTAGTTGTAGAAGTCCTGCAAACATTGTGTTTGCTGGTAGTCTGTTGGCATCTACAGTAGCACCAATGCTTTTTACTTTCACGTTGACTGGGCCCCATTTGTAATTATCTGAAGTATTTATCTGCATTATATCTGAATTTAATTGAAGTGATACGAGCGAGCAGGAGCGTCTGTTTGTGGGCGGGGCTTGCTGGAGCAGAGAGGGAGGGGAGAGGAGGAGCTGAGGGGAAAACTGGTTGGGAGGGGTAGAGTTTACATTCAAGATTTCTCCCCAAAAACTGGCACTTCCTCAGATCCTGAGTACCCTACCTTTAAGTCCAATTCATCGAAATGCTCCACAGCCCTCATTTTAACATCTCTCCTCCACAACAGATAACTTTAATACTTCATATACATTATTATAAGACATCATCTTCAATCACTCTTCAATTACCCTTGCCCCCCCCCCCAAAAAAAAAACAACACAAAACAAAACAAAACAAACAAACAAAAAAAAAACAACACAAAACAAAACAAACAAAAAAAAAAAAACTCACTCCAAGCTTAGTTCAAAACTTGAGAGCTCTGTAGACTTTATTTGTACAGAACTTTCTAAACAGTGATAATGAAGTGCCAATTGCTGTACATGAAAAGAAAAGGAAAAAAGGAACAATAAAACCATAATTTTGTGCTAAAAACAAATCAGACAAAGCCCACAAATTTTTTCTCAGATATTTTATTGTTCCATTACACAAGCTGAAACAAATTTAAGATAAATGATTTATCTTTCTGCATTGAGGGATTTCTTCTCCAACAGTGTGGCGTGACACTCAGTGCAGCAGCTTTTACCAGCAGGCTCCTTTTCTTTCTTTTATGCACTTCTCAATGTCCTTTCTGTGAGAAACAAACAATCAGGATGAAACAGATGAAAGTCTTTCAACAGCATAAAAGAGCACAGAGTCAATTATGTTAGACACTTTACTTACCGAGTCAGTGCCAAGCAAGAGTAGCTGATCTTTTTTCCTTTTAGGATGTTGCTCAAGTTCTTGAGGGAATTATGGGCGCACTTAGGGCTTAATCAAAGACATGAAGAGATGACACTTTATAGTATGAGTTAATGTATTATACAACAAAATTATAAATGTATTTAGTGAGTGAAATCATACCCGTCAATCTTAGTAACAACCAGAATAACCTTGAGGCTCTTCACTCTGGGAGACTGGAGATTTGGGAGCTCATATTTGCCGAATATACTAACACAATAAATAAATAAAGGGATAAATAAAGTAATCTGGTTAATCCCAGAAAAAAAACACAAATTCATCACAATGTTACATCAGATGTCACTGATCACACACTGTCATGCCTTGTGGGCGGGGCTTGCTGGAGCAGAGAGGGAGGGGAGAGGAGGAGCTGAGGGGAAAACTGGTTGGGAGGGGTAGAGTTTACATTCAAGATTTCTCCCAAAAACTGGCACTTCCTCAGATCCTGAGTACCCCACCTTTAAGTCCATCCACACTGTAATTGTCATGCCTGAACTTTAATTCATTACCTATTGTCGAGAAATGAGGAAGTTGAAAATAATGACCTAGAAACAGACGAATGCAGTTTGTCTACCTGTATTGCAATGCATCTCACATTGTTAATACATGCAGTTTACTGTGATTATCTGCGAGCTTTCAATCAAAAAGCCCATATTTGTACAGTATTATTAGTACAGCACAGGTAGAACGATTGCATATATATCATCAATAAAGTTGTCAAAGTTGACTATGCAGTTGCATTGCTGCTTACCGATTCTCATCGTATGGTTTGTCTTGGTCACCATCCAGCATCAGCGTGACACGACCACAGGTGTATTGTGCAAACTAAAGATGTTAAAACATGACAGTTAAGAGTTGGAGAAATAAAAAATAGACCCCTGTTTGAGTTTACTTACTACAGTACATGAAGTTAGACCTCCCTTGTGTTAGCACTGTGTATCAGTTAAAATCAAATGTGCAATGTTGCCCACTAGAGTTCAAACGAAGACTTTTTTGAAAAAGGACCAGGCCTGCTGGTTTTATCTTCCAATGAACTGAGGTGCTGTTGCATGGATCACTGACTGAATGATAGTGAATGTTGGAGGTTTACCTTGATAGAAGCCATAATCCAGAATGAAAGGACAGCATTTGGCTTGTTTGTACTGCAACCGCTGGTAAAGGTTTCTAGAAAAGCAGACAGAAACACATCAATTACATATTTATACATCTTAGGTTTTACAAGTGAAGCTACACTCGATCTCTGTGATAGTCTACAAAGTTATTCAACTGACTGATAGATATCAGTGAATATTCCTGGTGCTAAGGGTCACAACGTTGACAATTTCCAATTATTTCAAGCTAGGCACACAATAAAGTAAGCTTGTATGTCATCAGTATATTTTCATTGTTTAGACTCTGGACTGACTGTAAATGATGAATCTCACCCTTGCTGCCTTTTTTTCCACACCATGTCAGTCCGTCCAACACATGTCCCAGCAAAGTGTCCGCCAAGGTGAAAAAATCGTCTCTGTTCTTAGTGAACCTGTTGGCCAGCCCGTTTAAACCACTCCACAACATTATCTAACCCCAAAAGAGTAAACATGATATTGTTGGACATACACATTAGAATTGACAGGAGAAAGCTGTGTAATGGAGGATGCTTACTTTGCCACATGGCTGTGTGAAGGGCGTCTTATCAAAGAGTTCTTGATAGCTCGTTTCAGTGACATCTGTTTCTTTCTTCCCAACATAGGCTTTTTCAAACATGTACCATTTAGAATCGCAGCTGAAAGACAAATGAAACAAGTTAATACGTCAAACTTTCCTAATGAGACCTCCTTAAATGGAGAGTGTACAGAGACTTACGTTTGTTTGTCCACTTTAAAATCTGCACACTTCTTCAAGAATGTGGCCTTGAACTCGGCCGTCTGATCGAGCAGTGCTGGTGGAGCAAGGACAACCACGATGACCGTGACAGTGATGGTACCGCTGATGGGTAAGGACTTTTTGGATGCCATGTTGACGCTACTCCTGCAGAATCAAGCTCTGATCAAGTTATCTTTGAGCAGGACTTCTTATATAGAAGTAGAATTGCTGACTGTGTGACGAGCAGAGAAGGGGAGGGGACCAGAAAAAAGGAAACTGTAGAGCAAACGATGTGAGAATTATTTACAAGGATGATCATTTTGAGAATAAGAGAATCCAATCTCAACATTTCATTTAGCATTTCTAACTCAGTCATCAAGTAAAAGTGAGGAACACTTTAGATGTTAAGTTAACACATAGTGTCATGCAAACTCATGAATACAGATTTTCATTAAAAAGGTTACACCAGCTTGTCAACTGGTAAAAATAGCAGAATATCATGAAGAAATATTTCCTCAAAATAAAAGCGTGTTAGGATAATTAAAGCTGGAATGTGTTGCAAGCATCAAATTTATAATGAGCGAATATTTGCAAAAAAAATAATCAAATAAGTAAAAATAAAAATATCGGTTTGATCAAATATCTTTTCTTTATTGTGTGTTTAATCAAACATGGATTGAAAATGATTTAAAATCTGTAAATTTTTAATTTTATTTGCGTCTTACATCCCAACCTCATTGGAATACGGGTTTGCAAATATATATATCATATCCTTAAATTGCCTGAAAGTATCGTAATATAATTTTGGGGCTGAATTGCCCACCACTAGCTCTGACAGAAGCTAGAAAATGACAGCAACTTGGGATCTAAGTGTTAGAGCAGGATCAAATGGGCCATCTTGATGAAACAAAGGCATGAATAAGAACCTTGGCATCATAAATGATAAGTACAGATCAGATCCCAGAGATATTTCTAAGTTGGGAAAAGAGGCTCCTTTGGTCGCTTGGTTCATACAAAGGCCAAATGATAAACTCTGAACGACATGAACCTTGATTTCTTAATCCTGCCACTTGCAGTCACCCAGTGACTGAGCAGAATTATTATTCAAGTGACTCATCTTTGCCAGTTTATCAACCATCATTTCCACTTAAACTGAGTTGAGAAACAGGATGTTTAAGGACAACCAGCCCAAAACAACATTGGCCTTACTTGCCCCCTAAAGCCTGAGTTGAGGTGCTTGTGTTGGATGCATGTTGTACTCAGTCCAAAAACCAAATTCAGCAAGATGGTCCATTTGGGTTCATTGAATAATTTCATTAGATTAGATTTTCATCACAAAGTGTGTTATTTAAATACACACCTGACTACAACCATGTGAAGCTTTGGCATCATACAGGCTTTAAATTGAGCCTTGCTTCTCTGGGAAGGATTAAGAGTGTGTTTTGGGGGATTTTGGCCATTCTTCCAGAAGTACATTGGTGAGGTCAGGCACTGATGATGGTTGGGAAGGCCCGGTTCGCAGTCTCTGCTCTAATTCATCCCAAAAGTGCTTGATCGGGTTGAGATGAGGACTCTGTGCAGGCCAGGCATGTTCCATGGACCTTGCTATGTGCACAACAAATAGTTTCCCACAATGTTGGGAGTATGAAATTGCCCAAAATGTCTTGGTATGCTGGAGAATTATGAGTTCCTTTTACTGGATCTAAAGAGCCAAACCCAATCCCTGAGAAAACAAGAACCCCACACCATACTGCCCTTTCCACCAAACCTTACACATGGCACAGGTAGTCTGGCGAGTGCCGTTCTCCTGACCACTGCCAAACCCAGACTTGTCCATTTGATCAGTACACAGAGAAGCGTGATTCGTCACTCCTCAGAACATGCCTCCACTATTCCGGAGCCCAGTGGCCGTACAGCACTGCATCTGACGCTTTGTATTGCACTTGCTGAAGTAAGGCTTGGGTACAACTGTTCTTCCCTGGACACCCATTCCATGGAGCTCTCAACCCACAGTTCTTGAGTTGATCTGAAGGTCACATGAAGTTTGGAGGTCTGTCACTATCAACTCTGCAGAAAGTTGGTGATTTCTGTGAACTGTGGCCTCAGCATGCCCTGATCCTACTCTGTGAGTTTACGTGGCCTACCTCTGTTGTCAAGAGGAAGATTGTTCCATAAGGTAAGTGAACAAGTCCCCCAACTAACTGTCGTGTTTTCTGACTTCAAGGACACTAATAATGCCAGCAACTTGATGTCGAAGTGGAAGAGCAGACTCACAAGGGCTGACGTATGGGTTAACAAGGTCTTCCATGTCCTTTTTTGTGAGCTAACAACAGGACTTAAGAGTCTGCTCGGCTTGGATAGGCAGCCACTGTTGGGAGGCCAGCACTGGAGTGGTGGGCTCATATTTATGTGATCTGATCCCTGCTTTCTGAACCATCCACAGACCATGCAGACCCTTCTTTAACAAACTGGACAGAAGGACGTCACAATAGTCTCTAATCAATCTAATTAAGCCAAATGCAAGAGTCTGAACGACATGAACCCTGATTTCTTAATCCTGCCAGGTGCAATCATCCAGTGACTGAGCAGAATTATTATTCAAGTGACTCATCTTTGCCAGTTTATCAACCATCATTTCCACTTAAACTGAGTTGAGGAACAGGATGTTTGGACACAATTGTTATCTAAAGGCAGCAGAAAACATTTGAGATGTGGTGTAACTAATTTCTGCAAAAATAACTGCAAATCATCAAAATAACGCAACATCCAACCCAATGGTGACAGGTACAATGGAAACAATAGCGGACCAAGGACAGACCCCAGTGGGACTCTATGCCTAACAGCAATAGGCTCTGAAGAAGTGTTGTTATATAAGACCTGGTAGATCTTTGAGACAGGTATGATCTCAACCGCAGAAGCACCTGTTTCAAGTCTGTTTAAATGCAGGAAGTCCCACACCACGTCAGTCTGTCCAGCACACAGCCTAAAAGAGTGTCTCTCAGGATATAACAAGATGTGGACCGGGTCTTTTCTTTTGTCCAAGAGCATTGTCTTTAATGTTTTTATCATTTTGCATTTGGCAAGAGTCTGTGATCACTGAAATTTACTGCACTGTTTCGATGTTTGGAGGAGACTGGAGCTATCAAGGGATCACTGCAACTTAACTCCCTGCTGTAGACCTGTTCAAAGAAAGAGGCCACGTGTCTGTCCTGAAAACATGTTAAAGAGCATGTTTTGCGTTATCATATCTGATGTAGTTGTCGGACATTCATCAGACACATCACTTGATTACTATTTTGCCTACCTCTCTGATACAACATCCAACATCCAATTAAATCTATGGGTTTACTTTGATTTCTTGATGTTTTATTTCCTTTAATGTTTTCTTTAAACAAAGTTTTAGATTCTCTGACTTCTTCAAGCTTTTTGTTTTTGTTTTCAGCTGGATACCAAGGTTCAGCGGTTAGACCAGCATGTCTGCTTCGCTCTTCAGTTCCTCTCTTTCTGTGATTTTCACAAGATCTTCCACAACTTCTTTCCACAGAAGAAAAAATCTGCCCAGAGTTTTCAACCAAACTTTAAAGACGTTTTAATTTTCGAGCTAGGTGGTCATATACATATATGTATATATATGGTATATATATACATTTATATTCCTTTTTTGATGCTCTTATTTTTGCACTATGGTGCATGGGGAGTTGCAGATATGACATACAGTATAAGCCCAAGTCAGGTAGTGTATTTCAATATTTGGACCTGTAGAGGGCAGTGTATCGCACATTATCAGTACATGTGATAACCTTCAATGGTTTCTGAGGAAATACAACCCCAGGAACAGTCTGAATGAAGGTTTATCACATAAATTTGTGAGCATCAATGACAAGGTTCCTCAAATCAATTTTTAAAAAGTATGAAGTTGACTGACTGTGCATCTGAGATTACTAATAATCTCACTGTCTTCTTTCAGGACCCAACCCTAGTTAATACTGCAAGACCATCTGAAAAATGAACTATTTTGATAACCAAAACTGAACGGTTACTCAAGCACCCCTGTGATGATTATCATCAGTCTGTCTTCTAACCTGTGAGTGAACTCCTTTACTTCTTCAGAGTTATCAGACCCTGTGGCTAATTGACTGACAAGAACATTTCTGACCATTGATTTTCCAGGTAGCGTTCATGATAGAGTTATGTAAGACCATCTTACACAACTTTCTGACACACTTAGTGCAGTTTGTATCTTGAGTTTAGAGTACACAAAATAAATAAGAAGGTGATCCTGACTTTTTATGGCCTGGAAATTTTTGCAGGCGGAAAAACCAAACTTAGGGAAGAGTGTACAACAAGGTCAAAGAGTAACTTTCAGTCTGATGACATTTTTTTCAAAATGTCTTTATTTATATTAGTCTTAAATTCATGACATTTGATCCATTCAGTTTCTTAAAAAATGACTTTTTTTCAATAGCATACAAAAAATTGTTCAAAATGAACCCAAGACATTTCCATCAAATTTGACATTTTATTAGAAAAATTCTCATTCTACAATTGAATGAGATTGTTAGCTGAACATGATTAGATAGCAGCACTGTTTTTTACTAACCCTACAGTACGTATGAATATTCCCCAATAGTGTATGAATGTCCCCAATAATGCCAAAAACTTCCCATCTTAGAATACAAAGAAGCATTGTTGTGTTACAAATATAGTATCAATCATGTAAAGACAGATTTCACATGAGGTTAAACTGGCCAAAAGGTACAAAAAGCGTATAATTTAATTCAAAACTACATGACAGGAAATACACAACACAAATATTCAGTGCAGCTGGTGATTGTTAGAATAACTGGACGTTCATTCGGGTGTTTTCACCAACACGCTCCACAGGGAGTCTCCGGGTTTGAGCTGCATTCCTGGATCTGAGATCTGCAAAAAGAAAAACAGTTAAAATTATATTCAGACTAAAACATAAATACATGATACCAACCTCACAAATAGTCAGGCTTTACTTACTCCGACACTTCTTTGCAGTTGTATTTAATGCCTTCTCTGAGCTCTTTCTGTAGGTCCTTTAATGATAGATTTGTACAATTTGTCCTGGAAAGGGTTAAAAAAAAATCATAGTTACTCACAGTTTGACTGTACTTTTTCATTTATTGTGTTTTAATAAATAACAGCTTCTGAGGAGATAAAAGTCTTGAGAAAATCGTACGTATTTCTCTCCTGTTGTGTGACCAGAACAACATTCAGACTCCTCATCTTCTCGGGGTTGAACCTCTTCACCTCGATGCTCCCAAAAATACTAAAAAAAAAGAAGAATCATATCGATTTTAATTTATACATGTAAGTTCATATGTAAGTTTTATGTTAAATCCACCCACCACCAATACATGCTAACTCATAAATCACTAAATAACATGAATGAATGACATGAAAATGATCTATGAACGTCAAGATAACTGAGTTTTTATCGAAGTTGTCCCCGTGACACTGAGTCGATCAGTCGCCGTCTCTGTAACCTCAGACTGAACTGATGCATACAGGGTGTTGGTCTGAATTATCAGATAAAGACGCTCGCTGACTGATAAGGGAAAAAAAAGAAATTCTGGTGATCCATTTTCTTAGAGATGCAGAGTTATGTAAGGTTATGTTGCATAACTGTCTCTGATACAATATGAAGAATGTACTAATGACGAGGGAGTTGAAAAGTTATTATTTATTTTCGTATTTGTGATTTTTTTTCACCTGAAAATGTTACTTCCTGGACACTCCCCTACTTTATTTCCCCTGTTATCAAATAGATCAAATCATTTTTTTCACATGAGTACATTTGACATCAAAATAATTGTGAGCAAATCTCGGCAGGGTTGACTAAAGTGCAGCTGGATTGTTTGGTTTACAGCCAAGGCAAATTTAAAAGACAGCACCTGTCTTAGCCTGTTTACTCTTTCTGAATGGTAGAACCAAAACGGAGAGAAAAAAAAGAGATTACTGTATTAAACTAACATGACCTCACAGATGGAGGCAAATAATGACTCTGCAGAAAAGAAAACCACAAAAGACAAACTGCTTTTTTAAGTTTTAAAAAAGTTTGCTCTCCTGCTGAGTTGGTTATCACATTATTTTATAAATGCAGGGTATCTCACCTGTACAGGCTGAATGGCGTTGCAATAGATCCGTTGAGCATGACTGTGGTATCACCACAGGCCACTTCTGCAAACTACAAACAAGAAGGAAGAGGTTCAGATTCAAACCACAGACCTGAGTCGGTTTGCTTATAACCCGAAAGTTCAGTTTCTTGTCGAGTTCAGGCTTTAATAATGATGAACTGTGGATGTTTGGGATTCCTGCAGAATTGCATACGTACCCACTACAATGAGCTAAACTGAGAGTCTATTTTCAAGTGTTGAATAATCCTTCTTCTTGGATTTATTGTGTTTCCCCATTTTTGTTTAAGATAGCATTTCCTAGGTCCTGTTAAATTCGGGCTTGGAGGGTGGGTGGGGTTTTTGCAGTTTGTATTTTATTTTGTATTTTAATTTGTATCCCCTGTGTACAGCACTTTGTGATATGAGCCATGTATGAAAAGTGCTTTATAAATAAAGTGATTTATTGATTGATTTCTGTCTAAATTGATGTTAAAGTGAAGTAACAGATTTTAGTTGAAAACACTAAAATTTCAAAGGGTCATGCTGTATGTTTTTGACAGGAAATGTTTCCATTATCACAGTAAACATTTCTCAGTGAAGCTGCTAAAAGTCAGTGAAATTTTCCTCTTTATCTGTTGTGTTTCCTTCTCATTATAGATATTTTTAAAAAAAATCTAAATTTGAACCAGATATCCTATCCTGCTGAAACAACCATTTAAAACCTACAGTGTTAAAAAACAAACCCGGCTGTTTGAAGGACTTTCCCTGATTCCGCACACAGGAAACAACAAGTAGGTGAACAGCAACACATTCCTGACATTTCAACCGAGTCATTCTGCTCAACTGAAATTACAAGAAACACCACGAACTTTAACTTAACCCTTAACAAGTAGTATCCTACTTCGAACATATACTAGTACACAGATTTATTTGATTTTGCAGTATGAATTATGAGTGTCAAACCATCTCAAGTGAAACAACACCTCTTTCAGTTCAAAATGCATATATATTAGAGGAAATTTGCAAAATCAAGTCAGACATCGAAGTACTTTCACTCAAATTCCTGATAATATATCAAAGTCTTTAAGGCTTTTTCATTGTCTTGTTTCTAAAGATGATTGTTTGTAGGTTTCTTACTATGAGCTTTTATGTTTTTACTTTTACATTTTGTGCTTTTTCATTGTTGAATTATCAGTCGTGCCCATTTTAGGCCCCAGTAAGACAGAGCCCTTTACCTTTTTTGGTCAAACCTGCAGTTTTTTATAATTACAGATCTGATAAAGCCACGGTGTGTGTGTGTGTGTGTGTGTGTGTGTGTGTGTGTGTGACGCTCAGTGTTTGCCTCCTGCTTATGTAATGCGATGTAAAATCACATCCCTGGGTGCCAGTTTTAATCTGTTGCAGCCAAACTACTTTGTCTCAGGTTGTTTTTTTCTCTCTTTGTGGATTGAATCTGAGTTTTCTTTTTCTCTGTGACTTGGCGAATATTTAAAAGAGAGCGTTATTTGTTAGAATTTCTTAGACAGAAGAAAACTCAGCCAGACCGAGCAGGGCTCCTCTCAATGTGTGGGTCGCCCCTGCTCGCTCAGGAGAGAGCTACACAATGTGCCTCCATGGAGACCAGCACAAAGCCTCATTGATGGCGGACCAGGCCGAGCGAGTTTTCTCTTCTCCTCTCCATCATCTGCCCGGGACAGATCTGCCTCACCTCCTGCTCCAAGTTTGTTATTTTGACCGCAGTTTGATCCCCAGACTGAAATACTTCTGACTGAAGTCGAGCGTTCTTGTTGATTACTTACAGCGGCTGAGACTCTGTTCCAAAATGAGCGCACTGTGTTGTTGTCACAATCGTTCCATCTTGGGCAGCCAGACGTGAAGGTTTCTGGAACAAAAACACAGACGAATCTGAGTTGTTACACGTTTTAATGAACTTAATGAGAATTTGCTCTTGGTTACTCACTAAATTACAAACAAGAGAAACTTGAGCACAGCAACACAGAAAAGAAGTAATGTTAACTTATTAAAAAAAACTAAAAAATGATAAAAATAAAAAGTTTTTGAAGACATACTGATACTAATTTGACATTTGATGTTTTAGTTCAGCACATTAGAGAAGAAACCTTAAAGGGATATTCTGGCATAAAATTAATTTAGGGTCAAACACATCGTAACAGCAATTTAGACACCTTGTTGAGAGATTAATATTGCTGACTGCTTCTTCTTCTCTTGCTTCTCACTAAACACAACTCACCTACTCTCTTCCAGCAGCTGCTTGTTTATAGCAAGACCTCGTGCTAGTCCATTATGGACTACAGCGGGGTGCCGCAGCTCAAGGAAGAACATTTATGATCATTTCTTTATCATTTCCTTGAAGTAATAATCACCATATGAATAATTTTGCACTGCAGACGCGGTAGTTCTTCTGCCTTAGCGTCTCAGTCTGATTGCATTTCCAAGAAGAAATGATCATAAATGTTCTTCCTTGAGCTGTGTCACCCCGCAGCAGTCTGTAATGGACTAGCACGAGGTCTTGCTACAAACAAGTGGCTGCTGGAAGAGAGTAGGTGAGTTGTGTTTAGTCTCTTTGCTAAAGAAATCAGGTTAAGTTAAAAAGATGTTTGGGGGCTAGTGCTTTGGCTAGGACCCTATATGTCCTGTTGATGAAGTTAGGTGCTGTTCTGAGTATTATTTGTGGCTATAGAGTGGTGTTTTGGTTGAGGCTTGTCAGACTGCTGTGTATTGCTATTGTGCGGTCGTTACTAAAGTTGGTATAACTAGAGAAGCAAGCGGTCAGCAACATTCATCTCTCGACGGGGTGTCTAACTTGGTGTTACGGTGTGTTTGACCCTAAATTAATTTTACGCCAGAATATCCCTGAAAGATAGGTCCCAGGATTATTTCCTATATTTATGTCAAGATATGATCGTTGTTTGTTGTTGGCAGAGGGAGAAGAGTCTTGTTGGATTTTGTCTTCTTTTAGCCTGATCAGGGGTGTTGAGTGAGGGAGGCAGTGCCTTCTATGTACGGCTTAGGTCCCACCTTACCACATAATAACTTCTGGCACAAGAACACTGCCAAACCAGCTCGGTAGTATGGCCTTCTATCTTATTTGACATATGACCTATTGGGTGTTATTTTTAATTATTAGAGAGCATGAGCCAGCAACTGCTGCGAGCAAAAGAAAAAAAAAAACACTCTGATAATGGATTCGAAAATACAAGACATGACTTGCCTTACTGTAATTTGATGTTGTGCCAAAGTAACTGTAGGTAACAGATATAGCACCTCTGGCATTTGACAGTACTTACACCACTTCAAGCAGCAGTAACATGCAGCGCACATGTGTTAAGTTGCTGTTCTGGATTGTTGAAAACACCTTTTCAGACCGGACGACATCTGTTTGAGTGTAACAGCTGCAGCTACTCTGCTTTCTAAATGGTGTTTTCTTACCGCCGCTGCCCTCTTTTCCACACCAGGTCAGATCGTTCAGCACCGATCCCAGCAGAGTGTCCTCCAGGGTCGTGAAACAATGTTTTTTCGCAGTGAATTCATGAGCCACGTCTTTAGTTTTGCTCCAGAACATCATCTAAACCAAAGAAAGCTCAAAACAGTTAACATAAAATGATAAAATCTCTAATTATGTAAATGTGCAAAAACAAGTCATGCATGGGATGAATGTTATTTACTCGGTTGCATGCAGGTTCGAAGGGGGCTGCAGCAATGAGAGGGTCATAGGCCTCCATGGGGACTTCACAGGGGTCTTTCCCTAAATAGGCTTGTTCGAATGCAGTCCATATCTTTTCACAGTCAGATCTGAAAAATAAGAGACACCACTGTATCGATGATCACTGTATTAGAAATAATCTAACTTTTGGTTGAGCTCACAAGAAGCAGAGAGGTGGAGACTTAAGTTAAAGGCATGGTTGACGATTTGAGAGATTGGTAATTATTATGAACCTCATTTAAATGGCGATCATGGTCCTATAGTGCGATCTCTACAAAGTGAAGAGAAAAAAGAACAGAAAAAAAACGTTCACCCAAGCAGGTGCAGGGCTGCAAAAACATTGACCAATAGGAGCCATCCGTCCCGGACAGCTCCGATTGGTCAATCTCCTGCTCGGCCTCTCCATCCAATCACCTCGCTGTATTTGACACTCCTCTCTCCCGTAGTTCCAACTCGTCCCCTCCCAACTCTCCCGGCTCTCCTCTGAGCTCTGAGCGGCTAAAAATAGCGTAGCAGCTTAGCTACAGGAGCTGCGATGGAGAAGGTGCAAAAAAACGCTTCTGCTTGCCCCACCGCCAAAAGTGCTAAAAAAACACGAGCTGACGGAAGAAAGGGCAGAGACGAAGAGGAAATGTGACCAAGCAAGAATCTAGCTCGAATAAACATTGGGTCGTCCTGCGAGTGATGGAGAAGGCTCCTTCAGGATTTGGGCCTGAAAACAGACGCCGAGACAGCAGAGTTTTTGTTGAATAGGTCATTTTTATCGCCTTTTATCGTGGGACATGTTATATAAATAACTCTTATTAGTCTCTAAAATGTCAACACTGTAGCTGTCCAGGCAGAGCTAACAGAGCTGGCGTTTACTGCTGCTAGTCACTAGTTATCCGACATGGTGAATCCTATTTGAAGCTAGCGTGAAATCTTCTGCTGGCTGACTTCTTGCTCTGCTTGAGGGGGTGTGTCGTGGGGAGGGCGATACAGGTTTGGTGGGGAGTTAACGTGGAGCACAGAGGAGAGAGGTTTGAGTGTGGGGGGTGGGACGTTTTTTTTTTCAAATCTCCATTTTTTTAAAAGCGTCTCAGATCGTCAACCACGCCTTTAATGCTTTTGTCCTAAAATAAGAAAAAATCCTGGTTAAAAAGCAGTCTTCACAGTTTGTTCTAATTCCAACTTCCCAGACTGGGTAATTAATCAAAGTTAAGTACTTTAGGTTGTTAAGAAATAGACGTTTACACTGTGCTGAAAATGCAGAAGTCCAGCTCATAAATCATTGACTGGACTGCCTCACAGACTGAGCCTTGGGCTGAACTCTAACCTAAGCATTTCTGAGATACTCACTGAATAGCTCTCATTATCACACAATCCCTGGTTTTTCATCACATTAGATGAATCACTTGGACTCTACTTCCAAAGATTGCAAAGGTTTGCGAGAGTTAAGCACAGACACTCTAGTCCTGACTGATTTAAATAAAAAATTCAGTGATTTTAAAGAAGCTCTCTCCCGTCATTGGACACTGATTTACCCCACAGGAATGACAACTATCTCCACCAGTTTAAGTGCTGATGAGATTTAGTGTCCAATAAAAAAATGAATCAAATAACAGAAGCACCTGTCAGCTTAAAATCCATCATTAAAAAATTTACCTTGCAGTCTATCTACTTAGTGGAAGTGGAAGTTATGTCCACTTCCCTTGAGTATTTCCCTTTAATACAACTTCAGATTTCTAGTTCACAAAATCTCATTAGCAAATACACACTTTTAACTTGAGTACATTTATCCAACAGCTCAGTTTTGTTTTTTGACATTTTTGAAAATCTGTAACTGTTAAACACATAAAACATAAAAATTCAGCATCAAAATAAACAGACAAAGATCATTGATTAGACTGATGTGCTGATTGATTAATCCCTCTAAAACAGGTGAACAGTAAAGGGTCCATGTGGTCAGGATCAGCTGTTTTTGGGAAGACTTTGCATCATGTTCCTGATTGTGCTGATAAAATCTTCCAGGTTATTGAAGTAAGAAACACCACTGCTGCTTACCCTTCAAACTTCTCACATCTGTTCATAAATGTTGTCTTGAATGTTTCTGAACTCCGGTAGAGTCCGACTCCCAGCGCAATACCGAGAATGACAATGAGCAGCAGGACGGCGACCACAGTCAGAAAAAGACACCGTTTCGTCCGTCTCTTCTGTGGAGGAAAACGCTCGACCGGCTCCATTAATAAAACACTTTAAAATACTAAAACGAGCCGGAGGAGGTTTGGCCGTCACGCTCGTGTTTGTTTACACTCAGGAGTCCCTCTCACTCCGGCGTCTATTTATGGGGAGGTGTGCAATGTCCTGCGCGCGCACACGTGCACTAGCTCGAGGCTGGTTAGGAATCTTTTATGGCATGTAGACGCTGCTAAAACTGAAGACCGTGGACCACAACAGTGGGGAGACCGCGGTGGGAAAATATGCATACTTTAACCTGTTAAGACAACCTGGAGTTGGTAGTACGGTGGCTGAGAACCGCCACTGCTGCAAATAAAAAAAAAAATGCAAAAAAAAAAAAAAAAAAAAGGCACAATGGAAGTTACTGATGCAAAAAAAAAAAAGGGAAAAAAGAAAATAAACTGAAGCCTGCTGCAAATAAAAAAGAAATGGTGCAGTTACAAAAAAAAAGGCTCAGAGGAAGTTGACGATGCAAAGAAAAGTTAAAAAAAAAGTTAAAAAAGACTTACTTACTGTGAAAATAAAAGAATGCTAATAAAAAAAGAAACTGAAGCCCGCTGCAAAAAAAGAAACGACACAGAAAAAAAAAGCCTCAATGGAAGTTAACGATGCAAAAAAAAAAAAAAAAAAACACAGTAAGGAACTTTTTTTTTTTGCCCACTGCAAAAAAAAAGTTTTGCACCGTGAAAATAAAAGGAATGCACATTAAAAAAAAGCCACAACAGAAGATAATTATGATGCACCGGTGTTTTACGATCTAGTCACAGAAGACGACGGCAAGATGACAAGTAAAGAGGTAAGTGGAAAGGTTTTTGTTTGATTTTGTTTCGTGTGCTTTTCAATGTGTCATTTAGTTAGGCCATGTTGTGCCTGAGTGGATATGAAGTTGAACTGAAGGATGTCAGTGTAGTGTTGTGTGGTGATAGCTTTATTAATGTTCTATGGGGCACCGAATGTATACATTCAGTCACCGTTAAATAGGCAACATTTTATGAAGATTTAGCCAATTTTTCTCACATTTAGCTCGTTTTTCTTTCATTTGAGACTGAAATTCAGATAAAACAGCATGTTCTTTTTATTTGTTAAGTATTTGTAGGTATGAAAAATAAATCTAAATCTAAATGCTATATCTAAATGTCGCCTATTAAACAGTAACTGAATTTTTACATTTGACCACCCATAAAGTTTGGTCTGCAACCCCTCAGGATGAAAAAAGGTTTAGTCTTTATCAAAAGTACATCAGATTAGTACGATTTTAGTGGTGGATTATTCCTGTTGACAATAAAGTAACACCTCTAGAAGTTATATAAAGATCAAATAGAGATTAAAATTATATTGGTTTTTTTTTTGTATTTTTATTTTTGTATTTTATTTTTCAGATTTCTACTCTGTTGTTGTTTTAATTCTCATGATTTTGGCACATTAAATTAGACATCTAGCATTTCTGATTATTTAAATTTCTTTAATAATTAAAACGTCCAACTGTCAGTTTATTTATACACTCTTTTAAGTGTTGGGCTGAAACATATTAAACTTAATCTTTTTTGACTAACTGGTGGATTATCCTAAACTTTTCATTATATTCTAATTTGTTGAGATGCACCTGTATGAAAACGGATTAAATAAATGCGTTATTTAAGGTGTCAAAAGAATGTAATTTTTCAAGAGTTGGCTTTTAATGCTTATACTTGACTTTAAATGATGTGCAGACATGTAACTTAAATACAAGGGAAAAATATTTCCACCCCTAGTTTATCTTCTACCTCCTAACTGCCGCTTGTAAAGAAGTCATTTACAAAGCCCACAAATATATTTGTGGTACAAGCATAAACATGATTTAAACTTTGTGGTTTCAAAGTTGGCAGAACTCTTTCACCTCTTGTATCAGGCTGGTAACAATCTTCACCAAGAGACTTTAACAGTAGCTAGAAGAAGTTCATGCAGCAGTCATCAGGTGCAGAAAGATTATTGTGCTCCATAAATCCAAGTTCATGGAAAAGTCACCAGTTACAGATATGTTGGGAAATGCTGTGTGGACCTTTGAGTGGAGAAAGGTGAACCAAACCAACAAACTGACATTTAAAGGAACTCTATCTGGAGTGCAACAACGTCATGGTGGCACATGTTTATCAGTCTCAGGATGACTTGTGCCTTTATTATCTTGTGCTACACGCTCAGTGAAACGTTTATTTGGAAGGATTTCCCCGTCGTCAAAGAAGGAGAAAAAGCGTCATATCTCTCCACTTGTTACATAATATTTCAGGTTATTGTGAGCTTCAGCACTTCTGCATTATACAAGACACACTGACTGTTCAGGGTCTGCAGTGTTCACATGGTGACCTTTCCCCCCCACAGGCCAAAAAGAAGCCAGACAGGGCCGGATTAAAGTCTTTGGGGGTCCAGGGCAACTGAAACCCCCATCACCACCCCTGTATATAAATATAAAAAAAATAACAAACTACAACAAGACAACCACAGTCATGGTCATACAACTTGATTTCGTCAAAGAAAGGGATCTCTAAAACCCTGATCGTAAAGTTTTGTCCTCAGAGATACATTTTCTTACCCAAGAGGCTCAAAGAAAGATACACAGAAAGAATAAATTTTTAAGGTCCTTACACACCGGGGCCGACGCGAATATACAACGCAAAATTACAAAATATTTAGAGGGGAATTTTGACGCACCTGACTGTACACATCAAGCCAGATGCAATATTGCGACTTTCCGGGTGGAAAATAGACGCATCCCGGGTGGAGGCGAGAAGACCAACACAACAGCAGACTGACTGTTTTTCAGTTCTGATTAGACTCTAGTGTTGAGATGGCTGTCTGTCATGATAGCATGGACTGAGTCGGGCCCAGTACCAGATAAGCACACTAAACTATAATCCATAAAGGTAAGGTAACAACTGAGACCTAATGGTGCTGTGACAGCAACGCTGTGATTGAGTTTGAGACAGTGAAAATATATATGGTATGTTGTATCTGAACAGGTTAGCTTACGAGCTAAAGTTACTTAGCACAGATGAAAGTTAAAACAAAGACGTTTAGCAAACTGTTAGAGCACAAAAACCATCGTCATATGAGAAATCCGACGCTATGACTCTCCACAAGTTGTCCTTCAGGTCGTTATCTTTGTAATATTTGTGTCTATTATCATAAATCACTCTGTTCTCCAACATGTAAACAATCAGCTGGTCGGCCATGTTGGATATACCGGTGAATCTGACGTCGCAACAACACGCAATCTGATTGGTCAGAAGTGGACACACAGTATGTGAAAATTTAGAAAAGTTGACCATGATCCGAAAAAATAAATGCTGCAATATCGGGAAAACGGGAGACGGGAAAACGTTGCTGATGTGAACGCTTGCATTTACAGGATACAGGTTCGAAAAAAAATACAGAAGTCCAAAATAGTTGCATGACAAAAACGGTCCTGGTGTGAAAGGACCTTTACCTGGAAATCTTTTCAGCATACGATTTATTCGATGCACTTTTGCTGAGCACAAGACTGCAAAACAAAAATAACAATACATGCAAATTCTGTGTGTGATTTAGCCCCTCCTGTGTAAAAGGCTGTTCACACATGTTTGGCAGGACGGCTGTTCGGGGTTCTGGATGCACTGAAGGATCATCAGGGTCCTGTGGATAAATATTACATCTGTTACTCCGGGGAACTTTCTTCAGGAAGGTCATTACACAACATCTGCGTCAATATCTGTATCTCACATGAGTCTGCAGGAAAAACGTTAGTCTGAAACAAGCATGTCTTCTCTGTGCCTACAATGGTATCATGCACTTCCATCTCCTCCAGATGCAAATACTGTAGTTCTTAAATATAAAGTACTAAAGCATATGATACCACTGAGGACAAGGTTGACAGTTTCTAAACAGTAAGTTTAACACCTCCATAGTGACCTAAATTTCTCTGATAAAAGAAAACATCACTTTCACAATCAGCCACAAAATGAAAGGGTTACCACTTTGCCTACAGGGGGCGCCAAAGTCAGAACAGACAGAACTTTCTCACAGAAGCTTTAATTACTGATTCGATGCACTTTTCACAGATGTGTTTGATAAACTTTTAAAATTATTTTTATAAGAAAGTTTAGCAGTAGATTTGTGAGGTTGAATCAAAGCCTGATCCTTTCTTCTGTCTATATACATACATATATATTGGTGACTAAAGCTAAGTAAGTCGAATTTCCTGACTAAATAAATAAATAAGTATTCTGATTAAATCTCAAGCCAAGCTTTGTCACAACATCATTTTTTCTCTCCCCGCTCGTCTAAAGCTCATAGGAAAAATAAATGTATTTATGTTTTTGAAGGACTTGTTGAATGTCACCTACTGGTCATTGTCTGTGCAAGTCCAGCGGAAACCTCTGGACTGGAGGATGTGGATCAGGTCTACAATGGATCCTTTACTACATGACTCTCTGCAGAAGAGGAAAACAGTTCATAGTGTGTACCACCATTTACATCGGCTTTATGAGCTGTAACTAATGGCAACGTCACAGTAGATATACCACATGGATTATTTATATCATTGAGAACAACAACAACAACAACAACTCTCAATTGAGAAATTTATGATCTGGTAGAATTTTTGCAGAATTAATCTTTATTACATGGAAAGTCAAACCAGATTAAATTAATTAAACATGCTAATAAAAACAGTCCTGTCACTCAAAGATAGCAAGATCAGTGTATGGAATGAGAGCCATAAAGACTTTAGTTTATAATGTGTAACTAATGTGGTGCTTTGGAACATATTACTGTTTATTCTTACGTAAACGGTCCCTCCAGATTGGTCACCACCTTTATGTTGACATAATCCACCCTGCGAGGGTTCATACTGTCCAGCTCAACACTTCCAAACATGCTGTGAGATTAAAAAAAACATGATTTTAAATCCAAACAAAGTAAAGTTACTACAAAACTGCTGGATTTAAATCACTTTAAACCTTTTCTTGTTAAAGGCGTTGACAATCGACCCGTTCAGTAACACAGTGATGTTGCCACACGCCATCTCCGCAAACTAACGATTGAGTGAAGAAAATCACACGGGAGCATTATTCCACAGCTGCTTTTGGAACAGTATGTTGCATATAAATGATAAACAGCACAGCTGCGTGCGCTGCCGAGACACTCAACTCACATTTTGTGACGCTTGTCTCCACAAGGAATACACCGGATGATTCCTACACGCCGACCACTCTGGACAAGAGCTGAAATCAAAACCTGTGAATCAAATCCACATTTATCCTCTGAAGGAATCATATCAGCTTTATGATTGTTAAATAAGACATGAATGAATGTTAACAGAAACAAGCTCAGTTCACGCATCATGCAGTTTAATCACTCAGCGCTACATCTGTAATGAAAAATTCAGAAGCATGCTGAACATATGGGAGCACAGCTGCAGCTGCCTGAGCGATGATGTTCAATTCAAATCCCAGAGCGACAAAGTCCCCCCATTAAAAAACATATTCAAGACAGCATAATGTCATTGGGTTTGACTTTCTGTTGTCGAGGTTATAAAAGACAGTTTCACTTCCTTGCAGAAGCTTTTCACACAAGATTAACACCTTCAATTTTTCTTTAATTTTGGACAGCAGCTGTGTGCTGATTTACGACCATGCAACATTAATGCACATTCTTAGTAAAGCCTGCAACCACCTAGCAAAATACTTGCATATTCTCTTTATTGTGTGCTCTGTTTTGGGCACCACCAATGCCTACAGAAGAGTCTGAAGTGCTTTAGTTGTGAAATGACCAAATGATGATATGTAAGTTTGTGATATCAGTCACATGACCTGAGACATTTCATGCGGTCAGTGGGGTTAATCTGTGATAAATATCTGTCTGAAATCACTAAAGTGCAGATAGTTTCTGCAGCCCAAACATGATGTTTTCCTGTAGGGTCAAAGTCAGAACAGATATACCTGAGTCCTCCTCTTGTCCACACCAGATAAGGTCATTGAACATGTAGCCAACCAGTGTGTCCTCCAGAGTCCAAAACTGAGGATTAACGGCGGCATAGCTGTGCATCAGCGTCCTGGTTTTACTCCAGAACAGAGACTGAACAGAAAGACATGAAAACAGAGAGCTGATCAGTTGTATTCATTTGGTATCTACAGAAAAATTCTCAAAAACAGTTTTTTTTCTCACCCTGTCACAGGGCCAGGTCTGTGGTATGGCGTAAAACATCTTGTTATAATCCTCCACCGTCACATTACAAGAGGACTGACGGACAACTGCCTCCTCAAAATGTCTCCAGATGACCTCGCAGTCATGCCTCCAAATAAAACACAAGAAAAATGACAAATAAATTAAATTTCAATTGCTATTATTCATTTCTTTATTTATTCCTTTGCTGTTGTTCATGTTTTAATGTTGCTTTGTTGATTTTAACTGTTTGATGATTAATGATTTTAATTGTTAATAGTGTTTTATTATTGTTTTTATATGTTCTGTAAAGTGTCCTTGAGTGACGTGAAAGGCGCTTCAAATAAAATGTATTATTATTATTATTATTATTAAATATTCCACATTAACGTAACTTCAAATGGACTCCAAAATGGTGTTCAAACATATAAAGGAAAACCTGAATTTTGACACACTCTTGGTCCGCAGCTGCATGTAAATCCCATCCATAACTTCCAGACTGAAAACACCAGTATTTTCTTGTTACGGTTGTGAATATTTGCAGGTAAATTACAGTTTTTAAAGTACATACTAAACATACTTTGGATTAAGATATCATGACTTTGCCTCCAGAGAACTGAAATAGACATATTGACTCCTGGTAAGGGACAATTCAAAGTGTGTGAGTAGTTATGCAACAATCCTGAATAGGGTTAGACTTTCTTGTTATTTTGCATAACAACCCACTCACTATACATCATCCCCTTTACTACCCAGCTGTCAACCTCAGATACAAACATGGTACTGTCAGATTACAAAAGCAAAATTGTATATGAATGCTATCACATGTGTATTTTATCATTATATTAGTATGTTAGTCATCATTTACTGAAACTCACTTGGTGTGAACGCTTGCAGAGTCATATCTGTTTCTTTTTAATGAGCATGGGAAAGGAGAAGTACGGCCTTGGAGTTGGAACTGATACATTTCACCTGAAGCCATGCAACTAAATGAAAGCTACAATTTCACTCACAGGTTGTTTTCCCAGCAGTGTGACATTGAACTGATAAGCAGGAACCTGATGATGAACTAAGCTTTCTTTGTTCTCCCAGTACGGACCACAGCTGCAACCTGTACCCTGTTTGGATACCGTTGTAATGTCATGCCACTTGTGAGATGATGTTAGTGGGCAGGAGTGTCTGTTTCTCGACTGCATAAAGGATGTGTAAAAATCTGAATTCCTCAGTCAGACTCCTTGCAAGTAAAAGATATTGAAGAAAAAGAAGTCCACTGTCTCTGTCGTTCTTCTCAGCTGGCTGCAAGTCAGATGCAGTTTCATTTTTCTGACAGATTATGAGAATTTTTTCGGTTGGTATTCTTCACGAAAACAGCACCAGTTCAGGACCCTTTACCAGTTACTTTCTATTGGGGTTTCTTTTGAAGTTGCAATTTATGGTTGCTTTTTGTCTGTTTTCTTCAGTTTGGTAGATGACCCCTCAACTCAGCTCCTCATCTTTTGTAACTTTCCTCGCTAGTTTCTTTGTGGCTTTTCTGTCTCTGTCGACTTCAAAGTTTGGCGTTTTTAAAACAAATGTTGAAAACTGACATTTTTGCCACACTGTCAACAGGAAGAGATCAAATCATGAACTTTAAAACTGTGCAAGATTCCTACCCACGAATTGATTGGGTTAGATTTGATCTAGCTGTCCCTGGCAACTGTTGTGATGGGGTTTTGACCGGTCAGGAGGTGTTAAATCAAGTTTTTAAACACCAACGGATGATGAGTAAGAAATCGAGTGATAAAATTATTCAATGGTTGCATTTTGGATTCCCTGGCAAGTCTTAAGAACTCACCGTCTTTGTTCAAAGTTGATCGAGATTTCAAAAGACGCTCAGCTATCAATGTTTAACGTTGCCTGAATGATTGTTATCAAAAGCCTTTTATGACCCAACAAAAATGAGGAACTAATCTCTAAATACACCTGGATTGAGATTTACCGGAGGTTTGTTTCCAAAGAAAACCAAGCAAATATCAGTGAACCCAATTATAAAAAAAGTCCTGCTATTTAAGCCAAACCTTCTCATGAGATATAACATGATATAAAAGACGAGCCTCTGTTCTGCACTATCTTGTTTGTCTTTCTGTTGAAGCAAAGAAAATCGTTATTCATTGTCAAATCAAAACCAGTGCCAGTCTTTCAGGTTTTGACACCTGTCAAAGGTCATGGTTTTGAACTTTACCTCAAATCGGGGTTAACCAGCGTGATGTAATTGTAACACCGTCCGACCACGATGTGTTTGATGTTGGGGGTAGTGCCCAGCTGGGTTCTCAGTGGACCGGGGCAGAAAACGAGCACAATAAACCCTTTGAAACGAACACAAAGAAAGACGACATTATCCTTCACGTCTAGGAGTGGCACATCAATAGAAAGGAAAAGGTCAGGAGGAATTACTTACAAACTATCATCATCATGAAAGATGCAGATGTTTTCAGGGTGACTCTTCACTTCATTGGGATTCAATCAAGATGTATGTTTGAACATGCATGACTCTGCCAACCTGCAACGGCAGAAGACGTTACAGTAAGGTTGAATCTGACTGCAGGTCCTTTCCAGGGAGCTCTCGAGATATGTGTGGGCTGGTATAATTTTCTCACGGCATTTACGAAACTTCCTTCCCCGTAATTTTGTCTTTTGGCAGGTTTTCAAACACCCTGCTACACCCTGACCTTAAGAACACATTATACTTCTCAGCATACGCAGTAGATACACAGCGGATACATACACTTGATAAATTACAGTGGTTAGCAAACTATTTATTTAATGTGGTTAAAAAGTTACACACGCAAAGTTTTGAAATGGGAAACTCCAAGTAAACACTCACCGTTTTCAGTGCAGAAGGTTACACAACAACAAATTGCTCCATGCTTGTTCTCAGCAGAAGTCGAATCCCCTTCTGGTGTGGTATCATGCATCAATTACCTCTCCTGGCTGTCATGCCCAATGCCGGTCCTCACCAGTGCAAAGACATGTTTGTAAAGGACAGAGGAGAATTTTTTTCCCAGCGTCTTCCTGCAGAGAGGAGATCCACATGACTCCCATTATGGCGCCATTAGGAATCTCCAAACATAGAGCGTGTGCTGTTCTCTGGGACACGGTGCAGTAATGAGCCTGAGGGAGAGATGTATGTTGATGCTTGTGGTGTTGTTGGAAACTATATTTACAGCAAAGTATTGATAGAAATAGTTTTAAATGAGTAGATTGTGTTACGTTTGAGAATGGACAGATTATTCCAGTGCGTGCAATGTGTCTACACTGTATTAGTGTTTTATTTGCAAAAGGAAGAAGTCTCACTAGAAAGAAAACAACAAGAAGTTGACAAAGACTGAAGAAGATGGGGAGATTTTAATAGTAAATAATGCAACAAGTCAGATTTTGGAATTTTCTCATTTGTTTTGTCTTGTGAAAAATCTGTACTTGGTGTTGGCAACACATTTCAGAAAATTTGGACAGGAGCATGTAGACTTTTAGGAACCTTTGCAGCCAATTTGTGGAGATCTGCAAGTTAAAAATGGTCCCATATTTGCCTGGTGTAGGATTTAAGCTGCATAACAGTTCAGAGTCAACTTTTTTGACTTTTCCAATTCTTGATATGCCAAATGTTTTCAGTAGGGGATATGCTGGACTACAGAGAGGCCGGTGGACTCTTCTCCTACAGACCCATGCTGTTGTAACACATGCAGAATGTGATTATGCAAGGTCAGTCTTACAAGGTCTATCTCTTATGGTACAGTTTTTGCTTGCATTTGCAAGTGATTTCCACCTCAGAGCAGCCTGAGGACCAAAAGATCACAGATATCTGCTGTTAGCTGTCTACCAAAGTCAATATGTGCATAAAAGATAATCTTTTTTTCTTTTTTTTAACAGAACTTTGGAGAAAATATGCGCAAGTTAACAGAGTATGGGATTCTTATGCAAAAAGAAGTTTCTTTGTTTAATAAAGCAGCCCTCTGATTTTATTTGAGCACTCATATCTGTTTTACAAGTGGGCCACAGAAAATGTTAATTTCCTCGATTAGCGCTCAGCTATTATTCCCTAAAGCCAGAACCCAGAACCCTAAGTCAGGTTCCATCGAACATAAGGAAATAATCAAACGTGTTTAATGTTCAACATAAAGTCCTGTCTTACAACACATTAAAAAAAATCCTTGCTCTGGGTGAGAGGAATTAAGATTAATGAATGCATAACTGTTGCCAGATTTCTCATTAACAGCTTAAGTCATCTTTTTGAATTACAGCTACATTGCTATGAAGGATGTCTAAGGTTTAAACTGTTTGACAGAATATGGATGGAGAGGTGCTCTCCTGGTTTTTAAGCTAATGGTGCTTCTATCAATCCAGCTTTCTGCACAGGAGGACAGAGCGCCCCCCCACAGCACTAAACAAAGTTACTGACAGAAAAGGCTCTGAGGTTAAGTAGCTGAAGATGACCATCAAGACACGAGGTCAGACTGTGATTCAATCCTGAAGGAAAGCTTAAAATAGAAGAACACACATCTTAAAGACATTTCTCACTGCTTTACTGACGTTGGATTATGTTTTTACCTGTTCTGAGCAACTTTTGGAAGAAAAAATACCCTTTCCTGTATTACTAAGCATTCTTTATCACAAAAAACTGACACCTAGAACTTTCAATCTGCAGAAAATAAACAACTGCTATACATTTGTGAAGCTTTAACTTGCAAAGTTCAGGACTTTACTGAACTCAAGTTACCAAAGAAGCAGTAAAACACATTACAAGTCTGTATATGAACAATTACACCTACAAGGATATGCAATTCAAGCTTTAATTGGTCAGTGGAAACAGGTTTTTACTCGCAGTTTGCCCTTAAAATCTCAGGTGAAGATTATATAACACCTGAAGTCACCTGCAGCAATAAAAGCCTGAATAGAGCAAACATGTTTGACTGACATAGAGGCAGTGCACTGAGACACAATGTTGCTGCTGCCACCTTTTGGCTTAGAAAGGATGTGCATGTTTTAGATTCATTTGTACAAATCAAATTCCAAAATTTCACACCATAAATTTAAAGTTTCTTCACACTCAGCTCAATTTGCACCATAATATATGCATTTTGAGTGATTATTTGCACATTTTACTATTTTTGTTGACTTTTTTTTTGCTTCAAAATATATTGAAGCAACCTTTGTGTCACGGTTACTCCTGAGATATTTGTGTTTCCATTGTGATTAAGACATAAAAATATGCCAGACAAAATGATAACATTCAATGCATAAAAAGGAAGAACCACAGCGAATCACTGACCAACAGCTCAGCTTGCAGATAGGGGAGAGTGGGGTAAGATGAGCCATTTTTCATATTTTGGATCACTACATCAAGTCAATCATAGTTTTGTCTCTAACTAGTATATCTGCATATATTTCAAGATGTTGTGCATCCCTGCAAACCAATAGAATGAGTGCAAACATAACTGTCTTAATAATATAGCATGCCAAAAAAAGTGGTATCCTAGGGTCAACTTATCCCGTGAATGGGGTAAGTTGAGCTGTATCCATACTACTCCCCTCACTCTCCACCCCAGCCCTCCCTGGTGGACTCGTGTAGCTCATAGATGCCACAAATGATGTATAAAACAAATTTAAAAAGATCTTTTTTTGGTCTGAACACAATTCTAATAAAACTTATGACAGACCAAATTCACTTTCAAGAGTGAAAAATGTTTCTGTTTTAGAAATAAATGTCTAACCCATTCACCCACGAGCTTCTAACCTTCACAGACTTCATGAATTGATGCCCATCTCCTTAATATTTGGTCACATGATCAATTTCTTTTCCATAATAAAAGTGCTGGAGAGTGTTGTTCAAATCAGCTAATAAGGAAAACCAAAGAACCTCTAACCCAGAGTCAACAGGGACACTGCTGAGAGTGACTCCATCAAGAAAATGGACTGATTTATACTGAATCTGTTTGTTGTTACACTCACCTCTACTCTTGACACCTTTGCATATCACAGTTTTGTCCGCCTGCTGGTCTTTTTAAAAGGCCTAGGTTGATCCGGTTTAATGGACGGTGAAGGCCTCGGAGCCTGAGTTCAGCTCAGGGTGAGAAGAAACATCGCTTTCCCCCTGTTAAATAGACGATAAAAAATATTTTTAAAAAGCACACATTTAGGCTACTTCCCAACAAAACTACAAAACAAATAAATTCCATGTCATCTCTATTGGAGTAGTTTTATGTCTCTGATTTCTCCAAGACAACCTGTTGTGTTTTGCTCTATTTGTGTTGAAACACGGCTTTTATTCACACTCTTATGCAATTAATTGTCGTCAAATAAGTCTAAAAAGTGCACCGACATTTTATGCGAATGTATTTTACATAAGTCTAGTTCCAAAAAGGAAACAAAATCCCTCAACTTCAAAAAACTTCATTTGTTTGTAACATGTCTTCCATGCAACTCATTTGAAAAAGGGGAACTACAAACTGCTCTGCCTCTTTTCTTGTTCCGTAAAACTATCTAGCCAATAAGAGCAGCAGCTGTAACTCAGTGACCAATAAGAAATGAAAGTCACCTTAGTCCCGCCCTTTTGAGAGCGTCAGTGAACATTTTTGGACCAATGAGAAGGAGGAGGAGTTGATGTAGTCCCGCCTTATCAGTATCCAAGAGTCTACAGTGAGTGAGCAGTCAATCCGGCAGGAGGTGGGTGTAAGTAGCTTTCAACGATTCAAACTAATTTAAACTGAGATTTAGCTGATAGTAAATGAAATCTAGAGCAATTAAAAAGCTGTCTGTCTTCATGTTTTAATTGTTGTTTGTTTCTCCAGCTGTCATTTAGCGCGGCGCCCTTTTAACGTTACGATGGAGTGTTAGCTTATGAGCTAGTGAAGCTAGCGGAGGTGACAGCGGTTATCCCCCTGAGAGATCCAGACTGTTGAGCTTTAATGTCTGTGTTTTACTGTCTGTATTTATCACTACTGTTCCTGACAGGTACAGAAAGCTGCAGTGAATGTGTATGTGTCTTCTTAACGGGATTCCTCTATTCCAACAGCAACCCTTAGACCTGTGTCCGTCAATAATCCCCACCTGTCATCATGAGTGACCCCTGGCAGGAGTGTCTGGATCACTGTGTGGAGGTCACGAAAAAGGCTGGACAGGTGAGTACTCGGGTAGAAATGAGGTGAAGACACACAAACATGGTACAACAATAACCCAAAGGTTTGCTCTTCTTGTTTATGTTTTACTGAACATTCAGCGCTGGCACATTAATAAACACAATATTGACAAATAAGGAGAAGTTTGAGTGTTTATTTAAAACTACAACTTTCTATATGGAGGTTTTGGTCCCTGCAAAACAGCCTTGCTTACAACCTCTGAGTCATAAGGCTGCATAAACAGGCCAACTTGGATTATTTGTAACCTCTTAATAAAAGATAATCACTCTATATTTCTTAACCTAAATGTATGAAAAGATTCTACTACATGGTAAAAGAAATTGATCATGTGACCAAATATTTAGGAGATGAGCATCAATTCATGGAGTCTGTGAAGGTTAGAAGCACATGAGTGAAGGGGTTAGACATTCATTTACAAAAAAAACATTTTTCACTCTTGAAAGTTTTATTAGAATTGTGTTCAGACCAAAAAAGGTCATTTTAAATTTGTTTTATACATCAATTGTTGTATCTATGAGCTACAACATGAGGTCAAAACTTAACATAAAAGTCCACCATTTTAGTTCAGAGGACTAACTTCAACTGAGAAAGTAAAGGAGTCTGATGGGAGGATCAGAGTTTCAGTTCAGATTCTTGAAATGTTTTACTTTTTCTTTTCAAAAATACAGCTGTGAATTTTCTGAATCTCTCAAAGACATTCTCATGTTAAAATATCGTATTACAAAACAGCTTTTTAGCAGTTATATGCAATAATAATAAAAAGAATTACTGTACCAGTTAAATAGCGCAAAATAGAAATACACGTGAATGTGAAGAAGTGACTGTTATTCAGGGAGGGCTGGGGAGGAGAGTGGGAGGATAGTAGGGATACGGCTTAACTTACCCTGCTCCTATGGTCAACTTACCCCATACACAGGGTAAGTTGACCAAGAGACCACTTTTTTTGGCATGCTATATAATCAAGACAGTTATGTTTACACTCATTCTGTTGGTTTGCAGGGATGTACAACATCTTGAAATATATGCAGATACACTAGTTAGAGACAAAACTATGATTGTCTTGATGTAGTGATCCAGAATATGAAAAATGGCTCATCTTACCCCACTCTTCCCTATGCCTCGAATGAAGGCACAACCTTTAGTGAAATTTGTCTTGTAAAAAGGTCCAAGTGTAAAAATTTCACAGTTCAGGACAGACTGAGGATGATCTGGAAATGACCAAATATGGCTACCTAAGAGGGGAGGCTCATCTGAGCCCTTCACTGTTTTTAGCTCTGCAGGTCCAAAGTTTTTAGAGTGAATTTCTTGAGTGTGATGAGTTAAATTAGATCATTTTAACTAATCAGAACTTGATCTAATCTACTGTGATGAGATCAAGTCAAATTATCTGTTAGCTTTAGGCCGTGTTTGAAATAGCCTCTTAAACTGTGCGTGTTTTGAAGTGTTATTTACTCCTCTTTCTTTCATGACTGTCACAGTTTCAGTCAAAAGTTACAGCAAAGTGTACAGCAGAGAAAACAGCATAAAATCTACAGTTCCACCTCATCTTCTCTGCCTCCTCTCTCCCTCATAAGCCGTGACCATAACACACATCACAGAGGGCTAATTAAAAGAGCAGATGCACTCATTCATCCAAAAAATCCTCCTTGTTGAGTTTCGTCATCGTTTGATTCTCTGCCAGATGATCCGTGAGGCGCTTCAGAAGGACATCGCCGTCATGCAGAAGAGCTCGCCGGTTGACCTTGTGACCGAGACGGACCAGAAAGTGGAGCAGCTCATTATATCCTCCATCAAGGAGAAGTACCCCACTCACAGGTACTTGACTGGCAAATAAGGACACGGGAGGCGGTGAGAGGACTGCTTGATTCTGAGATAATCTGCTGCATAAAGACCAGAATATTTATTAAGGATTTGGACTTTTTCTTCTTTCTTTTTTATTATTTTGTTAACGATTTTATCACTGATTTAACCTTTTTCAATTTGTTTACTTTGTGTGCAGAGTGGGTGATGACTGTGTAATTTAGTTCAAGTACACTCTTGTGTTTATAGCTCATCCTGGAAGTGCTCTAGCCTCATTATACAGAAAACATTGTGAAAACATGAGCTAAAGGGATATTCTGGTGTAAAATTAAGTTATAGTCAAACACACCATAACTCTCATGGACGTGGATGTTATGATAGTTGTGAGAACTGTAGCCTGGAAACACTGAACCCTAAGAAGCAGACCCAGATCCGAGTGTTTACTACAGCTGCAGCTGCATTAAAGAGTAATTTTGCTCTCTCTGTCTCTGATCTTGCAGTTTCATCGGTGAGGAGTCAGTCGCCGCCGGTGCGCCAAGCATCCTGACCGACAATCCCACGTGGATCATCGACCCGATCGATGGTACCACCAACTTCGTTCACAGGTACGGCCTGCTCAGATATACTGTACGCCTGATACCTCGCTGGGTTTGTTTTATCTCTGTCACTGCCTATCTATTTTTATCTTTTAATTAGCTCCTCTCTTGGATTGTCCTCTCTGTCAGGAATAATTAGAGCACGTAGATGAAACTGAACTGATTATAGAAGCTGATTCCTGCGAGCCAGAACCAAGAGGGACTTCATTAAGTGAATGTTTTATATCTTAAATGTCTTTTGTACAGGTTCCCCTTTGTGTCTGTTTCAATCGGCTTCACTGTGAAGAAAGAGGTTTGTTTTAATTGTTTGCTTTTATTGTTTCTTTGACACTCTAACGTCTTAATTATAGAAAACACGTACATAGTAAACGCTCTGATACCCCAGTGGATTCCTGAAGAGGAGTACAGTCGTTTTTTTCCTTTTATTCGCCTGTTCTTCTTTTTTTCCCTCTCCTCCTTCACCACATTAATCACCGCCGCTGTCTGTGCTGCCTCTCGCTCCCAGATAGAGTTTGGGATCGTGTACAGCTGCATCGAGGATAAGATGTACACAGCGCGCAAAGGGAAAGGAGCTTTCTGCAACGGAGACCCAATCAAAGTGTCAGGACAAGAGGGTAACGCTTGATAAACGCGCCAAGCTCTAGGGCTGCGGTTTCGAACAGAATCCACCAGATGGCGACCAAGCGACACTTAAAACCTCTGCACAACATTTGAGATGATGTGAAGGCGTGAGCAGGCTTGGTTATGCTGAGTCATGTTTTGTATTCTTGTGTTTTTTTTCTCATCCAGATATTACCCAGTCTATAGTTCTGACAGAAACAGGCTTCAAGAAAGATCCAGAGCAGTTCAAGACGATGTTGGCCAACCTCAAGACCATCCTCACCATTCCTGTACACGGGTAAATATACAGTCCTGCACATGATAGTACCTCTTTAGTTTGGTCTGCATTTACAAGTTAATAACAAGAAGTCATTTTCATATTGGAAACAAAACACATTTACAGTGATTAAATGATAAAAACAGTTTGATTATTTGTTGTCTCTTAGATTTGCTATACCTACTAGTTTATCCTACATACCCAGAATTGACCCTGTTGATACTACGGTAGGTTTTAGTGACACAGCTACAGTGTTGATTTCATCGACGAAGACGAACTAAAAATAAATTACTGATATCATCAATCAATCAATCAATCAATCAAACTTTATTTTTAAAGCACTTTTCATACATATAATGTAAAACAAAGTGCTGTCCATTCAAGTAGGAAATAAAAAACAATGAAATAAAATAAATACAAATACAAATACCAAACCCCACCCACCCTCCAAGCCCCCATTCAACACATACAGCACTCACACACACAGATACACACGCAAAAGACCAGGTGAGGACTCTTCAACTTGCCATTGATGACTGAGGAAACACTGGATCTAGGACTAAAACGATAAAACCGTAATAAAATATAATAAGGTGATAAGCATTAAAAGTTAAATAAATAAAAGTCTTAAAATCAAACAATTCAAGAAAGTGAATTAAAAAAGAGGTAATCAAACAGAATTGTTTCTCTACAACTAAATAAAATCATATAATGCAGATTAAAAGATTAAAACAAAATTTAACTAAAAAGACAGATATCATATATTAAATAAGATTTTGTTTATGTTAACATGACGATGATAAGACACATTTTTTTCCCCTCTGTGCAACAGATCAGTTCCCCAAAATACAAGCACTGCATTCCTGTAACAGGCTAAATTAGCTAAGGGGCTCGGTGTTCATTTTGGCATTTAGCCTTTCCTGCAACAAGTGCACTGTTGGTACCAGAGCAACGTCTATTTAATATTTGACGTTTGCAGCTTTTGCAGTAATTACCGTTAATCGCTCTGTGTCGGAAAGTCGCTGGAAGAGACGTTTGAGAGGGGAATTGAGTAAGACGCATTTTAAACAAGGAGAAAGCACATCAGGAGAACCTCAGTGGGAGAATGTCTCCAGATACAAGGCTGTCTAAGTTTGATTAATCACTTTTAATCGCATGTTAATTATTATTTTCAATTTTAGAGAGGTTTGAAGTCCCTATATCTGAGTTATACACAATGTTTACATACGATAACACTGTAAGAAATGTGCAGGAGAACATCCACAAAATCCAGATATCATTTTGATCACTCACCCTGGTTAATGTAACAGCATTTGCACTTTTCAGAAGATCCTTTTTGCTTCTTCTGCTCCTCCAGTTTAGATCCATCTGTAAATCTGTGGCAACTTGCACGCTCTAACATGAAACTCCGCCCACTTTTGTGACGCAGCTGCTCGCTGACAGTCTGATTAGCTGCACATTTCAAACTCAGTGATAGTTTAATTCTGTTTGACAAAAAGTGCATATTACCTCTCACTTTTCAACCGAGCTGTCTGGGAAAATTTCAGACTGAAAAGTTCTTATTTTCAAACACGGCGACAGCAGGAGGACGCTCCATCAGTTTAATTGCTGTGATTGGAAAAAAGGGATTGAGTTACTCTGGATGCTGACAGCCCTGATTTGTCGCTTTCTTCTAAACATTTTTTCTTAAAGTCTAAGTGAGCTTTGTTTTCGATTCAGACACTTCTCCGAGTAAAGAGATTCCCTGATCTCCTCCAACTCCTCCTCAGCTGCTGAATTGAAACCTTGTTTTCATTTTGCTCTCATTAAGATCCGTTTCTTCTCCGCTCACTTATTCACCAACCAAAATAAAGTTAGCGCACTGTAGCTGCAGGCTGTGCTGCTCTCCTAATAAATGAGGTGGGTCCTTTTGTTATTGATAGTAACAGCGAGTTTGGTTGGATTCTGCAAACAGTCTAAGTTTCGTCTTTTATAAGAGAAACAAAAAGTGTGTTTACTGTTTATTTTTACCAAAGAAATCAGTCAAAATCTGTCAAGTAAGTCATACTGGTCCCTCTCCTCTCTGCTCTATTTGCATGATTCTTCTTTTAAAGGGTGAAAAATGCAGGACATCACAGCTGTCTTGTTTTGCAATGAAGGTGCACAGAGTCCAGTAAATCATCACACACAAAAAAAAGGATTTCTTAACCTTCTGCTTCGCAATGAAAGCCCCTCAGTGGTTTTCCAGTCAAAGGCTTTTAATGTGAAGCATCTGAAGGAGAATTGTGCCTGTTTGAGGCAGCTGTAACTCTGCACAGCTCTGATGTAGCTGCAGGAGGATGAGAAGTGAACGCTGAGGGTGGAAACAATGAGATAAAAATGGAAACAGCGACTCTGGATTATGTGCAAGCATTTCCAAGAAAGAAAGACATGTGTTCGACCTCAGTGTGGAAAACTCCAGGGAGACATTTAGGTGTTCCTGGAGATCAGACTCTTAGCTGGGGAAGGAGGGATGTCAGAGATCTGTGAAGGTATAATCCTTTATACAATCAGGGCGTTTTTTTTCTTGGAGGCGTCATGAGGAAAAAACGCTGACCAGTTCCAACAGGGTCTTCTTCAGGGCGTGGCGAGGAAGTTTCTTTCATTAGTTTTTAAAAAGATCAAATAAAAGAGGTGAGAAATGATGTGAAATCAAAGCAAAGAGATGAAATGTAAATGTCAGACACATATTGAATCTCGATAAAAATCTGAAGGAATAAAACTCCGTCTTTTGTAAGAGGCTCTTTGTTTTGAGTGAACCATGAGGAGGTGAAGTGTGTGTCACATGCAGACTTTCCCTTTCCATCCACAGTATCCGCTCCCCGGGCAGTGCAGCTGTCAACATGTGTCTGGTGGCGTGCGGGTCGGCGGACGCTTACTACCACATGGGCATCCACTGCTGGGACATGGCCGGAGGGGCGGCCGTCGTCAGGGAGGCTGGAGGAGTGATCATGGACATCTCAGGTGAGTCACTGCTCTTCACACACCAACTTCTCCGAGGCCGCTGAGTCACCGAGTTCAGTGAAGCAAGAGGGAGCAAGAGGAGGGAGGAAACGCAGGATTACTGAATTACTTAAGAGAACAAAACAGCTGGAACGGGGAAATGTTGCTCAAAGCCAACAGAGGTGTTTTTAATGTTCATGAATATTTGATGCCACTGATTTTAGGTTTATTGTTTTTCGCTCTTCTGTCTGATCTCAAATGTCAAAGTCGAAGAGGAGGAATAGGGCAGCTTGTGGTTTTGTGAAAGGGGAAGCAGCAGGTTTGATGAAATTTTAGCCTCATTTTGGGCAACATTGCTGCAGACGTGGAGAATACTCAGAACAGCTACTGATGCAGCTTTAAAAAAAGAAAACCTTTTTTGATTGAAAGTTTGATTAAAAATGTGAAACTTGTAGATAAATCACACACTAAGTAAAATATTTAAGACTTTTTTGTTTGAATCTTGATGATTGCAGCTCACAAAAACAAAAATCCACTATTTCAAAACAGAATATTGTGGAAAATTCCACTTTCTTGTCGGTTATTCAGTCCTGAGAAGATCTCTAATGATTCAGCACTCATGACCACAATTGTGGGGAAGACTGCTGACATGACATTATCTAGAAGATCATCATTGACGCTGCTGAACAGGCTGCTTCACAGAGTCTGTATGGAAGCAGATTCTTGGAAAGTTGACTGTAGGAGGAAAAGGTGACCAAGCCACAGGGATGAGGAGATCCAAGAACTTTAGACGAGCTTTACAGGAAGTAGACTGAGACTGGAGTCAGAGCATCAAGAGCCGCTTCTGAGAAGCTTTACCCCCAGTTTCCACTGCATCTGGAATGGCTACGAAAAGGCTGTATCTGCCGATCGTAGCTAATCATAAACATTCATATTAATGTGTCAGTTTCCACCGGCTTCTTTCCATTCCGCTGCGGGTTCTTGTGAGTTCTGGCAATTCTTGCTGTCTGTGATCCACCATGAAATTCGCCTCACAAACGGATCTGGTAGGAATTGGCATATGGTGAAAATCGTTGCTGCATCCGGACTGGAGCAGTTCCAGATGCGGTGGAAATCCCGGGTTAGGGAGATCCAGATTTTCTTTTCCTGCAGGCTCTGACACCTGCCCACAGCACCAAAACTACGAGAAACTGGTTTGCTCACCATGGTTGATTTGCCAACCAACTCGCCTTACTTGAGCATGAAGAGGATAAAATCAGCAAACACCATTTTGTCTACAAGAGATGCCCATTCAAACACAAACTGAAAGTCCCTCACAGGAGGTTTAACGTGATGGAGCAAACTTTTCGCACAGATAGAAACTTTCTCAGCGCTCAGGAGGGTCATACGAGGAAAAAAGATCTGCATCCGGCCGAGTCTTCTACCTCCCCGAAGGTTCTAACTCACTGATCTGAACTCTGATCCTGCAGAGGGTCGCATTTTGATACGAGCGGGATCATGATCCCGGTAATTCATCGCCCACGCATTCACCGTCTTCCTTAAATCTAAGAGCTGAACAGTTTCCTCCCTCGTGGCTCACTTGGTACTTTGCATTTGTTCTTCCACACAGCCGTGCCTTAAAACCAGGCAGAGAATATGAGCCAGATTTATGCTGCCGCCATAGTGACCAGTGTTGTTTTATTACACCTTTGACAAGCAATGCATCAAAAGTTTATTACCCGAGAGTGAAGGAACTCTTTGAATCACTTAAATGATGTCATGTCCTCGGATAACCTGGTCACTCTGTGGTGGTGTTGGTGCAAACCCACAGCACTGATGTGTAATGATTCTCTGGATGCTTCATTAGATGCCTGATCGTCTTTGCTGCGGTTTCACTTTGTAGAAGCGTATGGATTTTCTTCAAACATAAACCTGCTCAGGATTAGATTCTGAGCAGCGGAATGTAAAGAAAATGTGACGGTACACGTAAATAAATTTGACAAAGAGAGAGGAGATTTGAGCAGCTTTGAAACATCAGGGCTGAGATGCTCCAAATTCATCTGAGTGGATCACAGGGTTTCAAAATCAGATCAGTTCCTGTCTGATGGTGATAATTCAGAAGAAAACTCCCAGCTTATGTTGATAATAATTTTTGTGAATAGGGTTGATCCGATAAATCAGGATTATCTCGGTTTCTGCAGAGGGCTTGAGTAGAGTCAGATTAGTGGAGCAAAATGTCATAAAACACAAACTGGTCAAACTACACAAGCTTCTCTAAAATAAAGTCGATGGCCAAGGTGAGGCCTGAAAATACAACTGCAACATTTATCTGTTTCTGTGAATCATCAGGAACATTTAAAGTAGTGAGAAAGATCATTTCAACTCTTGTGGGGACTGGACGAGTAAATTCTGGTCCACTTAAAAACAGGGGTCTTAAGTTATGACCCTTGTGCTGTTCGTTTAACACTCAGTCCACCAAAAACTACTAGAATGACCACGGCAGTCATTTTGACTTCTCAGTCTTAATTTGCACATAATTTGGATAATCAGCAATAAAAACTAATAATAAATTGGTGGAATAGATAAAAAACACATCAGTACACAAAATGAAAACTTGAATGAAAAGATTTTTACGAACCTTCCTCAAAATACCAAGACACACACATTTAGGAAAAGTCAGGGTGCGACTAGGTTTTATCAAAAAAACAGGTTATGACATTGTAAATTTAGAAAGCAGTCAAAATGACTGCCATAATTACAACTTTGCAACTGTGTAACCATGGTAACGCATTGTTGTCTCTTGCTCTCACTGCACTCACCTTTGGCACAGATCCATTCATCTTATGTAGAGAACAGCATGCTGGACGGCTGGCTTCCGTGTCTGCAGACTCCATATGAACAACAAAATCGAATCAAGTCTTCCTCCTCTTCCTCATCCTCTCTCCCTTTTATGGTGGATCACACTACTAATGTAACATGATGCTACTGTATGGTTATTTTTATGGGGCGCTCACACCAAGCGCGAGTGAAATCATCTGCTCACATAATTCCCGCTAATCTAGAGGCATGAATGAATAGTATTTACTAGCTTCAGTCACGCGTCAACGGTAATTCCAATGGTAATTCCTGCCAATTCAGCTGGCAGGATCAAGTGATAGACAAAGGTTTTTTATAATTTACCAGGTAATCTGGACCTCCTCACTTACTTGCCTCCAGGCGAGCTCCTTTTTATTCAGTTTTCGGTAATCCGAAAGAAAAGGTATCGTATTATTTGGGGCACCGACACGATTTGAAGAAGCGTCAAATCGCGTCTTTACATTGACTTAACATGTAATTCATCCACGCAAATGATTTTAATCGCGCTTGGTATGTGGAGACAGTTAGTTTAATTTCACTATCAATATCAGGAGTAGAAGGAACTCTTAGTTTGTGCTGTTTTTGGCGCCCCCTGTGGACTAAGTATGTAAGTGTTGTCTCTAATATAAATATGGCAATCTGGGTCAGGTAATCTCTAAAAATCTGTGTCTGGATCAAGCAGATTCAACCGGGAATATAGAACACTGATATCCAGATTAAACTCCTTAACAGGCCTGTGTTTCAGCTTTTGTTTTACTTCATATTAACACACACATAAATCGTAACCTACCGCGCTAATCTCACAATATAGAAAAGACTTTAATTTCACCATTCCTCACTTTTTATTGTCTCCTTTATTCCAGGTGGGCCGTTTGATCTGATGTCTCGGAGGCTGATCGTCGCCAGCAGCAGAGCGATAGCAGAGCGGATCTCTAAAGAGCTTACTGAGTACGACGTCGGCAGGGACGACACAGATGGCTAATAAATTCCCATCATGCCCTGGGCAAACTCGACAGGTTTTTAAAACACACAACTGTTTAACATTGAACAGTTTGAGATTTTGTCTTTGCCTTAAGAACATAAACAATAGAGGAACCTCTGGAGAAACACCTTTTTTTCTGCTTTCTTATACGTCACTGTTTGTTTTCTGCACTTTTACAAACTTGAGAGGACTTTTTAACTTGTTTTTATGATACTGTACCTACTTAGCCATGCTTCATGTCTATTTAAATCATATCTTTGTGTGCAGTGCAATCAGAGAATCACTGATGAAATACCTCTGTGGAAACTTTAAGAGCTGTTTATAGGATTATTTCTTTAAATACAGTAAGAAAACACAGTTTAATGCCAACAAGAGTTTGCACTAGAGACGATGAATACTTAGTGCTGTATAATCGTTTTAGAAGGTTTAAATATTCACTTGTTTTGTTTTTGTCTCTAAATATATTAAAGGAATTAAATAAAAAGTCCAAGCCAGTATCTCCTGCTCGTGCCCGGCTTCTTCCTGACGCTCTGTGGAGGGATAAATCCACATAGTTAAAGCCCCGCAGAGACAGGTGTCAGCATGCGTCCACATGTTGGCTTCAACTTATAAACTGAGGACAATTACCGGCGAGGAAAGGAAAGCAAAACCCGAGTGTGAATGTTTGTGCAGAAAGAGCTGATTCAGTTTTATTTGTTTTGGGGAATTTCTCCCTCTGAAATGTGGAAATAAATCAGCCGCAAAAGAAAATATGAGAAAATGACGAAATAAAAAATTCCGCCAACATTGCTCTCGTGTTGTGCTAAAATTTACTTTCTTCAAAGGGAGAAAAAAAACAGTTTTCTCCCTTTTGAAGGAAGCCTATATGTTCCTGGGTCTGTATTTAATCATCAGGAAAGCCCCTTCGCATCTACATGGCATTGTGCAGGTGGCATGAATCAGGCATGAGCTCAGAAGACAAATAAATGTCCTTGTTTGATGTCTTGACTGGGAATATGACAAACTGTCTCTTCTCTTTGTAAAACCTATAAAGAAAGTATATGAAGGGGAAAAAGCGTCCCATGGTAAACAGGAACCAAATAAAGTGAAAAAAAAAGCCTCAGAAACTCCATAAAGCTCTGAAAAACACTGACTGCTGCCGCTGTGATTTAGTGCACAGATAAAAGCATTCACGATCATTACACCATGTAAAATTCTCTGCTGCATTTCCTCTGCCCTTTCCCTCGCCGCCGCAGATACCGCACATGCAGAGCGACGGACTGCCTCCGAACTCATGTGCTCTCTGTGAAATAGCCCGAGTTTTCTCAGCCGGTGTTTGCTGATGACTTAAAAAATGGCTTTGAAACACTTTACTTGAGCAAACCCAGGTCTTAAACTTCAGCCGCCCCCTCAGCAAAAATCAATGATCTGTATTAGTCTGCAGCGGGAGGGGTTCAAATGTTATCAAGAGTGCTGGGAATGGTTTCCAAAGTCACACAGATGAAAGTCCTCCAGTGGTCAGCGTAAATGAGCAGCTCCACACCAACAGCTGCTCATTTAATCTTTTCCTGGCTCTCTGTATTTTAAAAGTAATCTGAACTTCTTGAAAGGCAAAGTCAATCAAGTTTTCATACTTTTTCTCCGAGTTCGTTTTTTTTTTTTTTTCAGGAAGCACCAGCTATTGTTCTTTAAAAAGCTGGCAGAGCTGCGTCTTCCTGCCACGTCCACAAATGTGACCCTGGAGATCAGCTCTGTGGATGTTTATTACAATGCTTGTCTTTATGTAATTTTCTACTTTTGTTCAAGCAATCTCCAGGGCTGAAAAGTGGAGATGTGGGGAAATGCAAAAACTGCAGTTCCTTGGGTGTCCACTGGGGGCTGGCCCCAAATCTGTAGAATCAGCCCAGCGGCCCACTTTGGACTCCAGAATGAATCAAGTTGAGCAGATTGAAGTGTTGCCTCTCTGTTGAACCTTTTAAAGTTGAAAACATATTAAAAGGATTTCCTGGCGTAACATTAATTTAGGGTCAAACACACCGCAACACCGAGTTAGACACCCCCTCGAGAGATGAATGTTGCCGACCGCTTGCTTGTCTTGTTATACCAACTTGAGTAACGACCGCAGGATAGCAATACACAGCGGTCAAAGGAGCCATAAACAAACCTCAACCAAAACGCCACTCTATAACCGCAAATAATGCTCAGAACAGCACCTAACTTCATCAACAGGACATATAGGGTCCTAGCCAAAGTACTAGCCACCAACATCTTTTATTTTTGCCTAATTTTTTGGGCAAAGGGACTAAACACAACTCACCCACTCTCTTCCAGCAGCCGCTAGTTTGTAGCAAGACTTCAGGCCAGTCCATTACGGACTACAGCGGGGTGACGCAGCTCAAGGAAGAACATTTATGATCTTTACTTCATGGAAATACATTTAGACTGAGACAATAAGGCAGAAGAACTACTGCGTCTGCAGTGCAAAATGATTAATATGATGATTATTACTTCAAGGAAATGATAAAGTAATGATTATTAATGTTCTTCCTTGAGCTGCGGCACCCCACTGCAGTCATGGACTGGCCTGAGTTCTCGCTACAAACAAGCAGCTGCTGGAAGAGAGTAGCTGAGTTGTGTTTAGTCTCTTTCAAGAGGATAACTTTGTCAATTCTCTGATATTAGAGGTCAAAGTTGACAAGATTAGCTGGTACAACCAACTCTTCGATATTTACAACAACCAGCCACCCCTGCAAAAGTCTGCGCTCTAGTTTGGCCACCCTGGTAGAAAAAAAAGTCTGGCTCTTCCGTTGTTCATACCAGCCTGTAAACATGTTTACAACTCCAATGAGGTTTTCTGTGCCTTTGGAGCCAGCCCCAAGTGGACTCTTTAGGAACTGCAGTTGCTTCATTCAGTGAGGAGACCAAGTGTTTTAAACAGTCAACAGATGAGACTGCTCCACCAGTCCGCCCAAGGACAGCTCCAGACCGCTGCCGGCGTCGCTGTTGACTGAAAACTCAAAAGGGACTCTGTGACAGGACTATAAAGCACTGTAGACAGGAAACAGCCCGTCTGAAGCTCCCGCTCATCTTTCAGGTCGCACTTTTGACCTTCAGCAACTCCAGCATCATGGCAGGCCTCAGTTACAGCTGCGATTCCAGGGAACCAAACATCCAAAACATCCGTCATCCTGGATAAATTATTCATAACGGACCTGCCAGGGTGACAGCAGGACTGATGTATTTGTTTTCCTTGTCCCATCACTTCCCTCAGCCTGTCTCCCAACATTTTACACAGCGTCTTATATTTAGTGCACAACCGGGACAACAGGGTGACAACTGCTCTCCCGCTGCTCCCGGTCAAAGAAGACTTTAAACAAATCCTGACTTCGTGATACCCCATACTGATCCGATTAGAGGTTTGTCTATTCCAGCTGCTCAGCTCCTGGATCCACTTACTTATTTAGTACATGACAATGTTTCCTGCTGACTTTATCTGGATTCAATTAAACTGCAGATCAATAGCAGACGCCGCTGAAGACTCAGATGTTACACTTGAGCATCATGTTGCTGCAAAATCAGATGGCAGAAACCGGTTTAGGGTATTTCAGCACACATAAAACTTACGCAAGGTGTGGTTGAGGTGATATGCATCATGTCTGAACAAGCCTCAGGCGCAGACGGCTTCTGCTTTTTCACTTACAGGCAGGAATATCAGACTGTGTGAACCTGCCTGTGTGTCTTTGACTCGTTTTTTGATGAGGAGTTTCAAGAGATGGTGCCTTTTTAGATGTTTTTTTTAAACCGTCAAATGAGAAGCTCATCATCATTACAGTCACATCTGAGGTTGTAAACAAGAAGGAGGTGTAATGTAATGTTCTTGAGACACACAGCCTTTACCGCTAATTAACCAATCTGTCTTGCAGCAAGTATAGAAGTATGCAATGCAACGTTATGTTGTTTTACGAGGAGCTTATGTAAGACTCAGTAAGAGCAGACTTTTACCACCCTTTTTGAAGCAAGCAGATACATGCAGCCTTCATTTTTAGAAATCTAAGATCATCACTTTAAGTCCCAGAGCCATAGTTTTTGCTTCTTTGAGATAGACAAATCCAGAGTCCAGTCCATGAGCACATTTCGGTTCAGGGTCTGCTCTTGTACGGACTCTTAAAATGTACAAGAACGTGTTTCTCATGATTTAAAGATGTGCTCGATGAACACAAACATTCAAAAGTTGTGGAGAAGTTGGTTGGCGCTGTAACAGTTCAGACTGCTGTCCTGGTTGTTTCTTTTCTTTCTAAGGGATCATTAAAAACAGATTGTTGTAATAAAAGCATTCCCATGTAACTTTTTTAAAGATTTATTTTTAGCTTTATTTGGAGGGGAGTGGACAGGGAGCAGAGCAGGAAACAAGGAGAACAAACTCTGAACAAACTTGAGGCAAATCCTCCTTATATGGGGCGCACACATAAACCACTAGGCCAGCAGGGCCTCTGTCCTCTAACCTCCCTCATTCAGTATGTTCACATGACACTCGTGAAAACCATGTAACCAGCGTTGTTGGATTATGATTGGTCAATGCATGTGCGCCACGCCCCTGTAACCCTGGAACAAAATCACCAGAGAACAAGTGGCATGATGAGTAGCGTGCACCTCATCTGCAGAAAAAGTAGTGCGTACATCATGTACGACAAAAGCAATGCTGTACAATGCTCCATCTTCTTTCTTGAAAATGCCCAGCAGCAGTTGTAGCCACCTCTGACGTCTGGCACGAACTTACTGTTGTTGTTGACAGTCCCAACAAATATTGGATGTTGAAGAGACGTGCGGATCAAGTCAGTATTGGGTCGGTCGGTCGGTCAAAGATCATATCTAGACGTCAGTGTGACATGCAAAATAGGTTAGAAACTTCGACATCCAAATGAACTTTTTTAGACATCACTGACGTTTAGAATTTGGACGTCATCTGAAGACCAAATCTAGGCACAAAATAGATGCAAGATTTAGACGTCATTATTGGGCCTCTTTTGGATGTTGAAATGATGCCCCCAAAATACTTGATGATGTCATTTTGATGTTGCATTGCGCAGTGGGGTTGTTTGGCGTCGATCAGAAAGGACCCATATCGCCCCCTAGTTTTGGGGAGGAGGACACGTTCACGTCAATAATTCGATTTTCTCAGCTGAGAAAAAAAACTAATTATGAGCCTAGCCCGATTAAGCTGTTCATGTAAACACACTGACTGTTGTTGCTCTTGCTCTGGCCTTTTTTCTCTGTTCATTGCAGGTCGACTTAAAACCATCTAAAAATTCACACTCCCCTCATTAAAGCTCCTCTTGCTTAATTCGTCCTTGTCTAGCTGAGTTTTGACAGTTAAGTGTGTATCCATTGCAAAGATGTTTCGACACCTTCCCCACAAAGAATTTCAACATAAAAATGGACACATTTGTCACACACATGGTTTTGTTTGCTTTCGTTTATCATGAAAAGACATCAACTCGATTCTCAGTCAGTTTGATAAACATCAGAAAACTCCTGACAGGAGCTTTAAATGTGAAAATAAAGATCATTTCTATGTTGAAATGAGGATTTCCATTTTTGCCACAGTGTCAACAGGCTGTGTTTTATTTGTTTTGACCCGTGGGATTTGGACCACTGTGCTGTTGTGAAACATTGTTTTTGTGAGTTTTGACCAATCAGAATCAAGTATTTGGCACAATGCAGAGATAATTGGCATTTAGGTACCACATTATTTGACACCATGTATTTAAGTGGGCGTTAACAAGAACCGCAGCGGCGACAGCAGATGTGTCTGCTGTGGTAACTGTAAGAGATAATTCATATAAATGATTTCTCTTATCATTTTCAAATTTTCCTTGTATTTTTTAAAATTGGGTTTAGAGTTAATTATGGGTGATAAAATCAATTTAGTGTTTGCATTCAAGCAAAATATATACACTTACTTTGATTTTCTGCTTGGAAGAATCTGAATCAGTCAAAAAGGTTAAATGTGTAATTTGTAAGTACAAGCTGATCATTTTCAGCTCTTTAGAGGGAGTACAGTAAATTACCCACAGTCTTGTTGTATTTTTTTTTTCTAGTACAAACTTTTAGCAGGCGGAGCGACACAGGGGCATGTAAATACACATAATCGACTCTGACTCACCAGGGGACCTCGGAAAGTATTTTCCACTAGTGGAATACAATAAAAGGACACGAGGGAGACGCTGGATGGCTGTGAAAGTGTCAGGAAGCATAAAACTGACAGGAGCTTTGTTTGTCAGGCTGAATCCTGTGTTAACAGAGAGTCAGGAGCAGGAATGAACACCTATCTCAGATATTCACCTCCACACGTCTGATTCATGAGTGAAAGCTTTACGAGCTGACACTGTGGTACACTTTGTTCATTTTGTCATGCAGTGTATTAACATATGTGGCACAAACGTCAATAGAAGGGTGTGTCTGTGAGTGACACATCCATAGATTACAAAGACTCCCTGAAATTTTCCACCCATAGATTCTCCATAAATGCTGCCCTGTAAGTGTGGCATCATGTTGTTGCAAGTCTTCATGAGTACAGAATGTTTTTTTTTTTTTTTGAGGTTGCTATGAAGAAACAGAGGAGAGGCGGGGCTGGTACTTTTCCCACTCAGTCATGCCAGCTTTTTTAGGTTGCCTCATCTCGCTCTGAATGAGACGACTTATAGAGAAGTTTGTGTAAAGACGGCGCACAAGCAGCCAGGAGCGACTTCTGACAGCCTCAACTGACCCTTCAAGGTAAAGTTTTCTTTTACTTTTGGGGCTCATGCTCGACACATGCGAATGGTTTAAGACTCTTAATGCCATTATTGCACAACTTATCGACTCAAGATCTCATTGAGAGTGGATTCATGATGAAGCAGAGGAATGTTTTCTAATGTTTCTAAAAGCAGGGACAATGCAGATGATGTCTGGCGTGAGAAACTACTCAGGAAGAACAAAAACAAAGACTTGCATGACTTAAAGAAGAGTGAGGCCTCTGGCTATGAAAACTAAACCTGATTTTACTCGCTAAGATTTCTAGTTTTGTCCTCAAACAACATAAAAACCAGATTTTGCTTCAAAGCCAAAATCTCCAGTGTTTTCAATGTACCTACACAAGAAAAAGATCTATATTAGTAGGTATTTGAAAACTAAGTGTGAATTAAATGTGCCTATTTGCTGTCACAAGAGTAGGGAGTAGCAACTGTTTGCTTTTACTTCTATTAATTTATTGCAGAAGCTTAAACTTGATGTGCCGCCAAAGCTTCAACAGTCAGCCTACGCCCTCGCCAATGGGTGTTTGTTCATCACTTTGACTTTTTCCTGTTTTAAACCTGGGGTGATGAGACAATCATAGCAGAACAGACCATTTGGGAAGTGTTATGTAACTCATTCTTTTGCAAGGGAAGTGTGCCAAGCAGGTTCAGGTCTAGTAGTAGAGCTCAGAGCTGGGGCGTTGACACCTTTCACAATAAACGTGCTTCGAGTATTCAACTTATTTGTGATTTTCACTCAATGCATGATTGAATACTTACTGAGAAATAAATCTTTCCTTCAGCAGGTTCTCCTCAGCACACACCCCCTAAAGAGTAAAATGGAAGACCCATGGCAGGAAGCGTATGACTTTGCTGTCGAAGTGGCAAGAGGAGCTGGAGCGGTATGTAATATATTCCATCAAAATATATGTCACTTGGAATTTTATGGAGAATTTGTGGTAATTTAAGGATAACGGAGATGTCCCACAATTCTTTCAGGTAATCAGGAAAGCTGCAGAGAGTGAGATCAAGGTCTCTACGAAGAGCTCCACTGTAGACCTCGTCACCAAGACCGACGAGAGGGTGGAGAAAATCATCATCGGTTCTCTTAAAGAACAGTTTGGAGAAGGCACACACTGGTGAGATGTGCAAACATGTTTATTAATCTGTGTGTCCTCGAAATGTTTTGGGGGAAAAAAAAGAGGGGGAACCATCACATTTGCTCATCGGGTTCACTTTGTTGCAGTTTCATCGGAGAGGAGTCAGTCGCAAACGGGGAGAGCTGCAACTTGACCGATAAACCTACGTGGATCATCGACCCCGTGGACGGCACCACGAACTTTGTGCACGGGTAAGTCATTACTCCCACTGAGCAATAGATGGCCATTAGACGGCTATTTTTTTTTTTTTTTTTGACTAAATTTCAACCGTCTAGATTCTGTATATTTTCAGACGGAATTTAGACTTTGCACTTGGGGGGGATTCTGGGGGGACTCCCAGGCTCTCCCAGGCCAGGCGAGAGATATAATCCCTCCACTTGGTCCTGGGCCGGCCACGAGGTCTCCTCCCGGTGGGACATGTCTAGAACACCTCTAACGGGAGGCGTCCAGAAGGCATCCTAACCAGATGCCCGAGCCACCTCAGCTGACTCCTCTCGACGTGGAGGAGCAGCGGTTCTACTCTGAGCGCCTCCCGAGGGTCTGAGCGCCTTACCCTATCTCTAAGGTTGAGCACGGCCACCCTGCGAAGGAAACCCATTTCGGCCACTTGTATCCGCGATCTTGTTCTTTTGGGTATTACCCAAAGTTCATGGCCATAGGTGAGAGTCGGCATGTAGATCGACCGGTAATTCGATTTAGATTTTAGACCAGTCGTCTCAGCTACATTTAGACGTCTATTGGACCTCTTTTAGACCAAAACATGCACAGTGGGCTGCTCGTTTTGCAGCAAACAAACCAACTACTCTGATCATGACAAACTCAACGATGACTCCAGCTGCGAAATTACGAGATAATGCTTAAAAACACGTGCGAAATACCGAACTAAATCAAACAAAAATGCATTTGTGTACAAAGAAATTAGCTGCACAAAGACAAAAATTTGTGCATTTGCAGTGATCACGCTGCAGTTGATGAATTGCAGTTGATGATATGATTCATAGATCCAGCTAACTCACTTGCTAGCTTTGTCATTAGCTTAGCGGAAAGCCTTGTTCCTACGACTCAGCATTCTATCTTGGCATACACTGTTATTTCCTATTTGGAATATATATCCTATTAAAGCTGACATTATCATAGCCCACAATTGCTGACTCATGTTAGCTAGCTTATACGACTTGGCTAGTCTTGACTAAATAGCGCGCTACGTGCCAGAGTTTTGATCATGTTTACAATTCCTCACTGATCTAATGACGACGAAACTTCTCGTTTTCAGCTTCCCCTTTGTGGCTGTTTCCATCGCCTTCGCCGTCAATAAGCAGGTTTGTAACACAAAATAAAAAAAGAGTAAAAGAAGTTGATCCTTGAGTGTAAGTTGACAACAAGGTGTGTGTTTGCAGCTGGAGTTTGGCGTGATTTACAGCTGTTTGGAGGACAAAATGTACAGAGCGAGGAGGGGGAAAGGAGCTTTCTGCGACGATGAACCACTCGCAGTGTCCGATGTAGCAGGTAATATACATTATTATTGCTGTACTGCTTTAACAAAAATAACACAAACTTTGACCGCTGTAGTAAACTTCTATTGTATGCGTGACATTTACAGTCACACCTTTATTTACACACTTTGTAATTCCATCATTGTAGATATCCACAAGTCCATTATCATCTCTGAACATGGAACCGACAGGAGCCCAGAGAAAGTAAAAAAGATCTTCTCCACCATGCAGAAGATCCTCTGTATCCCAGTGCACGGGTGAGTCAAATGTAGACACAGATGAATAATCAATAATAGGTTTGAAATTGTCCACTGTCTACCATTTTTGGATATCATGAACAGGCATCAATATGAATTTTTGTCTACTTTTATAAACTGAAAAAACTCCAAAACACCTCTCTCTGATTGGATATTACCGTTTCTTTCTCCCCTGATATGAAAACACTCGTACTTTCAACTTATCTGTTTTTACTCATTTCCTAATGTGTCCACTCACACAGACTCCGTGGGTCAGGAACAGCTGCCACCAACATGTGCTTGGTTGCATCCGGGGCAGTAGAGGCCTTCTTTGAGATCGGGATCCACTGCTGGGACATCGCTGCAGGAGCGGTTATTGTGAAAGAAGCTGGAGGAGTACTCTTGGATGTTGATGGTGAGTATGATTGCTACATTCAAAGAAAAGGGAAAGGATCAAAAGTCCTTTGTTATATATACTAAGTTAGTCAAACTGCTCATGAGTAAGTCTGTATTTGACCCTTTAGGGGGACCGTTCGACTTGATGTCTCGGAGGATGGTGTCAGCAAACAACGAGACTATCGCCAGAAGGATCATCAAGGAAATTGAGATATTCGATTCAGAAAGAGACGACGCTCCAGTTCAAAAGAAAAAAAAATGAATCCATGTTAAAATGAGGACAAGTGAAACAGTCCCCTCAGTTCCTGTTTGTAGTTAATAAAGTTATTGTGCTGTAATCACGACTATCTGTCTTCATTTTCACTCTGAGTGTGTATTTTGACTTTGTTCACTTAATTTGTTCTTCAGGTTTGGTTTCTCCTCTTTTTTCTCTCTAAATGAAGTTTTGTACATTGCACACGAAAAGAAAATTCTGACTTACTGAACAAGATATACAATAACATGCATTTTTCCGCATTATATAAAATTACCTCTGCGAATGTGCGAAGAGTGATGATCAATCATCTCAAATTCAACATGTTTAATGCGTGACTGATCTGAAACGTTGGGTCTTTGCGCATGATATGAAATGCATTTCTGCACATGCAATCTAAAAACCCCTGGATTAAAACAACCCAAGTTAGGCTGGAAAGGGACCGACTACTTATTGGGTTATTTTGATCCAGAACGTTGGGTTATTCAAATGAACCCAAATTTTGGGTTGACTCAATAACTCGTTTTAGGGGTCAAGTTAACCCAATCTTCGAGTTAATTTGACTCATGATCTTGGGTTAAGTTGATACATGCATTTGGGGACCTTTTTTGGGAGCTTTGCTGTACCTGTACCGTCTGAGCTGGTATGGCTTTCAATGGTACACACTCATGTTTATGAGGTAGGCCATAGTGCTGATGGTCTTGCCTAAGGACCCCCACGGGTAGATGTACTTTGCTTCTTACAGATGTGTCTCATGCAGGATTGAAACCCCAACCACCCGGATGCTCTACCCGCTGAGCTACCCCAGCCGCCCAATACATACTGAGGTAGCTACTCCAATGTATATTACATATCATTAGGCTTTGAAACCACGCAGAGTCAATCGAACCCAACGTTCTGACCCAATTACTGGGTTACTCTCAGAAAAATAACCCATAATTATTAACCCATTCAAATGACCCTCAAATTGGGTTACAATAGAACCCATATGACCCAAGAAATGGGGATGGATCTGAAAAATAATCCAGAAATTTAACTCAACACATATAACCCAGGAATTGGGTTAAAGAAATAACCCAAGAGTTTTTAGAGTGTGCTAAGAAGAGGGGTCATGTAGTATGTTACACTTGACAAGAAAAGTCATAATTTATTGCATGTGAGGTTAAAATATTCCTGCACAAGTTAAGAAAAGTCATGTGTTATTCAGATCATATATTAAAAAAAATGTTAAACCGCACATGATTTGAAAAGTCATGTTTTTTTTATTCATAGATCTGTAACTTTTCTGTTTTTTAGGTTGATTTGTCTGTGTTTAAGCAGTGTAACAGATTGAAGCTTTTATCTGAAACTGATTACTTTTTTAAAATTATTTTTTGCTTGATTTCCTGTCTCTGAATGTACTTTTCTATCCTTGTTATGTGCCTCTGATGCGTGCTAATCTGATGAAGATAAGGGAGATTAATCTCATTATGAGGGCAGCGGTTCTTCGCTCTGAAAGAAGTCAATGTTGAAGTCTTGTTATAAATACAGGTCCTGTCACTTGCGATAAAATTTATAGTTAATATCCCTATACTGCCTCTGAGGGAGCTCCTATCAAGTATTACTGCTTTTTGTACAACCATCACACTTTTATTGCTGTTTATGGCCACTAGAGGCCAGTAATGCATCAACAATTAAACAGAAGCTTCAAGTTGCTTTTCTTCCACCTAAATAGTTGAAATTGCAGTATTTTTGCACTAATATAAGTTTTTATTGTGGGTTTGACTTTTTTAGAGATTGACAGCATGCACTGAAATCCCTCTCTGCTTTGCTAACAGCTTTTCTTAGCCAGAAAATGAGAAGAAAACTGAAGAGATGAGGTCATTTTTCATTGCTGTTCTGCTCTGTTATACTCTATCACCATGTCTAGATTAACAGCTGGCTTTGAGATTGGTGACACTTGAAGAATACGGAGGTGGAGGAGCGAGCTGAAGGTGAAAAAACCACCGGCAACAATGAGTGGAGCAACGGCACAAACAGCTGGAATAACAACAACGGCAGGAACACTAACAGCAGGAGGTTTGACGTTTGGGGGGGTGAGGAGTCTATGTTTGAACCGGTGCCTTTGAAACATAAATAACTGCAATTTCTTTGTATAATCAAGCCTCTATGCATCTGCTGCAGCTGTAGCGCTTGAAGATTAAACATGAATTATGTTTGTCTGTTTCCCACATTCGCTGAATCGAATTTCAAAGCACCTCCATCATCTGATGTGTGTTTTGACGCTTGTGTCTGCAGGTAGGCAAAGAGAGACACGGGGGGATAATGTGGTGCAGAGAAGCAGGACGGATAAAAGCTGCAGATAAAGTACATGCTAACATTTGCTTGCACTTGCCCCAAGTAGCAGATGGCTGAAATTTGCCTTGTAGGACAAAACTGTAAATGCCACTGAGGTCAGACAGCCACACTAAGTTCATAAAAGTCAAGTTAGCATATTCACTGGAGGCCGTCTGTGTTTTTCTCATGCTTATTTCCAACCACTTTAAATACTGAGCATATATGATGAGTCAATAATTAAATAGCTCTACATCTGGACTGAGTTAATTAACATTTGATGCATTTTTCTGCGTGGTAAAGATTTGAAATAAAACCTCCAGTTAGATCTCTTTCAGTGCGCCAAGAAACAACTAAACTGAGTAAAACTTTCACTTTAAAGAACTTCAGGCTTTTACTTTGACAACATGAAAAGAGCTTTTCGAATGAAACATATGGTTTTAAATCCTGCAATACGATTTTATAATCAAAGGTCCCTTGATATCTGTTTTGACTGTGTGCTTATCCACCCTAATTAGTGTTTATGAAGTTATATGATTTAATTACACGTGAAGAGAAACACATGTTACCATATAGTCATTAAAGACAAAAATATATGTTCTCTTCCCATCATCAGATTGTAGCTCACATCCTTTAAGAAGACGCCAGTGTTTCAGTTTAACGACTGACCCTAAGACTTTTATTTGTTGTCATGGTAACAAGCCCACTAGTCAAAGACGTTATTGTTACAAAAGATAGTCAGCTATAAAATAAATAAAATAAAATAAAAACAGTTTGTCTTTGTAAATATTTCCTTATTCACATTGTGTTCATGAATCATGAATAACACTGTAAAGAAGAGTTGCTGAATGCAAAAGTTAGCTGAGCTATGTTGGTCACCGGCTGTCAGTAACCTTTATTTATATAGCACGAGGCCATAAATGTCAACAGTTTGTCAACATTTGTATGACTCATGACCTGGAACACAACAGTAAGATGTGATAACTATATTTGAACCTCCCATTATGAGTGTAATGTCAAAAGTCCATCAATCAAACTTGTTAAAGAGTTTTGATCAACCAGAATCAAGTATTTAACACAGACAGATATGAGGAAATATAGTCTAAGTGTCCAATTTCATGTTATATGTTTTGTATGCATTAATCTTTTTCTTTTACTGTAACTGTAAAAATGAGTTTTGAATAGTAAATACTTTGTTTAAACACCTCATTGTGGTTTTTTTTGGCATGCAATAGGCAGAAATGCGCAAAAAAACAATAAGATGCTTAAAAACAGAACAAATAAATAATGATAAAAAACAAATACAATAGAGCCTTATGAAATAATAGCACCAGATTCTTTTAACTCAACAATATTTTTATGGATTAATACAGTACATCTCTTGAAAGGGCACTAGATACAAAGGAAACACAACACAAAACCTCCCTCAGAACCCTGTCTACTGCTGGATATTCCTACTACTTTGCTTTAATAACAAATTCTGGAGCTAAAAAATAAAATGAAAATAAAAAAACAAGTGCTGGAATTTGGGTTTTGTAGATCTTAAAATATATAGGATGAAATAAAAAGTAAAAAGAATGAGTTAAATGAACTACTGTAGGTGAAGAGAAATGCATATGTGGACAAAATAAGAATTTGAATCACAGAGATATATTTCAAAAAGAATAAAACTAGAAGAAATTCTAATTGATGCTTTTTTTATGATGAACAGAAGCAAACAAGCTTAAGTATTACTTTTTGATCCCTGACTCCGGTGGTGAAGGGTAGGTGTCAGCTGAGCAACTGAAAATCGCCTGTTGTAAAATTTTATGGGTTAAATACTCACAATGACTGATACACATCATTGTACTACTTGTATGCAAAGGAAAAGAACTTTGTCCACAGGGGGGCGCCAATTTTGACACAAACAGAAAGTTCCTTACTTCAGCTTTAACTCAAATTACAAACAGTTGTTTCTAAACGGCTGAAACGTCAGCAATATGTTCCCATTATGCAGAAAACATCCGTTACCATGCTTCTGCTTCACATACAGAGAATGGATGATTGAGTCTTTCTATACACTCATGGTTTTAAAAGCATAATCCCTGAATGAAAAAAAAGAAGAAACAGAAGAGAGCTCTTGTGATTTATGAGCTCCGGATCATTATTTCTAAATAGCTCTGTACCTTTAATGAGAACAGAACAAATTCCATCCGCATGACAAGCAAACAGATAGAAATCCAGTAAGTGGTCCTTGAGAGTGGGATTTGAAAGGACTTGTTTGTGTGATATCATTGACTATGATTATAGGATGTTTAACATTTATTAACCTTCTGCACAATAGTAAAAAAAACAACACCGAGGATAATATAATATCATATAATCAAGTAATAAGAAGGTCATTTGGCTTCATTAAAAGGTTGACAACAATTTGAGTTGCAGTATTAAAGCTGTGAGCGGTATGCAGAGACTCTGAACCGTTTAAACCAGATAATCAACCTTTATGGCGCTACAAAACGTACCAATCGTCTAGACGGTATTTACATTTAAAGTGAGATTAATTATTTGTGTTTGCAGGGCATCACGTTTCAAATGGCTAATTGAGAAGAACATTAGCCCAGGAATAAAACAGCAGGTATACGACGACTAAAGAGAAGTGGAAATTAAAGCCAGACACAGAGAAACTTTTTCAAACAAATCCAGGACTCTTGAATAGACATACAGAAGTCTGAGGATACATTTAAAGATACTGAACATCAACTCCGATTCTTTTTCTTTCTGTTTGTTGAACAACAAACAAATTAGTCCTTAATAGACAATGATCTTTATTCACGAATTCTGCAAAGATTCTGTATCTGCAAGACTGGACTTTGATGGGATTTGTTCCCGTTTAAATGTTCTGGAAAAGTCCTGGCCAGTCCCCGAGTACCACTGTTTGCTGTCGTGTCACTAAAGCCAATCAGGGTTTAGATTTCTAGACGTCCTGCACATTATAAGAAAAAGTCAATCTAAACAAGAGGTATTTTTTTCTTTATGAGGACAGACCTGACATATCTTGAATTTTACCTTGAACAAATCTGTATCATGATGTTGCAAATGTGCAAATTTACACACATTCTCAAATTGAATTAAAAGTAGATATAAGAAAATCAGGTTCTTTTTTGGATTCAACCGCTGAAGTAGGCCAGAGTGAAGCCTCTGTCTGGGCTAAAAGCACTGAGCCAAGTGAGTACCGTAATTACCCTAATATAACCAATATATACCTTTGATTTTCACTCAAAATACTTAAAAAAGATTGATTTTCGTTTACATTCGTCTAGTTGTTGGTGAGGTTAATGCCGTTTTAAAGCAGTATGTTATTGTTGTTTGTATCAGCATTGAAAACAGAATGGCTCTACAAAGTGACTCACATAAATCAACATGCTTTAAGAGGTTATGAGCCTTCATGTGGTGAACTTCTTGTGTTTCTGTGACATCCAGGTGCTCCTCTATCACACAGAGAAGATTTTTGTATTTCTAATCTAGAGGCTGTCAAAATGTAATCTAACAAAAGTAAAGGAATCCCAGATAATTTGAGTATGAATTTAAGTGAATCATACACGTTTTTGCTGTTGTTGTTACCTGACTGTCCTAGATGCAAAATTTCTTTTTGTAGGATGGTAGGGAAGGTCCCGCCCTCCTTCGCCTCTGATTGGCTAGAAGTGCTGGGCTCCGATTGGTTATTCCTTATGGCTGTAAAACGCCATTGTCTGTCGGGTTAGGGGTAAGCGATAGGAGATTCAGAAGTGCGATAATGTTCTGTAATGTTCTGTTCGATGTACAAGCGTGTGATGACGTTTCTAGCTTTTCTAGCCAATCAGAGGCGAAGGAGGCGGGACCATCCTGGATCGAAGCTGCCATCTTTGTTTTGGTCAGCTGACCTGTTAGATGCATGAGAAGCCTCACACAGCCTGTTCTCAGCATAGAATTAAGCAAAATAGAACTGCTTTGAAAACATCGACTTATTTGGTTTATTTCATGTGTCTCTTTATTCAGGGTTGTCTCATATTAGGGTCATTACGGTACTTTATTAGCATCTTAAAGTCTTGTGAAAATGCAGTTTGTGTGGCTCATGTTAGCCACTGCTCTTCAGGTTTCTTTTACTTCCTACCTGCCAATCAAACTCTTGCACAAACTCCAGCTCTGGAGCAGTTTCGGTGTGGTGAATCATTGAACTTCAGGGAAAATTGTAGGCTCAGTGGTGAGAGTGGGTACTTGAAGTTTTGAAGGAGCTAAGGAGGCCTTGTAGAATATTGAAGCTCTGTGTGAATGAAACCAAAATCCTCTCTCTTGACCTAACAATGGACACCTAATTCAGGCTCCAACTGTTCAGAGTGACACATTTCAAAGAAAAGCCTATAACAAAGGCCAAGGCGATGGTCCCAAATTTCTTTTTATTCTTTATATCTAAACTTTTTAAAAGTTAGGCTTAGGTCTACATTATAAAAGCCATTATGTATAAACCACTCTCTTATGTATTATTCTTTTCTCTCTTGTACTTTTTTGCATATTTTAAAATTATTCTCTGTATTTTTTTACACCGTAGGCTGTGGAGAAATGTCTTTTTCGGTTCCTATGTATGTACTCACACAGAAATCGACAGTAAAAAGCTCGAATCTTGACTTTATCTTTCAATTTCTTACATTTCGTCACTGGGGATCAAATTTCAAAGAAATTTGGAAAACTAGAAAAGGCACAGTTTGCACCACCAACTTTTAGAAAAATCTTTCGCACTGATTCTCAAAGAAAACAAGAAGAAGACATGAAGTTTTTATCGCTTAGGTGGACCACGTATGAAAGAAATGCACATCAAAGTTCAGACACAGAGCAAAGAGGCATTGAAATTCTGAAAATACAGCTGTGTGCAGAAAATATTAAAGAGGAAAGAACGAAAAAATGCAAACAAAAGGTCCCTCTGACCAGGCAGACGGCCAATCATGGTTTAAGATTAGGGGAATGGGTCGTTGCCCCCTGGCTGCTCCCTCAGGTCTGTGCCAGAGACAATAAACCAGAGGCTGAATTTACGTACCAAACCAGAGTTAATGAGAGGTGGACGGGGTGGACGGAGGGTGTGAAAGGCCCAGGGCTTTGATACAGGAGTTTAAGGTTTGAATTCAGAGCCTGAACTGAGTGTCAAACGCCCTTGAATAAAAGTTAAAGAAAAGGGTTAAAGCTCCTGTGAGGGGCGTATGGTTTGTGTGTCAGTATAGCTCATCTATCTGTTTTTCCTCAACGTCTTTTTAAAATCAATCCTGCTCTCTAGTTGGGAATCTCAAGGGCTTATGTCCACTAACACCATTATTATACATCATATAAAACCTTTTGTTAAAATGCCCTTTTTGTAACAATGAACCAGGATTTGGACCCAAAAGCTAGACTCAGGAGGCAGATAAAAGTTTAGAGTGGGTTTAAGGTAGAAGTATCCAAATCGAAAGGCAAAAACTTTGTCCAAAAACACTATCAAATTCAAAAGCAGGAAGGCAAACACAAGGGAAATGCTGTTTGACACAAAGGAATGAGACAGAGTGGGACAGAGTGGGACAGAAGGGAGAGCTTAAATACACACAGGGAGATAACGAGACACAGGTGGACCACATTAGGGCAATCAGGGAGCAGGAAGACAAGAGACCTGATACAAGAGACACAGGTGAGTTTCAAAATAAAACAGGAAGGACATAACAAGAAACATAAATTAACCTAACTAAACCAAAGATAAGACACTTTTTCCATGTCGAACACATGATGACCGGCCAAAAATACATGAATGATAACAACAACTCTGACAATAATTTATTATTAATTTGAAGACAGAAACAGTTTAGGTGGAATGTTGGATGTTCAAAATTCACGAGTAAAAACCACTCCTAATGTACCTCCCATAACAGCCAGCTGATTAATTGTAATTTCAACTACAGTTATGGCTCCTCATGATAAGAAAGACACAATCATTGATATTTAATGATGTTGTGAAGCTTGGTGTGTTTCCGGATTATGTCCTATATATGTTAACAAGAGTCCACCCTACCTGTCTTCTTTAACAGGATCGCACGAGTACAGCCCGTACCCTGAAACAGCTTTCCTGCCCCAGGAGGGTCCGGCTCCGTCAGGCTGAAGACGAGGACCTCGTTCAGGAAGACGGTGAGTCCTTATCTTGAGCAGACTAGTTAGAAAGAAAAGCAGGAGGGTGACTGAGATGAAAGTTTAGGTGGTCTTTACACGAGTATGACACCGGTAAAATAAACTATCGATCTGGTGATATTGACACACGGAGACGCGTATTTGTCCATGACTCTGCATCTTTTTTGAAAACGGGTCTGCAGGTGGGTATCTGGGTATTCGCCTTCATGCTGTAGTTGGTATAAATAGAAAAGTCCAGAAAAGACGGTGACCTGATAGCACCCCTCCTCCTCCTCCCCGCCCCCCAAACCCACGTTGTCACACACACACAGCAACAACAACAATGGCGGTAGCTGGGGTGATTTTGCTCTTGTTCCAACAACTACAATATGGATGGACAGGAAGGGAGTCGACCTTGTATGCGCAATCTCTGTTTTTGGGCCGGGCGTATGTACTACAGGATTTTGCGTTGTCATGTAAATGTACTAAGCCTATGTACAACACGATGTGTAAACAGCGATACATGTTTTGGTGCCGAAGCCAAGACAATACGGGGTCGTCCTCGTGTGAGGACAGCCTTAGTTTGTTGGGAAACTTGGGAGACTTGGACCGGTATAGACTTCGCAGAATGACGGACGCGGAAGAACGGATTAATGGTGAAGTTTCAGGTCCTGATGCATGGACCTTATGGGAGAAAAGATCTACAGACTCAGGAGCCACAGGTTGCAGGAATAGAGTGTACCTTCACTTCTTTTCATGGACCCATATGGACCCCCTGTGGACACATGTGGACCCAGGGTTAAAACAGGACATCAACTCTTAGTAATGAAGAGAAACTGAGTTCACAAAGGTCGGAGAAAATTGTTCTGATTTCAGGTCCAAGATTGCTCTAACTAAACTGTGATCCACCTGCTGTGATTGAGGGGAAAGTACAGTGACTTACTAGTGTGTATGTGTGCAGAGTACACAGTGGGTTTGCAGCATTGGCGTCGATATTAGCCTTTAGTGATGTGTGTGCGTGGAGAAGCAGTGTGTTGCACAAGCACTCTGAATGCTGTCAAAAACGTTCTTCCTTTATCAAATTATGAGTTTGCTGCTTTTACTGAACAAGAAAACCTCATTTAGAATATCAGGACTTTGCAAAGTTTTGTCAAAATTGGCTCAATCATCATGTACTTAAGGGGAAAGAGTGGATTGTATAATGTGAGAGGCTGGAAAGATCAAAATGATGGTGCTGTGGCTTGAATAATAACTGAAATCAGTTATATAGATTATGTAAACAGTCACTGAATAATTTCCTGTCAATTAAGTCATTGATTAGCCGACTAAGCATTTCAACTCTCCCCTCCGCCACTGCATGCATCATCGTGACAAGCAGAGAGGCGCCGGGGCTGACAGATCCTCCGTCATTTTCTGTTAAAGTGGCGGCACGGCTTTAGAAAGAGGAACGGTGCGCCGCCGGGTTTATGGAGGAGGAAATTGTGACACAGAGGAGGTAATGGCGAGACCAAGAAGTAACTGTTCGGATTCTGACAGCTGAAATCTGGAGATGACAACATGCTGGTTATGATTCACACTCCAAGTACAAGAAAGTGTTGCAATCAAAGCAGTTTTTAAGTGGAGTGCTGCATTTCTTTCTCGTCCGTGGGAAGGGAAAGTAATCATCCAATCTGCAGAATTTATAAATGATGTAACAGTTAGATTATAATGCATGTATTCAGCAATCAATGGTGCGCTGTATATTATTCCCTGCAATCAATAGTGCTGGGAGTTGAAGAAACCACAGCAACAGGCTGAGAGCATTGCTGTTTGATTCTCTAATTTTATGCAGTTAACGTCTCCAAATGTCAGTAAGTGTAATGAAATTGAATGCGAGGAAAAAAAACCAACAAAATAAAGAGACCATCACAAGCAGAAAAAGCCTGGAGATATCCTCTAAGAGTCCATCTTTTCTGGTTCAGTAGAGCCAGAAACAAAGCGGGCTGCGGGGGATTGAGTCTGCAGATCCAGTGGGTCGGGCTCATAAAAACCTCAGTAAACAACAATAAGCATAATCAAAATGGAAGAGGCAGGAAGCCTTTAATTTGTGCTTGTTACCATTAGCTGTCATCATTAGCTAATAGTGGCCTGTGGTTAAAAACACAGCACATACATTCGCTCATTTGCACAACACTTTTTTGGTCATTTGCAGGGTTTTATTTCTGGCTTTTCTCCTCGATTCTCTTTGTCAGTCAGTTTAAGTCGTGTTATGCAAAACATCTGAAGCAAAGCCAAAGAAATTAGCTTGTCCTGGCCGGTAGCCATATTGACTCAGGGTGCTCCCAGTCCCAGTTGTTTTTGATGCACTATTACACTAATAAAAAAAAAGTTGAGACACATTTCATCAAAGCTGAACTTCTATCCGCGGCCGATCGATATTCACAACCCTCCTTGAGGAAATGAGCGAACGTCTGACGTTTTTATGAGACGCGACGCGTGAGCCGTGTCTATCAAAAGCCGCTCAAACGCTGGTGAATCGATAGAGATATTAACATCACGCTCACACGCAGATATAGACAAAATCAATGGTGATAATCCTAAGTAATAGCCCTCCAAGCCGTTCTTACATTTATTCTAACGGATATTTCGTCCCCGCGAGGTTTCTTTGACATATTAATTGCTCGCCTAAGTGCTCCATATTCCCAGCTCTTTGATTAATCTTCTTTGTCTTGTCTGTCGGTCATTATTGATCCTTTAAACACACACTTAATCTTTGCTTTTTTTATACCCCAGATTTAATTACATCTGCTGATTCTGTACTTTCACCCCCTCCTCCTCCTCGGCAGCCACCTGTCACTTGTCCTCGTGTTCTAGTCCGAAGAGTTTTCAGGAGCAATCACCGCGCTACCTACACGCGTGTACATGCCCGCTCTAAATTACCCTCTTTCAGCAACATGACGCCCCATAATGCATCAGTCTATGACCGCTGGTTTTCTCACTGTCATTCAAGATGTTGGCGATGTGAGGGTGAGGAATCGATACCCCTGCCTGGTGTTCATGTAGGCGTTAGCAATTAGCAGTTACAGCTTCAGACCGGTAGCAGATGGATCAAGCTGCAGTGGGGGGGGAGGTTTCCTATTAGCGGCTAATTTGATAAATAACCGTGTTTTATGTGCCCGTCGCACCTTGCACTTTGGCACTTTTAATTGACAGGAATGGTTGATCTCGCAGAAGTTTTGCCCTCAGTAAAGGAGACATCTGCTGATTTTTTTTCTTGTGTATTTTTCTGATTCTTTTTTTTCCTAATCATGAAACAAACAACAAATTGATTCGACTATAAAGCATTTTATCCGTGGACCAAGTTTAGCCCGGCTCATTTCTCCGCGCCGTAGACCACCGTCGGTGTCAGAAAATATTATAAACATTTTAATGAGCCACACTGTTGCACAGCAGTGACATGTTCCTTCATCTTAATGAACATGGGCACCAGTTTATTTTGAGTCAATAACAAGGGTCTTTTGCTGTTGCTAAGGGTTACGCAGAGGGATCGAACAGCTGCTCAACTTAAAACAAAGAGAAATTGTCATTGATCCCAGTAACATACAGGGTATCTTTATATTGAGTGGGCTGGAAGAGTTCAAGGTGGAATTGTATTAATAGAAAGTGAATGAACAGAAGTCCACAGTGTGAAAAATACAGATTCAGGAAACTTTCAAATACTTGACATGAAGACATCAACTGATGGGACTTACAAACATCCAATTACCTGAGGGTAAGAACTTGACTCCTCTTTTCGTTCCAAACTAAGGCTTAAACCATAGACTGTATATAGAATGGACAGAGTCTCATCCTCGCAGGCTGAAGCCCCCGTAAGAACAGCACCCTCTGGTGACAGGCTGCAGTATAGGTCATAAATCCCGCCTCTGCCAGCAAAGCTTATGGAGCTGTGGACAAACTTTAGAAAATTATTACACAGAATATAAACTTTTCTCCCATCTGCTTATTGGCTTGTAGTTATTGAAAGACTGGTTTGTGCTCAAGTCCTCTTTTTTCTGTATGACTCCGTTTTTTAAAGTTGTAAGGGGGTTCATGTTTTCTATGATTGACATTTGATATTGTGGCTGCACTTTAATTTTCTTAGAATAATTATTCCCAGATTTATTCAGTTAAATTGCATTTGCTGTTTTTTTTATATACTTCTATTTAAAAATAAATGTCTTGAATTTGCTGTATTAGGGATTCAACATGAGCCAGACCTTACCACAATGATAATCTTATCACAGTCATGCAGGCCTGGTATGATATATTTTAAATGGCACATTGGTGTCAGATCGGTACTCGGTATCACCTGATACCCACAGCACAACTATAGGAATTAGTATTGGGAGGGAAAAATTGGTATCGTAAAATCTCTACCACTAACGCTGGGGCTTGTTGTTGTGACACCAGATGTTTTAAAATGCTCCCATATCAGGAGCCATTAACAAACAAACAACCAAAACACCACTCTATAGCCACAGATAATGCTCAGAACAGCACCTAACTTCATCAACAGTACATATAGGGTCCTAGCCACAGCACTAGCCACCAAAATTTTTTTTAACTTTGCCTAATTTCTTTAGCAAAGAGACTAAACACAACTCACCTACTCTCTTCCAGCAGCCGCTTGTTTGTAGCAAGACCTCAGGCCAGTCCATTACGGACTACAGCGGGGTGCCGCAGCTCAAGGAAGAACATCTATGATAATTTCTCTATCATTTCCTTTAAGTAATAATCATCATATTAATCATGTAAATCCAGCTCGTACTGGTCTCTGTCTGCAAAAAAGCCTTTCTGCTTCCTTGTGCACGTGTTTCCTGCCTCTCTTTAGCTGTCCTAACTAATAAAGACAAAAACACCCAAAATATAAGTTGAAAAAACACAAACACTGCTGCCTGATGTGAGGTTCAGGTCAAGTCTTGTTAAGTGATCATAACGGACTGTACAGAGAAGCTGCAAACACATCCAGGTGTTATTCCGACACCCTGTTCAGCACGGAGATCCAACATCCGAACATCAAATGTGTGATCTAAAATACAGCTCAGCGATCGCCGCTCTCCTTAAAGGAACCACACTTCTAACAAACTCTTTTTTCTGAAAGGCACTATTGCTCCGAAAAAATTTACACATTCAAGGTTTTTCTTCAAATAACCCTGTCCTCCAGTTTCAAAATCAAGTCCTTTCATCCTAAGAGGCTTTCGGTCATTCATGTTGGCAATAATAAGCAACGAGGTGAAGCTTCTGCAGGATCAGCAAGTAATTTAAATGACATGAAACCTCATCCTTGGCTTTGATGACTAACATCATGCTGTTTATCCACGGCGAAATGACTGCGCACTTTTTCTCTTTAATTCCACTAAACTCCACGTCTTCTAAGATCGTAAACCAGGACATCAAGGAGGCAGTCATCCATTCGGCTCTTGTTTGGGTTTGCCCATGAGGCCGTCGGCGAGACCGCGTCACCTTGTGTCACTCTGTGTCACTCTGTGTGTCTGTAAACAGTCACCCCCGCCCCCTGTCTCTCCAGTCAAACACAGCACACATGGGGGTGTTATTACGCATGGGGAGTGACCACCGCTCGGCGGCAGGGCGACCCCAAAGGCAAAGCGTCTTTGCATTTGAATAATCTATTGCACCAACTCACGCATTTGCATATTCGGGCACTTGGAAGTCACCAGGGCACTATGATTCACTCCCCTCTGCCAGCCTGTGTCGCCGCTTGTATGAAACAGGAAGGATATTAAGCTTGTTTGGATGCAACTTCCCCTCATGAATCTTTAAGGCTGCTGTGTAATAAGAAAAATAAACCCAAAAAGCAGATGCCATCAGACTGCAAAATTACTTTCCTGTTTCATTCGGAGACGTCAGCGACCGCGGGGGAGCGTTGTCCGTGAGGAGATGCCTGACAGCCCTCTAAATTGTGAAGAAGACTGACACGAGTGTGAATTTAACAATTGCCAGTTAGAGTGTAAAGAGAGGTTGTGCAGTGTGCAGTGAAGCAGCCCCTCCATGCTCTCTGCCTCTTACCCACCTCTCATGGATCCTGTAATGGATACAGCCTCTGAAGGATTTAAGGAGAGCCCGGCTGCTCACCTGTTAAAATAGAGCTTGTATGTGGAGTCTATCCACTGGAAAACTTCGACTTCCCAGCTGGAAGCAAATGATCCGGTTTGGCAGTGCGTATATTTGCAGTTCTTCAGTGTTGTAAACATTCGCGGCACACAATAGAAATTAAATCTGACCTTTGTGATGTTTTGACAGCTCTCTGCTGTGCATTGGACGCCTTTTTTTATTTATTTATTTATTTTTTAAATGACTGTGGCGTGTTTGAGCGCTGATATCCACCAGTGCGACGCTCTGAATCAAAAGAAAAACACAAACAGGGAACACTGTGTAAGTCTGCACTCACCAGCGAGTTTATTGTGAGGATTGTCTAGCAAGAAGAAGAGAGGAGCACAGAGGAGCTACAGGAATGAAAGATGTTAGTCTGCCAGTTTGTCACAAAAGCAGTGTGCTCCTGTGTGATAGACTGGCAGACCGTGCTAGCTCAGTATCCTTGGGGACACACAGGCTACTGTTATAGAGTCACATTTTTTTTTTTTTGAGGAGCTTCTCTCATTTTCTGAGGCAGAGAGGCAGAGGAGGAGGAGGAGGAGGAGGGAGAGGGAAGTTACTGGTTTTGCCTCTTGAACGCTCGCCGGAAAGTTCTTGTTAGTCTGTTTGTGTCTGTGAAGGTTTATGGCCTGTGTCGAGCAGAAAGTCCACAATCAACTATTGTGACACGGAGGATAAAAAGAAAAAAAGTTTCCCCGGATAGATCCCCTTAGCGGTGTTTGGGTGTGTTCGAAGAAACGACTTCGAGGAGAGTAATCTACGCTTCATGTAGTGCATTGTAAAATCAATTCCAGTCTGTTTAAGTTTATTTTAATAGTTCAAACATATCTTTGAGAACCGGCGAGTAATAAAATACGGACTACTTTTTAAGAAACTGGTGTCTGAAAATAAACAAATCTAAGGAAATGTACCAATCGATAGAAAGTGAAGAAACTACCTTTCTGCTTCCTTGTGAACATGCAGTTTAATCCAGCAGATGTAAACAAACTGGGAGCTCACCATCTTGGCATGCAGACGATACAAAATAATTTCCATGTGCGAGTTTGTCAGCATTATAAAAACTCTGCTTCAGCTTTGCCTAAAGTTCAGGAGGATAGTGTTTGAAGAGCCCCGCTTGGGAAATCGAGGCCAACATGCAGAAGAAAACTTGTGTTTTCACAAACTTCTGCTTATGTGTGGATGAGCCCCGAGCCTACAGCAGCAAAACCAAGAGCGGATCCAAGTCTGGAGACTGGTTTTACTTCTGCGTTGATTCAGCGCTGTAGGAGCCTCAGCTGCTGAGAGAGCGTGGTCTGATTCTCTCCCTAAATGCTGGAGTTCATTGTGATTTCTATCAGTTTTCTGGTTCCGCTATATTCTCAGGACCCCATGGCAACTGAATCTGGTCATACAAACTTGGAGCCTCCATTCCTGGTCAGATGAGGTGGTTCAGGAATTGCCTCATGGACACCTCTTTTTGGAGGGGTTCCAGACATGTCTAACTGGAGGGAGACACTAGGGTAGGCTCAGGGTTCGCTGGAAGGAATGCGCATCCCACCTGGCCTGGGAACGCTGTGGAATCCCAGAAGAGGAAAGTGGAGAAAGTTTAGGGTGACCATATTCTGACTTCCCAAAAAGAGGACAAGACTACACTGGGACGGAGTCATGGAGTCAAACGAAGTTAATTTTAATAGTTTTTCGGGTCGCATCAAGTGTCTTTTATGAGCTTCTGACTCCGTATTTCCATTGCATCCAGAACGGCTACAAAAAGGCTGTAAACCGCTGATCTTAACCACTCAAGTTAATGTGTCAATTTCCACCGGCTTCTTTCCGTTACTTTGCGGATTGCCGGACTCCACAGCTGATCGCAAAAGTTCAATTTTTTCTGGACGCCGGAGCATGCTGCAAAAATTCCGGATTTCACACCATGCAAACTGGCGGAGACGAACAAGTGAAAGGTTTCTAGACAGCATTTCAGCCTGATGACACCATGGATGAGGAGATGCTGATTCCAGAAGTCCAAAAAAAGAGGACATGTCCGGGTAAAAGAGGACGTATGGCCACCCTAAGAAAGTGTTGCCAAATGGAAGGGAGATTGGGACGACTTGCTGAGACCGCTACCCCTGGACCTGACTCTGGAAGTGAAGGCAGATGGATGGATGGATGGACTTGGGTTCATGGCTTCTTTTGTTGTATTCTTAAAATACTGGTGATAACAAAGATGTTGTAAACACAGGAAATAATATCTCACCAGGTGGACCAATCATTTAGTTTATAGTTTCACACTTTTAAGGAGGTGCACACCAGAGTACACAGACTTCCTCATAGAAACAGGGCTGTTGGAAGCACAGTAAGGATGTCTGCCACCCAGACCCTAAGGGCTCTAAATTCTCTTCTGGATTTTTATGGGGAGCCAGCATGGAGAAGTTAATATATGAAAGATGTACTCCCTTTTTCTTGCACTCGAGCTGCAGCATTTTGGCCCAGCCAAGGCGCCATTAGAGATTTATTTAGGGCAGCCTGATAAAAAGGAATTACAATAATCCAGCCTAGAGGTAACAAATGTGTTGACTCATTCTCTGCTTCATTTTCAGACAGAATGGGTCTGATTTCTGCGATACTGCGAATGTGAAAAAAGAGATTGTCTTCAAAAGTTGTTGTATGTGGGAGTTGAAGGACATATCCTGATCAAATAGAACTCCCGATTTCCCAAAAGTGGTGCTGGATGCCAGAATGATGCAATACGAGGCAGTCATATCCTTAGAAAATGTCTCTCTGAGGTGTTAGGAGCTGGAAACAATATCCTCAGTCTTTTCTGGGCAGCAGAATATCTCTGGTCATTCAGATCTTTATGCCCCCCGAAGCATCCTTTGAGTTAAGCTGGCTGATTGGTTTCATTTGCCTCCATAAGAAAAGTATAGTCATAAAGATGTTAATTACACATTGAGCATAATTAGTAAAGTGAGGAGGATCCATCCTGGCCGAAGGGGGCACTTAAGTCAAAATCAACTCTTACAGTAACTTTGAAAAACAACAAAATTCATTCAACACAAACAAATATATATCATTCTGTATCACCAGTATTTCACATATTTTGGACCCTGCCTGCCCGGTTGTAGTCTCCTTTTGCCTTCAGGGCAGCCGTGAGAGGTTGAAGGTTGTCGAATCTGCACAGCTCACAGTCGGTGTTCCAGTGCATCCCAAACATATTTGACAGGGTCGAGGTCAAGGCTCTGAGCAGGCCGGTCAAGGTCTTCCACAACAAATTGGGAACAGACTCGGTATGAGCTGAGGTTGTTGAAAGAGACTCCCAAAAATGGTTGCAATAAAGTTGGAAGAAAACTAATATATTACTTTTTACTGTACTGCAAGTGTTCTGTGTTATCATAAGTGAAGTTTTTTCATGTTTACTCTGAATGTCAATTAAACAAACTCGAGAAATGGAGCCGAGGCAAACCTTAACCCTTCGAACTCCCAGCTATATTTTGCTATTTTTGGTCCGCCTGTTTTTTTTTTTTTTTTTGTAAAAATCAATGTAGCAACTCGATCATTTCAAGCACAGCAAGTATATACACATCTTTTTTTTCAGGACAACCTCAGCCGTCAGTTTATTGGTGCAAAAATTATGTAAAATGAATGTGACAGTAGATTGAGATCCATCAAAGTCAACCAAAAAGCAAAAACGGATATTGATACCAACAGTACTTTGCTCAAAAATCACATAAATCTACAGTGACCAAGCCTTTTCTCATCTGCACATCATTCTCTCAAGTCTTGGCTATCAGGAGAAGAAATATTGGAATTGGAACAAACACACAAAAGAAACTTTTTACACATTTACACAAATCCTTCCAGGCGTTTTTTGCTATTTACTGTTGTTTATGCCACTCCTTGAAGCACTTTCTGTCTGGGACGAGATAGAGAGCCACATCATACTGCACATAATCTCGTCTTTGCTTGTTTCTAAGCATTGAGGACCATTTTTTCTTTTTTTGCAGACAAGAAGGGAACTTTCTTGTCTCTTGTTGATCTTTGGTTGCCTCTTATTGGACACTACCGTCAAGGGAACAATAGAAGAAGAATATGAGACCATGTAACTGGTCGAAAGTTTGACAGAAAAGAGGGACAATATGATAAATAATCATGTTTTCACTGATATATCACTGTGGATTTACCATCAAACGTCTCTGATCAAACACTTATTTTTGTGGCTGGATTGTAAACCTTGTGGCAGGTGTAGAAATGCCTGGAAACCCTTGATAGATCACCAAAAGGGGAAGTTTTTGAACACTTTTCATCCCATAGAGATACACGGTAGAGTTCCAGAGAAACTGTAAACAATATTAATAGTGTCACGTGGGATCGCCGGCGATCCAGTGGCGTTCTAAGTGTTAAACTTCTGATGCCTTCCTCATGGGTTGATTCACTTACACCAACTACGACAGTGACAGAATCACCTTTTTACTGCCTTCCCTCTTATTCTTTTAAAACTACCTTGCGCTTCACTTTCCCATGCCTGGGCACAGTGTGCAGCACTCACGCTGGTCCAACAAACCAGACTTTGGGGTTGAAACATGCATGAGTACAGTACAGCCCAGCCTTCTTTGCAGTAACCTCTGCAAGATCGACAAACATTGACAACTCTTGTGGGGCGCTCACACCAAGCGCAAGTAAAATCATCTACCTGCTTAATTTGCGCAAATCTAGACGCGTGAATGAAAAGTATTTACTCACTTCATTCGCATGTCAACAGTAATTTCAACGGTAATCCCTGCCAATTCAACTGGTGGGATCAAGTGATAGACAAAGGTGTTTTACAATTTATTAGGTAATACGACCTCCTCACTCACTTGCCTCTAGGCCGCTCCTTTTTTATTCCAGTTTCGGTAGTTGAAAGAAAAGGTATCATATAATTCGGGGCACCCGCATGATCACATTGTCCTCCATTTCAGATTCTGGTCAACAACTGTCCGTTTTCATACCCCACCTGGCAACCTTGGAGCTGATTAGTTATCGTGATGCTAATATCCGCTCAAGTTGAGACGTTTTCAGCTTCCACCCAATTCCAACATTCGCGCCACAAGAGTAGTAGGAGCGTCTAATTGCGTCTTTGCATTGAGTTAACATGTAATTAATTCGCGCAAATGATTTCACTCGTGCTCGGTGTGTGAAGACAGTTATACAACTCTTACCAAGAAAAGTTAAAGATCTCGTGTCTTGGCGTTTTTTCTTTCTCCTTGTTTACTCCGAGTTTGATCCTTCCTGTCATCTTTGACGAAATGACACGTGTTTCATTTACAGATTCCTCTCTCTGTACTTTTTTCTTGACAGTTGTTGATGTGCACTGACTTCTCCCCCCCTGTCAGGCAAAAAATAGACTCAGCGAGAAGAAAATAATTAAATTAAAGTGCGAAACTTGTTGCCACACAGCTCGGTGGTTTCAGTTTCCTTCACTAAAACATGATGGGTATGGTGTAAGTGTCCAGGTTAGAGGTCAACTGCAGAGCCAACAGGAGCGAGCTGGTGTCCTGCTGAACAGCTAATTTCGCTCGGTGCCCTGTTGCTGTTGCCTGGATACAGTGTGATTCTAATTAACAGTTTGGTGATTCACATGCTCTCCTGTTAACCTCGGTTTCCCACACTCGCAACGCTATTACAGTTTATGAGTCTCATCGGGTGCTGTGATGGACACTGAACTAAAGATAAAATTCAATTTCTGAAATCGTGGACCAAATTGCCAAAACGGAACATGTGTTGTCTTGTGAATTGGAGCTCAGTTTGTGGGTGGTTCTGCCTTAAAGGGTCACAGACAACCAACCTCACTGTTGCACTTACTTGCTTGTTGTTTCTCATATTAGAACACCACATAATTGTATAAAATCACCATGAAGCATTATTTCACCACCTTTTTTTTTTTTTTGCAAACAATAAAACTCCATTTTATTTTTCCTGAAAGCTTGTATGGTGCCCCTGGGACTTGAGCTCTTTCAGCGATTAGAGTAGCTGAACTCTCGCAGAGTCTGCTCTTTGAATTAAGTCCCCCTCCTTTTTCAAGCAGGCCTCTCACTAGGCCGATCTCGCAGGCTAATTGGCCTCAGGGTTGACGTGCAGTGTTTACCGGGGGTCCTCTGGGATCCCGATGAACCAGCAGAGGGGAAGGGGCGCTGATGCTCCCCTACTATCAGCTCCGACTCAAGGCATGGACCGCTACTCCTTCTAACTGTCCCCTGCAGCGGCCGGTCAGGACCCAGACTGTGGCTTCCAGTAAAACTAGGAAATCTTCAGAGTTCATGTTAGGCGATTTAAACAAGGCAGCAGCAGGAAATAAGAAAACAAAAACTCTGTGAAGGTTGTACTTTTCTTTGATTGAGGTGTTCAAAGATGTTTCCAAAGTATAGACAAAGAGGACAAAACCTACAGCTGGCGCCAAGGCTTGAGAGAAAACTGCTTTTTCTCTGCAAGCAAGAAGTAAAAAAGCGAGTACATTCATTTTGTGTGATTTTTTTACGCACAAAAGCAAGACTTTTGCATTTTGAGTAAAAATCATTTGACAGGAGATACCAAAGAAAAGGCGGCCCTTGATGCAATCAATATGACATCTAGATTTGCACCTGTGCACCTGCCTGAGTCATGCAAAAGTCCACAGATACCGACGTTTTCTTCTACCAAGGCTGTTGTTTTTCTACCCCTGTTCTCTCTATAACTCCTACAGGTTACTTGCTTTTGGATTTGACCTGGTTGATAGGGACCTGTTGACTTTGTGGTCATCTCTGTGTTTGAAGAAAGGAACAAAGCTTCAGTTCCTTAAAGGGATAATTAGAACTACCACGTCTGCAGTGCAAAATAATTAATATGGTGATTATTACTTCAAGAAAATGATAAAGAAATGATCATAAATGTTCTTCCTAGAGCTGCGTCACCCCGCTGCAGTCGATGGACTCGCTACAAACAAGCGGCTGCTGGAAGAGAGTGGGTGACTTGTGTTTAGCCTCTTCGCTAAATAAATTAGGCAAAGCTACAAAGATGTTTGGTGGCTAGTACGATGGCTGGGACCCTATATGTACTGTTGATGAAGTTAGGTGCTGTTCTGAGCATTATTTGTGGCTACAGAGTGGCGTTTTGGTTGAGGTTTGTTTATGGCTCGTCAGACTGCTGTGTTTTGCTATGGTGCGGCCGTTACTAAAGTTGGTATAACTAGAGAAGCAAGCGGTGGGCAACATTCATCTCTCGGTGTTATGGTGTGTTTTAACTGCGAAGTGATGCATGTTTCTACCTCTCTAATAATATACACACACTACTAAGATGCCATCTTTTATAATACATCCTGTTGGAGTTTATCAGTTATATATACATTTGCATAATTAGTATCATGACTGGTTTGACTGACAGGTGGGTGTGCCATATTTGATTCCCAGAAGAGCTTCCACAGGTTGACTGAAATAGAATTTCCACAATGGCGCCCACCAACATCAAGGTTAAATCTTGTATCCAGAAACCAACAGTTGATGTCACAGGGACTATGTTCATATTTTATACAGCATATGGCTCATACATGTCTACGTGCATGGCTTTGAGGTGAGCCCTCAGGTCCTGCTTTGATAGTTTTATAAATATGTGATGCCAGTGCTTAGCTATGTTAACAGTTTCACCTTGAATTCAAGCTTGAATTCAAACACTGCAAAAACTCGAATTTTAGCTTCTACACTACAAAAAATTCAAAGCTTGGCAAGTGGATTTGTCAGGTTTCTAGTGAAAATGTCTAACTTTGGCTAATTGAACCCACTGCCAAGTCCAAAAAATGTTTTATTTTAAGGTACTATGCACCAAAAATAAAGCAGTACCAAGTATCAGACAGATAGAGGTGGAGGTGGAGAATGAGCATGATGAAAGATCCAGAGGCTACAGTACTTTATATAGGGTGGACATGTCCTCTTTTTTGGGGGTTGTCCAGACTGTCTGGGTTTGTCTGGGAAGTTTGAAAAATCCTTCAAATATCTGCGGTTTCTGCGGTCAATATCAATCAAAATAATCGTGATTATGATTTTTGCCATAATCAAGCAGCCCTACAGCTAAGCCCCGCCCCCAAAACACAGCATACTTTTTAAGAAGAAAACTGTATGAAGTGACAAAAAGGAAGTACTCGAGCATAGACTGTATATAGAATGGACGCCGTCTGCCTCCTCGCTGGATATAGCCATCGAGAGAACAGCACCCTCTGGTGACGGGCTGCAGTATAGGTCATAAATCCCGCCTCCTCCAGCAATCCCTATGGGGCTGTGGACAAACTTCAGAAATTTATTACACAGGAAATATTTTTTTCTCCCCCCTGGTTGTGATGTTGACATGTAGTTACTGTAAGACTGGTTTGTGCTCAAGTCCTCTTTTTTTCTGTAAAGCTCCGTTTTTAAAAGTTCTTAGGGGGTTCATGTTTTCTTTGATGGACACTTGATACAGCCTGTGGGCGTATGAAGATTGCGTAGATCACCTGGGGGATACGCTGTTTGAGCCAAGCGTCATTGCAGCGACTCTCCCGCCAAATGCTACTGCGCAAAGTTGGTTTCAGAAAATGGAGAAAAAAACTTTTCGTCTCCAAATCCGTATACTAGCATCAGGCAGAACCAAGTTGTCCATAGTACATACAGTCTATGTGCTTTAGTCCTGAAAATAAATCTGACTCACACTCTTACCCATCACCATAACAACCACAAACATTTTTCAAACTTCTGTACAGAGACGAGTTTCTCCCCAAAGTCCGAGCTCAGAAAATCTAATTTTAGGACTTTGTGCTCTTTTCCTCAAAATTGGCCAAACCCCAATTAAATCTAATGTATTCTGATCTCTGTTTTCTGTTTATTTCTCAGCGTCTTCAAAAACAAGACAATCTTCATCTGTTGTATTACGCTCTTTCCTTGTTTCCAACCGTCTTCGAGTGCAGCTACATTGTTAGCGTCGGTGAATGGCACACACTGATGGGGAGTTCTTGCTTCTGATAATGCATTAGAACCACATTGTCAGTGAATTAAGCAGGCATTCTTGTTTTCAAACGGGCATTTCTTTCAATTATCTTGATAGAGCGGAGAAGCTGTACGGCTCTGCTTTCCTCCAATCTTTTTTTTTTTTTCTTTCCCCCCCTGATTGAATGGGAAGCCAGATGGGAAGCCCGGCAAAGAGAGGAGGAGAGAGAGGGAGTCGACGAATGTTCTCATAGTGTATGGCATTCACAGTGTCTGAGACAAATCAATTACAGATAAATGCCATGTGCGGCGAAAGAATGCGAAGGCTTTTTCACTGGTTTTGGAGTCAATCGAAGAGGCACAGCTTGAGTGTCATTGACCTTGAGAAGAGGAAAAATAAGAACCACTGAGCAACTATGGTTTTTAAATCTAAACTTGCTGCCCCAAAATCACTTCAGGGTCATGTAGTATATGTGTGTCTCACTACAGGAGTCAATTTTCTGCTCCAGAAATGGCAAGTATTTCTACAAATTTCCTCCAGACCCAAACAGAACTCCACACACAAAAAAAACAAGTCTGCAAAGTAATGAGAAAATGTGCTTTTGTCTCCGGGGATTTGCTGTATTATTCTGTAAATCCTGGATTATTATATTTTACAGACAGCAAAAAACTCCACATCCTTAACAGGAATAGCGCTCTAATTTCAAATTAAAGGTAGGAGAGGGAGTTTCGGATGAGTAACGGCCTAAACCCTGCAGACTCCGAACGCTGGAGTTTTAGCCTCTTTTCCTTGTTTGTGTGACAAGTGAGTCCACTTTCTTCTTGCTAATACCCAATTAGGGAGATGATTATTGATTGAGGTGTTGAAAGTTGACCGCTAATCTCCCTTCTGTCAGGATGAGGCGATCAATAGGTGAGTGTAATGAGCAACCTGCTCTCTCAGTGCCTGTGAACAGAGTTGGATTCAGACTGGATACATATTTTGTTAGACAATGAAAAGAGGGTTATCTAAGTGCGGTCTCTGTTACTGGATCCGACATATCAGGAAAACACTTTGTTATTATTCCATCTGCAGTAGAAGTGCTTTTTTTTTTTGGTTAGTGGCGATGCAAATGCAGGTGAAGTTGTCCTTTTCCTGCCAAGAAACAACACCGTTTCTCAGCGCCAATAGACTGGAAACACTTAAACTCGATGGATGGAGGGTATCTGAAGCATTTTCTGTTTTGGGGGAACTGAATTATAAGGAAGCACTTTAGAAAAAGAAATCTTATTAACCTTTATTTAACAACACAAACAGGCTGGCTGTGCTACAGACAAAAACGGATTCACACTTGATGTCTACAAGGTACGAACCGATGAATGATTTAGAGCGAAGGTAAACTAATGTCACCCTAACCCCCAATTTTCACTGCATCCGCTGGACGCAGTGGAAATTTGCCGTCCTCCAATTCCTAGTGGATCCATTTGTGAGACGAATTTCATGGCAGATAACGGACAGCAGAAATCGCGAGAACTCACAAGAACCTGCAGATTCATATGCAATCACTCGATAATGAGTTGTCTCTTTAAAGACTGATACATAATCATATAAGCAGTAGATCATGTCCTTCCAGAGAAGAAAATCCACTCCTAGACTTCTAGAATCAGCATCTCCTAGTCCATCAGGGTGAAATGCTGTCCAAAAACCTTTCACTTGTTCGTCCCCGGCCGTTTGCATTGTGTGAAATACCATCCACCTGAGACACGTAGTGACAAATCATTTTCTGTCTTTGGAGGAACTAAATTATAAGGGCGCACTTTAGACAAGGAAATCTTATTAACCTTTATTTAACAACACAAAACCAGATTCACACTTGACTTCTATAACTTGGAGGTAACATCACCCTAACCCCCAATTTCAATCGAATATGGAATGCCTCCAATCTGGAATGGCTGTGTTTTTTGCCATCTGCCAGTTCCTACTGGATCCGTTCATGGCGGATTTTGGACAGCAGGAATTGCAAGAACTCACAATAACCCGGATTCACATGCAATCGGAGGAAATCCACTCCTAGACTTCTAGAATCAGAATTTCCTCATCCATTGTGTCATCAGGGTGAAATGCTGTCCAAAAACTTTTCTCTTGTTCGTCCCCGGCCGTTTGCATGGTGTGAAATACAATCCGCCTGAAACACAGCGTTTTATTTTGAAAAGTAGCTGGATGTTTTATTTTGTGTCCGTGCCAGACTTCCTTTCAAGCACGAACTAATCTGTCCTGAAAAAATACAACTCTTGCGATCAGCTGAAGAGTCCACTGATCTGCAGCGGAACAGAAAGAAGCCGGAGGAAATTGACACGTTAACTTGAATGGAAATGATCAGCTATGATCGGTGAATACGGCCTTTTTGTAGCCGTTCCGCATGCAATGAAAATTGGGGGTTGGGGGAACAACTTCATCATGACCAAGGTGGCTCATGAATGAATGATGGTGCGTTTCTCGCTGACCCATCAAGGATGGTTAAACAGAGAAGTTTCATGGCCGCCATTTTTAAGAGGAATTTTCTTTTCAAGGACGACACAATCGTCTTTGACTCAAAGGTCCTACATCATCCTCACCTTGATTAGAGTAAATACCGCAGACAGGCGTCTCTTCCATATTTAGGTGCCGTTTTAAATTCATTCTCGACACCGTCTCAGTGTCCTGTAGGAAACACTTTCCATAAACCCGGAGAACATGGCCTGTTTCAGTGCAGAGAGAGCCTCATGTTTGCCTCCTGGTTGTCACTTCTTCCTCTGAAACAATGCTACACTGTGCCATGCTGCAGTCTCTGTGGGCCATGTTCTGTTTTCAGACTTGGTATTAAAATGCAGGGAAACTTTAGGAAACATGACACACTGCCTCGCACATTAAATCTCAGACTTTTGGCTTCCAAATTTGTTGTAAAGCGTAGAGAGGGCTGGCAGCTGTTTACGGAAAAATCCATGTCTGTATGATAAATAGAGCTGTAAAGGCTTGAGGAAATGCTCTGAGATTACAAAACAATATAGGAATATATAATTGTAATTGTTTTCCACATTTAATCTTGCTTTTCTTTGTTTCATCATCTTCTCTCTTATTTATCCAACCAGTTTGAAGCAAACTCTCCTCAACAGACAAACTGAGCAAACAGGCAGGGGTGGAGCCAGACTGTCTTGTAAGGGTGTCCTAATCCCCAAACTAAGAGGGGGTTAAACCCACTAATCATGTCCACTCAACCCTAACCCGAACTTTTAATATAACAGAATCAAAAAACTCTAAATTTAAAAGGTAACCCAACAGGGTAGCAACATTGAAATCTGCTAAACTTGAGCCTTTCGGGACCGAAAAAGACCAACAAGTCGATCATGGCACAGGGATTCAGGATGGCCAATAAGATTCATCCTCTGGCTCAAGTCTGTACGTTTACATGACACTCGAGAAAACCGAACTATTGCCTTATTCCGATTAAGACCGGACAAATGAAGTGCATCTAAACACCTTAGTCCGACTATAATCAGAGTTTTAGAACTTCTGACGTCTGGCACGGACCTGCTGTTGTTGTTGACAGTTGTATGGCTCTAGTTTTGGGGCGGAGGACACGTTCACGTCAATAATTGTAAGTCCGATTCAGCGAAAAAAACTGAATTATAAGCTTAATCCAATTAAGATGTGCATGTAAACACACCCAGTGACTGCAACTACATGGCGATGACAACCGAGATATTTGTACAAAATGATTAAATATGAGAAGTAGGCTGTAAAAAATAGTTGCAGCATCACTTATTTGTTTGTAAATTTGAAACCCATTGGCTGCGGTCTCCATATTGGTTTTGCTGACTTCCAAAGATGGGCCTTTACCCTCAGTAACCAAGGCTACTGAATATTTTATATAAAAAACTTACATATAGAAAGAAAATAATGCCATTACAGTGGCACCATCCCCCTACAACATCAGCATGAATTAATACAGGCTCTACTTTAGCTTTAACATCTGCGTCCTCAGTAGCTGTACCTTTAACAACTACATGAAGAACATCAGGAAGAACCGAAAGAGTTCCTGTCTCCTTTTACCAGCAGTGACAAAGTGAAATTTTGTAATTTTGTGCAGCAAACAAAACCATCATTTCTTGAAGTAGTTCCTGTAATCCTCTACTCGAGACACTTTATTCTCCGGCTGTGCAGAGGACTTAGAGATCCTTCAGAAGAGCATCAAGAATCTGACAAGTGTTGGTAATTTTGGGTTTTTTACTGATGTGTGGATGGCACTTTTATTTTATGAAGTGAGACCTTTGTAACAATTGCAGTCCCTTTAATATATAGTAAAAAGGCGCCTTACGTATACAGATACATCTGGCTTAAATAAGGGCTGGGCGATAAACCAAAAATTTACAGATACTGAAATTTACGACAATAACCAATGTCATTTTGCCCGTATCGGTATGTTGGGCATCAAGAAAATAAATACATAAAAGTTTGTTTTGGATGTGTGTAGGTAGGCTATGGTCTCATGTCTCTTTAAGATGCTGTCCGATGGCAGAAATGTGACTCCACCCCATCCAGTCCATAACAAAGAGTGAAAGACAGGTGAGGAGACAGAGGATGGTTCAAAGGTTGTAGTAGCTGGAGAGGCGGCTGAAGTAGATGAAGTTAATGTTGGAGAGGGTGAGCAGCTTGTGGAGTTATTATCGTCCATTTATCGTTATCGAGGTGAACTGATCAATATATTGTGATATTGATTTGAGGCCATATCGCCCAGCTCTACCTTGAATCTTGTCTGTGAGGAGTTTTGCAGATTGTAGATTTAAGATTGTAAGAATTAGCCAATACCATTTGTTGACTTTTATCCGACCCTCTTATTCATCGTTTTTAAAAGCAATAAGACCATAATGATTTGTATTAAGCTCAGACTGGTTGTAATAAAGGCGACTTCTAAAATGAGTTTTATTTTGAAATCCAGATCTGATGGCTCTTTCTAATTACGAGCTCCTTCTCTTTGCTGTTATTTCAGATTGATCTGATTTACTGCGCCGCGCCGCCGTAATGTGCATTAAGAAAACAAATTCAAATGTTGAAGCTGTAAACAAATAAATTCAACTGGGTTAGCTTGCACTTTGCCTCCCTTTAAAGTTTGGACTCTCACCACTTCCCGACTTCAGTGGAGAGTGTTTGCAGGTAGAGGCTCCTGCAAAAGTTTGCCTCCTCATTTGCAAAGCTAGGTTAAGTTTATGTAAAAGAGATGCATACCCAGTACGTCGGAGGCCCGGAAACAAACATTTCCCCTCCCTCCCCTCCCCTTGACAGACGAGTGACAGCTATTTAAATGCAAACTGTCATTAACAAACACAACCCTGCGCGACACCTGCTTTAATCACGGCAACAAAGGCGCAGCAAGTGGCCGAGTAGGAGCCCCCTCTCTGTGTGATATTCAAATGATGGGGCGGCGCAACAAACAAAAACAACAACATCAAAGAATAGGCTGAGCGGGGAGAGGAATCTGCTGCACTCTGTGCCTCCCACCACCGCTGCTAATCAGCTTCATTTTAAAAGTGATTAAAGGAAGGAGTCACTACATCGCTTACCCTTAGAATTGAGGGAAACTGTAGTGCCTCTCTTTGAGTCTCTTTCTTTTACTGAGGCTTATTCCTGCTGAGACAAATGCAGCTCAATTTCATCCTCTTCATAAAATATTAACAGTGACTTCCGGTTAATGTAGAAACCTTTCAGCCGACTGTCCGCTCTGAAATATGAAAATATAACCCCCCGGTATGACCCCTGATTCTGTCTGTATGAACCAAACAGTGAAAAAGTTCAGCCCGTTGAGTGTCGCTCACCTTCTTTAGCAGGCGCACAGAGACGTGCGGCCTAGCAGAGATTTACCGAGGAGCCAGCATTGTGGACAACGAACAACTTTACAGACAACTTTGAAAAAATTCTTATACATAAAATAAAACAATATGCATCCTTTACGGTGTTTGCCACATGACATGCTGTGAAAGGAACGATTTAAGAAGAAGCATTAACCAGCTTCTGTAAAAATTTTGCAAATTTTTTAAAATCAAAATTCTGCCTTCGAGATTGTGCATATTTGGGTAACTATAGAATTTAAGTGTTAGGCTGTCTTATCACTTTTTAAGCTATTTTTAATCAGTTCTGTAACTTACAAGCCTTTGAAGTAGCTTATACTTCAAAATAAAAGCATAGTTTAATAATGTAAAGCAAACTGAGCAGAAGACAGATAAAAGTTCAAAATAAAAGCACGACAAACAATCGTGTCAATTTGTAAATTTCAGGAACTTGTGAATGTATATATTATGTAACCTCATCTGAAATGTATTTACTGTTTTGTTTTAAATGTTGAGAATATATATATGTATATGTATGTATGCTTTTTTTAATCAGTTCTGTAACTTACTTGCCTTCAAAATAAAAGCATAGTTTAACAATGTAAAGCAGCCTAAGCAGAAGACAGAAAAAACATTCAAAATGAAAGCGTGACAAATAATCGTATTTATAAGTAAATTTTATGACCTTGTGAATGTATTTACTCTGTTGTTTTAAATGTTGACAACATTATATATATATGTATATGAGGTAGGTAGAAAACATCAATTTTATACTTCCTTTTTCTTTCTTTCTTTCTGTTTTTTTTTTTTTTACCAGAACAAAAGTGACACTTCTAGTGGCCATGGAAACATTGTACTCTAATCCTTCTATAGACCAGATCAAGATGAATCAAGTTATATCTACGTATCTGTACGTATCTTTTCAAAACCTCCACATGACCAGTAGCATATATACTGCATAAATTAAATCAGGTCTGGGTCATTCATATTATTAGACTGTGAGTGTTTTGTGCTGTTCTTTACTCTGTGGTTCTTCTTGTATGAATGATGCTTTCATGAGGAAAGTCCATATATTCTGATGTATAAGAGATGCTCCTTTTCTTTATGAAAAAACTTTATGAATTAGTTTTTTTTTCAAGTGTACTGTCTCTATATGACGAGCATTTCTGCTCATTGTCCACAATGCTGATGAAGGTCTACGGCTGAAGACCGTCCTTTGCTCAGCTTTTGTGTCGTGTCGTGTTGTTCTGTGTGCACCTAAAGACAGTTCATGTAAGTGTGCTCCTGTTTTTTTGTCCGTCTCAGCTGCAGAGAAACTCTCGTTGTCATGTGGACTAACACGTCTACTTTTCATCAGAACTGAGGCTGTTTATTGTGAAATTCTCTGAACCCTTTTTTTCCTCTTGGACTCAGATGCCTGATGTGTCTTGGTTGCAGTCCTGTCTTGGGCAGTTGTTGTTCTGCCCGGTCATGATTTAAATGAGGAAGTCATTGGGCTGTAACATCCCGTGTGCCCGCCAAGGCCCGGGCACTTGTAACTAATGCACGGCATTTGTTTTGATTAGTTTTTTTTTCCCACCCAAAGCAACTGCAGAAAAATCCAGCTGTATTTGCAACAAATTCACTTTGTTTGTTCCACCACAAATTTGCACAGTTTGAGTTCGGCAAATTAGGATAAACATTTATTTCCACAGCATCCTTTTGTTCATTTGCTCCTCAGTGGTGCGTATACTGTACATACAGGCAGAAAAACACCATAATGGTGTATTTACGCGCATCATTTTCCTTCTTTTTGTCCTTAAAGAGCGACAATTTCAGTCCTATAAACAACATGCTGTGAACATCCTGCGAGAAGTCTGCAAAAACATATAGAAGAAAGAAGCAAAATTACACTTAATGTTTCTTTTCTGCAAATTTCCCTCTCGATATATTATCCAGAACAATTCAAGCTGCATCCGCCATATTTCATCCCTATTAAATGCTGCTTATACGCCTCAGTTAATGATGTAGGAACTTTAATCCTATATATATTTACAGACGGAGAGACTGGCTCGGTTTCACAGTCTCACAAGCTTTGTGCCACGTTTGATTCAGATGCCTCACTGATTGGTTTAATTCCTGGAGTGAATCATGCATCTGGGCAGCAGATAGATGCGGACGACATGTGCAAGGGTGTCGGTTGTATCACCACAACTTTGGAAACCGATGTTCGTGTGATTATTAGACATCTGCTGCAAACGGGGGAGCGAATAAATCAGGAGCCACTCTAACTAATCAAATTTAATCACACAAGCAGCCTACTGGATATAATTAATGGACACAACATACAGCATACATCCACTTCAATCTGCTGCGAATTGTAGCCATGAAATATTGTAAATTTATGCAACATGTTTCCTGTACATATGTAAAAGTCATGCTCCAGGAAAACTCGACGTCAGGATGAATAAGTGCAGATGTACCAGTACATTAACGCAGAAACGCTCGATCATGCGTTAAAAATCCCACCGAAAGGAAATGAAGTTGACGTTTTTATTATAGAGAAATAATTTAGTTCAGGAGAAGTTAACCCAAAGGACTGATGGACTTCCTAATGTGATAACACGGTATCTAAATGTTGTAACTGGTTAAGGGAGACAATTTATATACATATGCTGTGGGTGGTTTAGTCCACTTAGAGGTCAAAGAATCAACCAGAGGATTTATGGAGCAAGAAGAAGGGAGCATATGCTTCATAAATTTGCAAATTTCTCTTAAAATTCTCTTATAAATGCTTTTTTATGACCGATGAGATACTGATGGCACACCTCTGTTGACCTCAAACAGCTTCATCTGAGATATTAATGCTTAAAAAAACAGACTGATATTCATGTTGATGAATGAAAATGATGATAACAAGACCATCGGGAACAAGATTGAAGGTTTTTTTTAATGGTAAAGGGATATTCCGCAGTGAAATTAATTTAGGGTCAAACACGCCGAAACACTGAGTTACACATCCCCTCGAGAGATGAATGTTAATGACTGCTGATGAATGAAATGACTGCTTGCTTCTCTAGTTATACCAATTTTAATAATGACACAGCGGTCTGAGGAGCCATAAACACCATTTCTTTATCATTCCCTTGAAGTAGAGGTAGAGAAGTAGAAAGAGGTGCAAAGGTCACCCACTGGTGCTTTAAATTAACTTACCGTATTTTCCGGAGTATAAGTCGCACTAGCTAAAAACTGCATAATGAAGTAGAAAAAACATATACCACTGTAAGTCACATTTTTTGGGGAAAATTTACTTTACAAAATCCAAGTTCAAGAACAGTAACAAAAGAATAGAGAACAGGCTGAATAGGTGTACGGTATGCTAATGTCGCACTTTGATGGTTATTCAGGTACATGAAACATAAACAACAAAGTCATTAGGTGTTCGGTATGTTAATGTAACATTTTAACAGTTATTCAGATAACTATGGTATATAAAGAACATGACAAAACAAGTTTACCAAACTCTTTATCTTACTCCATATCACTAAATCCATTGAATTTTTCATCCTCAGTGTCACTTCTGAACAGCTAAAGTGCCCTCTAGTGGCTATCAGGGTGAAAATATATATATATACAAGTCGCACCTGAGTATAAGTCGCAAACCCAGCCAAACTATGAAAAAAGTGCGACTCATAGTCCGGAAAATACGGTACATTTCATCATCTATTTCTGATTATGTTCAATTTTATAATATATCCACATCACTGGCTGTGTAACTGAAACTACTTTAAAGAAGTAAAGTAGTGTTTGGCATGCTTTTATTTTAACAGTTTAGGGTGCTTTACATTGTTTGACTATGCTTTTATTTTGAAGTTTATGCTCCAAGAAAAAATAACAACGGGTTTCAAATTTTAATATTCGACCAGTTTCTTTACCTCAAACCAAACCCTACTCTCTGAATCCAAACAAAGGTACTTTTTTGAACTTTCTGAAGTTTAGTTTCAGACATACAAAACCATCTTGCTGTAGTTTTTGAATATTCCAGCTGCTCAGCGCTTAAACACTTCCTCCTACTCGCTGTGAAACCTCTTTATTAGACCTTCAGTGTGCACAAAATGCCCCAGCCATGACAGTGAATGATGACTTTATTTAAAATCATAATACTTTTAATAAATGAAGTACAGGGTGCACTGTGAACTCGGAGGACGTGATTTAATACTCCGCTCCCTTGTTAATTAGATTCCTTCAGGTGTTAACTGCAAATGCCAGGCCTCCCAAAACGCACCGGCGGTGATGTCTGAACGGAGACGGCGGACTGTGAAGAGGCCGCTTGCGACGTCAGGAGCGAAAATACCTCACAGAGCTCATGAAGCCCTGATCAGACGAAGATCTGGGGGTTAGTCCACCGAGCTGATTCACAGAAAATCCTCCTTATTGATGAACAGAACAATCCAGGTGACATTTAGCAGAAACAGTAGAAGTCATTTTCATAAAAAAAAAAAACAGTGATCTTTACATCGTGATTAATATTCGTGAAGGATCAGGGACGAGCGTCACTGTCTAATGATGTTATTTCTGATTTGACAGTTTCTTCATAGTGGGAGCAGGACTCATAAACAGGTGACAGACAATCTCCAGGGCTTAAATGGATCACCGAGCTTCTTAGGAAACAACCAACTAAAAACCACAAATAAAGACAATAAGACCGTGACATGATACAAATCTTAATATCCAGGATATTAGACGTCTCATTTGTCTCTTCGGGGTTACATTTGATAAAATATACTTAAAACTAGGGTCGCTCTACAAACAAGTAAATCACCTTTTGTTACAGTCTGATAGAGAGTGTTTAAGGACAGCCCATACAATAAGGTGGCCATACGTCCTCTTTTACTCAGACATGTCCTCTTGTTTGGGGGCTGTAAGGGCTGTACCGCCTTGTCCTGCTTTGTTCGGGGGAGGTTTTGAAATCCTTCAAATGTCTTGGGTTTTGGATAGAAGTTTCAAGTTTATGTCGCGTGAATTTAGTGGGTTAAAAGCGCGTAAAAGACACTCAATCCGACCTGAAAAGCACAAAATTAACTACTCCTGACTCTGTGACTCTGCCCCCACGTAGTCGTGTCTTCTTTTTGGGGATTTAGAAAATGTTCACCCTACATTACAATCAGCAATGTGCAGTTTCTGTGTGAATGTGTAGCGAACCTGCACTTTACAAGTTTTTTTTGCATTACAGAATCCTGCTGTTTACTTTAAGTGAAAGATTGTGGTGTAACAAGGGAACAAAGCAGATTGTTTCGCCACGCCGTTTATCCAGGGTGTTTTCTGCGCTGGAGTGGCAGCTTACTTTGCTAATACACCGTAACTTGTTAGAGTACTGTTCTTTGTATTCTACATGCGCCCACACAGGATGCACCAGATGACAAAAAGGTGTTACAATTTCATCTAATACTTTTAATTTCATAGTATTTACTGCCAAATATCCAAAAATTACCAGATATTAATTTTGGGTAAAATTGCCACAGATCAATCCAGCGTTTATTTACTATAATAAAGAACTTTGTAGCATAAATAAGAATTTAAGACACCTTCAGTAGAACCTACAAAAGAGGATAAGGGCCACATAAAGAGAAAAAAACTAATTTCAGGAAGGAGATTGAAGTTGAAATTTTGAGATTAAAGTTGAAATTCTGAGATTGCAAAATGTCAAATGTCGTGAATAATGTTGAAATTTCGAGATTGAACAATTAAAATTTCAAGATTAAACTCCAAATTTCGGCTTTAATCTCAAAATGGTAATTAAAAAATATCTCCCTCCTGTAATCATTTCTTTTCTCTTCTTGTGGCCTTAATCCTCTTTTGTAAGAACTAAACTCATTGGTCGAAGTCGTCTGCCACGTTTTGATATCCGGAGGTGGGATGGAGGTGGAGGGATTTGTGCCTTTCGTAAAGATTTCTACCTCTCAGTGGGGATCTTGTGGTTTTATTGTTCTCAACGTGGACGCCAGCCTCTTTGGGCTCAATTTACCCTCCTGGGTGCATATGAAATAATAAATAGATGCATTCTTTGAGGTGGAAAGCATCAGGTAACTCTGAATATTTGAGCAACAGCTCTGCGAGAGAGAGGGCTGCTATTTCTGCTAACCTTTTTTCTTTTCGTGTGCATAGTTTCCTCTTCTCTGTTTGTTCTCAGCACCATGACCCGTATTTAACTCTGCTCTCTAAATTTACCGTCTGCATCCTTTAGGTAAACTCTTTGCTTGCATGTTGGTCTCTCATTTGAGGTGATGAATAACCTAGGCTTTAAGTGTCTCGTTTTTTTGCATAATAGCGAGAGCAGAATTCAAAACGAGCAAGAGGTGCTTTGATTCAACCACCATGGGCTGATCTGAGATCCAGGTTGGTACAGTTTATTGAGGATTTTAATATTAATGTTAGATTAATATTATATTATATTAATGCCTGAGCTGGGGGACCTTAAGTGACTAAGGCAGCCAGATCTTCTGCATGAGTAACCCTGCAGTTGGACATAAGCGGTGAAACAGAGCAGAGCGACCAACATCGGCTCGTCGTCTCGCCCAGCTGGGAGACTGTCCAATAACATCTTCCTCATATATTCATGCTGGAGTTTTTTTTCCAACTCCGTGTTAAGAAAGTCCTTGAGCATCAACAATGACTAATTCCTTCTCATTTAGGATTTGAAGACAAATTTCTGTGATTAATTCCCGGTCACAAAACAGCTTTTTTCTTTTTTTCTTTCTTTCCTGTAGCTCCAGTTTCAACCCTCCTACAGATTCGGACCTTGGCGCTTTGAGTCTCAACCTTATGTGCTCAATTTATTCCGACTTTTCAGCGGTCATAAAAACAAGTCAGGCGCTGGTGTTGATTGCAGGGAGGAGCAGGACGTGTTAAGCACCTCAGGGCTGAAAGGAAATAATTGATTTTTGCCTACAAGGTTAGAAAGAGTGAACTTTGAAAACCTACACAAGCCCAGCAGTCGTCCAATTAACAGTTTGGATTTGGAGAAAGCTTTAAATAACCTCTGCATTTGTTTACCGTCACCTGAAAGTATGTGAGAATTCACAACATGTCAAACAAAATCCCTGTTTAGAAACGTCTGTCTCTTTGTCTGAGAGTTTAAAGCTCAGAGGAAGTGTGTGTTTACACACCCAGAAAAAGCATTTTCTTAAAAAACTGCACATATCTCCTTTGGCGTTAACATCAAATACAGATATTTTTAGCTTCCTCTTACCTCGAAAGCAAGTGTGACTTTTAGGGAAATTAAGGGAGTTGCTTCACAATGCCATCTCCTGAGACTTCTATTTATACTCTTTAGCAACTTATATTATTAGGCTTCAAAGACTTTAATCAGCATATTTATAATAATTTTGATTATTTTATTAGGCTGTGGAAAAGAGGGAGTTGTGGTTCTCGTGTGTTGCAGATAAAAGAAAGTATTAATAACCGTCTCATTGTTCGTCACTTTGCATGTTTTAAATATCTCCTGAGATATGTGAGCCAAATGCAGTGGTAAGCGAAGATCTTTTCGAGCGCAATTTACAGAATTAAAAGACTCTCTCTTCGGGTGAGAAGCCTCTGCTACCTTTTCTCTTTTTTTTTTTTTTTTCATTTTCGTTGATGGATCAGCTTCCAAAAAGCGATGATTCACGGCTGAAGGGAAATGCAGCCGGCTCAGTGCGCCCGTGCGAGTCCGCCCATCCATCTTTTCACCTCTTCATTGTTTGTACAGTAGAGCAGGTTGCATCAGACGGCAGCAGAAAGCAATCAGCCTCTGTCTATGAAATGTTGGTTTTATCTAAGCCCTGCCATTTACCAAAGTCCTGTAGAGCAAACAGAGGGGGAATACAGCAGGCGCTTTAAATGGCATAAGTGTTGTTGGATCAACGCATTTCAATACTGTAAAGTACCTCACCTTAATCCTCTTTAAACTGTATTTTTCATACACGCTTTCATCTGTACTGTAAACTGACAATGTCAATATGACCGATTTTGCTTTGACTTAAGGTTAGAGTGAAAAAAAGACTACAGTAAGAATTTCACCTTCCTCATACTCAACGGTTTTCCTCTTACTCTTCATAGGGCTATTTCCGGCGTATAACCGGGCAGCGACTACGCCAACCTTCCTGTACGCCGCCGGATCAAAGAGCTGTTGGAGAACATCACAAGGTGAGACGTTTACAAGCTCTTCAAAAAGACATGATGGAACAAAGAGGAGAGCCATCCGGGGTAAACTGCTTCAATGCTGGTTCACTAAACATCTCTGATACGACGCTGCGGTTCTTACAATGTATTTAGACGTGAGAGCAACGCTGATGGACTTTGAAAAGTTCAGGATCTGGTTCTGGACTGTCTGTGTTACATAGACGAGGTGTGGTGCTTTATCAGGTTAAGTTACTTTCGAGTGCTGCGACGGTGGTAATAGGATCAGTTTGTTCTTCCAAATCCTGTGTATCCTACAGAAACACCGTACACTCCATGTGCTCTGTACGAAAAATCTGTTTTTTTTTCTTACTTATACTTTAATGAAACCTTAATTTAAGATTTCAGAGACCAGTTCATCTGTTGGCTGGTTAATATCACCAACATCTTCTCTAAATAATTACACATCTCTCCTCTTCTGAAAGACTCACTGCACATCAATTTTTTAGTCTATTGTGATTATGAAGTTTCTTAGTCAAAATCATGTCACCTGTGTCGTTTTTAAGGGCTTTTCTTCTGCAGAGCTCCAGTCGCTCATTAGCAATTCACCTCTGACTCGTGGGCGGAGACAGAGCTGCTCTGCACACTCCTCCTTCTGATATCAGCACTATTCATTATTATTATTATTCATTTTTAGCAATTTCTCCTGATTCTGAATCTGATTATCGGCTATTGGCACAGTGGTGTAGTGGTTAGCACTGTCGTCTCACAGCAAGAAGGTCCTGGGTCGAATCCCGAAGTGGGGTTATGTTAACTGGCCACTTCCAAATCGCCCGTAGGTGTGAATGTGAGTGTGGATGGTTGTTCGTCTCTTTATGTCAGCCCTGCGATGAACTGGCGACTTGTCCAGGGTGTCCCCTGCCTTCACCTGAAGATGCTGGGATGGCTCCATCCTGGTAGAAAATGGATGGATGGATGGATGGATGGATGGATGGATGGATGGATGGATGGGCTATTGGCTGACCCACTCTCTCATAATCAGTCGACCTCTAGTTCAAGCCATGGACGATTTTTTCTTCTGTTTATAACAGCACTGAATACTGTCCTACTTCTTAAACACTAGTTGCACAAAATGACCAGGGTACCTCAGAAAATGTGTAATAATTTGAAATTTCTTCTTTTTTTTTTTTAGAGTCAACCACGTCTATTCAAAGTTAAATTTCAGAAGAAATCACCAATCGTATTTACTCTTAATCAGCATCTAAGATTCTGCAAATTTATTTCTATGGCACATTTTGGCAACAAGAAAATTCAAAGTACTTCACACTGACATTTTCTACAGAGGTCAGAAAAACACATTTGAAAGAAAATGTTTAAAAGTCATCAAAAGGAAATATTTAAACCCATAAAAACAGCAAAAACAAGGTTACATTTTTTACACAATGTTGGTTTGTTGGTATTGAACGTTTACTTCATGTGATCCATCAGTTTACGCCAAAGATTTACTTCTGTCAAGATACAACTAAATTTAAAGTGCTGAAAATCATTAAAGTAAAGAAAAAATGACATGAAACAGAAAAACTGAAGGTTGAGACATGACAGTTTCTGTAAACAGAAACATAAAAGCTCAGGCGCAAACTTGTGTACTGGAAATAAAAACGGGCGAGATAATAATTTTTAAAGCAATCTAGTAAAAAGCAGCTGCGAACAGGTGAGTCTTTAACCTGGAGACTCACTGAACCAACATGTTGATGGAAAGAGCGAACTGAAATCCATCAAAAGATCCATAAATGACATGCCTTACAGGACGTTTTTGATCTGAGGCAACACTGAAGCAACATCGCCTGCAAACTCAAGGAGAACAACGTTGTATCTTTGTTTATTTAATTCTAAAAAGTGCCGCACTTTATTGTTGTCAGGGGAGCACTAAATCAGGTGTAGACACGTTTAAATGAATAAAGCTGTCTGATGGTTGAAATCGGGAAAATAAAACGATAAAAATCAGTTTAGATCTCTAAATTTAAGTTTTGTAGCTTCAGGTTCTTCGAGTTTTAACTTGATCTCCTTTTTTATCATTTTAACAGCCGTTTTAAAAAGCATTATCGCAAATAAAAGCAGTAAAGTGTATTTTGAACCCATCTGGCATTGTTTCTAAGCTCTCTAACTCACAGTATATGGATCCAATTGGAGAAAATAAGCCGAAAGAAGAAGCAGGAGTGAAGTGTGCAATCATGGTTGGGAGCCGTTGCTTGGGGGACGTGGAGTCAGATTTATGTGAAATGATTTAGGAGATAAAACCGGGATGTGCTACTTTTTGGCGTGTACATATCCATTTATGTAATTAACTAGGAGTGCTCCCGTTAGCGACAACGGTTAATAAGCTCCAGTGGGAACGTGGGAAGGCAGGTGAACCCGTGGCCCTGGAGATGTTAAACACAGATGAATAGATGCCATAGCACACACACCACCTAGTAAATCAGATAAAATGAGCACTGGAACAGGAGGCAAATGGGCCTCGCGCTGAAAACTCAATATCACATAAATGGACAGGCCTCTCATAGATATTGGAAACGGGTAACCTTGCCACTGCCAGCTCACCTTTTCTATTGCTCACACGCCCACCGTGCATTTACAGGCTCTACCTTCTTCGGGTCCATTTAAGCCTTCAAAACCTTTACATGTGGGGGCTATAATGGGCGGTTGGCTAAATGAATGTATAATTTTAATAGCTGTAGTAACAAGATAGAGAAAACAATATATTATGCGATCCTCTGTGGCGGTCCTCGATGCGGCGTTGCTGTAGCCTTTGGGACAGAGAGGGAGGGAAGTGGAGGAAAATGCAAGGTCACGGGTTTGATATTCATCAGAGGGGAAGGCGATGACCTCCTGAACCTTCTGCATGTAGAAACAATAAAAGCTTTTATAGATAGATAGATAGATAGATAGATAGATAGATAGATAGATAGATAGATAGATTGATTGATTCTACAAAGCCCATTTTACCCAGATCTTGTCATTCAGATTCAAAGATGACCTATTTAGATCACATTTTTGTGTTGTACGTTCCTTCGAGACATACAACTGCTGACTCTACCTTTGAATAAATCTCAGATGGTTCCTCCTGCGTCAAATGTGGCTAATGCTTTCAGTTTTTGTTTTTTTTCTACTTCTGTACTTTCTTTTCTTTTTTTGCAAGAAGAGTGAAATCTTGATTTTGAGGCCAGGGGGAGAACAAAGTCTTTCAAAGTTTGTGACAGTTTCAGCGATCTGTTTTTAGCTTTTTAGGCGTGACTCAGCCTCACCTTCATTCTGTTTAAACTCGCTTCACTCATCATCTAAATGCCACAGTTGAATGAACCTCCTGGTGTGATTCATAAAAATAGTGACGTCTCGAGCCAAGTTGGTGGTAGAGCGTCACGGCGGAAGACACAAACTTTAACAGTTTTCTATTTTTGTAACGCTAACAGAGCTAACATTAGCCTACATGCAGAGAAACCCAGTATTCCTTTTAAAGCAACCATAAGGAGTTTTTGGATATTTTCAAAATAGACTAATATTTATATTAATGTGTTTTTGTAACGCATAAAAGCAATCAGTGACAAAGTCTGACAATTTTATTGTCTGACACCAGTGTGGAAGGGTAGGTGTCAGCAACAGACTTTTTAATACATTTTCCACAATAAAATGCACACACAACAATTGATGACTTTTATTTTGGAGGTCAGTGTAACATGTTTTTATACAAGAGACTCCTTGAGCTTCTATGCTACAAGATAAACAAGGACTGATTTGTCCACAGGGGGCGCCAAACTGGCACAAACCAAAAATTCACAAGAGTTTTAATGTTTCATCAATTTATGATTAAAGGGTTAATAAATCCTTTAAGCTCTTTGTACACAGTTGTAAAGAGAACTACCGTATGAAAGTTTCCTCTATGGTTATACTTTTAAGAATAAATTTTCCGCTTTTTTCAGATTCATCTTATGTGCTAAGAGTGCTATCTGAATGAGAAAACGTGGACAATTTTCTTGTTTTGGATGTTTAATCGACTCAATCAAAAAAAAGTCAGTACGTTTTTCAAATGAATAGGTTTATTTCAAATGTTGACTAAAACTGGAATAAATTGAGTATCCTATATTGTGTTCCCCTCCATGTAAAAGTCTCAGTTGAACTAAAACTGACCTTAGAGTTTGGAGTTGAGTAGCATTGATTTGTTGCTTAAAATGTAGGCAAAAAACAACACCTCAACACGTGAAGAAAAAACATCAAAAAGACAAAATGTTCTTATCACACTAAAAAACGGTAAGAAACTGTAAATGTAAAACGGTATAAAACTGTACTTGGACTAGCATACCTGGATAATGCTGTTGGGAAACAGTTTTCTCCTCCATTTAAACATCTCAATAAAACTGAAACTGACCTCAGCGTTTGGAGTTGAACAATATAGATTTGTTGCTAATAATTCAGGTAGTGAACTAAACAGATCAAGAAAAAAACTTTAAAAAGACAAAACTTTCCTATCGCACAAAAACAGTATCTAACTGTGACTGTTTTCATCGTTTTAATTAACCTCTCTGAAAGTGTTTTGCAGACTATTTGACACCTCACGAACGAGCTGTACGAGTAAAGTAGCATGGATTTGTTGCTTGCAATTCAGGTAGTAAACAAAACCTCAACAGGTGAGAAAAAACAACAAAAAAGACGAAACTTTTCTTTCGCACAAAAACTGTGTTAAACTGTAAAAGTGACTGTTTTCATTGTTTGCGTTAGCATCTTGCCAAAGTGTTTTGCAGACTGTTTGACACGTCACGAATGAGCTGAAATGTCGCCACCTACTGGAGCTTAAATTATCCAAGTCAATCCAATCCGCTTCATTTATATAGCACATTTTAAAACACATTTAAGTCTACCATAGTGCTGCACAATAAACATCAAGATGAAATAAATAAAAGCAGGTAAAAAAAAACAAAAAACATTTAGAACAAAATAAAATGAATGAAATAAAAACACAAACGCATAAAAGAAATATAAGCGATAAAAGGACCATAAAGGACATAAAAGGACAGAGATCACACAGCTCTCATGCTGAGCGAAAAGCCAAGGAATAAAAATGAGTTTTAAGACGTGATTTATCTTTGAAAATACAGAGCAGTACAGAGAGTAAATTTTAAACGTAGTTCTTTTTCTAAAGTTACTAAATATTAACTAAAAAAAGTCAAAAAAAGTTCTGCAAATTAATAAAAAATACTCTCTTCACCACGTTGATTTACTGAGAGACCTGCGAGCTTTTCAGAGCCTGTTTTATGATTTCATTGGCATATTCTGGCATAGCAACTCGGGCAGTAATCACAAGGTCATCTCTGTGTGAATCCTGAAAAACAAACTTTCAAATAAATAATCTGCCGTGTCTTCCCGGCCAATAACGGGGAGAGCTTTTACTATGATTGCCTTATCTGAAGCGGCGATCGTCTCACAAGACCAAAATAATGCGGATTCTGATCTTAAAATCGCAGTTCAGTCAGAAGATAATTTCCAGGCGCTTAAAATAAACACAGTGTTGATGATAATGCTGCACAGCGTAGGCTTGTATATTCTCTCCCAGCTGCAACACTGTGTCATATATCATTAGGAAGTTATTCTACACACAAAAGCACCGTTGAGAATAGGGAATAATTAAAGTGTTTGATGCCAGAAATATCCATTTGGATTCATAAAGCAAGAAAACAGAGAGCGGGAGCGTGAAGAGGAAACAAACCGTGACTGTGACGACCACTGTGGGTCGTGTTTTATAGAATAGTGCTGCTAATTTAAATGGGATTTCTTGTTTAATTTGTTTAAACGTAGCCGGCGAGTTTCCTTTCGAGAGTGTATTTATGCATTGATAGTGTTTAAGAACATGATAAAAATGAGACTCTGCTACAGCTACTGTAAATTATTACTTGTGTAGTCTGCCTGCGTAATGCGCCTCACACTTATCTCGCTGTTTTTATGACCTCTGTAATTACGAAATAATGGCGTGAACTTCTCCGGCGCAACTATCTCCTCTTACACCGTTGTAATAATAAAATAAAAACCCGGTAATAAAGCCATAACAATGCACTTATCAGAAAAGTGTCCTCCATTGAAGTCAGCTCTAATTGCATGGAGTTATGGTCTATTAGACGAGGTCTGGAATAGCTGCACTTGGCACTTTTATGAAGTGAGGGTTTGAGAGAGGAAGTGTGGGAATGCATGCTTTTCATGGTGTTTCTTATTTTATGAGCTTTTCAGTAACTTTGGGCCCGCACACCCCTTTAGCCTTGCCCGTCTTTTTTACTTTGTCCATTCCCTCCTTTATGATTTAAATAATGAAACTCTCATGTTTTGCCTCTTAGCAGTGCTCTTGTACATCACAGCTGCACAAGAAGAGTGCTTGGATCACCAGCCGCTGTCACAGAGGACTTGGCTGCACGACGGAGACGAGGTAGAGTGTTTTTTTTTTTTCTTCTTGAAGCAATGTCACCTTGATGAAATCACAAGAGTGGAGTTCAGGATTCCTCCGACGGTCACGGTACAGTGTTGTTTTTGAGCGCTTTGATGCGGCGTGTCATGTACGGTGTTACTTTAAAATAAGACTTCTGAATCAGACAGCAAAAAAAGAAATATACTCTCTGACTTCAGGTGCAGAGAGAGACACTGCGGGCGCTCTTCCTTTAAGCAGCAGTCAGATGAGACACCCTCCCCAATGACCATTAATGTAGAACAAGAAATATCTTCTAAGTTATGTGCTCTTATTTTGGGAACACAGCCCCTCATTAGCATACTTTCCCTCTGCACAAGTCCCTTTGGTGGTGTTTGGATGATTTGCACGCCGATACATATTCACAGATTCATCGCAGTTAGAGCACAGATTCAATAAAACAAGAGTCCGGCTGCTTTCTCCTCGGTCTCCAGCCCTCTCACTCATCCTCTGTCCTTCACTCGGCTCATCTCTGGCTCTGCAGCGGTAATTAACAGCAGCGTTACATCTGGGGAGATACTGCGAGCTATGTCAGAAAATTAGGCGGTGGAATAATGAGGGTTGAGGGACGTGCACTGTGCTGCTCGGGCTGCGGCGCTTGCACTGAAATCAAAGGACTTTCACAGCTAATTGGAGAGGGGTTAAACTGCTTGGCTGCCTCACCCCTGTCCCGAGCTCTCCGCCCAAAAAACCCACCCTGAGGAGATGAATGCCTCTCTCTTTTTACTGTAGTTTTGCGTTTCATTTCCATACCAAAGTGAGATTTTTTTCTGTGTCTTTACCCCGGTGAGATAACTTTGCCTGTACTCTATACGGGGCCAATTTAAACTACAAGCAATTACTCCTTGTTATAATTTTTTCTCCTCTCTGTCTGGGAACCGGAAAAGGCCACCCAGCCGGGTTGTTTTCTTCTGAATGGTCACCAATTACCTCAATGTCCTTGCGTTTGACCATAAGAAACACACAGTATAAATCAATGCGATGTTCCAGCGGTACGTCGACGCGCAGAAGTAGAATTAGCGCAGCGCGACGGCGAGGAGACACCCCACTCTTCTCTTCCTCTCTCCCTGGTTACAATGATGGCATCAGCAGCGTGACACTGTGTAATGAGCACAGCCACGGCCCGCTGCTCAGAGGAATACGCTAAATACACACCCTCCTCGCCATTGTGTTTGGGATTGTACAGAGCAGCTGCGGGCTCCCCCTAATCACTACTGTATTCATGTGTGTTTTTAAGACACAAATCAAGCAAATTGTGTCCTGAATAATAAAGAGAAATCAATAAAATCAACAATGGATTGACTCTGCAGGCCCTCGCGTTTGTTCTCAGAGCTGAGCACTGTGTTTGATTATCTTGACCAACACCTCATATATTACAATTACGTGAATGCTTTTGTCTACACTTATAATAATGATGTTTAATAAACCCACATGAAAGGAAATTGGCACTGCAGGATCATTGACCACAGTAATAGACTTCTAATTTCGCATAATGACATTATAGAAGTGCAATGATTATAAAATGATGAGTCATAAATAGTTTCTCTCTCTTTTTCTGCCATGGTGATGTAATCTCTACACAAAGTTTATAAAGAGTGGGACTGTCTTACATTTGAGGTTCAGGATTTTTACAGCAAACACCCTCTATGACTGAGACCACCCGTCGCTCACAACCACAACACCAAAGGGATAAAGAGCGGAGAGACACAATGATGGTCCTAAACAAAGCCACTGAGGAGACAGCCAAGGCAGTCAGGCTGAGTCTGAGATTTGGTGCCAGTTTCTGAGTCATTCTGTTAGTGAATTAAAATATTGTGAGCCCAGAAAGACTGTTTGACAACACCAACAGTCAGGAACCATCTTCTCGTGGTTCTCACAGTTAAAGGGATATTCCGGCGTAAAATTAATTTAGAGTCAAACACGCAGTAACACAGAATTAGACACCCCGTCGAGAGATGAATGTTGCCGACCGCTTGCTTCTCTAGTTATAACTAATTTAGTAACGACCACAGGATAGCATTACAGAGAGCCACGCGCTCAACCAAAACGCCACTCTATAGCCACAAATAATGCTCAGAACAGCACCTAACTTCATCAACAGTACATCTAGTGTCCTAGCCACTGTACTAGCCACCAAACATCTTTTTAACTTTGACTCATTTTTTTAGCAAAGAGGCTAAACACAACTCACCTACTCTCTTCCAGCAGCCGCTTGTTTGTAGCGAGACTGAGGGCCAGTCCATTACAGACTACAGCGGGGTGACGCAGCTCAAGGAAGAACATTTATGATCATTTTTTTGTCATTTCCTTGAAGTAATAATCACCATATTAATCATTTTGTACTGCAGACACGATAGTTCTTCTGTCTTAGCGTCTCGGTCTGATTGCATTTCCATGAAGAAATACAATCAAACCGAGAGTGTGACTGAGGTGTTCACAAAAACACCTCAGTCACAGCACAGTGATACCAATTAACTGAAGTTTTAACAAGACTATTTACCAGAAAGTATATCCTGCAATCGACCTTGACTCCGTACAGAACTGCATGGCCATGACTTCAAGCCAAAATCTTCCCTCTCTCCTATATAGATTTAAAGTTTTTTCTTGCAGAGATTCTTCTTTTGCATCAATTTATATTTGTCATACAAAGCTAAACTAAACTTTATACCACTGTGGTTTTTTTCGTGTGTGTGTTCACATATAAAACTTAAATACCCCAAACTGTCAACACGTCCATCCACAGTTTAACTCAGAAACTTAAACGGAGAGCGAAGCCACTAGCCTCCTCAGCCGCCGATGCCTTCCACCTCCAGATTGACTTTCGGGTCAGACGCAGACAAAAACTTTTATACAACAGAAAATAATATAGACTTTTGCTCCATAGGGACTGACCGATCCATTCATGGCTTCATGGATTGGTAGAAGCATTTTCAGACTGCTGATGTTCAAGAACTTTCCATGTCTTTCTATTTGACTTCTGTACTTTTACTATTAATAGTCTGTAAGTAGCCTAGAAACTTTTGCTCAGCTTACTTAAATATACTGGTTTTAAAATTTGAAGCCCTTAAACTTTAGCTTATTTGACTGAAATCAAATTCATAGACTCTGCCAAGCGTTAATCAGAGAACATCCAGTTATGTAACACGAGACAAAACTGCTGGTACGCAGTTAAGCAATGATCAATAGACTGTCTGTTCGACTGCCCTCCAGTCATCACTCTGGAATTTGGCGTTTTGTCTGTTTTCAGTCACATTATCATGGACAGGGCATAAAATCCAAGTGATTGAAACCGGTGTAAATGCCAAAACACTTTACAGATAAGTGGTACCATCTGTCGTAATAAATATTGACAAATACTAAACACCATGTATTAAACAATCAGCAATGATTCACAGGAGACAAAAAGGGTAAAATTGGGTCAATATGGTTACTATTATCTGTCATGAACCAGGGTTTAAACAAAAGGACCTGAAGGATTTAAGTAAAAAAGAACTTAATGAATAAACAACAAAACCTTTCTTTAAAATGTCTAAAAAAAAATCCAAAAAGGCAAAATACAAGAAAATGCATTGGAGAAAAAAACCACATGGAGACTTGGGATACAATAACGACTATGATAGACACTCACTGACAGACAAACACACATACAATGAACCAACAAGAACAGAGGGGAAGACAGATACTTGTAAACGAGCAACAGGTGAGGCTAACGAGACACAGGTGAAACTCGTTAGTGATTAACGAAGGAGGGAAAACTAGGGAAGTAAAACCAGACTAGAAACACAAGGAATCAACTACTACAAAATAAAACAGGAAATAAACACTGAAAACTGATCTAAAGAATAAAACAAAGAGAACAGGAGGGAAACAGGGTCAAACATAAACTGAAAACTCACAAGACTGGACTACAAGGGAGCAGGAACACTAGGGAGCAGAAAAACTAGGGAAAATACACAAAATGCATCAGGAGAAAACTAAATAAACAGAACATATTATGACAATTATCCTTTGTTTGTAATGAAAATATTTTAAAAAACAAGGATGATTGTCTCAAAACAGCTTGAATGCAGTTGATAATGTTTGACAAGGCACTGAAAAAATCTGATATAATTTATTAAACATCAAGTAGAATTCAACTAACAAAATTCTGGGGTAGGTCGAGCCCAAGCAGCAGCCTCCAAAATAAAATACTGCAGTTCTTAGAGTGTTAGAAGGGAGGTAGTTGGAGTTAGCATTTCCAATATGGTGACTATTGCCAAGGTTACAACTCTCTATTTAACTGCTATATAAACGATAAAAATGTCCTCTTGTAGTTTATCAGTTTCCAAAAACATTTAATGTATCAAACAAGATAAATAAATATATTTGTGAAATTTGAAGGACATTTTGATTTTTCTGGTTTTCAGTAGTAAGTAAAATAAACATTTCAACTCCAAAAAACCCTGAATTTTCTGGCCGTAATTTGTGATGTAGATTTATGAAACAGACTAATATCAATGTTGATTATCTTTTTATGAAATATGAAAGCAAACAGAAGTATTTGTGAGATGAAGGACCATATTTAGGCTTTAATTTTTGACGCCTTTTACTTGTGGTCGGGGGGTAAGTGTCAGCTAAGCAGCTAAAAGTATTTATAAAGATATAAAACAGACCAGGGAAAGACCACTTCGTCCACAGGGGGGCGCCAATTTTTACTCAAACCAAAAGTTCCTCACTGGAGCTTTAAAGCCTTTAGTAATGAGTGGGTATGAAGCATTTTGTAGCCTTTCAAATCCTGCAGTGTCTTTATTTTCTGCACAACAGCTGATTTTATGTTCCATTGAAAATATTTTTTTGTTTTAATGTCCAATTTTTCAGCAGGTTAACAGTCACTGAGCCCTGAAACATTTGTTGGCACACTTACTGTCCATCTTTTAAAGGGCACGCGTCTTCCTCTGCTGGTGCACGGCGAGTTTTTATTTTAGCACCCTGAGTCTGTTTTATAAACGGAGAAGCACCTTTGAAACGGATCTCTTCATGTTTGACTTCATTTAATAAGGTTTTGCGCTGTTTTCCTGCTCCTGCTGCTTCTATTGTTCGGCCTTTTTCTCCCCCCGCTATTATTATTTGTGTGGGCGAGAGCGTCTGCTGTCGCTGTCAGTCATTAACAGAAGCTACAATGGGGCCTGACAGATGAAAGAAGCAAATTAATTCAAGACTGATATTAGAATTTCAAGTGTTACCGTGTTGGCATGAGCGGGCCGCATTCTTGGAATATGCTGATTGCATTGGAAATGCGGCCAGAGCTGGAAGACGAACAAATCAACACAAATGAAGAAGAAAGTTGTTTTTTCAACCTTTTTACCAAACATAAATAGCTTCAGCGTGTTCGTCAAAGCTTTGAGAAGTGAAATATGTGCTATCAGGATGGATCATTTTTCAGATATTTCAAATGTTTCCTGGCAGTCAAGAGTTTTTTGACGGTTTTTCTTTAAAAGGATATACTTGAAAAAGGTTTTACACCTACTTATAAATACAAAACATGCTCTGCTTGTTTCTGTTTTACGTTAAAACTGCTCACCTTAAATAAATCCCTATAAGTTTGGCTCTGGAAAAAGAGGGAAAAACAAGCTTAAAAAAGTCCTCAAACATGTTAATTTATTAAGTCAGTTTCCTCAAACTGCCCTGAGACTCAATTATAACTGCCCACCTCCAGTTTCTCTTTTCCCCTTCCAGTATATGTTCCCAGTCCAGCGATGGCGTTGATATGGGAGGGAGGCCATAGCTTTGTTCAGTCCCACAGGGAGAGTGTGAGGTCTGCACAGGCTGAAGCCGCCTTCTCTTTCACAAGTTTTTTTTCCTCGTTGAAGGCGATGAGGCGGAAAGTGGAGGCTGTGGAGCTCAGTGTTTTTTTTATATAAAGCTGGATAGTTTTGCAAAGACTCCCATAAATGAGATTTAACTGGACTGTAATTCAATTTATACATCCAGACGATTCTTTCACATGTTCTAGGACAGAACACAAAGATGAAGTGAATAACTACAGTGTTTCTCAGAGATGAAACAGTAAAACTCGGAGCTGAGATCTCATCAGAATGTAAAGCCTTGTTCTGATTCCCGGCGAATGAGTTTGAAAATGATTGTTGAATTATCACAGAGGGCTTTTCTCTGCTAGATAACAAAAGTATAGAGTAGAGCTACTTTGAACCACTTTGGTTTCACTTTGACATGTTTTCCCGTCGAATTTTAATCGAGAGGCTTTATTTGTAATGAAATTGTGTCTTGTTCGCTGAATGTGTGTGGAAAAAAAAACAGCTTATTGGCACATTGGAATGCAGGAAATTAGAGTTTTCTATCTTTTTTTCTCACCTATCACTGAAGTTTTCAACTCAAAGTTTAATGTTTGGGCCACAGACAGACAGTGAAAAGATGGACGTCATAACAGCTCCTCTTAAAGTGAGGCCGAACAAAGGTCATAAGTGCGTTTCCATGTAAACAGATGGGACATAAATCAAACAGGTGCTTTATTGATAGTGCAAAATGAACACAGATGCTGTTGTATTTAGTAAGAAGAGATTGTGGTTGTGCAAAAAAAATATATTGTGCATTATAGGAGCTTCTTGTCCTCAAGGGCCACCGTAGCGTCACCAATGATAGGGGTGAACAAAACAGTGTTTTCATCGAAGGTCTACAAATCTTACCTTTAAACGCAGCAACTGGTTTAAGGTCAGTAAACACTGACAGCAGTTTTTGTGAATCATAGATCCATTAGACAAAAGACGAATGTTTTCTCAGAAGCACCCCTCATCAAAACATGATCATTTTCGGGTCCAAAAACCCCCAATGCAAAATCATTAAAGCTCCAGTGAGGAGTTTTTTCACATACATGAAATTCACTAAAACTCCTACTGATGCTTTTTCATGGTAGACATAAGCAAACAAGATCATCTGCAACAAGATTGAAGTTTTTATATCGTCATCTTTAATGCTTTAAACCGGTGTGAGGGGGGAGGTGTCAACCAGGCAGCTGGAGAAACAATCCTGTTTTTACAAAACTCCACTGAAAAACTCACAATAAATAAGAAAAGCATTTGACTGTAAAGAGTCAGTGGGGTTACTTTAAATCTACAAAGGTCGTCTCAACATGCTCAAGTTGTTTGTGATCCATCTTATCAAGTAGAAGCCAGGTTTCGGTTTCGGTTTTGGTTTAGCCAAGGTTAGGCCCCTCCTCAGCAGGAAGGATCTTGAAATGGCCATCCATGCTTTTATCAGTGCCAGGTTAGATTATCGTAATTCCCAACACCCCCCATCACAGTCACATCACTCCTGTTCTTCTCTCCCTACATTAGCTCCCAGTTAAATTCAGGATCATTTGTAAACTTTTAATATCCGTGGTCTTTAAAACACATCTTAAATCTCACCTACTTAAACAGGATTTTAATATCTAGTTTCATTTGCCATTTGATCGTTCATGTGTTCTCTTACCTTTTTACTGTTACGATAGCCTGACATTTGTCACTTGTCATGTATTTTCTTTTCCTGTATTTGTGTATTTGACTATAAGGCACTTTGTTCATCTTTCTGGATGTTGCAAGGTGCTGTATAAATAAACGGTATGATTATTTTTATTATCTTTATTATTTAGATCCATCTTCTCTCCAAGGAAACCAATTTATGTGTCGACGCTGTAGAGGCTGTTTTAGGTAACAAGAACCTGCTCGGGTAAGTTTTTCACCTTTACTGTGTCCTTAAAACGAGCCTTTTTAACAGATCTGTATGCACACAAGCTGAACACTTCCAATCTTTACATGAAGCTTGGCTAATCATCCCTGTGCTTTGGCTCATATCCAGAGTTCAAACACGAGATTCATATTGGTTTTCTTCCAACTCTGTAAAGAAAGTGAAGAGATATTTTTCCCCCTAAACGTCGAACTATTTTTTAAGCTTTATAGAGCATTACTGCCCACACATCAGCCCCTAACTCCATATAGTCCTTCATAAAAAATGATTATGGATGACAGGCAGCCCGAGCAGACAACCATCAGGTAAAAATTATCGCAGAAGCCATCTCGGTTTGTTTGTGTCTGCAAAATCGAAAGCTCTGCAATTTAGTTTATGGTGGGCATTAGATTATCTATTCTTTCATAAAGCCATTAAAAGAGAGTGAAAAATGTAAGACATATAAAAACACTGCGGCTTCTGCAGTGACTCAAATCTGCATTCAGTCTCAATAATGAAATTTGAAAGAAAGCCCTTGAGAGATTAGGGATTCCCCTTTGCCAACAGATGTTTGCGAAATGAAAGAGTTTGAAAGAGAAGAGGAGGAGGGGGTGGCGAAGCAGGGCAAGAAAGCAGCCAAAGTGTAATCTTGAGATGGAGGGAAAACGTTTGGATTCTCTCTCTCTCTCTTGCATTAGCACGGCGGGGGTATGAGGACAATGGATGAGGCTGATTTCTACATTGTAAATGTGCAATCCCCCCCCCCCCCGGCAGAGGAGTGCTGCATCAGGATCAAGACTTAAACAATGTCGCCTTGCCTTTATCTCGCCGCCACACTCTCCGGCGGACCTGCTGGAATTGACTCGCAGTCTGTTATTCCCAAAAGCCCGACTCACAAACAGCTCCCCTTTTCATTCAAGTGCAACTTCATTACAGCTTGAAATATGCTCGCATCCGAGTATACATCGCTATCATAATCCTCGGCTTGTGTGACACTTGCGTCATAACGTAGTTTACACAAGGCTGACATTTAATCTTAGCGGGATTTCTCTCCGTGGCGATAAAAAGTTAACAGTACGATAACCCCGTATAGCCAACCTTGACCTTCAGCTATGATAAAACATCAAACAACACGGGAATCTGAGAGAGGAATTGCTTCAAGACGGGGCGATACGATCTTCAAGCCGTCCTCTGTACAAATTCAACTAAAAGAGCACTTGTTAAAGACCTGCACTTTATTGGACCTGAGCTGTCACATCTGATAAAGCTCACTGTAACTGAGTGGGCGACCCGAGCGCAGTGGGGGGAGCGGGAGATTGGTCGGTGCCAAACTTGTGTGACACTGAAACGCACCTTTCACTCATCTCTCTCCAGACGATCATTTCAAGCTGGAAAAAGAAGGAAAAAAAAAAAGAGAGAGGCCTCAAAGGCGGCGGCGGCGGCGGCGGACCCTTCCTTTAAACAATATAGCCGTTAAAAAAAAAAAACCCACTCCAAATGACAGACCTTGCTGCAATCTGGGTGCAACATTTTGCCGCAACACCTTGGACTTTAATGATGGCAATGAAAGCACAAATGAGCAAGTGAAGACTTCCAGTGCAGAATCAGGAATGAACACATTAGCCTGTGCTGACAGATGAGTCTTAATTGTTACCTCTGGCGAATGGGACTTCACATAAGAGAACAAAAGCTCTCCTCCCAGCGCCCTGTTTGATGCAATGTGACGATGACCTTGCTGCAATGCACCCTCCGCAAGATCCTTAAGAGTTTATCTTGACAGACTCCCAAAGACTGTCTCTCAGGTGTCGCACTGATAGACCAATTCATTTAACTCTGTCACGATCCGGGGCTTTAGAGGCGGCTGCTTGATGAATCCCTATTGTTCCTCTGCCTGTCTGGCTGTTTGCACTCCTTGAGGCGAGCTACATTACTGTTTCAATAGCCTTTAGACTATTACCACATGAAAAAACAGCGCTGTTTTCAGCGAGCGCCGTCCTCTCTGTCCTGCGTGCAACTCCACAGAAGGAATAATAATACACACTCCTGAATAAATGAAGCATGGTGTGGGTTTAATCACCAGTGTTTATTAATTACATGGCCGTTAAATGTTAATTTGCGCCATCAGTAGATCAAACAAAAAACCTTTAAGTGTGTTTTTATCATTTTATCTTTTCAGCACATGGTATTAAATTTAACGCACTGCCGTTTAAAACCAATCTCCACTCACATGTCAGTCTTTTCACCCCTGGACATTGTAATAAAATGAGCTGTGAGGCCTATTTTCTGTATAATTGGAGAGAAATCATTCAATATTTTTTTGTCTGCCGTTCAAAGAATCCTCTTAGAAAGCGTCTAATTCAGTAAGAAAGGAGTCCTAACCAGGGCGAGATTTAGCGAGACTCTTAACAAGGAAGGTTGGAGGACAGAATCGATCCATCTCTATTTATACAGCGCCAGTTCACAAGTGATATCCAAAGACTCTATTTACAAAGACCCAGTGCAAAAATAGGATAATATCAAACCCAGTCCATCTTCAGCCTCATGAGTATCGCACTCTTCAGCATTAAGAGGTGAAGAGAAAAAAAACTTCCTTAAACAGGTAGAAACCTTGAGCAGAACCAGATTCATTCAGTCATTTGCATTAGGTTCAGATACAGGGAGATGTTATGTAGATCTTTTCCCAACTTCTGATGAGGTTGTTTTATGTCTTATATGGTCAAACTATGCTTTTATTTTGAAATATACCACCCATGATAGATTGTAAATCACATAAATGAAGAAAAGGTGAAATGAACGGTCAGAGAGTACCAATGTTCAACAGATTGGTAACCTGAGAAGGGACGACTTTTAGTGTTTCTTTTCTGGATGACAACAAATCTTTGAAAGTCGGTTTTTAAGAGTGTCTAATTATGTCTCAAAAAGTTGCTTTAGGTAACTCGCTAGCTGTTGGCTACTTTCTCTTGGCGACATGGGACCCAGTGTCAATGAACTCTTATGAATTCACGGTATTACCGTGTGGTTATTTTTTGGCATAATATTTGTGTTTTAATTTTAGAAAAAAGTTACCGTCAATATCGGCAACAGCTCGCTATGGCACATGATTTCAAAGACCGTGATTGGTTCATCGACATCATGATTCAAAAAGTTGTCAAAGAATTTCGTCACTAGAAGTCACTATTTGGACTTAAAAGCTCTGTCAGTACGAACATAGGAGGTTAGTCTAGCAAGAAATCACCACTATCCTTGTGCTTATTTAAACTAACCCCAAATTTCCACCGCATCTGGAACAGCTACGAAAAGGTTGTGTCTGCCGATCGTAGCTGATCGTAACCATTCAAGTTAATGTGTCAATTTCCCCCGGCTTCTTTCCGTTCCGCTGCGGATCGCCGAACGCCTCAGCTGATCGCAAGAGTTCTATTTTTTCCGGACGCTGGAGCATGCTGAAAAATTCAGCACAGAGTAACCCGTGCTGGAAAGGAAGTCGGGCACAGACACAAAATAAAACATCCAGCTTCTTTTCAAAATAAAACGCTCCATGTTTCAGGTGGATTGTATTTCACACCATGCAAACGGGCGGAGACGAACAAGTGAGAGTCCAATGACACCATGGACAAGAGGATGCAGATTTTATAGGTCTAGAAGTAGATTTCCTCCTCTGGAGGGACACAGTCTACTGCTTATATGGTTGGCCTATGTGGCTATAGTGACAACTTGTTATTGCACGGTTGCACATGAATCCGTGGTTTTTTTTGAGTTCTTGCGTTTCCTGCTGTCAGTAATCCACCATGAAATTCGCCATACAAACTGATCCGGTAGTAACTGGCGTATGTGAAAATCGCCGCCGTTCCAGATGTGGTGGAAATCCCGGGTAACTCACTGCTTGCTCTGGCATCCACACTGAGCTACAACTTTCAGATGATATTGTTTTTCTTCTCCGTCACTCTAAGAAGAAATGAATTAGCCCTTGTCTTGAGTTTTTTCAATTATTCCTTGAAAGAAGTCTTTTCTTATTTTCCTTTCCTCTATCTCTATAACCTTACTGTTGTACGGCTTGTGAGGGGAGCGCACATAAATAAGGAATAAAAGGTGAAAGAGACGAGAAATAACTGTAAATCTTGTCTTTGGGAGATGATTGTAGCAGAAAACATTTACAGATAAGAATGATTTAATACCTGTATTGAAAGGTCAGACAGGATTACAGATTTATTTGTATTCAGCTCCAACAGAATATTACAGTAGTGCCTCTGATATATGCCCTTTATTTAACTATGCAAAGAAACTGTTGGGTGAACAATCGTGTGGATTTCTTGTATTTACTGCTTTGTGTTTCTCTATTTTTTTTTTTACACAAAAGACTTATCTGGCTGTCCTTGAAAACAGCTGCATCTTTAAACAAAGGTTGTTCACTCTGCAACTTCGAGACGGGCCGAACAGAGTTTAGTGAGATAAACTGAAGACTTGCTAACTTCCAGTCACGAGGGGCGGCACAATTGGCACCGCATGTGTGTTTCTTTACTTAATAGATATAAATAGCTCTTAAAAGGAAGTGTTTGAGTGAGTTTCGTCTTCACACACGAGGCAAATTTGCATGTTAGAGGCACCATATGGCCGCCAAAGAGGCTTGAAAACTGTAAAATCTAATACTCACTGTCATGATGATGGCAGTGCACTTCAGACAGAATAGCGAGCAATAAAAAGACACCAGAGGGATGAAAGAATAAAAGATCTAAAGAGCGGTCCAGTCTCCTCTGGTTGAGCCACCCCTTCTCTACATTTCTCTGATTTTATGTTTCATTTCAATCATTAATTTCAATCTGAGCCCACAGAATAGACGAAACGCGTGAGTGCAAAGTCAACTTTCCTCATTTTGTCACCGCCCTGCCTTGCAATACATCAACAAATCACCACAAGTGGTTGCGTCCGACTGTGCGCACTCATTTCTAACAGCTGGACGAGCTCATTGCCAGGCGGGGAGTGTGTGAGTGGTGTGAGTGGTCTTGCCTGGTTCAGGAGCAGGCATGCGGGTGTTAGATGAGCCATTGATCGTTCCCAGCAGGCTCTTCCACCAGGCGATTCCTCCGCTCGCACATCCCCTCCTCTTTGCCATTGACTTTCTGCCATGACGTTCCGCTGTCACGGCAGGACCTGACATTTAATGATGCTCTGATGGAGTAACGTCACATTTATCACTCGCTGGCAGATGTGACGGGGCAGAATCTGAGGGGCGAGCGTGGGCCAGAGCTAAAAAAACAAACAATATAAGGCAGGAAGAGGGGCTGCAGTTTGACTGACAGGAGAAGTAATTCAAGGTAAAGTCTCCAAAATGACTGTGCAGATATGATGTCTCCTGAAGCCACCTGAATAGCGGGGATTTTGACAGGAGAGGCAGGTATTGTATTTTGAAGGTAATATAAAAAACTCCGTCAGTTTAAACTAAGTCTACAGAGAATAATGACTCTCTCTCTTTTGTGATTTTTCTTTTTTTTAATTGTTCGACAGATTCAGCATCAATAGACTAATCACAAAAACATCTGAGTTTGCATAAGCCAGGGGCGTGTCCAAAGGGATGGTCCGAGGTGGCACGCCCCCTCAAAAGGTGTGGCCACCACAGATGCAACCTCAAATCTTCATCAGTTGTTTTCTTTGTCATTTTTAATCATAGATTGCACGGTGCTGCCTCTGTTATGGTTTTCTCACAGTTTCTGTTATTACAGTTTGTTCCCATCATGCTTTTTCATGCCAAATGACTCATTTTTCCCAAAATTTTTGCTTTAGTTAGCCACTAAATTTAAAAAATAAGGGGATTTGACATCTTTATTGTCAGCTTCATTAACAAACCCAAGCCCCTGCAGTGTTTTGTACCAGTTTAGCAGAATAAAGGAGGGACAGTAGGAAAATGAAACAAACACTAAAACAAAAGTCAAGTTTCTGCAGCTTTTCCCGTCTGCTATCAATCAAGTAGATTGACCCGATTGATCTTTGACATTTAAATAATGTTGGGTTCATGTTTTTTTCTTTATTTAGCATCCTAAGAGTGACAACAGTTGTGAAAAGCATACCACAGGGTGACCATACGTCCCTTTTTACCCTGACATGTCCTCTTTTTTGGGGGCTGTTCGGACTGTCTGGGTTGCGAATTTTTTTTTGTAGAATGGTAGGGGAAGATCCCGCCCTCCTTCGCCCCTGATTGGCTAGAAGTGCTGTTCTCCAATTGGTTATTCCGGGAAGTTAATAAAATCCTTCAAATGTCCGTGATTTTGTACTTAAGTTTCGAGTTTGTGTCACGCCGACTTACTGAGTTAGGGGTGCGTAAAAGACACTTGATCCGACTCGTTTGACTCTGTGACTCCGCCCCACGTCCTCTTTATGGGAAGTCAGAATATGGTCGCCCTAGCTTACCATCCAGGTGCATGTCATGGCTGAACTAGTCCAACATGCTAACGTTTATGAGGCAGAGTTTTAGTGTTTCATCTTACAGTGAGTGAAAATGAAGTGATATTGTCCAGTCTATATAGCCAATGATTGAAAAATGCTACGAGTAGTTTTCTTTGTGTTTAAATGTGGTACAGTTTGTGTTTTTGGTGTTTTAAACTGTGGAAAAATAAATCAGCCTGTTTAACTTCAAGCAAATTTCTGTCCAACTACTAAAAAGAGGAATAAAGAGGTGCAACTATATAAACAAAGAAGATATGATAAGGAGAGATGGAAAAGTTGTATAAATACTATTCATTTGTGCGTTTGACTGTGTTGCCAACCTAGTGACTTTGTCCCTAGATTTAGTGACTTTTCAGACCAACCTAGCGTCTTATTTTCAAAAAAGCACCTAACGACAAATCTAGCGACTTTTTCTAGAGTTTAGAGACTCCAACATGAACGCAGGTATCGATGTTACCCTTCTCAACGGGTAAACTATGCAAAGTAGGCGTTCACGTCATCTAGTGACCTCTAGCGACTTTTACGACAGCCAGTAACGATTTTCCTTACTAAGGAGTTGGCAACACTGTTACCTGTTACTAGACTTCACATATCCTTTAGCTTGTACAGCTAAATCTAAATATATATCGAGTTGAATTTCTCCTTATCTTATCTTGAATTCCTGTAATTTTTGGCTTTTTACTTCGTACTGTACTTTCCTGAACACTTGTTTTCCAAGTTTTCTAGAATTGCATTTTTCCAAACTGTAAAAATTCAAGGATCCTCTCACACGACTGTGAAGAAAGGTTGCCCGTGACAGCAGCATTTACATAAAATGATAGCTCGACTTTGGCGGCATCAGCGACTGAGGGAGGTCAGTCTTAGGTGATGGTCAATTGCATTTATAGGTCAAGTGCTTTGAAATGCAAAGACCTCTTGGTATTTCAGAACCAAGTATGAAAACACTTCATGTCTGGCCTCTCACCTGGATGGCTTATGTGTGGGAAACTAAAGGAGACGGTGTTCAATAATAGATTTGACCAGCTCTTTTTAGGAAGATTTCTGAGCGTCTGTTCAAGAAGGATGAGCAAATATTCAGAGATTTCGTGATTCGGTGAAAGACAGGAGTATCCAAGAGAGACTTACTGATTGTGTTCTCAAGATGAGCGTTAGGGAATGTCCAAAATTTTGCCCAAGTCCTTGGCCCGCCGTATTCTGAATATCATAATGAAAGCCTTGTATTTTTAAGTGATTCACATACTATTTGGTGAGTGCAAACACATCCCGAGTGCGTGTTTGCCTGGAGCGAATGGTCGTACTTGTTTCTGAAGGGGAAAAATCTGCACAGTAAGGTAAAATAGTGACTCCAGGTTGAATAATTATGCGTTCTTCCGTGTGGAATATTGTCCAAGGGAGGAAAAAAATAAGCTGTCGAACAAATTTGGACCAGAAAAAAAAAAAAAAGAAAAAAGTCGGAGAAGAATTAAAAGAAAAACAAAGTGGAAGGACACTGAAAGAGATGTGTTAATTTCCAAAAGGCTCGAGGAAGAGTTAATTAAGCCAGCTGCAGGAGTGGGAGAAAGTGCTGAGTCCTGGAGACACAAAATATTTATTCATCAGCCCATTAAAGTTTAATTCCCTCTTTTTTTTCCCTATTTTTAAAATGGAGGGAGAATGGAGAAAGCTTTGAACATTTGACCTTATATGTAAAAGTGTAGGGTGAGTCTGAGGAGCCTTAGGGATTGTTTTAATCATTAAGAACCAGCAGCAAGAGCAAAAAAAGAACTTGTTCACTGCTCTATTGGAGCGCGCGAACATATTATCTAAATCATTTTATTGCAGCATTTGAGTATTCTCTTCTGTATTTCTGTAAAGTTATCTCACTTAGATATTAGAAACACGACCACTTTGTTAAACGATCACCATGAGTGTTTACATGCAGACCAATAAACCCATCCTTCTCCGATTTCTGGAGTTACCCTAAATAATTCTGTAAACAGCATTATAGGGCCAATTTCCCCATCTATGCCAGTAATATGGTCTTGAAGTTTTAACACGCTAGCACCTGTGACGTGGGCTGCCTTGTACTCACTGTTTTGTAGTTGTTGGATGATGCTTCTTGATGGTGAATGCAAGCGGTGGGATTTGTTGTGATTGTCAAACAAAACAGGCTCCAGACAACTTCAACAAAAAGGATTCAAAACAAACACGCGCCGAATAAGGGTTCAAATAAAGCTCAAAATAATTCTGTACAGTCTTTCTTTCGTTCGTTCAAAAATACGCGCTGTGTATGTGTAGGTGCGGTGCGTCGCAATTGAGAATCTGTTTCTGTACTACTGGCGTCGAGCCACGCACAGCTGATGCTTGATTAATAGAAAATCATGGTGCCATTTCTCAGGCGGCCAAAGGGGGTGACATTTCACCAAAATGGCTCCAACAAGAATAATTAAATATTCTTTGTTGGACTTTGTTGGATGATCGTGCCAAGTAGGAGCGGAAAACAAAGTAGGAAGAAACTGCAAACATGACGAGAAGAAACAACGACAAAGTGTCTAAAAGCTCAACAAAATGACAAATATGAATTTTCCAAAGTCTCCAGAGCTTGATATGTCCTGTTTTTTTTTTATTCAACTTTTCACATGATGATTGATTTGAATAACAATCCAAATATTCACTTCTGTTAGATTTAGCTTTTTTAGCATCACTGTGCTACTATTTTACTTGGCCAGAATTGAGCGGATTATACGCTCAAATTTCGCGAATTCAAGACACGTTCAGCCCGCTACTTACTTCATACACTTAATTTGCTTATTCCCGAGAGTAATTTGCGCCATAATATCCAATCAGCATTGAGATTCCCTGATGGCAAATGTCAATGAAGGACAGATCGAGGTTCATTCATCTGGAAAATGAATGACAAACTGATGGTGACAGTACACCGTGAACCCTTAACGAAAGGATGCGACTCGCTTTAAGTGTAGAAACGGAAATAAAAAGGAGTTAGCTTGAAGGAAGAAAGATTATTGGGTAAATTGTGCAAATACAACAAATCTCCGCCATGTTTGATGTAAACTGGAATTGACATATTTGGGAACTCTCAGGGAGCGTGGGCAGAGGTAGTCAATCGCACAAATCAAGCAAGTTCACGCAAGACATTCAGATGTTTAAAAAGGTGCAAATTAAGAAACGTATCAATATTATGTGGGACTGGTGTGAACACAACTTAAGAGCCGGCCCCTGTCCTAGAAAGAACTACAAGGGGGCTGAATTAGCCTCAATCTCCCAAAGTTCACCTGAGAGAATCCAAACCTTGTAGGGGGAATGAATATTATGAAACTTGAGCAGGATTGTCCAATCATTGTAGACCTGAACGAGCCTGAACCGTCGATCTTTGTGAGTCAAATCCCGAATTTCGATCGCATCAGGAATGGCTCCGGTCCGGGGGCGATTTTTACCATCTGCCAATTCCCGCCGGATCCGTTTGTGAGGCGAATTTCATGACGGATTACGGACAGTGGAATCGCGAGAACTCACAAGAACCCGCGAATTCAAGTGCAATTGCGTGATATTGAGTTGACTCTGTAAAGACAACCACATAACCATAAAAGCAGTAGATTGTGTCGTTCCTGAGAAGGAAATCCACTATTAGACTTCTAAAATCAGCATCTCCTCATACATGGTGTCATCAGGGTAAAATGCTGTCTATAAACCTTTCACGTGTTCATCCCCGCCTGTTTGCATGGTGTGAAACACGATCCGCCTGAAACACAGATGTTTTATTTTGAAAAGAAGCCGGATGTTTTATTTTGTATCTGTGTTCGACTTCCTTTCCAGCATGGATTAATCTGTGCTGAATTCATCTGGCATGTTCTGCTGTCAGGAAAAAATAGAACTCTTGCGATCAGCTGCAGAGTCCGGCGATCCACCGCGGAACGGAAAGAAGCCGGTGGAAATCGACACATTAACTTAAACGGTTACGATCAGCTACGATCGGCGGATACAGCCTTGTCGTTGCGGTTCTGGATGCAGTGGAAACTAAAATCTCATCTGAATTTTAAATGGCGAGCACCACCAAATTGAAAAAAAACGAACTACAAAATCACGTAAACTGTTTTTATTTCTGATGCAAACCTGTGAAATTAGACTATTCTCATTACCGGATCATACTCACAATTGGATTAATGTTGCCACGTAAACTCGCTTAATTAAGGATTAAGATTCGTAGATGACACAATACTAACAAATTAAAGCCCCAAGCAAGACTTTTGTACGAATTCTGCCACAAATATCGGTTGTGTCATTTGCGACTCTTCACTGTACCGCCGGATGTGTCTAATGAAAAAGAGGGACTGAAAACAGTCCTGAGCTTGAATTGTCTGCTGCCTAATTATATGGCAACAAACGAGTTGCCAATCATGAGAATATATTGTCTGGTTTTATCTCAGGAACTCATCAAGTCAACCCAATTAAAAGCTGCAATGAGAAAGACATCGGCAGTGAACAGGGCTTTCATTCAGTTAATTCATGATTGCCAATTAAAATAGAATAGCGTGCAAAGTTGTAAAGCTGTCAGGAGGGCCAAGCTAAATTACCCTTTTCCACTTTGAATGATGGATGCGTTCATTGCTCTCCCTTATCTTATTTATTCTCTGGGCAGGAGAGGAGGGGGACAAAGGCTGGAACAGTTTAAAGAGTGCGACTAATGAAGATGGGTCCTCCTTTTTGGAAAACCGAAATCTGCGAGTGGAAGATTGTTTTTTTCCGTTTTCAAGGAATAAAGGTAATTAATTCATGTACAGTATCCGGGATCCATGCTGGAGACCCAATTTTCTCTCACAATGACCCATAAAAGAAACCCAAAGACTGGAGATTACATTGAAGCCAGTATTGATATTAATATTCTTCTGCTATGGGTGTTTTAATTTGGGAATTTTACCAATAGAGGAAGTATTAGCTCGACAGAAGAGCACACATTAATTTTTTAGTCTGTATAAATTGTCTTTCTGTGTCAACACTGTGCTTTAGATGCCATTTAAATGTGTCCACAACACTTAAAGTGAAAGCAACTCATCCTGTGTGGTGTCTTCTGCACCATTAGCCACTGTTGCCACACTATTGATGGCCTAATTAAAATGTGTCAGGCTGAAATGTGTCACATTTTTTAGAGGCTGAAATTGATAGCTCACATTAATTTTCACTTTCTCAAAATGACCTTTAATTTCGCTCGCCAAATGCAGGCTTGTGTCTACACCGGCACACCCTCCCGTTCCCGCTCCTGAAACAATATGTCAAACGGCTTTGACAACACGGAGAAGAGGCCCCGCCGTTCCTCAGAACAAAGTGTCGGAAAGCTCAAATTGAAAGCGCTCTCTCTCGGATTCAGAATATCCTCGAGAAGCTGATACGCCCGCACCTTCCTCTGGAGTAATGGCTTCCTACAGTTTTTCTGATAATAAGTCATCACTGATAGAGATAACCCTCCCTTTTGCAATTTGCTCACTGTTGCTCTTTTCCTTGTAGCCCAGCTTTTATATTCCTCCCATGGGACTCCTCTTGTGAAAGCAAAACAACCCCCCAGGTCCTGAAATGTCGCTGCGGCGAGGTTTTCCTTGACGCAGCCGGGGAGAAAGTGATAGTTTCCATTTGGTCTGTAGTATCCAAGAGTTTGTTTTCATCCTCAGGAGACGTGCTCCGCGGGTCAGGCTCTTTGCGACAGATTAAAAGAGAGTGTCACTAATGTCACCCGGCTGGGGAATCGATGGCTCGGCGTGTGAAATGAAAGCTCTGACGGACGCGGACGACCACATCAGCTCCTGTCACCGTGTGTCGGCGCAGAGTATTCTCTTCATCCTGGCAGCTGCCGGGACCTGAGGGGGGTCCTGTCAGACGGAGCAAACGTGGCCCCGGCACATTCCTGAACCATGGAAAGCCCACCGGGACCTTTTTTTCAGGAAAAGGCTTCGAGACAGACCATCAGCTCAATCAACTCGAGCCGCTGTGGACTGACTTTAGCTGCTGCACTAAAGGAGAACTTTTCCAACACGGCCTTGTCGTGACAAAGACGCGGTGTAAAAGTGTGAAAGAGAGGAACATACAGCAGAATTGGATGTTTTAAAGACTTCTCTTTCCTGCCATCATGATAGAAAATCATCGTAGTTTCATAATCGTCATTTAATAAACTGGTTGTTCCATATTTTTTCTACAGAGGCTTTAATCGCTGCTTGTTACGCTCATTTCGAACTTTTCATTTCCTCTCTTTTATTCTATGAGCACAGGATTTGATAAATTTAGATCCTGTTCATTTGTGCTTCTTTTTAAAATGAATAAATGGATATTTTACTGTCTCGGCTGTTCAAGTGTAGCCTCCTTTACGCCTCCTCTTCTATCCATTCAAACTTAATGTTCTTGTACTGCAAAAACACGCCGTCCTTTGGTATTACTTCAGATTTAAACCTTCAAATTTCTCATATTTTTAACAAAATTCATCCTTGGTGTTCTAGTTTCTAATTCAAATTTGCTCGCTGGAATTTCACCTTAACTGCGAGCTAACGCCATGCAATCATAACCACCTTATTTGATTGAAAATACTTCTCTGGCTGATTTTTGTAAACGTCTAGTTGAAGTTCAGCCCGAGGGTTCTTGTATTAGAGTGGACAGCTGGTTCTTCTTAGCAAGTGCTGTTATTGAATCAAGAACAGCTGCTCAGCCTTCACATAAGCAAGACAGATGTGAGAGTTATGCTGTAAAAAAAGTATCAAACAGCATGTTTCATTTTTTACTTTACAAGAAAGTTAAGCCTCCAGGATGAGGACTTACCCACATGTTGGACACCATGCTGTCTTCGTGCCCGTGTCTTCCATTGGGTCTGGGTCCATTGACGTTGGTGACCATGTTGAAAATGCTAAACTAATCTTACTTTTGGTAGATCATGAGGCAAAGAGGCGCTTGCATACACTTATGGGTACACCAGGGTTGCCTGGCCTCTGATTGGTCAAAGATACAGCCTCTGACTGGTCCACACATTGTAATAAAGATGGCAGCCTTCTTTCTACAGCGGGGTGAATAAAATATTGGATGTTACAGAAACATGAGGAGTTAAATGCAGAAAAGCTGCCGGTCTCACAAAGTGAGTGGATTTTATTAGTGATGGTGAGATGAAACCTCTTGAAGCTTTGAAGCTTTTCGTCCAAATGCTCGACTCCTGGGCCGAAGCTTCATTATTGTGCTTCATTTGCTCTACTGTGCCATCAAGTGGACAATAAATGTAGGCTTTGGCGTGCGAAGCTTTGAATTGAATGAATGAATGGATGGATGGATGTGATGCAGTGTGTTTGTGATACAAGACAGAAATTATGAAGTTATGAATATAGTGTCTGCCTTTACAACACAGTAGCATGGTCAAAAAGGTGAAGAGGACATGAATTAAGAAGAGGGTTGTGATGTGAATGTGCTGTGTTACTTATAACACATAAACATTTCATTTACTTTTAATTTTGAAAGTATTAAACTATTTAGAAAACAATTTTTCAACAAGTCTCAAGTCTATGGATTGTAGGGGAATTCCATTGCATTTCGCTGCCCATTATATTTTGAATCATCCGCCGTCGTGTTGTAGGGCTGGCTCATGAGGCTTCGAACGTCATCACATACGTCACCAACACAGGCCTCAATACACTCATCAACGAAAATTTCCGGGATTACTCGGCACTAAAGGACACATCACTCCCACCAAACATGAAACATGTTGAAGAGACATGCAGATCAAGTCAGTATTGGGTCAGTCCGTCAAAGACCACATCTAGACGACAGCAAATTAGAAATTTCGATGACTAAATTGGACCTTTTTTAGACGTCACTGTCACGTTTAGAATTTGGACGTCATCTGAAGACCAAATCTAAACGAACAATTTGAGGTCATTATTGGACCTCTTTTAGACATTGAAATGACGTCCACATTTGTACCTCATTGTCAAAAAAATACGTTAAATAGATGTCATTTCGATGTCGTATTGATTTGTCGAAAGCTATATTGTACCATTCATGTGTCATTCATTCATACGATTTTTTAAATGAATTCGATATTAAAAAAAAACAGGTCTGTGTCTTCGAATGCTTCACTGACATCTACCCCCCAACACTAGTTTTAAAATATCAAAAATTTTGTTTAAAAAGAATCTACCCCATCAAAGATAGTCTTGTTTGCTTTTGTTTATCATGAAAAGGCATCAGTTTAATAAACATCAAAAACCCCTCATAGGAGCTTTAAGTTGACCCCCCACTGTTTCACCTCTAATCTTCTCTTGACTCTAACTTCTGTGAAACTCAGAGCTCCTAAAAAGACCAAATCCTCTGTGTTTGAGCCTTTAAGTGAATATCCCTTCAAAATCTACAAATAGCAAACACTAAAAAGCACTTTTAGAAGAGGCCACCCCCTCCAGTTTCAGCTCTCAGGATCTTCTTTGACAAGACTTTGTGTCTTCCTGAGGTGTTTAGCATAAAAGTCACCTAAAGCCAGAGGCCACGAGGGAAATTAACAATTTGCAAATGACAGTTTTGGCAGTTTCAGCCCTGATCTTCACAGGTATTTTTTTAATTATGCCCGGGCTACACAAATTCAATACTATTATTATGCAGCGCGGTGAAGCTGCATTATCCTAACAAATTGAGGTATTATGCTGCTGACAGCAAATATTTGTCCTTGTTTTTCCCATTTTGAGCACAATCTGCTTCGGTTGTAAAGTCTATTTTTACTCCATGCTTACAACAATGCCTTACTTTATATTCACTTTCTGTGTCCAAGAAGGAAAAAGGAAGAGATTGGTCATATATTTTGTTCTGTTCGCCCTCCACCCACAGGCTCAGCGGGCAACTTTGGCTCACACAATCTTATTCACGTGAAAATGAGAGAAGAATTTAATGAGTAGAAAAGAAACTCCAGGAACGAAACCCGATAAACAGAAGAAGACCTGAGTTTTCTGCTGTGTCCAGTCAGCCCAGAACCTCATGCATGCCTGTGTTTTCCCATTTGACGCTTATTGGTTGATTGAGCCCATTAGGTTATGACTCCTCATTTCCTTTTTTATGACCGGGGACTCACTCGTGTCACCAGCGGGACGGTTTGGGCCCTAGCGGGAGCTCCAGATCCTGCTTGACGGGACCACATTTGATTTTAAGGATCAGGACGCTTGGCTTGATGCAAACAACGCAGTCGTTGGCCGCGCTGTTTGTCTTCACCTGTGTCCTTGTGAGGAGAATAGAAAGGAGCTTCTTGTTTCCTTGTTGCGCGGTGGTCAGCAAACACAGAGGGTTGTCGAAGCTTACAGAATGCAGATGCTTGTGGCGTGGGGGAAAAAGGGGATGTAGAGGAAGAGGAAGATGAAGGGATGGTGGGATAACAAGCTTTTTTTTGCCAACCAGGCAACCATGAGTGCTATTGCCCTGCTGGAGTGAATGCAACAGGCCGGGTTTTTCAGCCTGACTACTGGAGCATACGAACACACATCTCCCCCCGCCATGGGAGAGGAGGCTGTCATGAAAAAGCCAATGCCTTTTCCTCTTTTTTGTCTTCTCGCCGTCCCTTCCTGCTCCTCATCTGTGTCTCTGTCTCATCCTGTCCTCATTTCTGTGTTGTTTGTGCTTTGCCTCTTTCTTTCTTTCTCTCTCTCTCATTGTGGGATGTATAACACAAGGTGACATTATTTTCCCCCTCTTTACAAATAGAAAGAAAAGAATCTGGGTGATGTGCAGTCAAGGTTTGCTGTCAAAAGCTTGCAACATTTGCCACCTTTCAGAGAAAACCTAATTGAAAACCACGGCTGTGCGGGTACTACACAAAAACCAGGAATGTGCAAACCACAAATGAATACAGATGCACGAGTCCAAGCGGTTCCCTTAAATTATTCATTTGTCTTAATGTGAAGGAACATTTCTTTTTGCAAGACCAGAGTAGAAATAAATCAGGAGAAAAGTGATGATTTTTCCCCCCACACACACAAAACATATTTGGTATATCAAACCATCACCTCCTGCTGAGATGGAAGAGGAAAGTTTGAGCAAGATGTAGTTTCCTCACAGAGGGTAGTGGCTTTAGTCACCTTGAGTTTAGTGCAGTGACAATGAACAAAAAAAAAAAAAATACAGGGTTTTAAAAAATCATTGAAACTACTCCAACTACTCCTCCAGCGAAATCCATTTCTCGGCACTTCAGGAGCCATTGTAATGTCTACAATCCTGCAACGCTAAAAACAGTCGATGGGGACCCTCTCAAGCCGACATAGAAACACGTTCCTGTTTTTTTTTTTTTTTTTTTTTCATTGTAACTGTATTTTATTGCAACATGCTGTACTTTGCTTATATCAAATGGAAAAAAGTTTTAAAATTTCACTTCCAATTTTCACTCGACTCACATTGAGCCTGATTTTTTCTTAAAGTTTTTTAAATTACATTTTGGAGACTCAGACTCATGTCCAGCCAGAGTCATGGTTTAATCCTGGAGTTGAATTTGGCTTTTTAGTCAAAACTGATAACTTATAAAATGATTCCCCCCTTACATAATGTGCACACATAGACTATATAGAATGGACGCCATCTGTCTCCTCGCTGGGTGACGCCACCGCGACAACAGCACCCTCTGGTGACGGGCTGAGATGTTGACATGTAGTTATTGTAAGACTGGTTTGTGCTCAAGACCTTTTTTCTGTACAGCTCCATTTTTAAAGTTATTAGGGGGTTCATGTTTCTATGATTGACACTTGATACAGCCTATGGGCGTACGAAGATTGCATAGCTCACCTGGGGATTCGCTGTTCGAGCTGAGCATCAGTATAGTACGTAGTATATACAGTCTATGTGTGTACAACTCTAGAAATGACTGTTTTTTAAAAAATGTTATTTTTTTATTTTTTAGGCTGTAGACATGTTTATTGTTGCCATAAAGCTTTTATATGGGTGTGTATGGGGCCTCTGCTGCTTTCAGAGCCAGCCTCTAGTGGCCACTTAAGGTATTGCAGTTTGTGTCTCTTCCATATTGCCTTTTGTTTTGTGTTTCTGCTTGGTTGACGCGCTCTTGTTGGCATGAACCACTAAAGCATAGATATAGTATAGAATCAGCGCAGGAGTTTAAACCAGGTTTTATCGTGATCTGCTTTAGTTAGCCAGCTTTTTTTGAGTTGTACGTGGTCATCCTCAATCTGTCGGCAAAAATGTTAGCACCACATCAAGCTAGCAGATGAGTTAGAAAGAGAAAAGGTCTGTTTTTGTTTTTATTTAAGTGCTTAAACTTAAAGTTTTTCAAACCGCCTCACAATCATCCATTCAGACATCACTCTCACTCTGTGTAGCTCAACTTTGGTCTCCTCCAATCAGTGCAGGAAAGTGTCCGACTTTATCTTTACGCTCCTCACTGACACTGGTACATTTTCTAAAGCGATCGGCAGATAAGGCAGAGTCGATTTTGAAAAGTTTTCTGCACAAAAACAGCTAAAGGCTTCTGTTGGTAACAAGGTGTATGAAATTGGAATTCAAGGGCTGAACAACCCAAAATAACAAAAGCCCAAATTGGCAATACAAACCTTTTGAACCGAATATGCAGCCATTTATCATTTCAAATACTGTGTTAAACTATTTTCCAAAAAAAGTTCTGTCTGATCCTTCTTGGTTAGAGGAGGGAAAAAAATGACAATGAGTCATGTTTTCTGAAGCGAGCCGAAGGTTTCAGAGGCCCGCCTACATGGTGGGTATATTACGGTACATGCTAGCTCTTGTGTTGACACGGGGATCTCTTCTGACAGCCTTATTTCCCGTTTGCAGAGATTTAGTAGGTGCAGATCTGAGTGCGAATTGAGAGCACAGCCCGGGCTGTGACACACAGACCGCTGAATGTGAGCAAGTCGGTGTGTCATTAGGATTCGGATCAGGATGCCGTCTCAGTCGACACAAACTGAGGTGAATGAACATGTCTGTCTTGCCGAGAGACGTTCCTCTTTCAGAACCTGCTGTAACGCGTCTGGAGGGAAATTGCTGTGGATGACCTTTGTACTTTCCTGTTATCTATCTGGAGTATTTACCTAGATATTTTTTTAATCTCCACCAAGGGTCCTCCGTCTCGGTCTTCGTGAGGAAGAATGAATGTCACTTGTAGATGTGCTCTGCAGAAGTGATATTGCCTGATAGGATGTGAAAGATGCCACGAGTTCATGATAAACTCTCAGTATCATTGATTATTCACACAGATGCAGAAGATTGTCCTTGAAGAATGACTGTCTCTGCAGCGTTAGCAGCCACTGTCACCACACGCCAAGTCATAATTCTGCTCGCGTGCAAAATTGCATCTGCAAGCATGACAACATTTCCAACACCTTGTATATCAATGAGGATTAAAACAATTTATAAATGGACGCTGCAAACAGAGAGACTGCTGAACCTCCTGGTGAGGAAATAACAGAGAGAGAAGACCTAAATTTGGGGTAGAGATGATAAAAACCTGTTACGTTAAATTATTCGAAGTCCAACCCTCTGGAAGACAAGTTCTAAGCTGCAACTCAGCAAGATTGCTATTCCTCCTCCATAATCTATTTAACCCCCAGGGGAGCAGGAGAGGTATGTGCTAAATTAGTGTAATCTGAATGAGGTTTTCTTGAATATGGTGGTTTCAGTCGGTGAGGGATTGTATCCGCCTCTGGCCTCGGCGGCCCAACAGACAATGAGGATATGACCATCTGAATCGATACGGCCAATCCCCCATGATTAGGTCATCCATTAGTTCACTTGATCTTTCGACCCTCTTACATTGCATCTGATGAAAATGTAATCGCTCAATACATCCTGGATGATTAGTCCAAATCCCTGCGTCTCTCTGCGGAGGAGGAGCGGGATTGTTTTGATGCAGCATATGCAAATAAGTCCGCTTTTTATATTTTGATCATGGCGCCAGAGTCAGCGGGGACATCAACTCCACGGCCTTGTCCCGTGATCATCAAGGCCTCATCTGCTCCGTCTGATCCCCGGCTCAGCGCTGCACTTGTGAACACCACGCGGCGAAATGCACGGTCACTTACTGTGTCCTCTGTAAAAACCCACGCTGGCTTAGAAAAACGCTGCTCCCAGCGTGTCCGGACTCCAGCGGAAAAGCGAAATCAATCAACAGAAAGGATTAGAATAAAATAAAAAAACAATCACGGGGGCATTTTAACTTGTGTTCAAATGTCTCAGCACAATTACAGAGGAGGAGGGAAGGAGTCAGAGATGAATTAGAACAACTACTAAATGGATTCCAGTTTGATGATAAATCAGTATCCCACTGTCAAGATCAGGGTGCGAGAAAGGTCACTGCCTCTGAATCATCGCTCTGCATGCGCTCAAGAGCAGGAAGGCAGACTCAGTGGGGCGAATTGATTTTCATAAACTTAGAAACTTAAATGGAAATTAATTAATCTGCAATTTTAACATTTCCATTTTTTAGATGTCTAATCCGCATTTGCATAACACAGACAGGGCGGCTATTTAATCTTTGTTCTGGTACTCTTGTTTGCAGCGCCTGACTGTGTTTTTGTGTCTGCAGAGTGCTGTTCACCAGAGGACGACATATGTTATGACAGCTCCTTAGCTGTGAGCACTGTAACGTATTTTCTTTAAATGTCCACTGGGGAAATCAATACCTTGTTTAGAGCTGAAATTGTCCAGTCAATGCTACAATCATCTGTTTCCAATGACAGTGAACAGTAGTTACTGGAATTATAATGTCAACTGTCTTTGCTGGGTCAGAGATTGGCCGACAATTAGCATCTCTGATGAGTCTGTCTGGTATCAATCTATACATATCTATTTATGAAAGCTCGGAGCAGATGTTACTATTCCCTGAGGGGGATTTCAGTCATTAGAGTGATGTGAGAAGATTGTAGAGAAGACCAAAGAAACGAAAAAAAACACAGAAAACACAATTCACACCAAACAAGCCACAACATGAGATTGTGTCAAGATTGTGTGATATTTTTTTTTCCCCAGAGAGCAGAAGAGCACAGCAGAGTTAAAACAGCAACCATGAGTGAATTAACAGGTTACAGTGTACGGAGAAATAACGAGGAAATGGTCAGAAATGTGACTTAAAGGTACGGATTATAGTGTTATAGTGTTCTTTAGTTTAATGTACCTTGGTCTTTTAATTGCAGTCCTCCCACTGCACTGCTGTTCTGTATTGTGTAGTTGTACATAGCCTGTTATACTTACTGTACATAGCCTTTTATACTTTATATATGTCCTGCATGCTCTTATTAATTTTTATTCTAGTATTTTGTATATTATTCTCCATTTAATGTTGCACCATCATGCCGTAAAAAGTTCCTAGTCTGTGAATCCTGTTCATTGAAACCTCTTCTGATTCTGATTCTGATTCAAGTTTAAGCAAAAGACAAAAAATAGTTAAATGACTGAATTCAAACCAACAAAGACTTTAAATGTAGTAAGCTGACGTAATGAAGATGCAGTAAAACTGTTTGCGTACTATGGTCATGAAAGTTTCAACCGTTCACTTAAAGCTCCTCTAAAGAACTTTTTAGTGGGAAAAGCTTCCTGCTGACTTTTTTCAAATGTATCCTGGATGGTGAATTTTTAAAGTGGAGATTATAAAAACAAGTCTGTTTCTGTGACTGACACCTACCCGCCTTACAAATACTAGAAACATTAAAAATTTCAGTACAAGAACTGTCACTGTGGTCACTAAATATCTTGTTTGCCTGGAGATGTCATAAAAAAGAATCAATGTGAGTTTCAGTTCGTTTTGTAAACAGGCAAAAACTCGTTACAGGTGCTTTAAGCGGGGTGCACACATAAAGATAATCGGGCGATTTTCCCCCTCCTGACCAAGGACGACAATCGGAAGATTATCTTAAGTCTTCTAAGATTATCCTATAACCCTATCCTGAAGTCTGAGGTGTATTAAGAGTGAATTTGTCCAGATTATTGAGTCCGAAACGGGTCGGGGTCCACAATCGTAAATATTAAACTTATATAACTTATAATATTAAACGACGACTCCTGAGTCATGACTGTGAATTGTCACGTAAATCGGAATGTAGCCAATCAAGAAGTGAGCTAGCATAATTATTACTAGGATTACTGGGATAATCACACCAGCAATTAGCTTAATTTGAGAACAACTCACCTCTCGCTCGCTCAGCGGACCCTCAGTGGCGAGAACGGTGCATGTTCAGTGTGAATTCTTCTTTACATTCAGTGAACAAACCACTCACTGAGCGTACTTTACTAAGCAGACCTGATAAATAGCAAACCATAGGACAGTACACTGACTTAAACAAGTTCATTGTTGCCAAAGCAACACAGCCAAACACTCTCGTCTCCTGTTCTCAGAAGCTCTGAATTGTTCTGAATCCTGAAACGCTCAGCCGTGTATCTGTTCAGGAAGTTGGAGTCGCAGGTTTCTCCTGCCAAATGATTTGGTGAATGAATCTTTTGAATGAATATTTTTAGTGAACTGACTCTAGTGATTCAGTACATCTAAAAGAACTGCCGCGCCCATCACTACAGTGTAGATTTTCAGAGTAAGCTAACAGAGATGTTCTTCATCCTCTCCTGACTGAATAGCGCTGATTGAAAAATGACGACTTTTATAATTTAGTAACATTTCTTTGTATTTATCAGCTTCAATCACATCCTTTCATAGTTCAGTTCGAATGAGCATATTCTAAAGATCGTGTATATTGTTTGTGGAGAAGTGAAGTCCATCTGACAGCGTCAAAGCGATGACTATTCATGGAGCAGAGATGCAGTGTATGGCGGCTAATATTATGCTAACCTGATTATCCTTGGAGGTCATATGTTATTAATGCTCCCTAGGCTGCTTCAGTCTCCCCTCACTGTTTTTCTTGTTAGTCGGTGAACAAAGAGACCCATCAAGCGGCGTGTCGCCGGGGGAGCAGATAACAGTAGACCAGGTGAGCGGAGGTCAGAGCATCCTGATGAAGGAGGATTGGTGGGGTGGGGTTGGAAAAGAGATGGAGAAGATGTAATGGAGGCTCGGCGGCGGTTAAATGCTGGGGCCGGCCGCGGGTTCCTTAGGGAGCGGTACGCAGGGCCACATCACCTCGGGCATCTCCTGACCGCATGTGATTGATGGGGAAGAGCTGACGAGCCGGGCTCCCAATGTCACTCTCCAATTAAATAACTCTCACCGCTGAACTGGAGCCTCCCCCCTCCTCCTCCTGCTACACCTCCCTCCTCCTCCCCTCCCTTTCACCTCTCTTTCTATCACCGACACCCTCTCTCTCTCCCTCTGTAGTGTCTCGCTTTAACTTAAGCTCTTATTTAGCCCTGCTTTCCTCGCTTTTGTCCTCATTGCAAAAGCTTCCTTTTCTTTTTTCTCCTACCCTCTCATCCCTCAAGTTTACTGTGGGCTAATTCTCACCTCCCTATTGTCCTGTGTCTCTAATTTCAGCTTTGCTAACTGCTTTTCCAGGTATGACAGACAGAGGCTGCTCTTTCTATTGGTTTGGGTCATTGCTCCCTTCCTAAGTGACAGAGCAGAGAAGACAAAGGGAGAAGTGAATCTGTCTAGAAAATGCAAATAGCAAAAGAAGAAACTCGGGTAACACTTTATTTGACACCTATCTCTATAATGCATTATAAATATATATATATATGTATATATATTTAATACGTTATATTCATGTTATAGTACTGTACAACTTTAGTTATAAACACTCATAAATGATCATAATTCTTTATAGCAATAATCATAACACAATATAAAGCATTTTATCATGACTTACAAGGTCAGATATTATAATGTGTTATAACTATTAACAACTCACTGACAATGTCCACATAGATAATGCATGATACATATATTTATAATGTGTTATAATTTGCTTATAAACTTGTTAACAACTCACTGATAATTAAAACACATAATTAAAACACATTATAAAGCATTTTATCGTGACTTACAAGGTTATATAGTGCTATAATATGATTATAACGCATTATAAACATGTAATAGCACTGTATAACTATAGTCATAAACACTCATAAATGATCATAATGCTTTAAAGCAATAATTATAACACATTATAAAACATTGTATCATGACTTACAAGGTCAGGTATCAACAGTTGCATTGCATTATCTAAGGCTACGTTCATTCTGCAGGTTATGATGCGCAATTTGGATTTTTTGTTAAATCTGATCTTTTCGTGGCGGTCGTTCACATTACAACAACGAATGCGGCATCTAATGTGAACGGAATGCGTCCGTAAAGTGACCGGCATGCACACAAAGCACAAATTGCTCTCCGCGCCTGTTTGTGTTGTCGAACGATGGTGACGTTTGTCGCATATTGATGACGTATAGGTCAGATGAACACGACCTGAGCGTCCACACTGCAGTCACATCGGATACATAAATGATTTATATCCACATAAAAAAGAGGCCTGGGTCGGATTAGAAAAAATCAGAATTGCACTGTTCACACTTAGATAAAAAATCTTATATGTGTCACATATGGTGAAAAAATCAGAATTGACCTGCAGTGTGAACACAGCCAGAGTCGGCACTGTCAGTGAGTTGTTAACAGTTATAACACATTATAATTCCTGACCTTGTAAGTCATGATAAAATGCTTTATGATCATTTATGAGTGTTTATAACTATAGTTGTACAGTGATAATAGTGCATTATACATATTTTTATAATGGGCTATAGAGATAGGCGTCAAGTAAAGTGTTACTGAAACTCACAGAGGATTATCAGTGGGTGGCAGATATAAATAAATGTAATGTTTTCTAATATAATAACAGGTGTCAGAGTATGAAAAAATGTATTGCAGTGTACACCCCACACAAAAATACCTTCAAGGGTTCAAGCTGTTTACACTGACAAGACTATAAGAGAGGGGTGTTATTCTGTGTGCAGCTGCATGTTATAAACTGCAGAGATGCTGTTTGCTGTTACTAATTAGGAATATGACTAATACTGGTTTGTAGAAGTGCAGGAGTTTGGAGAGGGCAGCACCACGCCGCATTTTTTTTTCTGTCACAACAGAAGCCCAGCTTGCTGCTAATTGGAAGAAAACACATGCAAATGGAAAGGGAGAAGTAGTACACTTTTTTTTAAAGAAATGAGGATGTGTAAAAGAGTCAAATCGGGCAGCGTGA